ACCAATTTCCTTTAATAAGCGAGCTAAGGCAACTGCTTCCTTAGCCCCTATAGTAAGTTAAACATACTTAGCTTCAGTTAATAACAGTGTAACGAGTGTCTAGCGGCCGGACTTATACAATAGAGGTCCGCCTACAATAGTGAAGTAGAAGCCGCCTATAGAGCGGCAGGTAACTAGATCGTTAGCCTATAAGGCGTTATAGTAACTAGCGAACTTGAGGTCGTCTTCGTTTAGGTTGCCTTAGAAGCGCATACTACGGCTAAGGGTGCCAACTAGGTACTTAATTAGCTAAAGAAGCGCGGAATAATGCTCCTCGGTCGGGTTAGAAATGAATCGTAATAATAGGCCGGCAGTGTAGCAAGCATCCGGCCGAGTAATTATTGCTAGCTAGAGGGCTTTACTAATACCCTCCTAATACTAAGTCTTGAAGGCGGCACTAGCTATATAGCCTTTAGGTGCGCGTTAAATAGATGTCTTAACGTAACGAGGCGCTATTAGAGTAGCTAGTCCGATACGGCTACGCATACTATACTTCTCGTAGAGCCTATTTAAGTAGGCGTCCTAAACGACGTAGATAGTGCGCTTGTTATAGTCGCGGATGATGCGCATGCCGAGATAGTAGTAAAGGTCGCCTAGTTCTCGCATGTTAAAGCGCTCCTTTAGCAACTAAGCAACAGCTTCTAGTGCTAATAGGCTGTAGGCGATAATAATTATATTATCGACGTAGATAACAATAATCGAGCCGCTAACGTACTTAAACACACAGACGTCGGACATTATTAGAATGAAGTCTAGGCTCTTTAAGTACTTCCGAAGCTCTTTATACTACAGCATTGGTAACTGCTTTAGACTATATAGGGCCTTTAGCAGTAGGCAAACCGTGCCCTTGCTACTACGGTCTTTAAAGCCGTATAGCTGTTTAACGTAGATCTTGTACTTGTTACTAATAAGTGCGTTAAGGAAGGCTGTTAGAATGTCGTATTGCTTAGCCTCTAGATCGTAATAAGCAATCAGGCCAAACAGCGCTCGCAGTATAGAAGGCTTAGCTACTGCCGTATAGGTCTTATCGTAGTCCTGTCCCTTAACCTAAGTGAAACTACGGACGACCTAACGAGCCTTAAACCGGCTTACCTTACTATTAGCGTTACGCTTGATAGTAAACACCTATCGGCTACGAACAACCTTCCTGCCTTCTAGCACCTCTAACCGAGATATATAAACCTATATATAGTTGTTAATTAGTAACTTGTATTTAGCCTCGCAAGCTTCCTTCTACTATAGCTAATATAGCGACTAAGTTGCTTCCTTATAGCTCTTCGGAATAGGAATAGTCTCTTTAGGCTTATTAGACTGTTTAGCAATGTAATAGGAAGCTATAAAACCCTTAATATAGGCTATCGGCATGTTAGCTATTATACGTCGAGTTAACCGCTTAACACTACAATTAGCTAGATAGCTACGCAACAGGTCTCGAGCCGACTTGTTACTCCGTGTCTTGCGCGTAGAACGATTACTAACAGCCTTAGCAGGTCGCTTAAACTTAGGCAACTAGCCTAGCTCGCCCTTCTTAGCGTTTAGATTATATACTAGCTCTTCCTCGGCTAACTAAAAGCTATCTTTATTACTTGAAGTTAGTAGTTGAACTAGTTAAACGTCTAGAAGGTCGTTATCGATTAGCAACGGATTAGCGACCTTATCGGCTATTTCCTATGCAAGTCCTTGTTTAGGCTGTTCTTCTTGCTAAGCTAGAAGCCGCTAGACTATACTAGCAGTCTCGGTAGGCGACGGAGCCTCGTTGCTTATAGAATTGAACAAAGCCGGCATAATAGACTCAAGTAGAACAAACTCGTTCTCAGCTAGGTTATTAGGATTAGCGTATAGGTTTATGCCCTCTAGAAGCGACAACTTATCGTCCCCTAACTTAATAAACTAGACATCCTTCGAGGCAATAACCTTGTGTTCGTTAGACAAGTAGATTATATATTTGCTAGAGTCTACTAAGCCCTTCGTATAACTAACTAGTTTGCCGAGCTTTCTATAAGCGTTAAACTTCTTGCTACGAGCTACACTATAGTCGTAGACAATAGCAGTATAGCTATAGGCTCGAAGGTGCTAAAGGCGTAGCTGCTTTCGAGACTAATTGAGCTCCCTAGCTATAATAGTATAGGGGCTAAGACCTTCTAGGGTTCCAGGTGTAATATTAAGGACCTATATAGCGGAGGCAATAGCATATAGCTATAGAGACTTTAGAAGGTTAGCCTACAGCATCATCTTTCTCGTAGTCGTATATACGATGTAATTACTAACCTTAGTAAGGCTATTCTAAGTTAATAAATAAGGTGTAGTAACTTGTAGTATAATGCCCTCGTCTCGAGCCTAATTTAATAGCTGATTTCCGCCGTATTTACCCCCTCTATCGAGGCGGTAGATTGGGATTGAGTAACTAGTCTGTATACGGATATGTATACGATAGTCCTTAATAGCCACTGCAGCCCCTAACTTGAGCGTACTAGTATACTCGTATCGATAGCCTAACTTAGCGTACGTAAACAGCGTAAAATAGCGCTCCTATAATAGACTAGGATTGGTAATAGTAACTACATCTACACAGACAATGTAATAGATCGTAGATGGTCGTACGCGTAGCAGCCGATTGTATTCCTTATATAATATAGCTATACGATAGGCAATGCAGTTACGGAAGTCCTTCTTAGCACTAGTAATAACAATCTAACCCTCAGATTCTATTCTTAGCAGCTTGCAGTAATAAATATAGCTATATCGTAGATGCCACTTATCTATAGTGCCTATAGGTACCCCCTTCTTCGACAGAAGGGCAACTACTTTACTATCTAGACTAGAGGTTAGTATATAGAGGTAGGGAAGACTATTCTTACGGTATGTCTAAGCGATAGTAACCTCATTGCCCTCCACTATCGTAAATAGGATACGCTTATCATTTCGGTAGAAACAACCCTTGTCGGTAAGCTTCTTAGTAGATAGAAGGTTGGCTGCTAGACCTAGAATATACAGCGTATTAGACAGCTTTATGTTGCTAACACTACGCTTATTAACAACCTTAGTCTAAGCTATACTAACCATCGTAGCGTGCTTCGTGTTGCTACTAAACCGGACAGGAATGTAGCAGCCTTTATATTTAATAAGCAGTAAGGGGTTATTAACTATATGCATGCTAGTACCTAAGTTAACAACCTAATTAGTAGTACGAGTGCTAGCCGTAAGAGCCGTAGAAACCTAGTCGCTAACAGTAACTATAGTAGCGCTTGCAGTAAAGGCGTAATTGTAGTTTAGGTCTAATAACACCCCTAGGGTAGCATTAGCCGCATATAGCCCCTAAGCACTATTCTAACTAGATAGCAGCTATTGCTATTGTTGCTACGCAGTTAGTCTACGCTGCTGCTATTGCTTCTTCTTAGCCTTCTGCTTCTCGCGACGAAGACGGTCTTCTTCCTTTAGATAAGGGTACTTGTTATAGCAGCGGTTAGAAGGGTGCGATCCCTAACAATAGGCGCACTTCTTACGGTTAGACTAGTAACTATTCTAGTTGCTTCTACCGCGGCCTCGACCGTTGCTATTGTTATTGTTTCCGCGGCTACTACGGCCGCCTCGGTTCGAGTTACCTCGACTATTGCTATTGCCTTATAGTTGCTAGCGCTAGAGACCGAAGAAACTATTGTACTAGGCCTAGTTTAATTGAGCTACATTCTTATTAAGCAACGCGCTAATAATGTTGTTAAGGGTACTGTTATTAATAGTGTACTCTAAGGCTCGCATTTGCTCTCGGCGTATCTATACGAAAGACTCGTAGAACGGTGCAATTTGTATAATAAACATATAGACAGCCTAATATTAGCTAATAGCTAATTTAGTATCCTTTAAGGTACCGAGCTTCTTCTTGTATTTATTACAGAACTTCTCGACATCCTTGCTATCGTAGCGAAGGGTAATATAGTCCTAGAAGAGCATGAATTTAGTAGACCTACCTTTACTAGTATACTTCTTATATAGATAACTCTATACTACCTAGGAGGTATCGAGTCTAAGTAACGACTACTAAATCTCCGATATATAGTTAGCGAATATCTACGTACGCGCTAACTAGTCCTTTGCCTCCTATTTATCTTAGCGGTCTTTAAATTGCTTCTATATTTCAGTAGACGATAGCTTAACTTTAGGCTTTAGGCGGATCCCTTAGATATAGCGCTATACTTGCATACCTTTAAGGGCATCCTTAGCAGCATAGGCCTATACTAGATAGTTCTCCTTATTCTTTAGCTTAGGAATGTTGCTTATATAAGCGTTAGATATTGTTATAGGGGGAGCTATTGCAGATAGCGACGGCGATAATATTAATATAGAAAGAGACTATAGACTTGTCTTAAGGGGCGGCCGACAGGCGCGCCTATATTCTAGTATAGCGGACAGCTAATACTAATGTAGCGGACAGCTAACACTAATAACTCGAGTCGGACTAGCACCTACTAGAACCCTCGAGGGCGGCGGCGACGATAATAGTATCGGCGCAATTTTTAGTAACAAGCGCTAGCTATACAGCTATCGGAGTAACTATTAGAATACGTAGTAAACGTATTATATGCGTTAGAAACGCACCGGGCTTATAACTACTTAATATAACTAATGTATTAAAGAAGGACTAATCTATATAAAAGTCCGAAAATAAAGTGCAGCAGTTGCAGCCTTAGGCATTAGGCACGTAATGGACCCTAACACCTAGACACATACTCTAAGTGCTATTATTACTAACGATTAAGTATAGTAAGTAGTATACTATTATCTATCGATACGAGAACGCGTAGAAAGCGCGAGGTTAGAAGCAGCGGCAATACCCTTCGTACTAGGCCGCATTCACTCACTTAGCATCCTAATCGAGGGTTTTCTATACCGCCGAGCAGGTACGGCGGCATAGAAAACTGCCCTGTACGTTGAGGATCCACTATTCATTTACTAACCAATCGCATATGTTTGGCGGCACCTGTTTGGCGGCATAGGGGTGCGGCGAAATCCCTCTAAACGCAGGCCTGCGCGGCGTGTCGTACAACTGGCAGGGCCATCGCGTGCACCAGTGGTGCCACACGCATTGTTCCAGCCGCACTGCTTCAACCGCACGCTGTCGTCACACTGCAACCATGTGTGTGTATGTGTGTGTGCATGCAGGAATCATGAGCGCGAGCCAGGCGTGCGCAGTCCGAGGCTCCCAGCAGGCACGCACCTGCAGCGGCCAGTAGCCGTAGCGCGCGAAACGAAATTGTAGGCCACTTCATGAAACCCGATGAAGCCGATTCGCGATCATCGTCACATCCATCGCTCGCCAGAGACGCATCGACGCATCGTCAATTGACTTATTACTGGTGGCCAGGCCTATGAAGCCTGACGGGTCCTGGTCAAAACACTACGACCATACCAGCTACATCATCCACCGCGCCCTCCAAAACCACACACTGTTCGAAGTAGACGACTGCCCTTGCAACAGCCCCGACCACTGCCAAACGTGCCAGCCGTTGCTCTCACCGCCGAGCCCATCCTTCCCGCCCCCATCCCGTTGTCGAAGGGACCCTGGGACCGGAAGACATCACCATGCCCAGTGCAATACGCAATGCCACGCGACTTGCCTTGCATTCTCATACAAGAAGCTTTATCGAGAAGAGATAAGGACTTCACGCATCGAGACTCGACACTTCTTCGCACGAAATCTCCGAGCATCCCTCCATAGCTAAATTATTGCTGATCATGATAAATACACGCCATGCGGCTGCACAAGGGTCACTTGATCGACCAGCTTCTTCCCACTACTACTGAAAGCACCATTTGCCTTCTAGCCACAGAATACGCTCCGACGAACTTCGCTGCCATTCGAGCTTGCCATGCATATGCATGCAAGTTGGCGAGCACCGGCCGTCTACCGTCCCACATTACGTATCATCATCCCTTTGAAATTTCGACGGCTGTGAGCGTTCATGCAAGTCGCCCCAGTTTTGCCTGTGCACCCATACAAATTCTAGACAGAGATGTAGACTCACAGTGTATTTAATTTCCAGGTCTATGAACACAGTGTTCACGATATGAACATGCACGAGACACAGATTAGTGTTACCTAGGGACCCACACCGAGAACGATCTATTACGAAGGATATCTACCGTACCGAGCAGTTATCCGCTGTATCCGGCTATATTAACTGCTGAGTCAGGTGCTGACAGGCTTGTGTTTATATTATTATAAGGCAGGCACTAAAGGGGTCTGTGCTCACCGTAGTCCGTGTAATAACGGTGATGTTCACGGGTGACGGCTGTGCGGCCTGTGCCATTGTGTACAACATCTCTAACCAATTCTGTCTGTGCATACAATTAACCACCTTTCTTGCTCCACTTATGTTCGCCAAGCAAAACCGGTATGACCTGCAAAGGGATATCGCTTCGGGAATCCACCATTGACCGCACGGAACGCGGCGACGCGCTGCTACCCGCAATGCTTCAGCCGTGTCCGGACGGTATCCCCTAAACGAAGTCCGTGGTTAAGTCCGTAGAACTGCTGTATAAGATCTAGAGGATCTGGTTGGTCGAATCCGCTTTGCATAAGTTGGCACAGACGTATTTTGTATAAGAACTCCACCAGAATCCTAGTTTTGCCGACGAACGCTCCGAGGCAACGAGTTTTTACAGGGGATAGGTATTTTCGATGCCGCCCTGAGCCACACGACCTCATTGGAGTCAGTATCATCCCCAGAAGTCGAGCGCCAAACACTCTTCAAACATATTCTGACAATGGTATTTTGGTGGGTATCCGTACATCCAAGAAGCGTAACTTCCGAACCTCATGCCGTCGAATCAAATACGAAAATGTCTCGCCTCGTCCCTTTCTCACCAACGCCGACGCTTTCCTTGAGAATCTCATGCAATGACCCGAAGTACATGCCAAACCCTTTCCTCTACCTCCTGCTCCCTCTGCACACCAGTATTACTGGCCTGTCTCTTTACCCTTCTTAGCGATGTAATACGTGAGAAGCCCCAGTCTTCCCTCGTCAGAACCCTTGAACTCGCTCCAGAATGCCGTCTTCGATGCTTCGAAAATATCAAACAACTCGCTTGCAAAGTCCACATCTACTTTCCGTACTTCCGAGTTGCTATCGTTCAGGAATCGCGCCGCCGTCTGAGCGAGCCGTGCTCGCCGTTCCTCCCCGAGCTCCAGTCCCGACTCTTTGCTTCGAGACACAAGTCGTTGCAGCGTGAGGATGTCCATGGCAACTGATTTCGATGTGCCATCTGACTTTTCCGGCAGCACATCAAGAACTGCGTCTATGCATCGCTCGGGAGCTGCTTTCGCCACAATCTCATCGGCAGTCCGTCGCATGTCGGTGATCAGATGCCTGTTGTCATCGATTCCTTCCCGAGTTGACAAGACCGCAACAAGCGCCTTGTCGTACCATGAAGTGGCGTACTTGGGGTACAATGTCAGCAAAGCACGCACAACGCCGAGTGCTTGAGCTTTGAGACCGGCAATCTTACTTGCAGGAAGTTGGCTGAGTTTCGGGTCTTGCGCGAATGTTTGCAGGTAGTCAAGCAGAACTGTCATTAGTTCATCGAACCTCTTGCCACCCTCCCAGATATCGGTCTTTGACTTGACCAGATCCTGCACTCGGCGAAAACCATGCGCGTCTAGTGTCTTGGTGCGGATCCGCTCGATGCCAGAAGAAAGTAGTCGCCGGTTCCTCATCACTTCAGCGCGATCTTGAGGCATCACTGCTGGAGGTGCGCATGCAGTTGCCGCTTGCCGAGGACTACCAGGGCTGTTACTGCTAGAGCCAACGCTTTGCGTAGGACTTCGGGGTCGGTTGTTCTCGTTGAGAGGTAACTCCCCGAGCACTTTCCGGTCCTCATCAGCATCGGCCTGGGTCGTGTTCTCAGTAAAGGGATCCTCGTAGATTTGGACTTCATCTATGCTCCTGACAGGACCGCCCTGAGGCACATCCCCGTTGACTTTTTCTTCTTCTTCTTCTTCTTCTTCTTCTTCCTGACTGGCTGATCGACTGTGGGACACAAGACGCTGTGCTTCAGGCGACAATTTGCCTTTCATGCGAGCCTCAGCAAACATGTCCTTGATGGGACTGCGATAAGCGAGAGGTGATGGTGCGCGTGGCAGATGAGGCAGATTAGGCATTACCATTGTGAAGCCCTCGTCCTCATTCATGGCCGGAATGCCACTGTCGACTGATTTGGTCTCTCCGAGGCCAGACCGCTTGTGGCCAGGAGAGAAATTTCCTCTGTTCGTTGTGACACCTTTCGGCATGACCATGGTCAAGTCGCCCTCTCGAATGCTGTTCATGGTTTCGCTACCTTTGCTCGTGGGCCGTGAGCTTGTAGCAGGCTGAATGTGATCTCGAGAAAGTACCGGACTTCTCACAGGACTCCCTCTCGCTGAATTTCCCGCGGCAGTCTCCGAGGTCTTCGCTCTGTTCCTAATAACGCTCGAAGCCACAGTCGATGCCTTTGATGCGCCAGTGCCTCTCTCTGGACTTCCAAAGGGACTTCCATTAGAAGCTGGAGTCACAGGTCGTAACATCCTTCGCGAGGCGTAAGGATCTGCGGTCTGAGGTCTGGCCACTTCTGGTCGTCGTGGCCGTCGTACAGGTCCAGACATGAGACTACTGCCCTTCTTTGCGCCAGTAGAAGGCTCGGCTGCCTCTGCGGTAGACGCATTAGAGGTAGTCGACACGTGCCTATTGGTCACTTTTGACAAGTTCGATGGTCCGCGACTTGTGCCATTGGAGACTGGCGTGGATCTTTGTTTCGCTGGGGAAAGGTCTGCCATGGCTGAATTTGGCCGCGAAGGTAGCTTGCCAGCAGCTCTTCTCTTCTCGGCCATCATGTCTCGCAGTGCTGTCCTACTTGCGGTGCCGCCCGCTCTCGAAGTCGTAGAAGCTGTGCTGACTGACGCGTGCAGAGCTGCATTTGGGTTGTTGGGGTCTTTTTCCAACGCTGATTTCGATTTGGGATCCAGATCATTCATCATCTTTTGTGCCTTGTCCGGCCATGTCTTCGCAAAAGTCCAGTACGTTGCGCGCGTCGCCTCTTTCACTTTTGGGTTTGCATCATCGAGACCCTTTTTGATGGACTTCTCCGCAAGTTCTAATCCTCCAGAGCTCTCAAAACTGCTCTTGTAGCTCGATTGCCGCTTCAACACGGTCGTCAACCAGACTGCCGCACACTGACGCACTTGTACATTCTTTTCTTGTGCCGCCAACCAAATGTGCCGCATCATCTGAATATTGTAGGAGCAATTTTGGAAGATCTCGTTTGATGTTGTCTTGCCGTTTTCAGCTGCAATGTGCTTTGTCGCTGCGCTCATCTTGATGAATGTCTGCAGGAAGATCTCAACGTGTGGATCCAGTGCTGGGCCGAGAGTCTTGGCCAGCTCTTGAACGAGCTGGCAGCCGTTGGTGGACATGGTGGTTCGTAGCGAGCTTGAGACCTTAATAATGCCTTCCACGAGACTCTTGATTCCTGCCATGAAGTTATGATGATACTCGTTGGGTGCATTGCCCTTCAGTATCCGCCTAAGCTTTGTAATGGACTTGTCACGAGGCATCCAATTGTGCTCGGTCTCTTTGCCCTCAAAGTGTGGACGCATGTCCTGGAATATATCGTCTAGTTCTGCTCGCGAATCGACGTATATGGGATCCATTGGAACAATCTCCTGCGGTGGCGGCTTTGCAGCTTCGCTATTGATACTCTCTGCGAGGAGAGCGGCATGGTCGACGGTCGGCAGAGATCGTGTTGAAGCAGTCATCTGCGGCGAAGGTTGTGGATTGGCGGCGGTCTGTGGCCTCGAGCCACTTGTTTCTGACCCAATGGCTGCAAGGATTTGGCTCGCGATGGAATGGCGAACGTTGAACGCCTTGAGTTGTCGCTGCAAATCCTTCTTGGCCGGGGCAGGTGCTTCACTAAACAGCTCAATCACTACTGACTTCGCCGCCTCTCGCACAGTCCCGTCGGCGTCTTCCAGTCGTGCGACCAATGCTTGCGTATAGCTCTTGAACGGCATGCCTTCCTCCTTGTGCATCTTGACGACCCATCTCATGCCAGCCTCCTTCGCGCGCGCATTAGAGCCTCCTATAGCCTCTTCGCGCACAATCTGCTCCACATCACTGGCTAGGAATGGATATAAGTCGCAGAGTGCCTGAGCGGTCGCCGTGCGCACCGACTCGCGCAGATCGCCCAGGCGGTCCTGGAGGGCTGGAAACAGCCTGGGCGCAAAGGTGGTGATGGCATGGCCGGTGCTGTCCTGGATCTTCAATCGCTTTAGCAAGTGTCCGAGGGTCGACAGCGCGGTGCTCGTGAGCGTTGACGATGCCTGCTGGGTAATGGCAAGCTTGATGCATTCGAAGATGGTCGCTTGGGCAGGTTCGGGGACTCTGTAGTGTTTGATGTCTGATTTGAGCGCGTTTAGGGCGTTGATCTTGGCCTCGGACGGGGCTGCTGGTCGCTTGAGCGTGCTGAGCAGGTTGACCGCTGCCTGCTCCATGGTGGCGGAGCGGAGGGTCGACGCGACGGAGGGCTCGGAGGGCTCTGATGTTGTGCTGTGTACGTGTGCACGGTAGTAGAGGGCAGTTGTCGCAAAGTTGAGACGCTGGTGGTAGCGTGTGTATGGCCCGTCCCGATTATTGATGCTCCACTAGGTAGCTCGCCTCCAGGGCAACGCGCCCCCCTCCGATCTGTGCGCTGCGACCCTCCAAACCCAAAGATCTGGCCTCAGTGGTCTTTCCCTTCAGTTTCACTCTTCTGGCGAGCTTTGTCACCAGCTCGTCAATATGCATCAAATCGAAACATGGCATCACAACACTACTTTTTTCCTCCCTACGACATCGTGCAGTCTGCCACTACTAACCGCAAGTCTGCGCCAGCCCAACCCAATCCGTATCCGAAGCACAGGGGAACCTTAAACGTCCTGGGCAGGCACCCTTGCAGCAATCAATAATAACGGAGCGAGGAGCAACGGTGGACGCCGGACGCACGTAACACAACCACACTTCACCTACAATCCCAGAAACATCGGCGCCGAAAGACAATATCTACGAGAGACCATACACCTTGGCCCGGTTCCCAAAACACTTGGATACAATGCCCGCGATACCACAGATAGAATATGCCATCTCTCACGCACCCATGACCTTGCCTATCAGGAAGCACAAGTTCGACACACCCAAGCTAAGGCTTCAACTGAACGACTTGGCACACGATGGCAGCTCGATCTTTCTGTCCAACTTCAAAGGCAACGAAGACTTCGAAGAACAAGTGCAAACCGTACTCAACCTGCTTTACACCAAAGACTGCAAAAGCCCGGGCACGAGGTCTGTCACGCTCGTCATCAGAGACATGGATGGTGTTGCGTACACAACTGGCATGGACCTCGACAACGACCACAAAGAGATTCACTTCAACTTGAGTTACATCAATCGACCTCGCGGAGAGAATCAGAGACGTGAACTACTGGGTGTGATCTGTCACGAACTTGTTCACTGCTTCCAGTGGGATGCAGAAGGCACGTGCGATGGCGGCCTGATCGAGGGCATTGCTGACTGGGTGCGTCTGAGGGCTGGTCTTGCGGCGAAGCATTGGAAACGAGAAGCCGGTGGCGACTGGAACGGTGGATACGAGCATACGGGCTATTTCCTCGAATATCTGGAAACTCGTTTCGGACCAGGCACAGTGCGGAGAATCAACGGTTGTCTTCGCAAAGGCCAATATGACGAAGACAGCTTGTTCAAGGAATGCTGCCAGAACCATTGCGTTGCAGACCTCTGGAAGGACTACGCCAAGCATCTCAAGAAGGAAGAAGAAAGAGAGGAAGCTACTTCGGATGCACAGAATGTAAATCAGAAGTCAAAGGAAGACATCAAGAGCTGCGCCTAGCTTTGCCTACATGTACTCAACGCTTGGGTGACCTGTTATATGATTCCCTCTCAAAGTCTTATACATAGAAGAGACTCGCGACTCCATTTTACTGCAATGCAACTTCAGCTTACACGCCGCCCAGCCGCAAAATGATGTCAGCTTTTACAATAGCTTCTCCAACACTTCAGCTCTCGACCGATGGGCACCGAATTCCGAATGCCCGCAAAGCCTTCCATTTAAATGATGAGTGCACTGTACATGTAGTTGAACGGCCAACAGACTTTCTGGCCAGCAGGGCATCTCACAACCATGGCAACCTCTGGGAAGCTTGGACCAGAAGCGCCATATTCAAGCCTAAAGGAACACTTGGAAAATGTCGTTCGGGACTCCGTCCAAGCTGTCAACGAAAGGAAATGGGATATTTACAGTTATCCGTGAGTGTTCTCTCAGCTTTCCGCTTTTGAGTTTGCTCTCATAGAGAATTGACCTTGCACAGATGGATCCACTTCGCATCAAATTGTGCCTATGATGAAGACTGGCGGAACGACCTCACATTTAGCCTACCTATGAAGTATGTCCGAGCCCTCGAAGAGGAAACAACAGAATCTCTCCACCAATCATCGTACGAAACGCAACATCGTTTTGTAGAATTCCAGAAGAATTTGACTCGGACTGCGCCCGAGTTTCATGTTGATGTCGTGGATGTTACGATGATTGCTGTGGACAAGGATGCTCAGGCTTGTGTTTTGTTGAATGCTCAGGAAATGGGCGTTCCGCCTGGTGTTAGCAGGAGTACGCTTTGCACACTGTATTTTCAGTATAGGAAGGAGAGGAAGATTTGGGTCTGCACGAGGCTGAGGGCGTTGCCTGGGATTGATTGTTCGGAGTGATGGTGGTTTGATCGAGCATGGCCGAGTTCTACTGTATTCGGTTCTATTTGCGTGCCTCTCGCATCAAGGGTGCCGACACTATTATCTGGATCTATGTTCTATGCAATATGCATCTTCTCCGGATCGTGCTTAGGCCCTAACCGGTTGCCAGCGATTATAGCATAATCTTATAGATTATTGAAGTCTTATAATCTCCTCGGATTATAGACCGCTATAATCGCTTATAAGCGGTTAGAAACAGATGTCCAGTATCTACTTTATTAACCTCCGCTTCCTTCCGCCTCTTAGCTTAGTTAATAATAGCCGCTACGGCTCTTGTAATAACTATAGGCGCCTTGTAGTAGTAGGTAGGTAGAAGGCGGTATATAATAAGGTAGAGGCGGTATACGAGATCGTCGTACGAGGTCGGAGAGAGAATATATACTTAAAAGTAGACGGTTTTACTGCAGTTTAGCTATAGAAGTTAGCAGCTAATCTCTCTCAAACTACGTTAATCGAACTATAGTGTCTTAACTACCTAATAATAATAAATTACGCACTCTAGCGGCTAGTCGTCGGAAGCGTGCTACGATAGCGACTCTAATAGCCTCTTAATCGGCTAATAAGCAGTCTCGGACTGCGCTAGTTTACTAGACATAGGTATAGACCGAATACTTCCTTAAGCAATTAATTGAATTGAAGAAGGTTAGTAGAGGCACCGATGCTAATAACTTCCGTATTCTAGACCTACGTAACCTAGTAACGTTAATAAATAAGAGGTTTAATATTAATCGCAACGACCTAGCTTTAAAGAACCGCTAGGCCTCGATTAAGAAGGACTGGAGCTATTAGGTATACTATTTAAAGCACGTTAGCGGTTAGAATAGTATACTACTAACCGCTAAGAGTAATATAGAAGACGCTTACTTTAAAGCTAATCTACGGTATACTCCGTTCCGCGACGAATTGCCGGAATACTACGAGCTTATAGACGAGTTAGTCGGTTAGGATATAGCTATAGGCGATTATGTTGCTTCGTACGATAAATTAGCGGACGACGAGGTAGATAGCGGCTTAGACGAGGAAGAAGACGAGGTTAAAGTAACAGGCGAGGCGGTTAATAGCGAGCAGCTAACGGCGGAACAGCTAATAGTTATAAACGCGGCGAAAACGTAGGAGCGGCACTAAAAGAAGATATAGAAGGAGGCCGATCGTGTCTATAAGAAGCAGGCGGATATAGCAATATAGAATGCTAGTATTGCTAAGGCCCTAGGGAAGGCATTCGAGCCGTTATTATTAATAGCGGCGGAGGTTATTAAGGATAGTAAAGAAGAACGTGCTACTACGAGGAAGTTAGCTAAACAGCAACGTACTAATAAGAAGGCTACTGCTAGTGTTAGCTCCGCCGTCGCTATAGTAACTAAGCGCCTTCTCGATAAGAATACTTAGAAGGATTAGGAGATAACGAGCGGTAGTCGTATATTACTAATACGCGAGGTCGCGAAGAAGAATAGTAAATACGACTACGCTAAGGTAGCTTTGTCTATAAACTAGCAGCAATTTGAGAAGTACTTCCTATCTATATTAGTAGATTTAAGGAGGGCGAACGATCCGCATAATAGCTACCTATAGCAGATGCAGCTAGATAGTAGATACGTGCTATTAGGTTATCGGCGATAGGTTGTTATAAAGAAGAATAGTTTAAAGTAGTAGAAGAAGTTTATATTTACGCTTAAATTATATACTTTAATAGGAAGATTCGTATACTTAGGACGGAATTTCGTTGCAAATACACGCTAACGTCTATACTATTAATTTGTATAGAGGTATTGTTAATTTTTACTAGCAAATCTAGGTTACGTGCCGTTGCTTATATATACAAAAAAACTATATCCTATTAGCTCGAACTCTAATATTATAAAAGTATGCCAAGACCTGCAATTTTAGGCCTACGAGAATTTCGACTAGAGGACGAGGATAGTACGTAAGAAGCGCGAATATAACTATTAAAACTCAGAAACAGCTTCCTTACTAAGTTCCTTACTAAAACTAGCTCTCCGCTGTTTGCCTCTATATTCGACGACCTTCCTATATCCTTCGCTGCACTCTATCTAGTACCTCTCGCTTTTGCGCCCTTATATCGAGGCCCTTCTTCGACTAGTATGCGTCGTACTTAGTATATATCTATTTCCCTATTCTATTACGATAATCCGCGTAACATTTATTGTTAGTCGCTTTAGCGTAGCGCCTATTATCCTTATAAACCTCCGCCGTAGTATCCGCCTCCCTTTCGGTATCTAATTTAGTATTAGTCGGATTTAAATTAGGCTTACTCGATAGCGGTTATCGACTGTTAGAGAGGATAAAGTTATAGATAATAGTATAGGCAATAACAAAGCGACTTTGCTAAGCGATTAACTATGTACTTAGGCCTTCCTTAATAATCCTAAATCGCCGGTTTATTACACTAAATACCCTCTCGATATAGTTACGAAGCTAAGCGTAGCGGAGGTTGAATATCTCCTTATAATTCTCGGGCCTAGCCTCTACCTCGCCTTGTTTACAAAGGTAATATCTTGTCTTCTAGTATAGTACGAGAAGGCGTAGATCTTTAAAGGAATAACTACCGTCGGCGAGATAGAAGTATCTATTAGGTACGTTAAATCTACTAGTATAGGCCTTCCTTAGTACTATGCTATCGGTCGCTAATCCCTCGTAACCGGGCATTATAAACAGGAAGCGCAAGTTTAAGTCGTACGCAGCTATTACATTCTAAGCGATATAGCCCTTCCGATACCGCTATAGATTTTAATCAATCTTCGGTAGATTAGCAATTAACAACGTGCCGTTAATGGCTCCTATATAGCCCTTAAAATATAGCTAGAATATACTATTGCTAGCGCCTTCCGCCTATAGTAGAATATCGCTATCCTTCGGCTCCGGCAATTTAATCTAGTCCTTTGCTATTCGATATATACACTTAGACACCTCCGGTATTATCTTATACGGTATATCTCGCGATATACTAAACTTAGTCGCTAACTCTAAGCAGGTGCTATTATGCCTAATATATACGAGAAACATATATACCCTCGCTTCCGCCGAATACTTCTTACCTTCTAATCCGTACCTCTTTAATTCCTCGATAAACGATAATAGTACCGGCTGCTTTAACCGCGTCCGATCGTAGCAATAGCGCTTCGGTCTATATAGTATTCGAAACGTCTCCTTCTTAAACTTATTGCGCTTAATTTAGGTCGATATACAGCCGCTTAGTCGATAGGCGCGCTACCTACGGAATCGTAGTACTTCCTAAAGGAAGAACAGCGGTACTATTGCGCTAAGAGCGGTTAGCGCTAGCAATACGGTCGTTTACTCGTCTATCGTCGTCGCTATACCTCCTATACCTCTAAAATCGCTATACTACCGAATTCTACGGTTATAAAGAGGTAGATACTAGTACGCTAAGTAGAAGTCTAATCTAGCGCACGGATAGCTGCAAAACTACCTCTAGACCTAGTTTTGCCGATTATACTGTATATAGCAATAATATAGCGAGATTACGAGGATAGCGAGTAATCTAAAAGAGGATAATCGATTACAACTAGATAACAATAGCTTTCGTGGATTGTTATAATCTATAGGCCATAATCTATGAGATTATGCTATAATCGCTAGCAACCGGTTAGGGCCTTATTGGGTGTAAGGACGTATCGCGCCAGCTATGTGGAAGCGGTTTGCTGTCCAGTCGTAGCAGGGTGTTCCCTGAGTCTCCCAAATCTTGATACTGCCGAAGTTTTCTCGGCGCATCGGTAACAGAGCATCCCCTTAACGAAGTCCGTGGTTAAGTCCGTCGAACACCCACCCTGGCAGTCCCCTTGTTAGGTTCCACTTTCTATGATAAATCTGGTGTGGCTCTATACAAACCTGCATCACTACTCGAACAGCGATACTGTCCGATTGGGTCTCGGATTCAGCCGTGGTGGAGCGGTAGGGGTTAATGCCTGTTTTGCCGACGAACGCCGGATGGCGACGAGTTTTCACAGGGGATAGCCGATAGCCCTTTGAGGCTGCTGCGACTGAATCACTTTTTCGAAACATCATAGCATGTCTCTGGCATGATGAGCTCGTTGCGAAGTAGCGCATTTGCGCGTTCGAGGACATCGTTGAGAAGGCCTGCGCTGGACCGCACTCTGTGATGAAGAGCGGCTCCGCCTGTCATTCCCGATGACCAGTCATGCTGATTTGAAGGCTTGCGGGAAAATGGTTCTCAATTCTTCCAGATTCGATATCTGATGGTCGCAGGCAGGCTCAGGAGGCGCCTTGGACTCTGGCTCCACAAGATGCACGGTGTTCTTCCATCCGTACGCTTTCCCACCTATGCAGTTCAAAGCCGAATCGTCCACGTAATAACATCTGCCGACATCTGAGATCCCGGCTTCTCTCATCGCTTTCGCGAACATATCAGGATCTGGTTTGCAGAGCAGTGTCGGTGCTGCGTAGTCGCAATAGGTCACGCCTTCGAACAAGTCTTCGATTCCAAGCAGCCGAATGACTCGCTTTGCATGATTGATGTACGCATTGGTGAAGAGCCACGGCTTGAAGTTCTTGCGATCCAGATCTTCAAGCAATTTCCGTAGTTTTGGGTTTGGCTTGATGATGTCGTCCAGAGGTAAAGCGTCGTCAACTTTGTCGTTGTATTCTAACGGGTCGACTTTGTGATGCCGCACCAAACCTTCGATAGCAAGTCCGTAGTCTTTGTAATACCGCTGATGCAGCATTGTTGCGTCTTCTCTGGATAGTCCTAGATGTGTCTGGAAGTAGTCGTCGATCAAAACAGACATGTGGTCGTGGATCTTGTACGATTTAGGGTACAAGCAGTTGTCTATGTCGAAGAAGAACACATTGCGATTATCTGGTGCAACGCCATTCGCCTCTCCGTTCCCCGTCATGTTGATGCGCTAGTGCAATGATTGAAGAGGTTTGCTGTATGTGTGAGTTCGAGACCGAAAGTGCTTCGTAGTAGTGGTGACAGTTCGTGTAAGGCGAGAATATCTTAATTTAGCAGTGAAGAGAGGAAGGAATGTTTGCAGCAGCAGCGAAGAACGCAAAGAAGAAAGAGTCATTGAGGGTGTCACATTCTCCATCGACTTGTGTGCACGGACGCACTTTTTCCCACGCCAAATCCGAGTCCCCCTGGACTTCGACTTCTTCCTCTCACACACGGCTCTACCAACCCACAGCACGTCGTGGCCTGTTTGCGCAACGCTCCTATCGCGAGTCGCGTTGAAGTTCTTGTCCGTCACCCATTCGCTCAAATACGCCATCATTCACCTTGAAGAGCATGACAGTCGATGTACGCATACGAACTGTAGACTCGAGTGTCTCCCGGAGCAGAACGGCGCAATGGCGCTCCATGTCGGCGCGCATGTGAACGGCACTGTCACGCCAACGCCGGCAGAGGAAGAGCAGCTGTACACAACGTTGTTGCGTCTTCAGGATGATGTCCTGCATGACAGACATCCGACGCTCAAGCTGCCGCCTGCCGCGATCGAGCAACTCAAGGCCACATTGGCAGGACTCTATGCTCCTGCTGTGGTCGCAGAACGAACTATTGCGAGCTCAAGCACGCTCGCAAATGGCGCGGCATTTAACGCGAATGCTGCCACTAACCACGCGCAGCCATTTTCAACATCTACAGCTACAGTGCCTACCTTCCCGCGTCTGCCAGGACTGCAGACGCCGCAGCAGTTGTTTGTGAGCAGCAGCAACACCGTGCAGCCGCCGGCATTGAAGCCGTCCTCTAGCGGCCTAGACCCGATCTTCTTGGAGAAGTCGGATAGTCTTGTAAGAGCAGAAGGTCAGCTGAAGCGTCAGCGCATCGAGCGCGACCTGCAGGCTCAATTCGAGCAGCGCAAGCACACTGCGCGTGACAAAGATCAAGGCGCTGATGCTCCTTCGATGTTGAACGTCGAATCGATATACATGGGATCTCTTGGGCGTGAGACTCACGTCTCGGGCTTGAAGCCAGTCGAGAAAGCTGGCAGCGACACGTCGTTCGACGAGAACGACTACTATTCAAGCCAAGTCCAAAGTGACTGGTCCTCTCCTGACAGTGCAAGTAAGGGTTCTGACCGCGGGGTAGGCGCCTCATTCATGGCGGACTACGACGGCTCAAACCCGTCCTTCTCTACCAAAGCCGCTGGAAAGCAACCTGCCATGGCTCGTGACGCGCTCTCGCAGAGCTCAAAGGATCGACCTCATGTCTATGCCACGCGACCAGAGCCCGCATACGAAGTCGAAGACGACGAGGATGACGATGAGTATGAGCCTCCAGATCCTGCTGCCTTTGGCGGCTATGGTGACGATATCGGCGGTCCAGAAGAAGGACAAATCACGCCCGAGGATGATGACGAGGACTATGAGCCCGGCGAGATCACCCAGGAAAGCAAGGTGCCCACACCATACTATCAGCAGCCTACGCAACCAGTGCCGGTCATTCGAAATCACCTGACGCATATTGCTGCCCCGCAACCAAATCGCGTGTCTCCGCTTGCGACCGCGAAGGGACCAAATCTTGAGCTCGAGCTCGTCAATGGCCGCCCAGAAATGGTCAAGCCTCGTCATGTTGGCCCATCGCGTGTGAGCACCGCATCGCCAGCTAATGGAGCCGGCGTGAATGGCAAGAAGAAGCGAAATAAGAAGCGCAAGAGAGACAACCAGCCGGAGCCAGCTGCGCGTAATAAGCGGAAGAGGGACAAGCAGAACGGCACGCAGGACGCAGCATACCAGCAAGTACCTCACATCAAGGACGAGCCAATCTCGCCGCCTCCGTTCGATGCAACAATAGCAGAGGCACCGCAGTACGCACAACGGCCCGCGCACTATAGACCGGTCGAGATTGATTTAGCCACTCCTACATATGCTCCACAACATGTGCAGTATGTGCAAGAGGCGCCTCGCCCATCTGGCCTTGGCTATGGGTATGCTCCGCCAACATCTCCGGCAGTGGCCAGGATTGCTTCACCCGGTGGCTATCGACCCGCGCAAAAAGACAATCAGGACCTTAGACGTGTTGCCAGCCTGCACCATGCTCGGCGTCCTGCTTCTCCAGGTCCTCGAGCATACTCACCTGCTCCGCAGCGTACCATTCCTGCATCTTATGCCGATCCGCGCATGACAGCGCCGCCACCAGAGACACAGCAAGTTCGATACTACGAGCAGCCAGGAGAAGCTGTGGCTTATGTGCGCGAGCGATCACCTCCAAGATTGCAAGAGTACCACGATCCATACAGTGCCCGAGCGCTGAGTCCAGTTTCGATGCCACCACCTGCAGCTTTGCCACGTCGCATCGTGGTCGATCAGTACGGGAATCGATACTACGCAGCAGACCCCGAGCCAGGGCCATCCGGTGCCCCTGTTGATCGCCGAGCGCCAGAGCCTGGTTATGAACGGGCTCCCAGTCGCATGGCTAGAGCATACGGATCAAGTAACCAGGCGGCTATATATGAGCAAGCGGATGCTAGGATGGCTCCGCCGCCACCTCGTAGACAGTACCCAGACGAGCAGACAGTCAGATACGTTGACGCTAATGGCTATCCTGTTCAGCAGTATGGCACACGTGCTGAAGTCCGGTATATGGAAGCGCCTACATCTCCACTCTATCAAGCAGCACCGACATCTCGATACGACATGGCTCCTCCACCAGCTCCACCAGCCCGTGAGCAGACGTCCCCGGTCTATGCTCCGCCAGCCCGTAGCTACAGTGTTCGCCCAGAGGCGCCACCAGCGCAGCAAGCTTACGACAGGCAAGCTAGCGTTGCGCCTGTACAGTACATCCGTCAAGAGGCCCCACCTCCTACTCGCGCCATGAGCGCAATGCCAGGCTACGAGCAAGCGCGCACATCGAGCTACGCGCCTGCACTACAAGCTGTGCAATATGTTGACCAGTATGGTCGGCCTATCTACCCGAGTGAGGTACGACAGGCTCCAGCTCCCGAGTATAGATAGCAGTAATCGGCAGCTTTCTTTTGTTGGAATATGGAATTTGAGCGTGGCGAGGCTTGCAAAGTGGAAACAAATGGTCGGCAACTTGGCATGGTGGAGCTTTGATTGGATTAGCTGGGCATCTTGTGGTTCTGTATGGAATTGTAGTGCGTATCTGGCAGGAGCAGGGCAGCCATGTTCGAAAGACATAGTCGTTGAAAGCTGTTCGCATGACATTATTGGAGCTATCATGCAATACTTATCTTACACCTGCCCAGAACCAAGTGCTGCATACAGTGTAGCCTCGCATCATGAAAATTACGAATGCAGTGGGCGTGCAAAGGAACGAGTATACATAGCTATGGGGTTATTTGCGGACATATGCTCGGACCATACGGTCAGAGTCTAGACGCCAGCGCCAGTGCACGCTCGGCGTATCACGTACTGCACATGCCTCGGAGTGCGCTCCCGCAAAGCTCTCGAATCTCGACGAAGCTGTACACAGAAACGGTGTGGCAGAGATCGGCATATGGTATGTCATGGCATATACAGTAGATACAGGAGAAAGGTGCATTCGATACCGGCGCCACCTGTTACATCCCCGATCGAGATACTTGCATGCGAGCCTCAGGCCTTTGAAGTTTGCCCCCAGCTTGATTCTCCAAGCTTCAGGCTCCTTGGCTCCTTGTTACTTGTTGATCACGTGCGGGCAACGGTACTCCTCTTCTCTGCTTCCTTCACACAACTCGCCGACACCACACCTCGACTGCCCACCATCACCAACGACTATGGATGCTCTCTCTTGAAGGGACAGCAGCGTTTCGCGTATTTGTTTCTTGCCGTCCTCACTTCGTTCGTGGATTCCCTTCTTCCCGTCCCGTCTGTCTTAGCTATACCATTTTCAACGCCTCGACATTGCTCCCCCAGAGCCCTAGCCCTGCCCAGCCTATCGCTCACACTTCCCCCTTCGCCCCGACACCGACCCCGACACCGCCGCATGAGCCTTGAGCATGCATAAGATCTCCAACTTCACAGGCCATGCGAGAAATGGTTGGGAGAAGGCCATGACGCCGATGGCATTCGGCAGACACCAAGAGCCCGGGCTCAACCCGCCCAACAGGCGGCCTGCCGGAGCAGCCATGTCCCCCAACCCAGCTATCAGCGGCCATATGGTCAACCTGAGCTTCAACGTGCCCTTCAACTCGAACCTCCCCGGCCCGGACAAGGACGACATCTTGTACAGCAGCGCCGGAGCATATCAAAAATGGATTCACGCGGAAGACGCCGCTGCAGATATGCCGAACCACGCCTTGCCTGTCCATACGCGTAATGTTGAGAATCTCCGGAGTCTCTGCAAGCAGCTGAGCGAAGGCTCTGGGGAGCGCATCTACGCTACCGTCACGTCGTCCAAGCCGAAGCCCATCCCCGGCATGCAGCGTGGACCACTGACTGCATTGGTCACAAATGTGTGCATATCGGGCGACGCGGAAGTCGTGCACAAGATGCGGGCAAAGGTTTTGAATGAGACACCCATTACACTGGTGAGAATATTGAGATTGTATACTTTATCTGTGCGGCTGACATCTCCCACAGCGATGCGAGACCATCGATATCGACCGCGAGACTGTCTTCCCAAAGAACCAGGATGGTGCCAGACTTGATATCCTGGAGCATATGGACGAGATTGCCAACCAGACCAAAGCCGACATATTCCTTCTCGAGTCCAAAGCCAAGCGGAAGGACTCGGACTCGGTCAGCTTTACCGGAGGCATGGAAAAGAGTATGGACAACAGACTTCGTATACATGTCTATGGCGACTGCGAAAGCTCTGAGAATGCGAAAACCAGACTTCTAATCATGATCGACCAAATACTTCAGCGCCAGGTCGATACCATCCGACTTGAGCTTTCTTTGCACAATCTGATCAGTGGCCGACACAGGAGGAACATCAAGCTGATTGAGTCGGCAACGGGCACAGCCATATACTTCCCTCCCATGTTCCCGACCGTGTTCGGTTACACGCCACCTGGTTCAGTGCCGCTGCGAAGTAGAGACGACATCATCATCACTGGCGAAAACATGGATAGCATTCTGCAGGCTAAGAAGAGGCTTCACGACCTCGTGATGGGTACAAAGACCTTTGTGAAAGATGTGCAGATTACAACCAGCAAGGTGGACTATATTCTGCTCGAGAGACTGGACAAGATTCGCAGGATCATCGAGGCCAATGGCTCTTACGTCCTACTGCCACCACTTGGAAACCACAGCGGAATTCTACGCGTTCAAGCCACCGACATCCTCAATGTCGAACGGACTGTCAGAGAGATCATGGGCCTGGCTGGTCAATTCTACAGCGCATCTTGGTGGGTGACGCATCCAGACCCATCTCAACGACAGCCAACGCCCTCCGACATCCGTGCCATGCTCCCAGACATATGTATCAACTCAGGCGCTGAGATCACGTTCGAAAAGCTGAACTTCCACATCAACGGTAGCGATGATTCGGTCAAAGCGGCCATGTCTATCATCAACACTTTACCCTTCGTGAAGAAGGCGCAATCCACCTTGCGTGTAAAGGTCGAACTGGCCAATGAGCACAAAGAATTCGTGAGCGGAAAGAAGAATGGCAAGATCAATAAAATCATGAGCCAGAGCAATGTTCAGATTGTCTTTGACGGGTTCAACGAGTACAACTTCTACATTGACGTCCGCGGGGCACAGTATGAAGCGACAAAGAACGGACTGGACCTTGTCGAGCTTGAGATGCCGGCTTCCATCTCCTTCCACGTCCCTGATCAATATCACAAGCGGATCATTGGTATTGGTGGGCAGCATATTCAGCGCATTATGAAGAAGTACTCGGTCTTCGTCAAATTCAGCAACGCCATGGATCGGGGCGGAATCGGCAAAGATGACGATGATATCAAGGTCGACAACGTGATTTGTCGAACGCCGGCTAGAAACGCCGACAATCTCGAGCTTGTCAAGCAAGAGATCATGGACATGGTTGAAAAGGTCGATGCCGAGTTTGTCTCTGAGCACGTGCCCGTTGATCGCCTCTACCATCGCGAGCTGATTGCTCGAATGCCAGAGATTGAAGATCTTGAGAAGAAATGGAATTGCAAGATCACGTTCCCTGGTACTGAACAAGCCAGCGATATTATCACAGTCTCTGGACCTGAGTATCAGGTGCCTCAGGCTGTTGACGAATTTTTGGTCAGTATCTCGCTACCCTTGAACGCGTCAGAAATTAATCTCTTGATCAGGGCATGGTACCGGAAACCCACGAAATCGAATTCCCGTCGTCTGAAAGCCTACGAAACTTCCTTACTTCGCCTGAATTCCGCAAGGACACCGCCCAAAAGCTCAAGGATCAGTATGTGGTCGAGGTCACGGCCAATGAGCCGAAGAAAGAGAAGCAAGGCGAGGACGAGGTCACTGTGGAAAGACTGGTCCTCAGCTACACTCGCAACAATGCTGGTGGGCTCAAGGATGCTATTGACTTCCTGCTGCTGCCATTTATCTCGCGCGGCCTAGACCAGAATGTGGTCAAAGGCGCAATTCCTCGCCCGAAGTCTGACTCTTTCGAAGACAATATGCTCTACTTCGAGTCTAAACTTCTGCAGCGTGCCGAGCCTCCAGTGTCAACTGAGTCACCCACCCGCGCGACATTTGGAGGGGATGAGAGCACGACACGTTCCATCTTCGACAAGCTCAGGAAACCGGGCAGCATGTCTTCCTTTACCTCCTTCATCGAGCGCCGCAGAAAGACTGGCTCTAACTCGCCTGCATCCATGTTCATGCAGGCATCAAACAATGCCTCCAGGGCATCTCTAGTCAGCATGGAATCGCGTGACTCGGGCTACCGCAACCCCTGGAACGATTCTGGCATCGATCTGGAGCATGACCAACAGAATGGCCATGGTCACGCTAACAGCTGGGGCTCGTTCGGCGGCGGCTCACGCCCGAACACGTCCTCGAACTCACTTTCTGGGCCGTTCGAGAACAAGTTCCCTTTTGGTGCTAATGGTAACGCTTCTACGAGTTCTCTTAACACTCCAATGATACCCGGTCTGGGTATGGTCAACAGCAGCGGTACCTCGGTGGGCCCCTCAGGAACCAACGGCGACGTGACTCCCAAGTACGACGCCCGTGCCGACGGCGGCATGGGTGGCGGAAAGGGCTCTCTTACGCCGGCTGAAGGTGCCAGGAACCCCCCGACCTCCCGCTCAGTGACCAGTGCCCCACAGACTACCATTACTTCTGCTGCTGCGAGTACAACTTCTGGATACCCGGCCTCAGGGCCTCCGCGTTGATTTTACATTGTTACGAATTTGGGAAAAGAATAAGGTGGAGTGATTGTTACTGTGCGGAATTTTGGTGTTTCACGCTGTTGTCGTTGTTTGTCGCCTCTTTTTACATTTTTCGATCAATACCGGAAATACCCCATGTGCGACTCTAAGTAAGGGAGAAAGAGAAAGCAATGATTCGTGTGTTCTGCGTGGATGCTGCTGCTACTGCTTGTTGTGTACACGGATGAAATGTTCGATCGGGATGGAGATCGGGAGATATACCACTTTGCGATGCTTTTGCTAGGGACGGAGGGAGTGGTGTCGTGCTGTTCTGTTCTGTTCGATTCTGGTATCAGAGAGGTGGCGTGGCCTTCTTGACTGGATGGCTTTAGCCTCCACTCGCATTCTTTGAACTGAGAGGGATGATGAACGGCCAGTCTTGGTGGCAAGGAGGCTTCGGTGTGTGCTCTCTCCTCTATAGACGGACAGAGACATTCCAGGACACTCTCTTATTTGATGACATACAGTGGATAGACGGAACGTATCTTTACCTTGAACACCCTGTGCGACACCATTTCTCCCGATTTTATAAAATTCCATACCATGTTTCTCTACCCTGACAAAGCCTCTTCAAACATCCTCTCGTTATGCTGCACGACCTTTTCCGCGGACCCGCGAGTTCGATACTCTCTCAAAGCATCAACCTCCTGGGGTGTACCATCCCAATCGAGCGCGCTCCGATGAAGACTGCTGTGAGGAATTGGTAGGAGGAGCTAAAAGGGTGTAGTTGGAGGAAAAGATTTCTGAGATGGCGACCAGGGCTTTTTGAATCTCGTGGTCATGTTACTGCTGCTGTAAGGTTTGGGTGCTGAGGAAAATCGTTGGGACTGATTTGGTGCAGGTGGGATGCTGATGCTATTGTTGCTGACTTGGAAGGAGAGCATTTGCAGTACTTATCCTCATTCTACCAACGCTGTACGACATCAGTCTTGTACACGGTTTAGAATAATGAAGATAGCAGGCGCGACAGACAAACTTCCTTCAGCCTCGCGTATCTAAATCTCCGGTCTCTGTAAATCCGGTGTCACGCGTCGCTTCCCATGCCATTGGGAATTGTGGCTTGCCAGGAAAGTAGAGTCGGTGTCATTGCAGCTCTGGCGATGTATATTTGTACAGACTCGACGAACCTCTAGAGAGCGATTTGGGGGCCCTCATACACCATCCCATGCATGCCAGCAGTTCACGCTATGCTGTAGCTGTACAACCCATTCCCCATACACTAGTAACACAAGACCATTCATCCTTTACTGGACGATCTCACCAGGATCGACAAGCTGCGGCTTCCACACTTTTTGAATCTTGCTAGAACCCTCGACTTCGCTGGGCAGCACGATTTCCGAAGGCGGAGGACTGTAGAGATACCATGATCTTAAAGCGGCTGCTGCTGCCCGAACTCTTCCTTCGTTCAATGAACTGCCGGCACCTTCGCCAAGCTTGTCGTTGCCACTGAACACTCCAACTACGAAGACAGGCGTCCGAGACAGTCGACCAGTTTCTGATATTAAGCGCGCCACGGGTGGCTCAAAGCCTTCGCGGCGGCAAAGGATGGAGAGATCGCGTGTGGGATACTTGAAGTCAAACATCTTGTGTAGTTCAAGATGACGGCTGAGCACATGTGCCTTGTGAAAGGCTTTGGCTGCCTCAGTCCCAGCGTGCAGGTATAGGGCTCCGACTAGAGCGCGGACGAAACTCGCGCTTGCATCTGTCATCGAAACAGGCTCAGTGTCCATGTCTATGTCTTGCGGTTGTAACTCGAGAGTCTTTGGTGGCATGGTGATCTCAACCTCGCCACCCTCAATACCAGCTCCAACGGCATGCTCCATTGCCGGGTCTGAGGCTTGAGAGACTGCGATAGGTGCTCCAGCATATGGTGCCTTGTTATCTGATGGGAACGCTCCAGGTGGTCCTACAGTAATGTCTCCAAATTCATCATCATGGACGATGCGATTGCTCATGCCCCTCTTTTCTTTCAGATATCGACCAGTCCCTCTCAGGCTAGTCTGAAGTTGTCCTTGTAGCACATCCTTCACTCTCTGTTTTCCATCTTCAGCCATAGCATTGCCAGGTGTAAGTCTCTTGAACTGCAGTAATCCCGGATCAACCTCTGGTCCAGGTGCTGCCACTGCTTCCACTCCCCATTCCATTCGCATCGAGTTTAGTGTCGCAGGTCCAACGTAGCCGTACTGTGCTGCAAACAGAATGGACATTGGTATCCGTGGATATTTACAAATGAGCCATTCCGAGGTGTAGTAGCCCAATAGCTCCTGCCCAAGTACAGCTAGGGAAGCATTATTGTAGCCAGGCCTGCGGTCCACCGAGTGATCGATCAGACATCTTGCCACTGTCTGTATGGGGAGTTTCGAGGGTAAGGATAATCTGGCATGGAGCGCAGACAGCTTTGCTGATTGTACAGCTTGTCCATGTGATGGAAAATTGAGAGGTATCCTGGGCGTTTCGTCGCTTTCGAGCTGCAAATCTGGTTCATCGGTACAGAAGGCTTCGGCCTCTTCCTGCGCCTGCTGTGTCGCCGCAGTCGAAGCTTTCCGCCGTTTGGTGATACTTCTCCTTTGCTGTATACATTGTGCTGATGCCTGCTGCTGGTTTCGTTGCAATTCCCGCGTGGGTATGCATTGTCTCGCCTCAGTGGAAAAGGGACATCGTCGCGTGAGCAGGTATAATCGCGGGTTCCTAGGCGGCTGCAATTGGGAAGCCCATCGGTCCAGGCGTATTGATTTCATATGTCACAGCATGCGAGTCGACGGCGATGGGTGGAGCGGCGTTGGGGGGTGGTGATGATACGCTCAATGTCTTGTCTCGTGCCCTTGAACTTTTCCGCGATGAAGCATGTCAGTCGCGCTTGCCAAGAACCTCCGCGGCCTTCATCAACTCGACCTCACTCCACCTGCCACAACACCTCCACCAGCACATATAGTCACCATGAGGACCACACAAATATTACGAGGCGGTGGAGGGAAAATTCCGTGCGTTTGATCTGCTTGAGGAGAGAATTTGAGGCGCAATGGCTGATGTAAACGTTCTCACAGCTACCCCAAGCACGTCTGGTCGCCCGCCGGTGGTTGGTACTCGCAACCCGCAAATTGGAAGCAAAATACCGCGATCATGTTTGGTGTGATCATAGGGATCTCTGTCATGGTGGGCAATTTGAGCGCAGAGAGGGAGCACAGGTGGACAATGCCAAGGGTACGCGACTGCCGCTGGCAACGCTTCGCGAAAGCAGTGTAGAGGAACACGCGGCTAACGTGAATTGCAGCCTGACCGATTCGTCCCATCGCGATACTGGAGCAGGCAAATCCGAGAATATGAGAAGGAGCAGAGGGAGAAAGGCACTCCGGGTTACTAGATAGGAGCAAGTCAAGATGCAGCACCGGCGTTTATGGGAGGAATGAGATACCGAGAAGAAGGCTACACTGTATATATGCTACATCCAGGCCGCGAAATGAAGCTCATATGTCAAATGGAATCATCACAATGTCTTGAGTCGTTCTAAAGTCCTGGTGCAAGAATCTGGCCAATCAGGGATAATAGAAAGGTCGTGTGAGCTGGAGAACGAGGCATTATAACGAGTGCACAGCAAATATTATGACTATGATGAGCCTTGATATGTTTTTTTGAGGTGAGAGAAGTATGCTTCGAGTAAGTAGAACATCCAGTGTGCCGACGAATTCCTGTCACCAATTGACCGGCCCCACAGTGACCTGCTCTCTTTCCTGCCTCTCCTTGATCCTATCCTTCTTCTCCTCTGCACGTTCAGCTGCACGCTTTCTCTGGCTCATACGATCAAATCTGCCACGTGCACCATGATTGATTTTGGTGATGAAGTCTGCAGCCCGTCCCCTTTTGATCGACCCATACTCCAGCTTCTCGTCCTTAGAGCGGAACTTGTTGAGGAAGTCAATCTGTGCATTAGAAGCGATAGTCTTCCTCCAGTACGCCGTCTTGCTGATGAACTCGAAAGGAAATGTCTCCGATGCCGCAGTATCGGCGGCATGCACTGCGTCTTCGAAGGTGATTGCTGTGGCAATCTGTTTGGGACGTGCGTAGGGTGATTTGGAGCCCATCGGTAGCTTCCGTGTCAGAGTGACGACGTACGTCTCTTCATCTTCGCCCTTCTGAATCCTGATGAGCTCACCGTTTCTGTTGGACAGGACGTAGCGGTTATCATCAATCTGCACCCAGCTGTAAGGCGAGATTTTGCGGATGTGTCTGTCGCCAACGTCGTCTTTGATCAGATCGGTAACATTGTCGTAGTCTGTGAAGGTGACATTGCCTGTGTATGGGCGACTCTGAGCACCAAAGACTGTAGCATCCATCGCGCTCTTCTCTCTCATTGCTTCTCTCTCCTTCTTTTCCTTTCGCGACGTCATCTCTGTAACTCCAGCATCGTCAACTAACTCGTCAGGATCAAGACCGAAGAGCGTCGGCGTGGTAACGATGCCGGTCTCTAGCGAGGCCACCATGTCGATGACATGACAATTGGTCTTGCCAGAGTGTAGACGCAGACCTCGACCTATCATTTGGACAAGCAGGTTTCGAGACTGTGTGGGGCGAGCAAGGAGAACGCAGTCGACATTGGGGATATCTGTACCCTCCGTATAGATGCCACAATTGACGAGCACCGGAAACTCCTCACGCTTGAAAGCTTCCAGCCTTGCCGCTCGGGTTTTCTTATCTGTATCGCTGGTTACGAAATATGCGTCAACTCCTTGAGCTCGAAACTCGGCGGTCAAGGCTTCAACATGGTCGAGGTCAACACAGAATACAAGTGTCGAGCGTCTTGCCTCTCCAGCCTTCGCTCTCCACGCAGCGACTGTGAGACTGTTGATTTCGGCCGTGTTCACAGCCTTGGACAGGGATGCTGCCTGGAAGTCGCCACTCTGGGTCTTGACTTTGCTGAGGTTTGCATGAGTTTTGACAGTTGTGAAGGCAATGTTGGAGAGCCACCCTTCCTGTATCATCTCCAGGTAGTCTTTGTGGTAGACAATCTCATCGTACGCTTCGCCAAGCCTGATTCCATCGTGTCGCGTGAAGGTGGCAGTCACGCCTACGAGGCTGGTGGAACCCCGTTGCCCGTTTTTGGACAATTTGAAATGCTGCAAAACGTCTAGGTAGCGCTGTGACACAGAGTGATGCGCTTCGTCGATAAGCAATAGTTTGAAACGATCGGGGTCGTAGCGTAAGAGACGGTCCTTGGACGTTATACTCTGAACAGACGCAACAGTGATATCTGCAAGACCGGAAGCATGGATTTGGCCCATTTCGACCTCGACACTCTTGTCAGGGTAGAGCATGCTGCAGTGGCTTGCTGCCTGCTCAACCAGTTCGCGCCGATGAGCAAGAATAAGAGTCTGTGTGGCATCTGCGTTCGGATTGGGGAAGCGGTCTATCAAATGGCTGAACACGACCTACGATGGTCAGTCTCGTGCAGGCCGAGTGAACAGATGTTGCATACTGTTTTCCCACCCCCTGTTGGCAGACTGAGTCCGAGCCTTTGCTTGCCATCATTCCTGGCGTTCAAAATTGCTTGAATGCTGTCTTCTTGATAGGACCTCAGCTCACGCCTTGTCGACTCGATAGCCCGGTGCCATTTCGGTGCCGCATGGAAATAACGGGAGGTCGTGAAGTGTGCAGCCGGCGTTGAGTAGAATTGCCTGTGCAATGTTTCTCTGATGTTCACATCTCTGCAGGCGCATCGAGCTCGCTGCATCGGGCTCCGGGATGATGGCGAAAGAGCTGGTAAACAGCGGAATGAGATGGTCTCGCGTTCGGAAGTCGTATGGCGTATCACATGATGGGGCCAAGACAGCACAGCATGGCATGGGTCCTCGGCTGGAAGGCGAAAAGCTCCACCGACCAGGTTCCCCCCCCATCCACCCATCCAGCGGAGCGGCGCGCATCCGCATCTCTCTCGTCGAAGACCGCGGCTGCGGGAGCAGGCTGTCATCCAATTCTACTCCACGCGACATGGTCTTGTTTGCTCAGTCTATGAGCACGAGACCCGAGCATCCTACCATGCTGAAGCCCGAGTCTGTGCCACGCTGTCTGTCTGCATTGCCTCTGCGCTGAGCGGCAAGCCTCATCAACGCAGATACAGCGAGTCGCGGCGCCGTCGTTGCCATATACCACGCTGGCGTGAGTTTGAGGAGTTGTGAGGAGTCGACCAGCATACGGCTGCGGCATGGCGGACTCTGTGGGTATGTGCTGCGACGCCTTCGCCTCTGCTCCGTCACCAGAGCATGCACACGTTCGGCAGCCATCTAACGCCCGTCATGACAGATCGAGTCTTCGGACATGCTTTGAACACCGTCAACAAGATCCGACCGGGCTCGCAGAAGCCGCCGTCATCCGACCGCCTCTCGCTCTATGGTTTGTATAAACAGTCTATGGAAGGCGATGTTGTCCTTATCGCAGACCGACCCTCCTCGCCTCAGCCCAATCAATCCTCAGAATCTGTGAAGAAAGAGCAGGAGAAATGGGACGCATGGAAAGCCAACGAAGGGTTAGGCCGAACGGAGGCAAAGCGGCGATATATCGAGAAGCTGATCGAGACGATGCACAAGTATGCTTCCACCACTCCAGAAGCGAGAGAATTGGTCGAGGAGCTTGAATTCGTGTGGGACCAGATCAAGAGCAATTCGCAGCATTCGAGCTCCGAGCACTCATCACCACTGCAAACCATTGAGCGAAGGGACTACATGAATTCTGGGAGTTCAGGCGGCAATGGCGGAGTTAGTTCTGGTGCTGCAGCAATGGAGGGCAGTGGGCGTAATGGTGCCCTCAAGGTCCTGGCACCTTTGTCACAAGCTGATGAAGACGAGCAAGCCGAAGAAGACCGCGAGGAATTCGTTGATGCTCCAGTATCCCAGATCGATGAAGCAGACCTTCAGGAACCTTCAGAACCTGGTGGTGACATTCTACCAGGGAACCGCTTCGTACCGCCGCAGCGCCCACCACCACCCTCTCCCGCTGATACACGCTGGCGGAAACGCATCGAATCGTCTCTGATCAAGATGACCACTGAGGTTGCTGCGTTGCGAGAACAATTGGAATCGCGCAGGCTTCTGAACTACCGACGACGACATAGCTGGTGGGGGTGGATTTTGAGGCTAGGTTGGTGGGCTACGCAGTTGGTCGTGGCAGATGCAGTGATCCTGTGGGTGGTTATCCTTTACTTACGACGTAAAGACGATCGAAGATTAGAGACTGCCATCAGGGTTCTGCTCGGAGACGCTGTAGCACAAGTGCAGAACCTCAGCACGAGCGCGAAGATGCCCACCTTGCCTCGTATTACAGCACGAGGTCGCTCGCCGAAGCCTAAGAGCTGAAGTTGGGCTGTCGAGCACATGGACAGAGCGATGCTGCCTCGAGAGAGAACATCACTCACTCTGCTAATGCTGTACAGCACTCCCGTGCTCTCCCGCGGTTCTGGAGTGATGGCTCTACATTACTCCGCGCAATCGATCTGAATGCAAAAGTCATAGGCTACCTCCGGGTCAGCAAGGTCATCGACACCAGCGGCCACAATGCCGGCACAAGTTTGCGAGACATACCCAGAAACGTCTTTTTGGATCGTCGCCTCTTGTGACCAGTTCCAAGGTCAAAATGCCGGGGACACACACGAGTCGATCGAATGCTCAGCAGCTGCATCGGCAACTCAATGCGCATATCGAAATCGCACTCAAATAGCTTTCCAAAGATCACTGGTCTCGAGCGAAGTCGAAAGCAGGACTTTTGAAGAGGATCAAAGGCATGGCATCACCTGTCGCTCTCATAACTGACGGAGCTTCTGGAATCGATGTCGCTGTAGCTGAGCATCTCATCCAATTTCACGAATATAAGGTGGCAATCTCCGACATTTTCAAATCACGAGTGCAGGAGCAGATTACTGCGCTGGGTACAGATCTATGTCTAGGAATTTGCTTCGATGTTGCAGATTACAGTGCCCTTGCCAAGGCGTTTATCCGGTGCTACGAACGGGGTGGAAATCGCATAGCTCTTGTCTACCTCAACGCTGGCATAGGCGATACTGACAGCCTTTACAATGATCTTCATATTGTTTCAAACGCTGGTCTTCCAGCGCCTGTCGACCTCAGAGTAATGGATGTCAATCTACACGCAGTAATCAACGCCATCAACCCAGGCAGATATTTCATCCTAGAAGAGAACGAAAGAAGAAGCGGCGAGATCGCTGTGACCTCAAGCGTACTCGGACTATATCCCAATCACTCCATATCTCCATACACGGCTTCGAAGCATGCGCTAGTCGGACTTGTGCGTGCGCTGGCGCCTGTTAACGCAAAGGACAATATCAGTATCAATGCCATCTTGTCCACAATGATTGATACAAACTTGATGCCAGAGGCAATCCGCCCTTTGTGGAGAAGGGACCATTTAACATCACTCAGTACAGCATTAAAAGCCTTCGACGCGATCCTTGCTGACGCGAAAATGACCGGCAGGGTCGTGGAACTTGTATTGGACGAGGTCATAATGAATCCACTAGCAGAGTATACCCGACCGAATATCAGATGGACGTGTGAGCAAGACTGTTCGTGGAAATCTGAAATGGGGCCAATCAGGCCATGGACACCAGGTCAAAATGCCGAGTCCGAATGTCATGAGTCCAGAGGACAACTCAGATGAGAACAAAGTCTAGCGGGAACCAGAAATTCGTCAATTGTACCAATTCATACCAAGGCTCTTTTGCCTACATGTACACTACCATTTAAATTCCTCTCTGTGCTGGAGCTATGTCAGCGCATTGTGACGAAAGTAGCAGCCGCTGCGTCGGCATTTATATGTACAACTCAAGATCTTGAGGTCAAGGATGTCTTCCAAAGTATGCCTTTGAAACATTGTTGACGCGCATCTGGGGAGTCATTCACACCTATCGTCTGGAATTCGTGAGCTTGAGGAGTGCAATGAGGGTGACAGGATTTGCATCCTCCATATTCCACGTCAAGCTTTTCACTTCTTACATGTATAACAGTCAATGGGATCCGTTAATGCCGATAGCTGTGCTCTTCTTGGCCTCGAATTCTTTCCTGTAGAGTGCTTCCATCTCACGTCTCACGGCGACCGCCTGATTCTTTTCGCTGTACTCCACATCGTTCCAGCTCAGGCCTTGGCCTTGTTTTATGTCACGCTTCAGAGTTATTCCATGGGCTAAGCCGATTGGGAGACCTTCGATGGCCATAGATGCATGTGCTGGCATCAACTTGCCATAGACCATGAATCCACCTTCGCCGTCAAGCTTCTCGCCTGCTTTGAGATCACGTTTCGCCGTTGCAACAACATCGCCCGCCCATGTCTTTGTCTGACCAGTCGGCTCACCGCGGCACATGATTGTAGCTATCGAGACACCAAGCTCTAGTCCGATGAGATGGTAGGGCTTGAATTGGGCGGCATACTTGTCTTCATCAGTCCAGGCTGCTTAAGAGTGCCCGAGATGCTTACCTTGCCAGTGCTATCAGTCTCTAGGCCGTATTGCTTAAAGCAATCTTTCTGATAGTCTCCGGGTGCCTCTATTACCACGTAAACACCCCAGCGCAAATCATTGAAAACAGGTCGCCCATCAAGCTCCAGGCAGGATACCACTTCTACAGTGCCTTTCTTGTCCAATAGGCCACCATCCGACTTCGGCCTGAGGGATCGAGGCAAATCATGCCGTCCGCATGGTGGAAACAGGAGACCATTATCCGGCGGAGTCAGCTCGCATCCGTTTGCTACGGCAGCCATTTCCAACGCTGATTTGGTGCCATCTAAGAAAGAGTTGAACATTTGCGGATTCATGTCTTTGGTCTGCTCTGGGCTAAGACCATAGTGATTCCAAATTGTATCCGGAGTAGAACAATGATATTCTGGAAGATGTTTCGTACCCTTACCGGCGCAGACTACATCGAAGCCTGCAGTGCGTGCCCAGTCTACGAGCTCGGCGATGAGAGCGGGCTGGTCGCCATACGCCATGGAGTAAATGATGCCTGCCTCGCGCGCTTTCTGTGCTAGCAACGGACCGGCGAGCACATCAGCCTCAACATTGATCATGACGATATGCTTCTTATGCTCGCAGCAGAGCAGGGCATGCCGGATTCCAGCAGCTGGACTGCCCGTAATCTCAAGAACCACATCGATGCCAGGCGATGCAATCATGGCCGCTGAGTCTTGGGTGATGGCAACTTTTCCAGATTTGATACCTTCTTCTATCGATATCGATGCCGTTGCATCATATCGTTCTTTTGGATAACCAGTCCGTTCCAAAGCTGCGACTGCTCGCTCTGCCGAGAGATCCGCAATTGCAGCTAGCCGCATGCCTGGAGTACGATGGGATTGAGATATACTTTGATATCATCCTTAGCGGAATATAGCCTGGCTACATTGCTCTCACACTTACAACATCGAACCAAATTTTCCGGCCCCGATCAATCCGACTTGAATTGGTGTCCCTTGAGCTTCGCGCTCAGCGAGCTTAGTGGAGAGGCTGGTCATCTTGGTTGCTCGTGAAGTGATATCAAATTCGACTTGACATGTAGAGAACGAGGCTGTTCTTAGCAAAACCTTGGGCAAACAGTGGCGATGCTGATATAAGGCACAACCGCAGCCTTTCCCACGAATGCGCACGACCCCGCAAGCGAGCTCGGGCACTTTAGGCGAGCCTCGTCTCGAGCATGCTCCTGGTGCCTCGAGGCGGTGTTCCGGCGAACTCGAGGTATTTCATGAGTGCAGCTTTTCCCGAAAGCGATGTTGTGGTCTCTCGGTGGGTATAGATGGCAGAAAGAGAGTCGTCAGATCGGTCTGCATTTCGTCTACCAGGGGCAGCTCGCATAGACTTTGCCCTCACAGCTACAGCGTCTGAGCACATCGGAGTGAAAGTTAGCGTCCGGAGCCCTGGAAGGTGCATAATATAGGCACTTCCGGCACCGCTAATTGCAGTGTTCTACACCAAATCGAGGTGTTAGCGCCGCGGCTAAGCATGGTGCCCATGGGAAGGCTTGGCTATCAATTCCTCCGACTGGAGGGCTTAGAAATCACGTGTAGGCACTATCCAGGGTATAAAGAGACCATCTTTCAGTAGATTCAATGATATATCATTTTATGAGCCTTTTGCAATGTTGAAGAAAGGAAGAAGGAGTGATTTGGAAGTGAGCTGAAGGTCATTGTGTGATTAGGAGTGGGTCCATGCTGGATCAATGGTATTCGAGTGTGTGATTGCAGAGGAGGCGCGGAGGAGCGGTCGGCGATAAATGGGTGTATTCGGTGGTGTTTGTATGTGTAGACTCCCCTACTGAATAGTCAGCTTCTCTCTCGTTCCTCTACAATGCCGTGTACTCACACCGACGAGTGGCACGCGCAGTATGGCCGCACTAGAGGCTGTTCTAGCGCCATTCGCACTCGTGGTGCGCCGGCTCTTCGCGATCAACGATATGCCAATCTTCCAGAGGTATACCGTCCACCAGACTGGCGCCGTCCAGCTCTGCTTGAAGCCCTCGAACAAGGTGAGGAAGACAGAGCGTAGTTGCGCCTGCTTTCCGACGTTGCTAATAGAAGTCCAACACCTTCAGCATCAGTTATGCCCTCAATCCGTTTACTCAATTCAATACCGGCATTCGATCCAGCTCCATTGCCTTATCGGTCTGGAAGTCCACTGTTGAGGCCGGCTCTGTCGCAGTTGTCGTCGTCGCTATCGCAATCTCGTCGCCCTCACGTTCCTCAGTTCAACAACCCTCTAAACCATCGATTCCACGTCCACCAGCGTGATCGTACGCCATCTGTTCCACCACCTGTTTACGACCGTCCGCCGGAATATGATGAGTCGGAGCTGCAACTTCGAGAGCAGCGCGAGCATGAGCAGCACCTTCTAAGCCAAATACGTCGTCCACAGGTTAAGGTTCTCGACTTGACTGAACAAGAAGATCAATCTTCAGATGATGACTCAACCTCGGTACGGATCAGCCCGCGCACCCGGCGATTCCTATTGGATCGGAATCAAAGCTCCGAAGGCGGGGCGCCAGCTTCTTCCAACACCTCCTTCCAAAGTAATCAGCCATTTCCATCGATACAACACACTGATTTATTGCACCCGACACTGCCTGCTACACCACTTGCAAATCGTCCTTCTGGTCAGTTAACTCTACCGAGCCTTAATTCCCTTCTTTTTGGACCGCCAGGGCCATTGCCAACGTACGAAATCGCGACCCAGCAAACCACCGAACAGCAGGTCTATCGCCGAGCCGTGCTTCCATACAAACTACGCACCACCATCAAACAACTGCACCGAATAGCCAAATGGCCGCTTATTTACATCTCAGAGTGGTCTCGAAGGGCATTGTCGACCATTCATCGCATTGTTCATGAGCCGTTCACCCCTAGGCGCTGCCGAGCCCACCGTGTCGAGTTCGACGATTTCGACTATTCGCGCCCCCTTCCTCGAGAGATTGTCCTCGCATACGCACCTACTCGACGACGCGGCCGCAGGCTCTATACAGACAACCAAGAGCGCCTCATCGTTAATTACATCACTCAGAATACTACAACTCGTCGTATGACTTATCAGGAAGTCAGAGACTCGCTTAGCTTGACTTGCAGTCCTTCAACTATCTCTCGTATCTGTAGAAGGCATGGATACCGTCGCTGCGTTGCACGCCCTCGACCCTTCCATAACGACCGAATTCGACGCCTACGCCTCGAATAGGCTCAATTCCACCAACACTTTACTAAAGAAGACTGGGCCAACGTTCTATGGAGCGACGAGTGTGCTGTCCGCAATGGATCACACGAGAGGCTCTTTGTTACTCGAAGGGTTGGTGAGCGCAACCAAGACTGCTGTTCGAGGCCTCGTTTCCAACGCCTTCCACACTAGATGATATGGGCCTGTATTAGTGGCATTGGCGGCAAAGGACCACTCCTGCTATGGGATAAGACATGGGGCAATATTAACAAAGAGTCTTATTGTCAGAAGGTCTTGCCAATCGTTCAAGACGAGATTAGTCGCATGAATGGCCTTATTGCTAACCAACAACACCCTCTCGATTTTGAGCCTGCCTTGCACTTGAGAACAGCACTCTTCCAGCAAGACTCGGCGCCTGCACATAAGGCTGAATACACAATCAACCAGCTAAGAGCTCGCCGCATCATTGTTATGGACAACTGGCCACCTTCATCACCTGATTTGAACCCAATTGAGAACCTATGGCAAGCGATCAAGCAAGCGATTGAGCGCCGCAGAGACAGGCCTACTGGCCGTGCCCTTCAGCTAGCAATTGTCGAAGAATACCACAAGATAAGCATGGAATTGGTCCAAGAATGGGTCAACAGTATGCCGGCTCGTTGTCAAGCAGTGATTGACGCCGATGGCGGTCAAACACAGTGGTAGATAGCGCTCACTTGGTTGTCTACAGTTGTCCATATTCAGTCTTCAATCTGCCTTCTACACGGCTTCTACAACACCCTCCTTCTTAACCCCAATCGTCACCACCTTCAGCTAGAAGACTGACGTTCCTAATAATCGAGCTGATTGGCTTCTAACACCGGCTCTCACTATACCTTGTATAGAAGGCGGTGCCGCTAAGCAAGGGTTGCGACACCCTGGAATGCATTAGCGCTCTTTCACTCCGAAGTGCTCAGACGCTGTAGCAATGGGTGCGGAGCCGGCTTCTTCCTCAGCGACTTCGCCCGACCAAGCAACGGCTTATAACCTCCTTCAATATGAAACTCTGAGGCATCGACCGCGATCTCTTTTTGCTCTGCGTCCTTTGCATTGTTGTCGGGTCGCATAGGATTGCGGTAAGGTTTTGAGCCACCAAAGCCTGTCCTTGTACGAGGAATGGACTTCCTCCGAGACGAAGGAGAAGAGGTGGGCTGCATCTCAAATCGCTTCATGGATTGCATGCACAAAACAACCCCAGGTGAAATCACGGAGCGCACGTTCGGTCTCTCATACTTCGACGACCTCAAATCGTCGGAGGGTTGGAGCAAGCAGCACAAGACTCATTTGAATATCTTTGGTGGATTCCTCGACTATGCTGCCGAGCTTCAACATAATGTGTCATTGCGATTATTCCACGAGGTCATATGAGGTGCTCAAACCTGAGCAGCAGCGGTTCGAGTACCTTGGATGCCACAATACATCGGGAATGTTAGCAGCTTTGTAGAGAATGATTCAGTCAAACTTTTTCATTGGCACTATACAACCGGTTGAAGATGGGTATCATAGTCCAGGTGCTGTTGAAGCCTGTAGTATGCACCAAACGCCATCCCAAAATTTCAAAAAACGAGTCTATGGCTGACCAGGCCAGACCTCGTCAGCAATCCTCCTCACCAACTGCAGCTTCTTCCTCATATCCTCGTAACCCAAAGAATTGCCCTCGGCATGGCTAGCAAATCCACACTGGGGCGAGACACTCAATTGATTGAGAGCTTGGTCCCGAGTCTGTCCCGATCCTTCGGCGATGTAGTCGGCAGCTTTGTAGACTCGGTCGACCATTTCCTTTTGCTCTTCCAGCTCCGGGAATTTGGAGGTCACGACGCCCACCACGACATTCTTGTTCTTGGGCAAGTACTTGAGTGGCTCGAAACCTCCTGCTCTCGGTGTGTCGTATTCCAAGTAGTATGTAGTCACATCGAGATCGTTGAACAGTTTCCGAGCAATGGCGTCGTATGCACCCTCGGAGAAGTGCTTGGATCCTAGGTAGTTGCCACGGCAGAGATGGATGCCGAGGTGAAAGTCTGCCGGTCGCTGGAAGCATGCCTGGAAGTTGCACACAGAAATCAGTGCTTGTCGAAAAAGGGTGAACAGTTGATGACTGGTTAGGAAAAACTTACGTTGTAGAACTTGATATAAGCATCAAGCTGCTCGTCCGCAGTCTGGAAGTTCTCCGGATCCTCCTCCCAGCCCTTCAACATGGCTTCCGAGCAAAAGTACGCAAGATTCGGGTCATCGACTTGAGCATTCCTCAAGCCAGCATCATACAGAATCTTGAGCTCGGTTTGATAAGCTCGCGCAAGATCGGCAAAGTACTCGTCATCATTGTTGTATGTTCCCTTGGTGTAAGCCTTCTTGGGACCATATCGGAAGTGATACCACGAAGGACTGGTCAAAGTGAGCTTGATCTTGTAATGGTCCTCTTTTGGCAGAATGCTCTGAAGATACTTCAACTCAGGCAAGAAGGTCGACTTTCCCGTATGCGACAGTTTTCCAGTGGCCACGGTGACTTGGTTTGGAATGGTCTTCGCATGCAGAAAGGACTTGACATCCGGGGCGTACATGCGGAAGATGGATTGATCGTAGCCGCCTTCTCTCAAGTTGATCTCCTCCATGCCATTGAGGGTCTCCATGAACGTTCCCCAGAACTGATGCCGCGAGTACTCGCCATTGGTAATGCTGTGAATGCCGCAATCCTGCTGGAGCTTGACGACATCATTGATGGCCTTCTGCTCCACTGGGACCAAATCCTCAGGCCTCTTAGATCCATCAGCTACAGCATAGCGGGCCCCATTTAAAGTCCCATATCAGCGTCCGAGCGCCTGACCCACCGTAGACCAGGGCCGTAGACCGTGAAGAGCGGCGGTCGGCGAAGATTATATACGCTTCCGCTCCGGCGCGTCTACGCGTACCGCTTTGTTTAGGCTATTGTTTTCTACCTCGCTATCGCCCTTCTAGTAAGTATTCCGCTATCGTTTCTATCTCTTCTAATAACGCGTTATTACTTAATTATGCCTTTAATCTCTTCTAATACTATATTAATTACTAATTACCTCGGAGGTACTAGGGATAGCGATATACTCGCGTCGTAGGCTTAGGGTAACTTCGCGCTTAGTATAGATTGCGACGATAGCGCGGTTAGAATCGCTAACTTATCGATAGAGGAGGAAAAAGGGGACGATTCGGTCGATTCTAGTAATAAAAACGCGTTAGATTCCTTAAACTACCGCCGCCCTCGTAAGTCTCGAGTTCTAGTAAAGCTCGAGTCGTACTACGCGTCCTTACCGTATATCGATAATCTACGCTAATAGCGCGAACGAGCTATTCTTTACGGCTTCGACGACTCGTTTAAAGTGCCGGTAAAACAATAGTATACGCTATTACTATATATTAATAATATATAGATAAAGAATATAGACTACGTCGAGAAGAGTAGGTTAGAAACAACGCGTTATATATACCGCTTTCGTAAGCAACTATATTAGAAGTCGGATAAGACTAAAGGGCGTAGTTTACGGCCGTTTAATAAGAAGATTAAGCGCGTATAGGGTTATCCTGTTTCTATAAAGGTCTATACTATATATAGCGAAGATGAGACTACTAGCGAGTAAGAGATTATCGCGTATCGAGTTTAGCGTATAAGTCGCGAGAATTACTCGGACTACTACTAGCTAGATAACTTCGACCTCTTCCGCCGGTATAGCGCGTTATTAACTACCGTAGGGCACGAAGTATACTATAGATATAAGCCGAGTACGGTATAGAAGACGTTAAAGGCTTAGTACGACCTAGCGGCGAATACGCTATTTAAGGCCGCCGGCGGCAATTTCATAATAAAATACGACGTATTGAATTCTAGTCGCGCCTTCCGGAAGGCATATAAGGATAGAAGGCTCGGCGGCGCGTCGCTAGTATAGCAAACATAGAAAGAAGATATATACAAATAGTATTAACAAGGTTAGTCAATCTTATTGTTATTATTAAGTTAGACGTAGAGTTAGAAGAAGAGCTATACGGGCCGTCGCGGCCGCGTATCCGGACTCCGATTAACTAATAGATCGACTTAGAATCTAGCCTAACTTATCCCCTCGACTAAGGAAGATATTAGACTAAATAGAAGACTAAAAAAGCTAGAATAGTAAAGAATCTCTACACTTTAAAGTTCTTCGCTTAAAACGGAAGCGCCGTAGAGCCTCAGCTTCGAGCTAATTAAGAATTTTAGAAGCTACGGCAATATCTCGGTCCGGCTTCTAGCGCGCCTTAGCAAGCCCGAACCCTAAATCTTAGATTCCGCTAGATTCTTGTTTGTTTTAATTCTAGTTTTTTATTATAACAACTGCTAATATATTATTATAGAAGGGCTATTTTCCGAAAATATAGAAGCCGTACGCTAAATTGACAAAGAGACTACCTACGGCGTCGTATATGCGAGCAAAACTAGTATAGAACTACTTAAAGCCTATCGCACGATCGCGTTTATAGACGCGACGTATAAGACTAATTACCTAGATTAGTTCCTTTATACTATTATAGTAAAGGATAAATATAGCATTTCTCGTACGGCGGTATATATGCTTTTACCTACTAACGACGGCGATATTGTAGCGGAGTTTTTACGTACTATAAGTAGGTAGATAGGCGGTATTTAGATACCTAAATTCCTCCTTATAGACGACTCGGCCGCCGAGCGACGCGTAGTCCGAATAGCGTTTCTAACGACAATATACCTACTATACTATATTCACGTTTAGCGCACTATCGATAGACGCTTTAGCGCGAAGATCTACTAAGAGATACGTAAACACCTTCGCGCCGCCGTTATCTATCGCTACTCGCTCGAAGGCGCGAAAGAATTACTCTAAGCCGCTATCGATAGCCTCCCTCGAAATAGCGACTACGACTCTAACTGTACGTATTTAGTATAAGACTTCGGTAGCGATATTCGCCTTTAGGCTAACTATTATCGCGTCTATAATATACCTACTATTATCGGACAATATAAGGATACGAATATAAACGAGAGCTTCTACGCGTATATTAAAATAGACGGCAATAAGTTACTAATAGCGGCGGACTTCTTACTAAAGGGCGTCGCTATTTATACGATATAGGAAGGCGAGTTGCGAGAGCTTCGCTCGGAAATCGCAGGTAAGCGATAGGCATTAAATGTATATCCACTTACGCGCGGCGACGACGAGGAGCTCCGAATATAGCTTCTACGCCTGCCGTAGCCTATTTAACGTAAGATTAGTACTAAGATTAATCGCGTTCTCGACAAATCCGTATACTACGACCCGAAGCCGTTATCGAGTAAGGTAGTAGGTACGCTTACCTACGACTATAAATTCTTCCGCTAATATCGCGTTCTTTACGCTAACCTCTAGCACTATTATATTATACTTAGACGCGTTATTATTAAAGATCAATACTAGTAATAATAGGTAAATATGTTCGTAGGACGCGCTCTCGAGGTCTACGAAGAAGACGCTTCTAAGTCTATAGTAGTACAAACTAAGGACACCGAGGCGGCGGCGGCGTACGCGCCTACCTATCGACTAAACGTACGCGAAGTGCTTACTAACGCGTACGAGTTAATCTTCTAACTTAAGCGCTTATATAACTAATAAGGTATAGACGAGAACGATAAGGAGCGCGAAGTTATTATCTCTAAGATACTAATAGTCTTCTACGATAGCGGCGATAACATTAAGAAGGGCTTTACTAACCTTGTTCTTACTTACTTTAAGAACACGCATCCGGACGCGATTCTAATGCTAATATAGCGACCGCAACTATTATAAGCGCTATTACTAGCCGACCTATTATCGACTTATTATCTACCTTCGAAGGCGCCGCCGACCGACGCGATAACTAAGAAGCGCAAAGGCAAGAGCGTAGATAATAATAATAGCGGTAAGAAGCCGAAGAAGTCGAAAAAATAGGTAGAAAAATAGGTAGAGTAAGAACACGTACCCGAGCGAACACTAGCGGCGCCTCTTTACTAAAATTTTGGTAAAGAAGTACCGCTAGCAGTTCTAGGCGGTATCGACGCGTTTTCTACGTATTTTCCTTTAAATTCTGCCGTAGCGGAGGTGACTAGTAGCTATTCTATACCTCTACCGATAATACCGGCGTTAAATAGGTAGCAATACGCGCCTACGAGCGCGATATAGGTCTATAGTAGCATACCTTATACACCGCCGCCCTCTAATATATATTAACGTTATTAAAATAGCGATAATTAGCTATAATCGCTAACAACACCTCGAATTTCGCTATACCGCTGTTTTGCTAACAAACTTTAGCTTTATTTTTAGTAATATAATCCGTATCTATTAGTAGAGATACTAGGATCGTTAAAATCTATTAAAATAGTGCGAAATCTATTAAATTGCGACCGTACGACCTCTCGTTCGCGATATTTAGTATACTAGCGGAAATCGCACTACTACTACTACTACTACTACCCTAACCTATATACCGTCGACCTAGTAATAGCGACGCGCGGCGACGGCGAGATTACGTTTTCTATAGTTACGTATACTACGGAGCGGACTTCTATATCTCACCGAGTCCGCTGCGGCAGGCTGAGCCTATTCTTAGTAGGTTAGGCGCTCGGACGCTGATATAGGACTTTAAATGGGCCCGCATAGCGCGTTTGAACCAGTTCATCCGGACGTAGCAAGGAACTAATGTGCTCGGCCCGGAACGGTGGATTCCTGGGAGGCGTACCCGCAGCCATAGTGCCGAAGTTTGTGCAGTAACGTGTTCCCGTGCTACTGTACCTTGGTGGCACAAAAGTACTGAAAGTTCACAAAGAGATACTGTGAAAGGATGAGATTTTTTCTTTTACTTTTCTGGCGACGACCACCCCGCTCACATAGCCCACTTTGGCTTCGGCTCAATGTCAACGGGGAGGTGGATGTCGATGGGTTCCATTTCCTTGCACAGAGACCGGCATTTGATTGGCGAATCAGAAGCGGAGAGTGGCGTATGAAACGACCCACTTCCAAAAAGTGTATGCTTGCCCAATATGGGCGAAGCAAGACTTTGGTATATAAATACAACAGGGTATCATATGTACAATTATGAGCATAAGACAACAGTCTCGCTCCTCGCAACTCACGGATTATGGCCTGTAGAAATCGTGAGCTCGTCCGCGAATCGCAAAACCGCGCCCTTCCGGAGCTGCCCAGTAGGCACTGCGACTTCTCCCATGAACACTAGAACCCGAAATTCCATTACAGGGACCATGGTGATCGTCTTCCAACACGCAAAATTTTTCATGGTTTCGATCAGATCTTGCCGGTCGATATCGATCTCCTGCGACCCGCTCTTCAGCACTCCGTCCTTTAGGTCCTGATGGTGGATTGAACGGTCGAGCACTATGCATGGACATGTTGGAGGCTCTGCGAGTCAAAGGAATCGATGAGCTTGGTGGAGCCAACGGACTGGCGGGTGTTGGAAGCTGTGACAATGCAGTAGCTGTGGGTAGACATGTTTTGATCGTTGGCTTCGGAGGTTCCGTCTGGCAGGCCACCGTCCGCTCAGAGCGTTTCATGGATAGAGTGGTCGTGGCTTGTGTACTTGCATCGACGATTTTTGGCTTTGAGGCGGTGGAAAGTCGTTTCCAGTCTTCCGTACATTTTCTCTCATCGCCCAGCTCTTTTTCCAACTTCATCACGGCCGTGGTACTCTCCTCCAAACGCCGATCGAGGTAGGAATTTTCAGCGCGGGTGCGTTTGAGCTCGCAGCTGACACGCTCAAGCTCCTTCTCACAGTCTTCATGCCTCTTGCCAAGCCTCTCGCTGTACTCAGTAAGCTCCAACAGCTTCTTTTGTTGACGCTCGCAGTCGCTGCTGGTGCTTGAAAGCTGTGACTCGAGGTCCGACTTGAGATTCTTCGATTCCGTCCCTTCGCGCTGAGCATCAACCAGCTGGCGTCTGACATGCTCCAATTCATCTTTCACAGCAGTGAGCTGCGAGTCCAGATATCGCACTTTGGCAGTTGCACAATTGAGTTCTGCAGCGCTCTGTTGCACCTGCTTCCTGGCTTCTACTAGCTGCTTCTCGGCATCGACAGCGGACGAGCTACGAAGCTTGGATTCCAGGTCCGAGATGGTGTCGTCCCTCTGCTTCAGAAGACACTGCAATTGCGAATGCAGCGAGACGAGCGCATGGTGTCGAGCTTGCAGAGTGTGGGCCAGTTGATTTGCGGTGGCTTGCAAGCTTTGTATGGCCTGGCGTCCATCTTCCTCGTTCTTTCTGAGCAGCCCGTGCAACATCTGCACCTCGCCATCTTTCCCCTGCAATTTCTCGTTGAGCCGGGTCAAATCGCGGTTTCTGCTGTGTTGCTCATCGACCAGTTTTTTCTCCAATGCGACCAATGCGCCACTCTGCGCAGAAAATCGCGCGTGGAGTCGTGCGAGCTCATGCTGTTTCTGCTCCGTCGCTTGCCGGCTCTGGTCGCGCTCTCTTTCCAAAGCCGCGAGTTTGATTGTTGCAGCATTCGTTGTCGTGGCGTGGAGAGCGCTGTCTCGTTGACGCGCCCTCAACTCAACCTGCGCTGCTTCGAGCTCACCTTTGAAGCGGCATTTCTCAACGACTAACGCCCGAATCTGCTGGCTCTTGGCAGTGATCAGCTGACCGTCGCGCTGCACCACCACAGCAAGCGCGTCACGACCCCGCTCAGCGCGTCTCTGCCTGTCAATTTGTTGGCCGTGCTGCTGCTTCAATTCGTCCATGTGGCGGGCCAGCTTTTCCTTTTCATCCATCGTACTCCGCAGCCGACGGGTGATGTCTTCGATTTGCCGTCGCAGCTCTGCAAGACTGCGCTCGTGCTCTTCCTTCAGCTTCTGCAGCTGTGACGTTCGCGTTGCTTCGTTCCTGCGCAGATTGGTCACAGCCTTGTCCTTTTCACCTTTCAGCCTGGCCATCTCCTCCTCCTTCTCCCCAACCATTTTCTTGCAACCAGCTGCAGATGCTCTGATTTGTTGACGCAAGTCAAGCAATTCTGTATCTTTCGCAGACATCCGCCTTGCATGATTACGAATGACCGCTTCTTTGGCCTTCAAGTTCATCTCGATCCTGTCTTTAAGATCTGCCCACTCGGCCTTCTCTTGTTCAAGATTCGAGGCTGAAGTCTTGACCGAGGCCAGTTGCAGCTTGAGTGTTTCAACAGTCTTCAGACTTGCCGTCGCCGTTTCGTCAAGTGCTTTGTTTTCCATGGCCAGCCTCTCATTCCGCGAAGTCAACTCATTCGACTTCTTCGTGAGCGTCGAAATGTCAAGCTGGAGTCTATCGCAGTACTGTGCTGCCTCTTCATATTCTCTGATAGTGCTGTCTCGCTGCTTGATAATAGCCTCTCGCTCAATGATCATAGACTCTCTTGATGCAAGATCTCGTCGGAGATCTTCGACCTCGCGCACGAGAGAATCGCTAGCAGCAGCTGTCGACTCTAGAGCCGTGATTTCCGCCTCTCGAGCTTTGTTGTGCTCACCCAAAGCCCGCTGCTGCTTCGCCAGCACTTCAGCGGACGCTATTTGTGCATCAGCTAGATCGTTCTCGAGAGCTTCAATCTTTTGCTCATGCTGCTCGCTTTCTGTCACCATCTTGACAAGTGATCGTCGGCAGCGCACCAGCATCTTGTAATTCTGATTCACTGGACCATCTGGGTCTAGTCTCCGAGCCTCTAGGGTAGCATGCTCATCGTTCGACAACAACTGCTGAGATAGATCGTGAAGCACGACTCTGGCCTCTTGTGCCGGGGTTGTGGGAGACAAGGGTCGCGACCGGACACGCCGTCTATCTACCGAAGGCGCTGTGTCGCTCAGGCGCCGCTTCTTCTTGGGCAAATCCGAAGTACGGTCTTGCTGTGGCCCGTTAGGAGCAGGAAAGCGCTGCAGTGGCTCCTTGACTTTGGTCAACATGACCTCGTTCGAAGTAGACCCGGCCATCGAAGATCTTCTATCAATCACTTCCTGGTCTGTGGACCGCGAAGCACGTTTGACAGGCTGTGCACTTCCGGCTTTGGTCAGGTCGACGACTTGATGCGCCGGTTGGATGTTTGGGTTCGACGCAGGGCCAAGTGGCGGTCTGTTAGCTGTCGTCTTCGTTGCTGCTCCATGAACAATATTCTTGTTCCGCTTCATAATCTTGGCGTTGGTGTCTATGGATCTTGTTGTGGATGATCTGTGCTCATTCTTCCTGCAAGCCAACTTCTTTGCCCTTGCTTCGTCGTCCAGTGTCGACGGCCTGCGGACCTGTCGCGATTCAGGCGTAGCTGTCACGGCTCATGGAATGCAGGAATTGACGCTGTATACCGCTCAAACGGCACAGAGCGAACGGATGTAGACCGAACTGTCCTGGGTGTATAATGTTTGTCTACGACATGGAGGAGAATGGAATAGTGCTCGTTGTGGAAGACTCTCGATATCTGACCGCTTCCAGATTGGCTAATTCGTAAGCACGCGTCTCGCGTAGCAGCCGCACAACGTACGTCTGGGGAGGGCAAAGCGGATAGGGAATGTGATCAAGTGTACACACTGTACAGAGGAATCCGGTGACAACGCAAGCAAAGCGAAGAGGAGAATGCTTTGCACAATAATCAGACGGTAGCAGAAGGTAGCAGAACACAACAGAGCGTGAATTTTCCGTTGGTCTTTCTGCACGCGCTCGCGATTGATAAGGGCCCATTTAAAGTCCCATATCAGCGTCCGAGCGCCTAACCCACTAAGAATAGGCTCAGCCTGCCGTAGCGGACTCGGTAAGATGTAGAAGTCCGCTCCGTAGTATACGTAACTATAGAAAACGTAATCTCGCCGTCGCCGCGCGTCGCTATTACTAGGTCGACGGTATATAGGTTAAGGTAGTAGTAGTAGTAGTAGTAGTGCGATTTCCGCTAGTATACTAAATATCGCGAACGAGAGGTCGTACGGTCGCAATTTAATAGATTTCGCACTATTTTAATAGATTTTAACGACCCTAGTATCTCTACTAATAGATACGGATTATATTACTAAAAATAAAGCTAAAGTTTGTTAGCAAAACAGCGGTATAGCGAAATTCGAGGTATTGTTAGCGATTATAGCTAATTATCGCTATTTTAATAACGTTAATATATATTAGAGGGCGGCGGTATATAAGGTATACTACTATAGACCTATATCGCGCTCGCAGGCGCGTATTACTACCTATTTAACGCCGGTATTATCGGTAGAGGTATAGAATAGCTACTAGTTACCTCCGCTACGGCAGAATTTGAAGAAAAACACGTAGAAAACGCGTCGATACCGCCTAGAACTACTAGCGGCGCTTCTTTACTAAAATTTTAGTAAAGAGACGCTGCTAGTATTCGCTCGGGTACGTGTTCTTACTCTACCTATTTTTCTACCTATTTCTTCGACTTCTTCGGCTTCTTACCGCTATTATTATTATCTACGCTCTTACCTTTACGCTTCTTAGTTATCGCGTCGGTCGGCGGCGCCTTCGAAGGTAGACAATAAGTCGATAATAGGTCGGCTAGCAATAGCGCTTATAATAGTTGCGGTCGCTATATTAGTATTAGAATCGCGTCCGGATGCGTATTCTTAAAGTAAGTAAGAACAAGGTTAGTAAAGCCCTTCCTAATATTATCGCCGCTATCGTAGAAGACTATTAGTATCTTAGAGATAATAACTTCGCGCTCCTTATCGTTCTCGTCTATACCTTATTAGTTATATAAGCGCTTAAGTTAGAAGATTAACTCGTACGCGTTAGTAAGCACTTCGCGTACGTTTAGTCGATAGGTAGGCGCGTACGCCGCCGCCGCCTCGGTATCCTCGGTTTGTACTACTATAGACTTAGAAGCGTCTTCTTCGTAGACCTCGAGAGCGCGTCCTACGAATATATTTACCTATTATTACTAGTATTGATCTTTAATAATAACGCGTCTAAGTATAATATAATAGTGCTAGAGGTTAGCGTAAAGAATGCGATATTAGCGGAAGAATTTATAGTCGTAGGTAAGCGTACCTACTACCTTACTCGATAACGGCTTCGGGTCGTAGTATACGGATTTGTCGAGAACGCGATTAATCTTAGCACTAATCTTACGTTAAATAGGCTACGGCAGGCGTAGAAGCTATATTCGGAGCTCCTCGTCGTCGCCGCGCGCGAGTAGATATACATTTAATACCTATCGCTTACTTGCGATTTCCGAGCGAAGCTCTCGCAACTCGCCTTCCTATATCGTATAAATAGCGACGCCCTTTAGTAAGAAGTCCGCCGCTATTAGTAACTTATTACCGTCTATTTTAATATACGTATAGAAGCTCTCGTTTATATTCGTATCCTTATATTGTCCGATAATAGTAGGTATATTATAGACGCGATAATAGTTAGCCTAAAGGCGAATATCGCTACCGAAGTTTTATACTAAATACGTATAGTTAGAGTCGTAGTCGCTATTTCGAGGGAGGCTATCGATAGCGGCTTAGAGTAATTCTTTCGCGCCTTCGAGCGAGCGGCGATAGATAACGGCGGCGCGAAGGTGTTTACGTATCTCTTAGTAGATCTTCGCGCTAAAGCGTCTATCGATAGTGCGCTAAACGTGAATATAGTATAGTAGGTATATTATCGTTAGAAACGCTATTCGGACTACGCGTCGCTCGGCGGCCGAGTCGTCTATAAGGAGGAATTTAGGTATCTAAACACCGCCTATCTACCTGCTTATAGTGCGTAAAAACTCCGCTACAATATCGCCGTCGTTAGTAGGTAAAAGCATATATACCGCCGTACGAGAAATGCTATATTTATCCTTTACTATAATAGTATAAAGGAACTAACCTAGGTAATTAGTCTTATACGTCGCGTCTATAAACGCGATCGTACGATAGGCTTTAAGTAGTTCTATACTAGTTTTGCTCGTATATACGACGCCGCAGGTAGTCTCTTTATTAATTTGGCGTACGGCTTCTATGTTTTCGGAAAATAGCCCTTCTATAATAATGTATTAGCAGTTGTTATAATAAAAAACTAGAATCAAAATAAACAAGAATCTAGCGGAATCTGAGATTTAGGGTTCGGGCTTACTAAGGCGCGCTAGAAGCCGGACCGAGATGTTACCGTAGCTTCTAAAATTCTTAATTAGCTCGAAGCTAAGGCTCTACGGCGCTTCCGTTTTAAGCGAAGAACTTCAAAGTATAGAGATTCTTTGCTATTCTAGCTTTTTTAGTCTTCTATTTAGTCTAATATCTTCCTTAGTCGAGGGGATGAGTTAGGCTAGATTCTAAGTCGATCTATTAGTTAATCGGAGTCCGGATACGCGGCCGCGACGGCCCGTATAGCTCTTCTTCTAACTCTACGTCTAACTTAATAATAATAATAAGATTAACTAACCTTATTAATACTACTCGTATATATCTTCTTTCTATATTTGCTATACTAGCGACGCGCCGCCGAGCCTTCTATCCTTATATACCTTCCGGAAGGCGCGACTAGAATTTAATACGTCGTATTTTATTATAAAATTGCCGCCGGCGGCCTTAAATAGCGTATTCGCCGCTAGGTCGTACTAAGCCTTTAACGTCTTCTATACCGTACTCGGCTTATATCTATAGTATACCTCGTACCCTACGGCAGTTAATAACGCGCTATACTAGCGGAAGAGGTCGAAGTTATCTAGCTAGTAGTAGTCCGAGTAATCCTCGCGACTTATACGCTAAACTCGATACGCGATAATCTCTTACTCGCTAGTAGTCTTATCTTCGCTATATATAGTACAGACCTTTATAGAAATAGGACAACCCTACGCGCGCTCAATCTTCTTATTAAACGGCCGCAAACTACGCCCTTTAGTCTTATCCGACTTCTAGTATAGTTGCTTACGAAAGCGGTATATATAACGCGTTGTTTCTAACCTACTCTTCTCGACGTAGTCTATATTCTTTACCTATATATTATTAATATATAGTAATAGTATATACTATTGTTTTGCCGGCACTTTAAACGAGTCGTCGAAGCCGTAAAGAATAGCTCGTTCGCGCTATTAGCGTAGGTTATCGATATACGGTAAGGACGCGTAGTACGACTCGAGCTTTACTAGAACTCGAGACTTGCGAGGGCGGCGGTAGTTTAAGGAATCTAACGCGTTTTTATTACTAGAATCGACCGAATCGTCCCTTTCTTCCTCCTCTATTAATAAGTTAGCGATTCTAACCGCGCTATCGTCGCAATCTATACTAAGCGCGAAGTTACCCTAAGCCTACGACGCGAGTATATCGCTATCCCTAGTACCTCCGAGGTAATTAGTAATTAATATAGTATTAGAAGAGATTAAAGGCATAATTAAGTAATAACGCGCTATTAGAAGAGATAGAAACGATAGCAGAATACTTGCTAGAAGGGCGATAGCGAGGTAGAAAACAATAGCCTAAATAAAGCGGTACGTATAGACGCGCCGGAGCGGAAGCGTATATAATCTTCGCCGACCGCCGCTCTTCACGGTCTACGGCCCTAGTCTACGGTAGGTCAGGCGCTCGGACGCTGATATAGGACTTTAAATGGGGCCATTGATAATTGGAAAGTGATCCATCTCAAATCGGACCAACAATTGGACTGAGCTCTGAACTTTGACCCCTGTGTGGCCACGGAATCCTTGCGGAGCGACGGATGAACGCAGATTCTAATGCTTGGAAGTTGGATTGGTTATTGTTGATGTTGCACAATGCAATATGGAGAGCAAGACGATCCCAGCAAAGATAACAACATGATAAAAATCCTTCCTTGTTGATGAAGTGCTTGGCGGTTAGGAGCTGACCAGGTGCACAAAGTTGGTGCCAACTTGTTGGTGACTTGGTGAAGAGAAGCGACTCATCATATTAATTCAGTGTATGATAACAAGCTGACACTCATTCGATAATAAGACTGATGAAAGCGAACTCCCTCCCTTTCATCCCCTCGACATGTGTCCTACCATCTCTTCTCTCACGACCACCTCATAGCTCCAGTCTAGGCGATCAGCTAGATTACGAAACTCCTGGAATGGCAGTGACTTTCTGCAGATTTGCATGAGTCCCATAAGTAGACCGTGGTCGGCACGGCGATTTGAACGCCTCTAAGCCGTCGAAGTCCTGGTTGTTGTTTGGTTGGTTGTACGCGTTTGGGAGATCATGGAGCGGCATTGTCTGGGGCTCGATGTTACTTCAGCGTTCTGGTCGCGCAGCACCTGAATTGCTTGCCTCTGTACAAGGAATTGGAATTGATGCAGTTTCGAAGTCTATTGTACCCACTGTAGCCTGCCGCCTTCATCTCGAGACTTCCTGTCCAAGATCTCGCTCACCTTTTCTCTCACACCCTGCTTTCCATTGGTCTGCTTGACGAAGTGGTCTAAAATCTGCTCTCGCGACCAGCCCTTCACTTTCTCCTGTACTGAAACCTCTGCCGGCAAACCTATCCAAGCATGTGGATACTCCTTGTAGTCTATCTCTGAGCTTCCTGCTTCTTTGCCAAGCAGATCGAATTCCGTTCGGTGGGTGAAGAAGCTGTCGACATCGGCTTCCGACACCTTATCTAGAGAGTCAGGACTCCAGTTCGGTGTACGTTTTGGTTTGTCGACCAACAAAGCCGTGACACCCTCGATGAAGTCGGGATGCTCCATAAATCTAGCTGCAATAGCATGCTCCTTGCGGAAAGTCTCGGCGATAGACCAGCCACGACCCTTCTGGAGTTGTCTAAGAGTAACCTTGACCGATGTGGGAGACCTCTGAAGAATGGTTTTCTTGGTCTTAGCCGCCCACTCAGGCACTTCAGGGTAGCCTCGTGACCCTTCCAACATGCTAGCATAATCATCGAGTTCGTGGAAAATTTTCTCGATAGTTTCATGGGCTGGCTGGAAGACGTAATCGATGGCTAGCCGGATGTTACCGCCCACCGGGGCAGAGATTGGCTGATCGTGCGGAAGACCGGTTGCGAACTCTTCGATGGTGGAATTGATGATCTTGTAGCGATGCTGGAGAGTCTCGTAGTCCTTGAATTGCAGTTCGGCGAGTCGTGCTTCGAGATCAGGTAGCGAGGAAGAGTGCAGATAGTGTGTTGCGATGCCGGCATAGAAGACGTTCGGACCTTTGAGCTGTTCCGATGTCAACGCCAGGTATCGACCAAGCTGTCCGTCCATCCGAGGAAGGAAGAATGAAGCTCCGACATCTGGGAAGAAGCCGATTGTGGTCTCGGGCATTGCGAAGACTGTGTTCTCTGTCGCTATCCGGAAGGGTGCATGGAGCGATAGGCCAACTCCTCCACCCATGGTTATGCCGTCCAAGAAGGCAACATATGGCTTCTTGTAGGTCGAGATAAGGTGGTCCAGCTTGTATTCGAGAGCGAAGTAGTCCTTGCTCTCCTGCTGGCCCTTATTGCCTTCTCTGTTCTTCTGTGCGAGCCATGCCACATCGCCTCCAGCACAGAAAGCTCTTCCTTCACCCTTGATCACGACCACGCTGGCCAATTCACTTCTACTCCATTCCGCAAGACGTGGGATTATCTTCCGTGCCATACTTCCATTCAGCGAATTGAGCTTCTTTGGTCGATTGAGGGTGGCACTTCGAAGGCCGCCTTGTTTGGCGAACACGACATCATTGGGTTCGTCGCCGGGCTGTTCTTTGATTTCTGAGACGGAAGTGAACTACGTGAGCTGTGGTCAGTCAGTTGCGTAAGGATGGTAGCCGGACAAGTAGACGCACTGATCTTGCAGCGCTCTGCTGCATGGCCGGGCTGAGGATCTTGGCTCGCAGAGGCATTGCTGCTGGTCTAGCGGTCGCCCACCTCCTGCAAGCGGTTTGTAGAAGCATTGGATATGCACAGACAGAGCAGCTTGTATTATGTGAAAGGCTCTAGCTAACCCTAGTTTGGCCGCATGTGAGCTGAGGTACAAGACCTCGGCAGAAGCGTATCGATACGATCACCAGGCCAGGCCGATTCGTGCGATAGGACTGCAGTCGAATTGACAAGGGCTCCTTTTGAGCAGGAGAGGAGGGTGTGTGTGTGCAGGCAGCGGGGGAGAGGAGTGGTGTTCTATGAGAAAGGCATCTCCGTCACTCCGCATTACATCGCATTGCATTATTATTGGCAGCGGAGGAGAGCTTCGCTTCGCTTCGCTTCTTCTTTGGCGAGAGGCAACTTTGTCGAGACGGTACGAAAGCGAAAGCGAAAGCGAAATGTTTCCGGCTTCGAAAAGTGAAATGCAAGTGCATATGCATTCGATATCGTCGGCGTCGAGTATCGCGTCTGTCTGTCTGTCTGCATTGATCCCTGTTTCCTTTCTTTTCATCTGCGCGAAGAGAGTGTGCCACCATGTCTTTCGCTACCAAGCTGATGCGCACCTCTCGCGCCCTGCGCACGCAAACTCCCATCCAGACCGCACTGCACAGCGCCCAGTACCAGTTCGCCGCATCCGCAACGGCCACCGCGAGAACATATGCCACCGTATTCGAGCGCAGCAAGCCGCACGTCAACATCGGTACCATCGGCCACGTCGATCACGGAAAGGTATGCGGAACCGATTCTCCACGGCCATGGCCAATGAATGAATACACGGCTCTGTAGGGGCAATACAACGCGATGCCGTACTGATGGAAACCCAGACAACATTGACGGCCGCCATCACCAAGCGACAAGCAGAGAAGGGCTATGCCAACTTCCTCGACTATGGCGCAATTGACAAGGCGCCCGAAGAGCGAAAACGTGGTATCACCATCTCGACCGCACACATCGAATACCAAACCGACAACCGCCACTATGCCCACGTCGACTGTCCCGGTCACGCTGATTACATCAAGAACATGATTACTGGTGCTGCATCCATGGATGGTGCCATAATTGTCGTCGCTGCTTCCGATGGACAGATGCCACAGACCAGAGAGCACTTGCTGCTCGCCCGCCAGGTCGGCGTCAAGAGAATCGTCGTCTTCGTCAACAAGGTCGATGCTGTTGAGGACAAGGAGATGTTGGAGCTCGTCGAGATGGAGATGCGTGAGCTGCTTTCATCATACGGCTTCGAGGGTGACGAAACCCCAATCATCATGGGTTCCGCACTTTGCGCTCTTGAGGGCCGTGAAAAGGAGATTGGCGAGACCAAGATCGATGATCTCCTCGCAGCTGTTGACGAATGGATCCCAACCCCAGAGCGCGACCTCGACAAGCCATTCTTGATGTCTGTTGAGGACGTCTTCTCGATTCCAGGACGTGGAACTGTCGCCTCTGGTCGTGTCGAGCGTGGCGTGCTCAAGAAGGATTCCGAAGTCGAGCTCGTTGGCAAGAACAAGACCCCTATCAAGACCAAGGTCACCGACATTGAGACATTCAAGAAGTCCTGCGACCAATCGCAAGCTGGTGACAACTCCGGTCTGCTCCTTCGTGGTGTCAAGCGTGAGGACGTCCAGCGTGGTATGGTTGTTGCATTGCCAGGCACTGCCAAGTCTCACAAGAAGTTCTTGACTTCCATGTACGTCCTTACCAAGGAAGAAGGTGGTCGCCACACTGGGTTCGCAAACAACTATAAGCCACAGCTCTTTCTCCGAACTGCCGATGAGGCCGCTGCTTTGAGCTGGCCCGAGGGTTCAGAACAGGCTGCTGAGAACAAGATGGTCATGCCTGGCGACAACGTCGAAATGGTCTGCGAGATCCACAAGCCACTTGCCATTGAGCAGGGTCAGCGATTCAACGTACGTGAGGGTGGACGAACAGTTGCCACTGGCCTCATCACCCGTCTCTTGGACTAAGCGGTCTGCTGATTAATGGAGATGACTGCAGCTTGGATTGGATGGTACCTTGTGGAGATGCAAGGAGGAGATGCGAATGACCGAAAGTGTTCGCGGTTGATGAGGAGAAGAACATGTAAGATGAAATGTACAGCTACGGCCAACGGCAGCTCACCTTCAAGCCATTGTATTCGCTGTAAGTTATTAGGAGAAGCATACGAAGGGGCTAGAAGGGTGTTGTGAGCAGCAAAAAAGAACGCATAGCCAGGCGTTGGACTGTCTGTATTTTAGTCATTGTGATACCACCGCAATAAGCCAAGCCAAGCCAATCCCAGCTCTTGAACGACCATACCTATTCACCACTTTTTCCTTTCTTCGCGAATCCCTCACATCTTCTTCCTGAATTGCTTCGCATATTCACAAAGCACAATCCCTGCCGCGGTCTGCACATTCAGACTTCTCGTGATCCCTATCTGTGGAATTTCCACGAGCAGATCACATAGGCTCAACACTATAGCTGGAATGCCCTCCCTTTCACTGCCAATCACCAAAATACATTTCTCGGGCAGAACACATGCCTCATCTCCCAACAACACTGACCGATCGGTCTGCTCAATCCCCACAACCCGAAACCCTTCCTCTCGCTTCTTCTCCGCCAGAAAGTTCTCCAGATCCTTCGCCAGAAGTGCTTTGAGTGGAATATGGAGATGCGAAGCTACGCTCACCGACTGAAAGTCTTTGTTTGAAGTCACGGTTGGCGAAGGGAGGTAGAGAGCTCCTGCTCCGAAGATCTCGCTGACGCGGGAGAGACCGCCCAGGTTGTACGGGTTGTCGACCAGAGAGGCTACCACGAGGAGGTTGGAATGTCGTTGTCGGAGATTTGAGCTGGAGAGATAGCCTGCGCCTTTCGTTTGCAGAGCAATGGTTACGGAGTCGGGTTCTGCGGCACCTGAACCAAGGGCACGGGAGATGTTGTCAATGTTTTGGAGCATGCGCCTTTCATGGTCGATGGTGTGTTGATTTGTTGAGTTAATTTCTCGTCCTTCTGATGGCAGAGGGTCACCGAGAGGGATGCAGGAGGGTGGAATGGTGACATTCGCATCGTCACGTTCGTACAGAGACACAAAGTCTTTGCGAGAAGTCTGGCGCTGCTCGACATTGTCTAGTCCCCACCATGGTCCTTCCACCAAGTGAGTAAGATTGTGATCGTTGACGGGGTCGAATTTGTCAATAGTCCTCTCCACAGGCGGGTCGTCGTACCGTTCGAGACTGCGAATGAAGCCGTCGAGTGCTTCGAAGGCCGAGCTTTGGGTGATCATTGTCCAATGTTTCGCGCGAGCGTGGTCAAGAAGGGGTGCAAATTGCCACTGAGCCTCGTGCCGGATGACAACTTTACTGGAAGCCGCTAATGGTACAAAGACAGTCGCTAGCTGTAGTGCAAAGTCTTCGCTGGAGCTTTCGGTCTTCGCGATGTTCACTCCAATTTTCATCAAAGAAGCCAAGAATTTAGGATTGCCATGATGGTCCTTGGTCGATAGCTCCTCAAAGATTGTCGACCGGAGTTGCGGATGGTGAATGTACGTGCGAGCGATCATCCATTCGAAGAGATACCTGTATCGTGGCAATGGCTCGATAGCAAGAACGTAGTGCAGGGTTTTCAGAACCTTTCTGGCCTCGTCAAGGCTGATGTACGGGACGTGCTGTTCAGCACATAGTAGCATGACTTGTAGTTGCAAAACTTTCTTCCATGCGCTCACAGTAGGTGGTGGTGTTTTCTGGTTGAGGAATCTTTGAAGCAATTTGTCGAACAATTCTGGTGCAAGCTTGATATCGATGGCTTGAAATCGAGAGACAAGGTCAAGGAGAACCGCAATGCCGTACCCATCAGGCTGACCGAAGTAGAAAGTGTAGTTAAAGGCTTGCAACTCTGGAGAAATGCCTTGTATGACAGGAATCGCCGCGGCCTCAAGCTGAGCATCAACTGTCGCGGAGGGAGGACGGCTCGCTACATGTGCAACAAGCTCATCAGAACCGAGAAGTGAAGCAGACATGTGATTCGCTAGCACTGTAACTCTAAGTGTCTCAAGTAGCGTAGGAAGCATATAAGATCTGCTTGTAGCCAACTGTGTAAGCGCAGCAATCTTGCTCTTGATTAATTCGACGAAGGAATCTGGCGCAGTGGAAGCCATGCCAACCAACTTTGAGTTCATGAACACCAGCGGTATGGCGGCCAAAAGACCTTTGGGGTACTCAAGATACTCAAGGTCACTCCAGATATCATCCAGGCGGTCTTCTACCTGCGCTACCTGTAAAGTGTCGAGACTCCCCAATAAGTCGGCGCACTTCTGGTGAGCGCTCCTCTCGTTCAGATCTCGCTTCGACGGTGCTAGTGATAGTGCACTGATTGAGCCTTCGACCTGAACAGAAGACCCGGGGCCGAGAGAATCAGCCTTCGAAAGCAGCGTTTTCCAGTCGGTCGCAGCCTTGCTTAGGAATGCATTTGTATTAGCCTCAGGCGTTCTCTGCTGGACTATAGAGCACATCTTCCAGGTCCTGGCCAGCAGATGGTCACGCGCCACTTCTGGAAGGCCAATCCAACCTGCAGCAGCATGTATGTCCTCAAGATGACAAAGGTCAATTGGAAGTGTGCTGTCGGTGTCGAGAGCACGTCCGATGCCTTCTACAAGGTAGACTGTGGAATAAGCAAAGCTGTTAGTCTGTCTGGCTCGTATAGTGGCTGCAATTGTTCCGATGAAGTGCTTTGCCATTTGGCTGTCCTTGAGCAATGCAGATGAGACGTAGGTAGCCAGCCTTTCGCCGTGCTCGCACCTGAGGGTTCCATTGGCCTGTTTCAGTGTTGCGGTAAATAAGTATCCGCTCGTCGCCCATGGCAGTAATGTGCTCCGAAGGAAAGCCATGAAAACTTCAATCTCGTCCGTCCTGATATTAGACCGCAGACACCATGATCCAATCCACTTCCGATTGGCCTCTTGCATTCTCTGGTCTAGCGCAGATTCGAGCAGGGCAAAGAGAAAAGCAGGCTTCACTGCGGAGCTTGCAGACGCTAAGTAGTCAAGATCGGACTCGCATTCTTGGACTTGGTTCAAGTAGCGCCCAAGTACTATTGTCTCAAAAACAGTGCAGAATCGTATGTACTGCTTACCAACAGACTCAATGGCTACTTACCTGTCAGCTACTGGCAATACTTACTGCTCGGCTACCAGGCACATGCGTGATGACACGGCAATTATATAGCCTTGGAAAACACTGGAGCCTGACTAGATTCCAAGAGACTTACATGCGGAGGAATTTGCTTCAGCTGTGATAATGTATGCTAGGGAAGGCTCCGCGGTGCAGATATCGACTGATGCACGCAAAACCTGGAGAGAGGATTTGCGACGTTCCGAGTCATTCCGTCGAAGGCCCTTTATCAGAGCGTTCCAATAATGATCCTGCTTCAGGATGGTTGGGTCGACGGTAATTCCTGACAGAATCCAGCGGAGCCAGAGCGAGTAGCCAAGGGTCTGGCTCATAGCATTTTTGCCTTCCACAAGCTCCAGAATGCGGCTCCATAAATCACTCTGAAGTTGCTTGAGCAGGTGAGGCTTATATTGAAGCAATGTGAAGAGGACTTCCATGGCATGCGTAGCCAGTCCTCTAAACGCGGCGCCTGCAAGAACGAGACAGGCTCTGAACAACGCATCTGCTTTTCGGTCCTCGAAATCTGGACTGACGAGTCTTTCTGCGAAGGCAAGATACTGGATAGCCTGCTCGATGGTCTCTGCACCAAGAGTGCCGGTAGCTTGGTCGTGGCCGTTCGCTAGCTCATGCAAAGCCGCTGAGGCCAAAGGCACAGCAAGCCAATTGGTGCTATCCTGCTGAGCTGTGTTCGCTAGTCGCGAGATATGACTGCAAATGCTCCGCAAGACTCTGTTTCGAAGCCAGTCACACTCTGAGCATAGTGAGGCAACGCGATCCTGCTCACCACCCTGGATGATGGAAAGAACGTGATTTGTGATGGAGTCCCTAGCATCTTCATCGATCTTCAGCTGAACCAGAGCGACAGCAAGGCTGACATCGGCCACGCTGCTGCGCAGATTTAAGGATTTGGCGACATCTCGGACCAGCTCGACGCGGTCACCTTCTGCGACGCGGTCGAGCAGAAGAGCTGCAGTCTGGTTTTGGATTGCAGTCATGGAGAATGCTCTTGTAGCGCTTGGTCTGATGGTGCAGAAGCTAATACGGGCCCGGGTAGTCTGAAGAGGGAGATAGCGTCGCATTGGCCATGATATCCGAGTTGCTCAATCGAGAGGCGGCAAAGACCAAGTGAGGTGAGTAGTGCATCAGTCCAGCCAGAAAGAAAGAATCACCCTGCTATTTTTCGGAGTCAAGTCCGTTCTTGAACTCCCAATCACAGAGCAATCGCATCCAACAGCATCATCACCTCTTTGCCTCCTCCCACTTCCACCACAACACAGCAACAGATCTCTTGACTTAGCCAACGAGCATGAAATCCATATCAGCAATCCTGTCTCTTCCCACCAGTCTCTCTCTTCTAGCCTTCTCATCCGCATTCCCAACCTCCGAACCGTCACAACAACCCCTCCCGCTACTGATCTGGCACGGTTTGGGTGACCGCTACAACGCAGACGGCCTCCAATCCGTGGGCAAACTTGCTGCTTCCGTAAATCCAGGAACCCATACCTATTTCATCCGAATCGACGACGAAGGCGACGAAGACTCCAAAGCCACCTTCTTTGGCAACGTCACAGAGCACTTGGACAAAGTCTGCAAGGACATAGAAGAGAACAGGGACCTGCCGTTTAGCCACGATGGAAGAAAGAGAGTCGATGCTTTAGGTTTCTCGCAAGGCGGACAATTTCTTCGGGGACTGATTGAGACATGCCCAATTGTGTCGGTGCGGAGTTTGGTCACATTTGGATCGCAGCACAACGGGATTGCAGATATCAAAGCTTGCGGGACTTGGGACTTACTCTGCAAAGGCGCCGTGGCATTGATGAAAGGCAATGCCTGGTCGGACTACGTGCAGGGGCATGTTGTGCCTGCTCAGTATTTCAGAACGGTGAACGAGACGACCGGAGAGCCCAGTGAGGATTACCTTGAACATAGCAACTTTCTCGCCGATATCAACAATGAGAGAAGACAGAAGAATGAGGCGTATAAGCAGAGACTGATGGAGATTGAGAAATTCGTCATGTTTGTGTTTGAAGAAGATACGACCGTCATTCCGAAAGAGTCAGGCTGGTTCGCTGAGGTGAATGCTACGAGCGGGAAGGTCACGCCTCTCGCGGAGAGGAGTATCTACAAAGATGATTGGCTTGGATTGAAGAAGCTAGATGAGAATGGCGCATTGGTGTTCAAGACAACACCCGGAGATCACATGCAGCTGGACGACGATGTGCTCGTGCAGACCTTCAAGGTCTATTTTGGAGTTGACGAGCCGACGAGATTTCGAGGCCTGGGCGTGGGAGACGGCTGGTTTGACTTTAGCCACGAGAGCATGTGGCCAGAGAACGCAAAGGTATGGGATCGGGTCACAGAATGGGCGAAGCCGATCAAGGAGTATTTGTAGAGTGCCAATGGAAATGCATTCCTGCTTTATGTTGTCTACTTCCGTCATCCTCCTTGAGCCTGGACGGGATTGGTGGCAGTTTTTGGAGTCGGGAAGCGCCGTGGGAAAGCAGATGTTTCGTCTTTCATGCTGTCATTCGTCTGGTGGTTTCGCTACCTTCAATACATGCAGTGCATTTCCCACTTCCTGTGCTTGAAATAACAACCATCCGCAACTCCAGCATCCAGTGTGCGTGGTAAGCGATTCATTTACTTCAGCTTCTTCTTTGGGCGCAGCTGGTTGGTGTGACCGCACTTCTTCTTGCGGCAGTTGGTGGCACGCGGGGGAAGACGGGCCTGCAATGAATTAGTTTTTATGACCAAGACCGATCTGAAATATGGGTTCCATACATAGCACTTTCGGCAAATCATCTTCTCGCAGTTGTACTTGGAGGCAAGAGCCTTGAGCGATGGCTCGATGATACCACCACGGAGACGGAGGACAAGGTGGAGAGTTGACTCCTGCAGTCATTATCAGCGCCATTCTTTCCGCTCAAAATGCGCGCGTGCCCGAGCATCAACTGTGTATGCGCACCTTTTGAATGTTGTAGTCAGACAAAGTGCGGCCATCCTCCAACTGCTTTCCAGCGAAAATCAAACGCTGCTGGTCCGGTGGGATTCCCTCCTTGTCTTGGATCTTGCTCTTGACATTGTCGATGGTGTCAGAGGACTCGACCTCAAGGGTAATGGTCTTGCCCGTAAGGGTCTTGACGAAGCTGTATCGATGTCAGTATTTTGGGTGCGCGGCGGAGTTGAGTTGGTGGCGATCATCGCGGTCGGACGTACATCTGCACTGCACAGATTGTCAGTACGGTACATCGAACTCAAAAGTCTGCTTTTAAGATCTACTCACTGTTTGCGGTCTTCTCTTGTGACGTGCGTTGGTCTTGGAGAGAAAGCGGCAGTGATGATGAGTTCGTTGTGGGAAATGACGGTTGTGCCCGAGATCTTGGCATAAGGCAGGAACGACCCTGACAACCTGAGGCAACACTTTTTGCTTTAGCTTTCCGCGACGCGACTTCAGTCACTTCATGGCGTAATTCATAATTCGCAGACATACCGATCGAGGCGTCGCGTTGATAGCCATTCATAAAGCTGTGTGCATACAAGGCAAGATTGTTCAATAAAAGCAGCAGCATTCTTCGTTTCACGCTCAACTTGAGCATATCGTACGCTTACGAAGATATCAATCTCCATTACTTCAACAGTGTCATTCAGCGTGCTTCTAGTTTACAAGGCTCTCTAAGCGCAATTGCCCTCTTCATCCCATTCATGCACAGGTTTAGAACCTTTTTCGGTATTTCAGGCCCTCGCATCGAATTAGAGTCCATCGCTAGCGCCGCAGCAATGCCATCAAGAATGACACCTAGGTCGTTTAGCTCACGTCGAGCCAGCGTCGAAATGCTTCCTCTGCGTTGTGATAGCCGTTGCCCCTGCGATAAAGCCAGTGAGCTGCTCCAGGCGGCCTCGTTTGGCGATTCGCACAAGTTTAACTTGTTGTGTCAAGCTCCATTCCTCTACGTTAATATCTCCGAGACCACTTATATTTCATGTTTCATGAAGCCATCCATGTTGTCTTGGTATGACTCGGACTGGCTACCTTCCGCGCTGCCTTCTGCGCCAGGCTGATCCATCGAGAGCTTGTCGCCTTGCGGCACAGAGATCTTCATGCCTGCAAGTTTTGCTTCAGTCTCGCGCACACGCTTGCGAAATTGCAGTCTGTCCAGGAACAGCCGCTGGCGCATACGCTCGACCTCGCGACGTTCTGCTTGAAGAAGTGACTCCATCTCAGAGAATTGCTGCAACTTGAGCTCCATTTTCTGGAGCTGAAGATTCACCGCAGCAGACACTTGATTCGTAAGCTGTCGCTCGGTATGTGAAGCCAGAGCTGCAGCACGAGCGGCGGTCAGAGAAAGAGCTGTGGTTGGAAGGTCATGGCTGGTCGGTGGCTCCCTAGTCGCAAGCGAGGTAGTGTCGTCAACGTCCATGACATCGTCTTTCTCACCCTTGACATCCTCAGGTTGAGTCGTGCCCTCCTTCTCCTTTTCTGCGCCTGCTTCTGAAGAAGCTTCGGCCTCAATGCGGGACTTGAGCTGCTTCTTAACCTCTTCAACGCTCTTGCCAGCAGCCTTTGCGGTTGTTGCGGGATCTGCGAGTCCTGCGAGAAAGCCCATGACTGACATCACCGGGTTGTCAAACTGGCTGAAGGGCAGCCGGCCGCCAGACAGGTATGCAAGATCCGAGGTAGAGTTTGCGGCTGGTGTTTCTTCCAGATACTTGTCTTCGATTTCGAGTTGAAGGAACTTCAGTACGCATTCTTCCCTCGTCCTCGTGCCAACGTGATCGGCGACTGACTCCCAGTTATCATCAAACATTTCCAAGCCTTCTAGCAGCAGTAGGAGCTCAGAGTCTGCCCATGGCTTTTCTTTGTCGCCAATACTTCTGTACGATTCATTCTCAAGCTTTGTGTAGTCTGCCGCGGTTGTGCTGCTTGGGAAGCGGCCTTCCTGGAAACAAAGGCTGCAAAGATCATAGCGCTGGTCCTTGCTTGGTTTGGGCGTTGTGGCAGTCGCAGCTGGATTCTTGGAATTGTGATAACGGACACGGGTGCAATCCTTTCCACAAGAATAGCAGAAGTACTGCTTTCCATCCTGTTTCAGACCCTCTTCTAATGCCTTCGCAGACTCTCCATTGGCCTCGCTACTTTCAGTCTTTGCAGGGGTAACGTCCTTACCCTTGTCATCATAGATGTTCCTTCGCACTTCCAGATTCAGGTCGGCCTTACCCGCGCTGGCAAGGCGGTCAGTCCCAGCATGTGGCTTTCCGGGTGTGACAGTGCTTCCCGGAGCTGGCTGATGCGGCTGCAAGCCACGAGGAGTATCCGCGGTGATTCTGAAGTGGCCTGTAAATGGCGGACCAATGTTTGAAGGTCTTGTATCTGGGTCAATCTGGAAATCTGATCAGCTCTTCGTCCAAGGCTCATCGCGAGTACATATGCACAAACCTGGTAATTGATGAGCCCCCACTGCTCAAGGAAAGCATGGACTCTCATGATTGCGCACACGTCTCCAGCAAGATTTCTTCTGCATGCAGTCACAGTCAGATATTCAGACGGGTTCAATCTGTATGTGTTGACCATGAAATCACGATAATCCTTGTACACAGCAGGCGTTTTGCTGCGGTTTCGGTTGTTGAAGAATTCCGGCAGCGCTTTTCGCTCCAGATTGTGAATCTCGTGCATGTCGAACCATGCGCTGTAGCTGGGCAGGATGATGGCGTGGTTCTGATCAATCAGATTCGACCGCGCCGACTGTTCTACTGCCGTCTTGGTAGTTGCTGCAGGTGTTGTCGCATCTACCGCTGGTGTGCCCTCCTTCGTGTCACCCATCTCTTCATCTTCGCCTGCTTCTTCTGCGTTTTCCGGTGCCGGAGCTTCAGGCGCGTCCAGCGGGTTGTCTGACACCAGCGCACCGTCGCCCCCCTCGACAGCTGGCTTTGCGACATCATCGTTCTGCGGTTTGGCGTCCTCGGCATCTTCGATCATGGACGTGTCTTGGTCTTGTGATTCCTGTTTGGCTTCAAGTGCCTCATTCTCTGCTCGAATCAGCTCGTCGCTGGCTTCACCCGGAGCGCGTGTGCTCTCGGTCGCAAATTCCGAATCCATCGCGCGTTACGTCTAGATTGGTCTCTGAATGGCTGAAGTTGGCGCACGCAGCCAGAGCTTCCTGGTCTCCTGTGTTTGGTGTACGCTTCTGGGTGTGCTCAGATGGTCGGGCGTGGATCGCGTATACTATGTCCTGCAATTACGGCATTTGCGAGAACTGTACAGCTGTCAATGGTGACGTGAATGGAAAGAGTTGTTCTGAATGCGCGGGAGCAGTTTGTGGACATGCACTGCGGAGGTCAAGACGTGTCGCGGACGATGCGATCGCGACGGCTGGGAGGCCGATTTGGCTTGGCGCGGCGGCGCAAGGCCGCAACATTGATGCCTGAAACCCAAAGGATGGAAGAACTGGAAAATGAACTTGACCATGATACACTTCATGCATTTTGTATAGGCGCTATGGCATTTGAATTGGAAGACTGTCTGAATCAAGCCTTCCTTACACTTGACTTCAAGAAACATACGCCGACGCCGGTGCTGTGACCCTTCACGTCAGTGCATAAACTCTACTTGAAGAGCGTCTTCAGGTCGTCCAATCTCTGCTTGTTCTCTTCGGCTTTGCTCCTCTTCTTGTCCATGCTCATTTGAGCCAATTTATTCTTCTTCTCTTGCAGACCAAGAATGCCTTCTTCGATCGAGTCTTGCATGATGTAGTGCTTGATGTAGACATCGCGCTTCTGACCGAGACGGTGCACACGATCAACAGCCTGAGCCTCGACACCGGGATTGAATTGAGGCTCCATAACATAGACCTTGTTAGCTGCCGTAAAGTTCAAGCCTTGTCCGCCCGCCTTGATTGAAACGAGCATAACGACGACGTCTTTCTCGGTCTTGAACATCTCCATGACCTGCGTGCGTTGCTTAACGGACATTGATCCATCCAAGCGGACAAAGGCAACCCTATTCTTGATCAGAGCATGCTCGATGAGATCGAGGTATCCGGTCCAGCCACTGAACACAACGGATCGAATAGGAGCCTCGCCGAGGGTTGCGAGTTCCGCACTCTCCTGCTCAGACTGTCTCAATTCTTCGAGAAGAGCTTTGACTTTGGTGTGCGGGCCAGAGTAGGAATCTTCATCCCACTTGGCAGCTTTGGGTTGGTTTGCCGCGATGCGGCGTTCTTCAATATGCGAATTGTATCCAGACCAGGTGAGTGGCTTCAGTCCGAAGCGTTGGTGTGTCTCATCGTAAGGACAGACATGCCATCGATCAGCTGTCATAGACTCTTCGCATAGCTCAATGTACCGAGGCGTGCAGTTGTAGCAGACGACGTGGAAGCACGGCGTGAGATTTCCAATCAAGTCGTCCTCCTCTTCGCCCTCGCTAATGGCAGGAGTGTTTGCAGCAGAGCTGTCCTCTTCCTCGTCCAAGTCGATTGGTTTGGGTTCCTTCTTGCCCACCAAGCGACCGCAGCCCTCGCATCTATCCATCTCGGAGTCACGCATGGTCTTGTAGAGATTGTATGCTTGAGCATCGGTGGTAAACTCGGCCTCATCCTCATAGCCGGGCTCATCCCCAACATCAAGCACGATGGCATTGTTAGGGTCGTCACCTTCGACTTCCTTCATGTCCTCCTCCGTGAGCATCTCACGGCCATGTGCGCAGATAGCACGCAATCGCCCGATGGACTTCAAGACATGCGCATATGCCTTGCCGCGAAGAGTATTTCCTCCGCCTGTAACGTTATCCAACGTCGTGCGACAGGTCGAAGCGAACTTTTTGTAGAGTGCCATTTCAACTTCGGTGAACTCTAGACGCTCAATGGTCTCTGTTCGCTTGGTGAGGCCGATCGTGTCCTTCAGACGCCGAAGAGTGATGCTGCCTACTAGCAGCTGCAGCTGCTCCACCACGTCCACGTTGCCCATCTTGAAAGGCGACATGATGTACTGATTCCATGTATTTGGGTTGTCGAATGGTGGGATATTCAGGAACTTGACCAAGGCACCCAAATCAGACAGACTGTTTTGCACAGGGGTACCTGTAACGGCCCATCGACGCTCAGCATACAGGTTACAGCATGCCTTAGAGACCTTGGTAGACGTTGTACGAATTTGATGGGCCTCATCGAGCACAATGCGGAACCAGTTGATGTTTGAGAGGGCCTTCTTTTTCTTCATGCCATCGGCAAACTCGGCGGCGGCAATGTTGTAGGTGGTCAGCACCACGTCGAACTTGGCAAGCTTTGCAGTGTTCTGAGTGCGATTAGGGCCATGGTAGCAGTAGACTTTGATCTTGCCTTCACGGCAGTGGACTCCAATCTGCTCCTCCCAATTCGACAAGACGGACTTGGGACAAATGATCAGCGTGCCTTTCGAGTTGCACTCCACAGCGTCTTCAAGGTCGAATGGGACGGCCTGCTGACGAAAACGTATAGCAGCAGTTCTGGTTTCCGCGATGAGAGCAAGTACGCTGAGAGTCTTTCCTAGACCCATCATGTCCGCAAGGATGCCACCTTGCACAGGCTTTGGCTTCTCTGTAACTTCTTGGCCCGTAATGACATGGTACCAGGCAGGCTGACCGGTATTCTTTGCCCTATATCTCCAAAGAGCATGAACGGGAAGCTCGTTACCATCGAAATCGCTACGCTCGTGCTCGAACAAGAAGTTCAACGCTTTCTTCTGGTGCTCCATCAGGTCTGTGGCAATAATCTCCTTGTTTGGCTCCATGGAAGGGATGGCTTCGTTCTTGGCGAGATTGTCGAACATATTCGTGGCTTCGCGGCGAATCTCCTCTACAGAGCGAGAGACGTAGGTGCTGGCTCCTCGTGAGGATTGCTGCGGCTTACTGTCTCGAGGAGGACCGAAGTTCTGCGGTAGCTGTGGGTTTACAAAGTCCCGTCCGCCCGCATGGAAAGGTGCAGATAAGTATAGCTGCCTCTGAGACAGGAATCGACCGATCTGAGCAGCAGCGTTTCGCGGTGCGAAGAAAGTTACCGCCATCTTCAGCAGCTGTGATACACGCTGACCAGCTTCCTCACTTGGCTTTCGTGGACGGCTCAGGAGGTGCATGCGCAATCGCATCTTGTTCATGTTGACGCCATCGAGAAGAGGAGCCACCGCTGCCGCTGCTTTGAGATCCATAGTTCCGAACTTGATCTCGGCATTGTCAATCAAGTCAATTTGCATATTGCGCCCGTTGCCGTATTCGTGGCGAAATGAGATCCTCATGTAAGGCCAAGAGGTCTTCGGCAGGCCTCTGATCAAACTCGCGGAAGGCGTTGGCACACGGTGGACAAGAGCATTGGCGTTGACCAACCCAAGGCAAATTTCATCGTTGCTCGGCTCGATGACCTTGGTGATCTCGACGTCATTGGCAGCTGCAGAGGCAGCGGCAGGCTCATCGTCATCGCCAGTGAGATCTATGGTCTGGTGGGACGGTCCTGCTTCAGCGGCCATCTTCTTGCGCTCATTTTTCAAGTGGTCGCTGATGATACCTCCCTTGCTGATGCTGAAACCCTCGGTCTTCTGCTTTTTTCGTTCGTTTTCATCCTCATCGCCAGTTGTCATCGGGCCTTTGCGCTTCTGGGTCGGCATATCGTCACGACTAGTGACACCATGGAGGCGCTCAATCATGGCAGCGGCACCGTAGCCGGCGTTATCGTGGGCATCCTCGTCTCTTGACGCCTCGCGCGAGATGGTGGTCGGTGCAGCCTTAGGGTCCAGAAGTGCTTTGGCATCGTAGCGTGGCAGATCTGACACTGATGCCGTCGGCTTGCGCGCCTGTTGAGGGCCTTCGTATATTAGCATCGAAGGGTCGCCTGATAGCGTTGGACTGGACAGTGTGTTGAAGTTGGATGGTGGGGGTTTGTTGTAAGCCATGACAACTGACAGTCGGCAGTTCTGGGTACTGCAACTGTTGGCCGTCGTTGGGCTAGGGACGATGTGTTGGAAGGAAAGGGTGGTGTAGGCACGGGGAAGTTGATGCAGATCAAGTCGCTGGTGGTGGTGGTGGTGGTGGTGGTGGAAGTGGAAGTGGAAGAGAGCGTGATGGCTATTGTTGCGCTTTGGTATTGTCGCAACTTGAATGTGATTGGACGACAAACCATCAGCTCACAAGCAGTGCCAGTGCCAAGCTGCATGTGATGTTCAACGCCGAAGCAGGAGTGAAGCTTGCAGAGCGCGGATTCTGGGAGCCGGCAAAAAGTCTACGGAAATGCAGACGTACCATTGTTCTGTGGCTTTTTGGCTGCCTTTGCCTTTGCCTGCTGTTTGGCAAAAGCCTTCGGATTTAGAAGCTGCGCCGGGTTCATGGTGAATTTTCTCGTTCCCAGCCTGTTGCTTCACGAATCACTTCAGTGGCGTTCGTCACTCAGATGAGTGATCTGGCATTGCTGAGTCAACCGGGTGAAGCTCCAGAACATCTCTCGCCTTCTGTCTCCAGATCATGCATGCTGCTTGGCGCTTGATGGCTTGCGGAACAGTGCGATCAGCGTTGTAGAAGTGCGAGAAGGGTGGAAGCCGTGCCGTGGTCGAGGCCGGGCAGGCAGGCGGAACGGAAGTTAGGGTTCGGCCCGGCGCAGTCGACAAGGATCAGATCGCGCAGATCTCGCCAGGTCGTCCGTCTCCTCTTTTTGGAGACTGGACTGGGACCTGCAACAACAACAACGCGAGAGCTCCCACACCTCACCGCCGATATTGTTTCTACGCGGCTGGAAGGCGCTGCAATTGAACAAGCTCAACAATGTCCACCGACTAAGGCACTCGTTTTCTGTCCCATGATCTCTTCTCGGCCAGACAATGTACAACGCATCGCAACACGAACGGTCCAAAGTCAACGCAATTCGATCAAGTTGTCACGCCTCTTTCTCTCTGTTATAGTCACAAGTGGCTGACTTCAAAGTGGCGTGCGGTGTTTTGGCACTTTGGTGCTCTCTGAAACGCCTAGATCCGGGAGAGAAATGACGCTTCTTTGCACCATCAAGGTGGCCGAATGTTTGGTTGAAAGTCGACTACCATCTCATCGCTTACATCTCTCTCCTCATCTCCCTATTCGACTTCGATAGCTCAACCCCTTTCGGTCTGCCCTTCAGAACGCGCAATTGACGGAGCATGCATGAAAGTGCTCGAGCCTTATCAAGAACCTCCCTCTTTCTGCCCAGCGTTGGCCCACGGAGTACACCATTCTGGGGCATTCTTGCGGTATATCTCCATCTGTGGCTGATGCTTTGCATCCTCTACTGGATCGTCGACTGTACCGCCTTTCACGATCAACATCCCAGGCATGGCTTCGGCGTTGGCAATCATGACCGTCGCACAGGTCGCACAATTCTGATATTTGACTTTCTTGCCGGAGTCGCCGACACGCTCGAAGAGGAAGTCGTTACCTGAGAGCTTCTTGAACTGGACACAATCAGCATCTTCACGAGAGAATATAAGAGAGTCGAACGACATACTTTTTCCTGTGGGATAATCATGTTGAAGCTGCCATTTGAGCCAGCTGTCTTGCGACAAGGTATACAATGACAGACGACCTACCGCAATTAGTGCTGAGCCATTTGCTCTCCGATCGAGACCTACGACACCGCCCGGCTCGCCATCATACTCATATGTCCATTGTCCGCAGACGCAGCTTCCTTTGCCTGGCATAACAGCAACTCTGATATGGAGTGTCGGGATAGACTGCACAAAGTGTCAGATAGCGAATTATCAGAGGCGTTGACGAGTTTCTTTGGAACGGAGCTCCAACACGCTGCTGACCAACTAAGAGATTCGGTCCGAGGCAGCCATGCATGAGATTGACTCGCTTGGATTGACAAAGGAACGAGTAGCTTACCTGTTTCCTATTTCCGGTGAAGGCTTTCTATGAGGATGGAGGACCGTTGTAAATGGTTCAGACACCAGCCATGCTCTGGAGGCCAGCTCTCGAGATATGCTGTCTATGCTGATACTGGACCCTCACCAATGACGTACAAATCAAGCTGTCTCTGAGCGTGGCGCTATGGCATGAGGTCAAATCGTCAAGGGCAGGCCTATTAGAAGATGATTAGAGAAGTGGTGTGAGATGGCTGTCTGGTTTGCGACTGTGAAAAAGCCCACAAAGCTCTGCTGCAGCACTGCCTGCAACATGGAACATGGACGCTAGACAGACGCTTCCTCTCAACGGGGAGCATGTCCGGTCGAATGCGTGCATGCGCATTTGATTCACTGGCTGGGACACTTCAGCGATTGATTGAGTTAGGACCATTGGTGCGAGAGATATTGCACAAAGAAGGGAATAATCATCCCAAGTTCAGAGCTACCTCCTTCTTAGGCTCTTCTTGTAGACTTTATCCCACCTTCTACCTTCTACCTTCTACCTTCTACCTTCTACCTTCTACCTTCTACCTTCTACCTTCTACCTTCTACCTTCTACCTTCCTTTACCTAACCTACGTGCAATTAGCGTCGATCGGTTCTCGGCTCTTCTATATATAGTCTAGTATATAGAAGAAGTCTTCGTAGAAGAGCCTAAGGACAAATGTCGCAAAGCTGCAGTATTGACCTTATATACCTACAAAACAGGTAGAATAGTACAACAACTATATATCCTAAGCAAAAGTTATAGTAGAATCGCACTTAGGTATTAACGTAATGAAAATTATTGTCTATATAATAATCTATATATTTCTAAAGACGTAGGAATAAAAATTACAAAACACTACTTTAAGATAAACGCTATAAGAATAGCGTCCGGATTGCCTCTACTACGACATAACTACTACCGTTTGCTATAAACGGAAATACGGGCGGACCCTTAGAATTAGCCGCTCTCTAACCTCTAAGTGTTTGCTAGACGTAAATGTATCGCGTTATTAAGTCCTAAGGCCGATCGGGTAAATTAGGCTAAAACGCGGCTATTCTAGGCCTATACGCTTTACTAAGTACGCGTAACTTAGCGTACACTTATCTAAATAGCGGGCTGCTACCCTTCTTCTTCTTCTTCTTCCTTTTACTCTTAGCTTCTTCTGCCTCGCATCTACTACTCGTATCTACTACTCGTATCTACTACTCGTATCTACTACTCGCATCTACTACTCGCATAGATACCGAGGAAGCTATCGAGGTTCCTTAGTAGGCCTATATCGCTACTAGCGATAGCACTCCTACGCTACGTTAAGATCTAGATAAGCCTATTATTAGCGACTACTTCGAGGGTAATATCCGCCTTAAGGAGTAGTACCGCTAGCGATAGATCGAGCGCTAGGCTAAAGGCTAGAGTCTTTAGCGTATAGTCCGTAGATAGCGTATAGATTATCGCTAGTCGATGCGTGCCGCTACTCGCTAAGGCCCGCTACGACTATTAATAGAGTTAAATTAGGAGGACGTCGATGCTATCGAGGGCGTTAAATATAATAATCCCTCTAATCTTCCTCCTCTACGTATAGCGGCTCTAGATCTAGTCTATTATAGAGGCGGTAGCTTCCTTTAGTTAGGGAGAAACCTTAATATTAGTAAGGGCTATCGTAAGGAATAGAAACAGAAGAAGCAGTAGTAGCAGTAGTAGTAGCAGTATACCTAGGTTAGCAAGAAGGCAGTAGGACGTCTAGCTAAGATATACGATTAGCGTCGTTAATAGTAGCAGTAGCAAGGCATATAGAATACCCTACTATAAGCCGTACTAATTCTTCTATCTCGTAAGGCTTATACTCGCTAGCGGCTAAACTAGTCTACTAAGAAGCTAGAGCTTCCTTAAGATCTATAATAGAAGACCGCCTTCTTTTAGGCTACGACTAATTATATGCTCGATAAGCTATTTAATCTAGAGGAAATCTAGATATTAATATAGGATGCCGGTCTTAAGCGAGAGGCTATCCCCTTCTAGCGGGACATTGTTAAGAATAGCCTATAGTAGGTACTAAATGCATTCTATCCTAATAAGGGCTATATACCTTCGGACCTTTAGCGTAAGGTACTATATAACCTAGTTTTCGCGGGCACCGATATAGTAATAATCGAGAAGACCGGTAGCGGTAAGAGCTTAGTCTACTAGGCATATACTATACTAACTAGTCGCATTAATATCTAGATTATCCCTCTAAACCGCCTTAGTAAAGAGTAGAAGGCTAATATCGACTAAACGATACGTGCGCTTACTTAGAAGTCTATAGTTACTACCGGAAACGTCGAGTTAGTACGTTGCTATATAATCTCTACTAAGACTAAGCGTAAGGACCTAAAGATATACGATAATATCGTTACTAGCAAGTACTACTATATCTTCTATAGTCTAGAGTAGGCGTCTACTCCGGAATTGCGAGAGGTATTTAAGAAGATTGGCGATCGTATTAGCCTTATTACTATCGATAAGCTATACTTAGTATATAAATAGAAGGACTTCCGCGAGGAATTTGCCTAAATATATATCCTCTATAGCCTGTTCCGCAATAATACCCTATAGCTAGGTACCTCTACGACTATCTCCTAGGAGACACTCGAATTTGTCTTAAAGTATAGAGGCTTCCGTAATAATAGCCGCGAGGTATTTAAGACTAAGGTTATCCGTACGAGTATCGATCGGATCGATACTATATATATCTTTAAGACTATTCTGTAGAAGTATAGTAGCGACTTCGATTTACTATACCTATTACTAAAGAAGGCCGTTACTAATAGATAAGCTATACCTACGAATATCGATGAGGCGATCGTATTTATTAATAGCCGAGGAAAGGTTAATAAGCTAACCTATATTCTACGTTAGTAGCTTGTCTAGCTAATAGAGGGCTAAGAAGATCTAACTAAGAAGTATACCTAGAACAATACCGGCTACAATATATATAAAGTCGTCGCTTTCTATACCGCATATATCGCTAATTACGATAAGGATCTCCGATATAACGAGTTTAAGAAGCCTAGCGCTCGTTTATTAACTCGTATTATAGTTAGTACCCTAGCGATCGCTATAGGCACTAACATTAGCGATATTAAGTTCGTTATTATATAGTAGCTACCTATTACGAAGGATATCGACGATGCTATATAGCGAGCTAGTCGTACTAGTCGTAAGCTTAGCGTAGGACAGCGGTTATATACTATCTTCTTCTTCCCTTAGTATATCGACGATATAGCTAAGCGTATTCTAGATAGTATTAACTATGCCTCTATTATTAATCGAGAAGGTCGACCGGCTAACGCGGACTAATACAAGAATCTCGCATAGGGTACTATTATATACTAGCCGATCCGACTAAGCGGTCTACGTAATACCGAGATCCCTAGCGAAGATATTAATAGAGACCTAGATTAGGATAAGGATAACGAGGATACTATTATCGTTCCGAGAGGTATAGGCATAGGTATAGCTACTATACTAGAAACCTAGGAAGCAGGTAATACTAATGCTAATGCTAATACTAATACGCCTAGGCGCAAGAATTAGTCTAAGAATAATATAGAAAAGCGTAATAAGATCCCCGACATCTTCCGCTTATTGTTTAATAGCTAGTATATAGCGACACCTCGATGCCTACGTACTATCCTTAATAAGCGATACTAGGAAGAGCTCCGACTATAGGACCCTAAGGAGAGCCTAGATTCGAAGGACTACTATAACATTGTCTATAATCGCGATCTAGATTCGGTATTCTAGTAGGATAAATAGGCACTACGCCTACCGAAAGCCCTAGTTGTACCGTATAAGGGCTCTAAGCAGTACTTCTTACTACTATACCTATAGAAGTTCTTCGACCGGAAGGCTAATAAAGCTAGCGGCCGGTTTAATACGTACTTCTTTGCTCTTCTATCGAATACCCTTATCGAGGACCGATATATCTAGGACCTCTATAATATTATACGGCATCTAGCACTCGGCGATAGTAAAGAGCAGTCTACTAGCATAAATAGGGAGGAAATGCTTAAGAGTGCGCTAAAGTTCGATAACTAGTACTAGGCTAGCGGTAACAATCTTTACGATAAGCTACGCCTCGGTAAAGTACTTAGATATATTAACTACGACTTTCCTAAGGCATTTAAGGACTAGCAGAAGTACTATAAGGAGCGGAAGCGTAAGTAGGCTAAGCGAAAGACGGCCGTAGAGATAGTAACTAGCGATAATAGCGACGACTAGCCTCCGCCTCTGCCTCCGCCTCCGCCTATAGCCTAGGATCGTCTTCGCTAGTTATAGTAGGATTCGGACAAGTCTCGCGATGCTAATATGTCGCTAGTAAAGAAAGCTATTATAGGTAATCGGAAGGCAAAGGGGAAGCAGTCTTAATCGTAACTAAAGGCGAAAGGTAAGCGTATAGGAGATCTAATCTAGGATAATAGTGCTACGGCCTTATCTGCTCGTATACTAATATAGCGGATACTACGCCGCCGGCGCTAGCGAGAGGATAAAGACAGTAATTATAGCACTCTAATCTCGGTCGCTAAGTCTGCTCTTCGTAAGGCTATAAGCAATCGCCCGCGTCGTATACTATCGCTAACTCTAAAAGTACGAGAGAACTTTACTCTTATTAGCGCGGATATCCTACCGGAGAATCTGCTCGAGGAGAGCCCGACTCGTCGTAAGAAGAGATAGATAGCGCTAGAATAGCGCTAGAATAGCGCTAGAATAGCGCTAGAATAGCGCTAGAATTAGCGCTAGAATTAGCGCTAGAATTAGCATTAGAATTAGCGCTAGAATTAGCATTAGAATTAGTATTAGAATTGGCGCTAGAATTAGCATTAGAATTGGCATTAGAATTAGCGCTAGAATTAGCACTAGAATTAGTACTGGAATTAGCATTAGAATAGCGCTAAAATTAGCACTAGAATTAGTATTAGAATAGCGCTAGAATTAGCATTTAACAAGGTCCTTCCTTACTACCCTTCTATTATGTCCTTGTAAGCTCGCTAAGCAGGCTTGTTTCGAGCAGGACGATATAATCTAAGGACTCTCCTTGCTTATTAAAGACCTTATCCCTCTCCGTAACAAAGTCTAGTCGAGTATATTGCCTTAGCTGTTAACGCGCTTGCTAATAGGGCTTATAAATAGTCGTAGGTGTCCTAGTTGAGCTGCTTCTACGAGAGCTGTTAAGCTGCTTCTACGAGAGCTAGCGTATAGTAGAGCTAGCGTGTAATACCTAGTTAAGTTGCTTCTACGAGAGCAGGCCTAGTTAAGTTGCTTCTACGAGAGCTAGCGCTAGAATTGACACTAGAGATAGCGCTAGAAATAGCACTAGAAATAGCGCTAGAAATAGCGCTAGAAATAGCGCTAGAAATAGCGCTAGAAATAGCAGTAGAGTTGGCAGTAGAGTTAGCATTAACAAGATCCGTTATAGCTACCCTTCTATTATGTCCTTATAAGCTCGCTAAGTCCTTGTCCTTCTACGAGTGCAGGCCTAGCACTAAGCTATCGCCGCTAACCCTGCCTAGTTTAGCTGCTTCTGCGAGAGCCGGCGTATAATATAGGATGCCTAGTTAAGCTACTCCTACGAGAGCCGACGTATAATATAGGATACCTAGTTAAGCTGCTCCTACGAGAGCCGACGTATAATATAGGATGCCTAGTTAAGCTACTCCTACGAGAGCCGGCGTATAATGTAGGATGCCTAGTTAAGTTGCTTCTGCGAGTACTAGTTAAGCTGCTTCTGCGAGAGCTAGTTAAGCTGCTTCTGCGAGTGCTAGCGTATAGTGCCTAGTTTAGCTGCTTCTACGAGAGCTAGCGCTAGAATTGGCGCTAGAATTGGTATTTAATAAGGTCCTTCCTTACTACCCTTCTATTATGTCCTTATAAGCTCGCTAAGTAGGTTCTTCTATTATGTCCTTATAGGCTCGCTAAGCAGGCTCTTCTATTATATCCTTATAGGCTCGCTAAGTAGGCTCTTCTATTATGTCCTTATAGGCTCGCTAAGTAGGCTTTTCTATTATGTCCTTATAGGCTCGCTAAGTAGGCTTTTCTATCGTATTCTTTGCGATAAGGGTTTATAGATAGTCGTAGGTATAGATAGTCGTAGGTGTCGATAGTATATAAGAGCTAGGCGAGAAGCGTAAATTCGAGGAAGCGATAAGGATACCGAGTCCCGCTAAGACCCCGGATTTAGTATAGCAGAGCGCTTAATTAGTAGGATTAAACGTTATAGCTACTTCCTTCCGCGTATTTACAATACCGACTTTACGACTTTTATAATAGCATTACTAATATAGCGAGATACGTCGATTTAGCGCGTTTCTAGTAAATAGCGCTAACAAAAGTGTCTAACACGATAACGACGGCCGCCTTAGGCACTAACACTAGCGAGAAGTTACTAGCGAGAAGTTACTAGCGAGACTAGCGAGACTAGCGAGACTAGCACTATACTTATTATACCGCAGCTATTAGCACTACAATATATATAGCAAGGATAGATACGTAGGGCGATAATATATATCGAGCGCTCGTAAAAGCACCCTTTAAGAAGCTACGATAGCCCTCTTACGTTAACGCCCTCTATTGCTTAGACTCTCCCTAGAACGATTATTCCGATAACTAGTTACTATACAAGGCAGAGAAAACGAATAGTAGCGTCCGGGGATCTAATTAACTAGCGGTACTAAGCGGCTGCAGAAGTATATACTCCGAAGTATACTAGCATTATATATAGCCTATATACTACGCGTAATGCGTAACAATTAACGCATTCTATTACTAACTATAGCACGCGAGGTATATAGGAAGGGACTTATTAAGCGAAATACGACAGCGATCGCTAAAGCGACACTTATTAGTACCTAGACAACAATAGAGTATAACCGCGCCCTTAGTGTTAGAGATACCGCGAAAAAAAGGTTATCGAGCGCGTTATAGTCGTATAGCAATATTAATACGCTTACTAGAAGAGGAGGCGTACTATAGTCGGATAACAGTCTTAATACGCTTACTAGAAGGGGAGGCGCACTATAGTCGAATAGCAGTCTTAATACGCAAAGGGCTACAGTCGTATAGTAGCAGTAAAGACTAAGACTAAGCGCCTTCGGGCTTAAGTACACTAGAGGCCCTTACGCAACGACTAAGGTTATTATAACTAATAGTCCTAACGAAGGCGTTACGCCGACTTAACTAGATACGCGTATATTATCCTATAAAGAATCCGAACGTAGGAAGCCTATAGCCGCTACTTAAGGTATACCTTACTAAAGAGTTTTTACTAAGTTGGACCTATAGCAATGCTACGAACCTATTAACCTACTTAGTCTATTAACCTACTTAGTAGGAGAGTCGCTATCGAGCCGCTACTTAAGGTATACCTTACTAAAGAGTTTTTACCGAGTTAGACTGTTAGCCGCATTATAGGTATACCTTACTAAAGAGTTTTTACCTCCGCTAATCTACCCGAGACCCGTAGTCTATTGCACTAAGACAAGACTGCGATCTAACAATAACTATACTCTTTCGGTTAAATGCATAGTCGACGCCCGCTAAAGCTATAGTATACCTACTCGCTAGGAGAGTCGCCTCGCAACGTCTTGCTTAGCAAAGCCTATCGGAGACCAAACCTCGAAGAGAAAGGACTAAACAAACTACCTGCCGAGGAACCTTAACTATTAGACAAGCGGCTCTGTCGGTAGCAAGCCGTAGAACTAGCAAGGAATAGTGTTAATCGCTATAGAGCTACCTATATACGATAAAGAGGTATCGACACTGTTGCTATTAGAAGCCGATAGCTAGTGTGTTACTAGGGGTATTAGTATATTAGTATATATAGAAGAAGAAGAAGAAGAAGAAGAAGTTAAACTAGGAAGCGTAGGTCTATATTAGCGCATCGCAGGTAAAGTTTGCCTCTACTAATAGGATTGCGCTATTTAGCTATAATAGTAAGGCAACAATAACGGCTATACATTATCGCACTTTTAACGCAATAGCCGCCGACTGCTAGTCGAATGCCTAAGGCTAGAATTACTAGCGACTAGAGGCATTATACGCCTAGCCTAGCTAGCTATTAAGCAATTATCGTACGCCTAGCTAAACCCTTCGTAGCTAGCTATTAAGCAATTATCGTACGCCTAGCCTAGCTAGCTATTAAGCAATTATCGTACGCCTAGCTAAACCCTTCGTAGCTAGCTATTAAGCAATTATCGTACGCCTAGCCTAGCTAGCTATTAAGCAATTATCGTACGCCTAGCCTAGCTAGCTATTAAGCTATTATCGTACGCCTAGCTAAACCCTTCGTAGCTAGCTATTAAGCAATTATCGTACGCCTAGCCTAGCTAGCTATTAAGCAATTATCGTACGCCTAGCTAAACCCTTCGTAGCTAGCTATTAAGCAATTATCGTACGCCTAGTTAAACCCTTCGACTTTATAAGTACCCCCGACGAGGCACGCACTCTAGTCTACCGCTACTACTTCGCCGCCAACCGCACTTTTAACGCAATAGCCGCCCGCTGCTAGTTTAGTGCCGAGGCTATACATTAGGCTAGTAACTAGAAGGTAACTAGAAGCTATTAACGAGAGCTAGATAATAAATATATTAGATTGGATTGCTATATATCTAGACTCCGAATATGCCGAATATAAAAGCTATTTTAATTTAATCCTTAATCGCTGCAATACCCTAGTCTATAGCTATAGCTGTTGCAACAGCCTCGTTATTATCTTAGTCTAGATCCTAATACTCGGTATAATCGAAGTAGCTAGTAGCAGTAGCGGTCTCTTAGATAGCACTATATATAAGTATTAGGTCGTCGCTATCGTCTATTCTACTGCTAGTTCTACTAGTTCTACTAGTTCTACTAGTTCTACTAGTTCTACTAGTTCTACTAGTTCTACTAGCTCTACTAGCTCTACTAGCTCTACTAGCTCTACTAGCTCTACTAGCTCTACTAGTATCGTAAACTAGGTTACGATTAGCATCGTTAGACTATAGCATGTCTAGGTCTGCGAGTGCTACGCTATATAGTATGCCGCTAGCTATAGTATAGAAGCCGAGATTGCTACTACTACTACTACTACTATCGTCTGCGCCTAATGCCTAGATATATCCTACTAGTAGTAGACCGTCGCCTAACTAAGGAAAGCTATTAGCATCTATATATAGCTTATCTGCCTTATTAATAGCCCTAGCACCGAGTAGACTACGATCTCCGCTATGTCCGTTAAGTCCGTAGCTACGAGCATTAGCACTATTAATGCTATCGACGCTATTATTGCCTGCCTCGTTTGTACTTATAGTTACATACCGAGAACGAGCGCTATAAGCTTCATTTAACGCCTTAATCGCTAGTACTAGCTTACTAATACTAATCTGCTAAATATCGTCCGATAGGATACGATTATCCTCGGGAGAATCCTTACTAACTAGCTGTCGCTCTATAAGGCTATCTCGGAACAGCTTATCGGCTATACTTAGTATATCGGTTACGGCGTTCTTGTTAGTATAGTAATTAGTACCTTTAACACCGATCGCGGATATAAACATCTTCTTTAATGCTCGAGCTACGCGGCGATTACCGGCCTTCTTACGAGCGATAGTAGCTATATTATAGGTCGAGTTACTAAAGTAGTTTAGGTCTAGAGTTAGGTCGTTATTAATAAGCTCGATTTCCTTATCTATAGCGATGCCTTTACCTTCCTTACCCGAGGGATTTACGATAGAGATAGCTATTAATGCTCGACGTAACGGCTAATCCTATTCGAGTAACTAGCGGAATTCTAGTATATACTTCGCGTAGTTAGTCTAGTTAGTTCTAAGGAATAGAACGATAAGGTAGTCTACTATACGCTTTAAGTAACCGACATCTATTTTCCGGATAGCAGTACGTAATACGCATTATTATTAGCTCCTCGATCTGTATAAGCAAGCGGTATATAGTAGTATAATTAGCATCCTAGATAAGGACCTTATCCTTACTAATATACTTATTCTACTATACCTCCTTAGTAAACGCCTTAGTCTAGATGTTCTCGACTATTTATAGATACTACCCCGGCTCGAGATTAGAGATAGCGACCTTTAGTACCTCGATCCGGCTCTTCGACTTATCGGAATAGTCTAAAAAACCCTACGAGTCTATCTTATACTAGAAGCAGGTAGTAATACGGCTGCGGAACATACGATATAGTAGGTTTAAGATAAGGAAGTATTTAGGGTTCTCTTTACTAATACCTTTTATCGTATAGAATAAGGTATCGCCGACTAAGGAATAGGCAAGCTATACTTTATCGGAATTCTTATTAAAGTAGGTCTTAACGATGCCGTACGCTTTGTTTATATAGACATGTAGCTAGCTAGGCACGATTACGCCCTAGTCGTATCGATTATACGGGCGCTCCGACTCGACGCCTTCCGCTTAATAGCTATTAAAACGGGCACAAGTTATCTAGTCTTCGACGATTAGATATAGCCGACTCTTCTTATTGCGCGCGGCAATCTGTTTAGTAGAGTTGCTAGGTTGTAGCTAATATCCGAAGTCCTTATCCTTATCTAGCTATATATTATCGAGGAAGATATCCTTTAGAACCTCCTTAGATCTAGCAATCGATACCTTATCGTTTATTAATAGCTTTATTAGGACGAGATTAGTAGCTTCTTCTAGGTCTATAATATCGATTATTAGCTATATAAAGCGTTCGGTTTTAGTGCCCGGACGGAGATGCTTAGTGCTAATTCCGAGTGCTATATCGAGACTCTACGTAATAGTCGACTAATATCGTATCTCGAAATCGTAACCCTCGAACACACTCTTTAGCTCTAGTCTAAATACGATACCTAATGCCTAGTCGACATAGTATAACGAGAGGTGCTTATAGGTTCTATACTTCGCGTCCTCGGCAAGATTTCCTAGGATGTGTTTATAGCTAAGCTCCGAGTTTAAATTAATTGTGTCCTTAGTCAAACCTTCTGCTAGAATACGCTCGTTAATACCGATATAGGAGGTAGTTATATTTAGCATCTCCGTACGGTTACCCTGCTTCTAGACGCCCTTGCGATTCTTCTACTTAACTAGGTTATCGTATACCGAGAAACTCCGCTTATCTCGAGCTATTACGATTATACGCTAGTCCTAAACTGCCTCTGTCTTTAGCATTAGTGCCTGAATCGTGCGAGCGGCACTAGACAGGCCTATATTGTTAATAACACTAATTATATAGTATAGCATACTACTAGTAACTAGGTATAGGCTAAATTGCTTACCGAATATAGAAGCCTTCTTTAAGGAGATCGAGCGAGTAGCTATTTGTGTTGTTACTATAATGCGCTTACGGAGGCGGTCCTGCTTGTACGGAGGCGACTCGTTCGTAGTCTTATCGAGTAGGATCTTCTTATTCGGAAGTAGCTTACATAGAAGATTTACCTAGGTTAGTATAGTGTCTTCGATAATACTATATATCTCCTATAGGTTAACCTCCTTTATCGAATCTTCCGGTTTGTACTAGTTAAAGAATAGCTTACTAATAAATTGTAAGCTTCTTAAGTTCGTTATAAATAACTCGAGCTAAGATAATATGCTTATATTTAAGGGTAGCTATAGACTAGCGGATATAGTTGCGATAAGTCCTATTTAGCTTCTCGCTATAACTATTAAAGATTATTATCTACTGCTTAGGCGGGAGCCTAGTACGCTTTATCTCTCCGAAGATGTTAACGTACTTCTACTCGCGGGTACGACGCTAACTACGAACGCGTTAAGTGCCTCGAGTAGTCCTATTCTATTAAATACGTCGCTAAGGGCTAGTAGCGGCGGCGGCGGCAGCGGCGGCGGCGAGTCGAGTCTGCTATCGAGTCTAGCGGCGTAGCACTATAGCTGCGCTAGTATATTCCGTATTTTCCTTATTCGCGAGTTTATTACAATTATCCTCCTCGATATCGCTAAATAGATCGATAGCCTCGTTTTCTTCGATAGAAGCCTCCTCCGCCTTTTCTAGTATAACATTATTATCGCTAAGATCCTCCTACTTATATGTTTCCGCCTTATATATATCCTTATTAGCGACCGCCTAGAATAGGGCCTCTCTACGTACCTCTTCGTCGATAGTAGCCTCTTCGTCGATAGTAGCCTCTTCGTCGATAGTAGCCTCTTCGTCGATAGCGGCCTCCTTATTAGTAGCTATCTAGCGCTCTACCTCGATATGTTACTAGTCTATATTAAGCGTAGCTTATATACTAGCATCTGCCTTAAAATCTAGATTTAATTTAGATAATAGCTTAGACAACTTATTCGGATATAGATTTAGCGGTAGGCTAGAAAGCGTACTTAGTAGGTCTAGTAGGTCGGAGTCTAGTAAGTCGACGTCGGATATATTAGCGGTAGATGCGAGTAGTAGATGCGAGTAGTAGATGCAAGTAGTAGATATAAGTAGTAAATACGAGTAGTAGATACAAGGCGGAAGAAGCTAAGAGTAAGAGGAAGAAGAAGAAGAAGAAGGGCGGCAGCCCGCTATTATACCCGTAGCTTAAAGCGGCAAAGCCCTATTGCCTTTAGGCCTACTTAAATAAAGAGCGTATAAATAAGGCCTTTTTTTCGAATTACTAATAGCGATATACGATATACGATATACGATATACGATATACGATACACGATATACGACATACGATATACGATATACGATATATAGAGATAGTCTACCTTAACGCGTATCCGAAGCTAAATAAGACTATGTTTTACGAGGTTTCTTAGCGCGACAAACGACGGCCTATAAGAAGCCGCCTATAGAAGGCCGCCTATACGTAGGATCTTCTATCGCTTAATGTATAACCGAGAATAGTTAGTAGATAATATGCTAGTGCTAGTGCTAGTGCTAGTGCTAGCTTTTAGTGCTAGCTTTTAGTAATAGCTAAGTAACCTCCGCTACTTAGACATAATACAATAACACTACGCTCTATATAAATATAGCTTATATTAAAGTAATTAAGAATTAGCTATTCTAGAACCTCCGAGTTATTACTTGTCGAGATCCGAAGGTCTCATTTTGAGTACCTAGCTTAGCTCCGCTTAAGAGCTAGTAGATAGTAGGCATACATTTTCTCGATATATAGCTTATATAAACAGTACTTAGGATTAGCTAGTCTATAACCTCCTAGTTATAGACGTATATATTTCCTATATTAGATATTAGGTAGCAGCGCTCTATAACAATCCGTCGTATACGTATATCTGCCCGTAGTAAGGATTGCTTGTTTTCTTTGCAACTATATATCGCATTTAAATATTATATATATAGAATAACTTAGAAATAGTAGGGCTATAATATGTATGCATCAAATTATAGTATTCTACGCTAGTTGGTGATCTTTTATTTTTATAAGGATAATACTATAGATTTAGCACATTTGTCCTTAGACCCTTGCTAGCGTAAGGAGGTTAGTATAGTTTAGTATATAGGTGTGTAGGTCTAGTCGCGTAGTAGTCCGATATAGAATAGTTAGAGGTAGAAGCTGGAAGGGTAGTTGGAAGGTAGAAGGTACTAAAGGTAGTAGTTAGAAAGAGCCCACCACCTGCTACACTAAAAACCTCCTTGCGCTCAAACAGCAAGGGGCTAAAACGGAGATAGGTTCAGAGGTGGAGAGCTGAGGCATGGAGAATTTGTCGCGCCTCTCGAACCACGTTGCTCGAGCACACTTCATCTTGTCAATCCTCAAATACTGCGGTATTCTGATGCTATTCTAGACTGCGCCCATGAAGGATATCATCGGTCATATTCCATCTCTCGTGACGCAAACGCATGTTGAAGCAGCAAGCTGTTACGAGCCAAAATGGTACCTTACCCTCTAATTCGTCGTGATTATAGCTACCAGAGTGCTCAATGCGCTTGTATGCACTGTTTCTGCTGGCACGAACAAGATATATATGTTCAATGTCTGTCATCAGACAAGACACATATCCATATCCATATCAGATCGTAAGGTTTCGGCTACCGGGATTTGTATGCCAACCTAAATGTGATCGCCGCAGGTGAGTGGGGCATGAATCCTACCACCGGCCGGCTGCCAACTACCACTTGACTTGACTGCTGCTGCCTTGCTTGCTGCACGTTGCTTCTCCTGACCGCTCCTAGTGATATTCGGAGGCAGCATTTGCAATTTTGTGAAGTCCATGAACAGACCCTAGAGCACCCAGTCTCTCGCCAGCGAACCGCTCGACCTCGAGGATGGTGGCCCCCATGGCGGCGAAGGGCAAGTAACTCCGAGTGTTCCAGTCGCACATGCAAGTGGCCGCCACATCGAAGTGGTCTCGTGTCACTGTCTTCTGTTGTTGGCCGGCTGCCACACGCTCTTCCACAACTCAATCAATCAAGGCTAACATGGATCGTACATCAGGCATCATCCTTTCCATCGGCATTATTGCTGCCCTCGGCCTCGCCGTAATCGAGAATCCGCAGGTGAAAGAATGGCTTGAACAGCAACGGCGAAAGGTCGCAGAACTGCTTCGGCAAATCGGCGAGGACCTAGATCCACAATCACGGAGGCAAGCAGAGGCCTTTGCCTTTGAGGGCCGAACGATCGCAGACGATGAGAAGCTACGGCGCGAGGCTGAGGGCAGCAGGGAGGCTGCGGCTCTGGCAACAGGAAGGTCATTCTCAAATGCGAGTACAATCAGGCGGATCCCTGTGAAAGGCCCTACAGATCCCGACGAGGCAGAAGAGCGACGAAGGAAAGGTCGAGAATATCTTGCACGACGAAATCAGCAACTGTACGATCTCCAGCAGAGACGTAAGGCTGCCGCTAAAGCTGCTGGTGCCGAGAGTCCTCCCACACCCACTTTCGACGAATTGGTCGACTCACAGGGTAATTTGAAAGGCTCCACAGTGGTCAATAAGAGGGAGCTGCCATTACCGCCGCAGATGGAGCCCTTGCCGGAACCGGTCGTGGAGGACATGCGACAAGTTGAACGCCATCTCGCCCAGCCTATCGCAGAATCAAGCTCTGCTGGCGCGAGTGGATGGTCTTGGGGTTCTTCGCTTGCAAATCCGTTTGCCGACGAGTATGCGATTGACAGAAGCCTTACACCGAAACCGCCCGTGCCACCAAAGATCGAGCTTGATCATGTCGACCCGATGCCTATGGATGACAGAGCACCAGCACCACCCATACCTGTACCAAGAACCTTTCCGCCTCAGACAACTGAGCACCGGCCAGAGCAGCAGCATCAGATTAGTACTGAAGGCTTGTCTTATGAAGAACAGCTTGCCATTGCATTGTCCCTATCTGATCAAGAAAGCTCGCCCAGACGACATCCCGAGCTAGAAGAAGATGATGACCTGAGGGCTGCGATTGCTGCAAGTCTCAAGGACATGAGCTCCCAACAGCCGGCGCAAGTCACGATGAATAACGGATCTCTTACACCGAGAGCGCTTCCCGCAGACTTGCAGCCACTTGTTGATCTCACACCCTCATCGCCTCCTACTGCGCCCAGATTGCTTCGCGAACATTGGGTGGAACTATTCGATCGACAATTCTCGCCATCCAGGGAGCCACTTTCTCTAGCGTCGCAAAGCACTGGTGCCCTCTCTGAAGCGTCCGATGAACTTTATAGGATCACTCCTGAGCTCACCAAAGCACGTCTTGCAAGTCACAATGCGCAACAGTATGTGCCCACTCCTTCGTTAGCCGTGAGCTCATCGTTGCCATTTGATCCTGTCCGCGAGGCTGCTGGCCTACAACCTGCTCAGGATGTTACGGACACCAGTTTCTACTCTGCACCTAGCGAAGTCTCTGCTCCCCCTAGCTCTGCCACCTTCGATCGGGACACGCCACAGCTCATTGACGTGTCCGAAGATGCTCCACAAGAAGGCCAGCGCACACCTACATCCTACACTCACTCTTCATTTGGACTTCAGACAGAGTCCGATTCTGAGACCTGGGCCTCCGCCTCGACCTCGGCCCCGCCATCACGCACGGCCTCACGAACCGCTTCACCGCCACGCAGTGAGACTTCCGGCATTGAAGTCATTGACCTGGTCGAAGATAGTGATGTCGATATGCTGTCAGAGGAAGGCGATGGTGTTGCGACGCCTGATAGCTGGTCGGAAGTAGGCTCGCGTGATGGAGAGAGTGATATGGAGCGCGATAGCCGGCATCAGCCAGCCGCTGCATAAACAGCCGGCAAGCTCTTGACTTCCTTCCCTGCAGGATTGTCGTATTTTGCCTATGATGAATTTATAGTTTTCCAAGTTGGACTTTCGGAGAGGAATTCATACACTTCGTTGCTTATACTCGGCCAGCCTTTCAAAGACCTGTTTTCCATTCCATAGCTCTCCACTCCCCGCTGGCTGTGCAAGCTTAGGCATGCCGGTCTGCTCTATGCAGAAACTGGCTGCCACACTTCCCCACCTTGCTGCCTCTACAAAATCCAGATTTGTGCGTGCTAGACCTACTGCGAGGCCGCCCAGAAAGCCGTTGCCACCACCTGTAGGATCGACGACTCTACTTGCGTTGGTATGATATGCCGGCAGCCATTTCCTCGAAGTTCTCGAAAGCACGAAACAGCCTGCAGCCCCACTTCTCACCACAACTGCCCCTGAGTTCTCCGGTCCTATTCCATGTTCCAGAAATCTCTGAGCATGGTTTTCGATAGCTGTCTTGACCACTTTGGCGTTATGTGTAAAGGCAAACATACTTGCGAGCTCATCATGGTTGGGGCTGATCACATCGACGTATTTGAGTGCCTGAAAGGTGTTTTGAAGCTCGGAGGGAGTGCAGAGATCCGGAACAGGCTCCCAGATTATAATCGGTCTAGGGTGATGGGGTCCGGAAAGGGCTTCACGTTTGGCAAGGATGCCTTCAACTTGATCGATACATCGTAAAGGGCTGCATATCAAATGAAAAGACCTTGAGGCTAGCAGAGTCGGTGTCAAGTCATCTGCTGTCAGTCGTTTCTTCTATTGATTCAAAGCAAGCATGTCAGTTCACGTGGTAGCTAAGCAAATCGGTGCAGACTCACCTCAGTCAAGTACCTGAAATCTCGGTGCTCATTACCACTGTAGCCATTCCATCCTCTCGTTGTCAGTGCTGGTCGATCTCGGAATAACGCACCAGTCTGCCAGGATTCGATTACCGAACGCAGCTCGGCTGGGAAGTCGGTTCCAGCATCTACTATCCAGCCTACCGATTTCGACTGTGGAGGCGGCGAGAAGAGCCTGGCACCTATGGCTGAGAAGGTTCCTGCTCCGCCAATGACATTTTTCTGGGGAGTCTGATCTTTTGCATTGGGTGGTGGATAGATGTCGTCTGTTGCAGTCATTCGCCATTGTTGGACTTGGTGAATTGTTCGGACGGCCTTGCACTTACCAATGATGAACATGCCCAAGGTACAGAAATCGATCTGAACATGATGGCCATTTCCAGGCTTCGGCTCTGCGTTGACGACGTCTTTGATGTCCATGGCGACTGTCAGACGTAGAAAACAGCAATGGTGTCAAGATGATCGTTCTTGTCCTTGCTGAGTGGCAGCCAACAGCTGGCAATGCTTCGGGAATACTACACTGCACTCTCGAGTAGAAGTCGTGGTCCCAGGTAACCATAGCGTGAAGTTCATCTTGAGCCGAGGAGGTTGGAGCTCGTTGGTGTCATGTCTTGCTGCCGGTATGTGTGGCAGTGTGTAGCTAATGACAGCGATCGCACACGAGCGGCCACATGGCGGAGGAGGAGGAGGAGCTCGTCGGCGAGTATTGACACGGACGAGAGAAACAGAAACAGAGTTGTGGCGCACCGGCGCAAGGTTTAAAGGTTAGGACTATTCTAGTTCTAGGATAGGTCAGGCCCGAGCATGGCATGGCATGGCATGGCATCCTCAGGATCAAGCTCAAAGTTGGAGGCTTCATCTTACAACATTCTCCCGCTGCACATTATTATTCATTGACGAATTCTGTCTGCGCATTCGCCCGCGACGACGACGTATCGTTCTGCCCTCTGCAAATAGCCACGCACGATCGGCGATTCGACACCCTTGCACGACCCAGCAAACGGAAGCAGCAGCAGCAGCAGTGTCAGCTGGCCAAACAGCGGCAGTGGAGGGTGAAGAATGGCTGCACCTTCGACTCAAGGCATGAACAACCTCACAACCCTGATCAAGAGGTATGCGCTTGCCCTTGCGCTCTATCACACCAATTCCTCTCGATCGTTACTGAACAAGTCGCCTACTCCTTTCGCCTCTCTCTGCCAGCATGGAGAGCAAACCTCGATTCAGCAGTGGCAGCTCCATCGCTGTCGTGCATACAGACAACCCACTGACGCATTTCATCCGCAGACTTGAGGCTGCCACATCACGACTCGAAGACATCGCCTCTTCAGCGCAGTCGTTCGAACCACAATCGCAGACCAATGGCGTTGCTTCAGGAGCAAGTGCTGCTGGCACCAAGCCGTCCGCCAGCGCTCCTGAACTGCCTGTCGTCGCACCCTCTGTCAGCCAACAAACAGCGAAAGCTATCTCCGATCCTCTTCCGCCCGCCATCAGTGATATGGATCAATTGATCGACAATGAGGTCAAGTCATTTATCGATTCGAGCAAGGGATTAGACCCATTGGTGAAAGAGCAGGCGGCAGCAGTGGCAAAGGGCTTTGCAGACCAGAGACGATTCTTGCTTGTGACCACCAAGGCGAAGCGACCGGATCAGTCATCGCAGACCTTCATGGATCTCCTCAAAGATCTGCAGCAAGACCTTGGGACGGCTGGAGACATTAAAGACAGCAACCGCGGTTCTGCTATGAAAGAGCATCTAGCCATGGTCGCTGAAGGAATAAGCACTCTTCAATGGCTCGTGATGGACGGACAGCCTGCTGATGTGGTGGGAGAGATGATTGGCGGAGCACAGATGTATGGCAATCGAATCCTGAAGACCTACAAGGAGGGAGACCAGACGCATATCAAGTTTGTCCGATCCTACGAGGCCCTGCTCAAAGCTCTGCAGGCATATATCAAGAAGCATTACCCTAAGGGTGTGACATGGAATTCGGCGGGTGTCGACGCTGCCCAAGCTCTACGTGATATCGATGAGAAGCCCACAGCGAATGGTGTACCCGCTCCTGCTCCATCTCCAGGTGGCGCTCCTCCACCACCGCCGCCTCCGCTACCAAACTTTGACAACCAAGCTCCACCTCCGCCCCCACCTCCGGGAGCACCTCCAGCGTCTAAGGGAGCGGGCGACATGGGTGCCGTTTTTGATCAGCTCAACAGAGGTGAGGCCGTGACGGCTGGCCTAAAGAAAGTGGACAAGAGCCAGATGACGCATAAGAACCCGTCACTTCGCGCTAGCTCTACTGTACCTGAGAAAGGCGATATCAACCGGTCCAGGAGTCCGGGTCCCGAGATCAAGCCAAAGCCGACGAGCATGCGCCAGAACAGTACTGCTTCGCACAAGTCTCAGCAAAAGAAAGAAGGCAAGAAAGAACTTGACGGAAACAAGTGGCTGATTGAGAACTTCGACTCGCCCTCAGGACCTATCGAAGTCGATGTTGAGATCACCCAGTCTATCCTGATCACGAAATGCAAAAACACAACAATCATCCTCAAGGGCAAAGCGAACGCTGTCTCAATTGACAACTCCCCACGCGTACAAATACTGGTCGATACACTTGTCTCTTCCGTCGATGCCATCAAATGCCCGAACTTCGCCATCCAGATTACGAACACTGTCCCAACGATCCAGCTCGATCAGGTCGACGGCGCTACAGTGTACCTCGGTGCAGAGAGCTTGAACACCGAGGTTTACACCAGTAAATGTAGCTCGATAAATGTTGTTCTGCCACCAGAGAAGGAGGAAGACGACAGCAAGGAATGTCCTCTGCCTGAACAGATCCGTACATTCGTCAAAGACGGCCGGCTCATGAGTGAAATTGTGGAGCATGCGGGTTGAATGTAATGGTAGGAGCAAGACGTACGTGTACTTGGATAGAGAGAGACTCCTGCGATCGAGCGCTTCATCTATTGAGGAACAGTTTAACCTCAAAGAGCCGCCAAACAATGTCCTCGCAGTGCTCCTGCCTCGAATCGACTAACCAATTGTAGGAACCGTGGAGATGGGCGAGAACCACGTTCGATCATACGAAAGCATAGTCTATGCTTAATCGTTCAGACATCGGCAAGGATGGCGACCTTTATGCCAGGGCCTTTCGAGAGTCTTGTCACAATAATGGGAGCGCAGTCATCGTCCTTTCATCCATGTGAGACTGCCTGGCGAAGACCAGCATGCAAGCCTCAATCTGCTGCGTGGTGTCTCGCGGTATAATTATGGACATTTGAGGAATTGTCCGGCCAGCGGGCTTGCTTATTAGAATCAATCGATTCTCGAATCTTCTCATGCTGTAGAATAGTCAGCGCGCCGACTCATGCGCGCACAGTCACATCGCTGTGATTCAAAAATCAATGCGCGCTCGGGGCGAAGACTTGACTTTGACATCGCTCTGTGGTCGCTCGCGCAAAGACTCAAGTCTCAGTTCATCCCAGGGCTTCTCACGCGGCAGCCTCGTGTCGTGGCGGTGCGTTCCGATTCCGATCGACGTCATGCTCGCGGCAACTCTGGCATTCTTGATTCGAGCTCATCATCACGCGAACACCACCACACCTGCTTGATCTTGGACTTCTCACCACGCGCCCCGCCCCTTGCTCCTGCCTACCCACCGACGGCGCTCTTCCCACGCTCGCCTCGTCTTCAGCAACCCTCGCAAGCGCTGCGGTAGCGATCACAAAGAGGCTTGGAAGACAGCATCATCCGGCTTTGTCATTATTCAGCACAAACCCCACCAGCAAACACATTCTAGCTTCGCGCGTGCCCTTGTCGCTCACCTAAGTACAGGCCACGACTACGATTCTGGGGCATACTGCTTCGTCGATAGCCTGCGGAGCCTTTGCTCCACTTTCGAGAAGAAACCACATCGCATATCGATATGGATCGCCCACAAGCACCACCACAGCGCGAACTTGTCTACTGCCATCAATGCGAGAACGAGTGGTATCGCGATGAGCATGGCATAATTTGCCCCGAATGCCAGTCCGACTTCACCGAGATCATCGAGCATAACCACGACCCGCGGGAGGAGATCATGACCGGCCCAGACTTTACTGGCTTCGCACCCGATCCAGATGAGGATGATATTGGCAATTTCGAGTGGCGGAATAATGGTCCAGGTCAGCCGCCTGGTGGTCACTATCATGGCACATTCACCAGGAATATCACACTTGGGGGCGGAGGACAACCAGGTCAAGGCAGCGGCGGCATAGGTGGAGTCTTGTCAGGGCTAATAGGACCAGCTCTACAAGGCCTGCTCGGCGGTCAGCAACAGCCTCGCCAGAACCAGCAAGATCCTCGCGGTCAAGATGGCCCGCGATCTCCTGCTTCTCAGTCTGGCTCACCTGCACAAGGCGAACAGCAGCGTGGCAATGGTAATACGTTCGTGCGGCACGGCTCTGGTCCTGGTTATAGTTTCACCATCACCACATCGGCCAACGGTAACCTCTTCCCGCGCGACGCAAATCAACCACAACCTGTTCACGACCCCCAAGAACATCTCGATAGGATGATGGCACAGATGTTCATGAATATTGGTGCGCGGCCGATGGGTGACGGTCCAAACGGTCCCAGAGGCATCTTTGTGCAGGCTGGTCCAGGTGGCATAATGGGCGGTCCTTCAGGGTTTCCCGACATACTACGACTATTCGGAATGCCACATGGTGGCGTCCAGGGTGATGCCGTCTATACCCAAGAAGCTCTGGACCGCATCATTACGCAGCTGATGGAGCAGCACCAGACGGGCAATGCCCCGGGCCCGGCCACAGAAGAAGCAATCGACGCGCTACCAAAGCGAAAGATCACGGCAAAAGATCAGGGCGACAGTGGCAAGGCCGACTGCTCAATCTGTATGGATGAGGCGGAGCTTGGATCTGACGTGACCGAGCTGCCTTGTGGCCATTGGTTCCACCACGACTGCGTTAAGGCCTGGTTGAAAGAGCACGACACTTGTCCCCACTGTCGTCAAGGCATCATGCCTCGGGATGATGCGAACACTAACCGCCCTCGCCAACCCTCCCAAGCTCCCATGCACGACATGCATTCGCCAGAGTATCAGCGACAAAATTTGCCCGGTGAGTACCCGTTCCCGCGGCAGAGTTCGTCTGGCGAGCGTCGTAGTGCGAGTCCTCGCGCAGAGCGGAGCGGCGGTGTCTTCAGCCGGATGCGAGAAGCATTTACACCTCGCGAACAGCCACCCAGCAACGACGGAGGAAATAGACCTTGAGGAGGCTTTTTATGGATTTTGTCATTGAGAGGGAATTGGGATACTTTCATTTTCATGTAACGTTTAAGCGATTCACTAGCATGGCGTTGACAGGCATTGTAGCAATAGATGACACGAACGGCAGCGTAACGAGACGTCGAGTCGGCGCACGCTCACGTGTTGCCGCTCTGATTCGCCACGCGAGGAGGAGACAACACAGTGATCCGCTGCGGCCGAATGGGCGGAGAGATAGAGGTAGACAAATGGGCAGTGGATTTGTGTAGGTTTTCCAGTCCATTTCATGCCGCCATAGCATACGCGGGTTCCTCAGGCTAGACGAATTTGAGTCACAAGAACTGATGAGAACATCGTTCTGCAGTACCGCGACACTAGAATTCTCAAGACCGTCTCATTCACGAGGTCGCGGAATCCCACGGCGACAGGTGCGGATTGTTCCATCCAGCGAACGTGTTGACTGCGGCCTCTTCAGACAGTTCCGGGTTGCCTGGTGCTGGGCGAGTCGAAGCTGTCCCCGGCACCCTCCCCCCTTACTCCAGATCGGCGGCAGGGTCACTGAGATCCATAGGCACTCAAACGGCGTCATACATGTGACAATGATTCTTCCGAGCCGACCAGCAGTTGATAGCCCGCAGGAGCAAATCAACAACATCATCGCTCGACACGAGCGAGACATGTGGATAATCAGGATGATGCTACGCATGGATCTCATCGGACATCGCATGGCGCACCGGCCTTCCTTGTTAACTTTACGAGGAGATATACCGCCAGTCGTGCGGTGAAAAGGTTTGTCGCCCGAGGAGGTGAGAACGTATTGATTGAATGAGCTTTAGACCCTTGGGTGGTACCTTAGATGGCTTTCGAGATAAGAAACCTCGTACCTAGTATCCTCATTCCTTCCTTTCTCGGGGCCTCGCCGTCATATGCATAATGTCGACATTGCCCGCTCAGCCACGAACTGTGAAGCACAAGAGTGGACAGCCCTTCCGTAACAGTGATCGATCTCTCAGCCACTGTCAGGTAGCACATCATTGTAAGCTGGAGCCAGAGCCTTGCTGATTTCACCCAGCCGGAGTTATTCTCAAGTGGAGTCTGGATTTCGCAACCATTACCTCTTACTGTGTTCCCACCATCAGCGCTTATGCTAGCATGACCCTCTCGCACAGCTCGTAAACCATTGATCGTCGGCGAAGAGGTCAAGCTTCGGACAGTCGGACAGTAAGTTTTAGAGTACCGCATTGTTGTGCATTTCAAACTGGTTGTACGTGCTTCCAAGACAAGCCATAATCTAGTTTGCTGCAGTCGGAGAAAAGGCAGCAGCCTAGTGCATTTTCTTCTTGATAACTGTTTGGCGATGACCTGCCTGATAAGGAATTCAATAGCCGCACAAGGTCACATCGACCATTGATGTCGCAAGATCGTCCTCCTGCCTTGTCGAGAAGTGTCGGGTCTCTTGGCAAACTCCGTGGCATGGCTGCAGACTTCCGCGCCCTCGGCGTGATCGTCTTCGCTGATTCGCTTGCCTTGCAATCTTGACAACCCACAACGCCGTTTCACACGACGTCGACCGCGAATGACCTTGGTGGCGTGCCATTCCATCTATATTGAAGCCGACCGCATCTGGACAACACTGCTTATCTGACAGGTCGGCGACATGGAGAACACATGTCTTGCGCACCTTCTCGCGTGGTCCTTTGTGTTACTGTTCCAATCAACGAATGTCTCAACTCTGGACCCGCATGACTAGAGATATCACAGAATGCATGTGTGTAGCAAGATCCTACCCGAGCAGCTACGAAGCGAGAGAAGCATTAAGAATTGTACCAGTGCATCCGGCAAGAGTTCTCCAAACAGTGCTACGGCCTCGGACGGCGTTCGCCTGCGAGCCTTCCACCCACCGACAATCACAGCCTCGAGATGATCAGGACCGCAGCTCTAATATGAGCATGCGCCCATTAGGCGCATCAGGTAGCCTTCCGGTTGTGACCCGCTCCTCTTTGCCAAGTCAGCCATATCATGCAGGCTTGGTGGCTATCTGTTCGCACCTACCCGTCCTGGAAACATCACTGGCGAGTTAGAAACAGACAAGCTTCTTGCCTTTTCAACTTGTGGTGTCCACTCTGCATAAGGCAATTCTTGGCTGTGGCGGTTTGATGTTCGCTTTTGACAAGTTGCAAACAATTCTACGACTACGAGCCATGCTGGTGCGGTCGATCAATCAGTCCTGTACCGGTCGATTCAGCACGGCATGGGAGATGGAGTGGATGCAGCGGGGCACGGGGAGGTGCAATTCCCTCTGCTCTTCTGTTAGGTATAAAGAGGGCTATCATTGCTGTTTCTTTTCGAGAAGAGCCATCAAGGTCGATCTCAACTCACTCACTTACCTTTCAATTCAATCGCCTTCGATTGGTCAATTTACTTGCCTTTCTGGGATACCATCAGCTCGTTGACTATGAAGACTCAAATCCTCTCCCTATTGGCCAGCATTGGCGCTGCCTCTGCAGAACTCACTCGTTGCGGAACTGTCAATCCAAACGATACCACAATCGCCGAATTCAACGAGGCTGTCAACAATGCTGGAGACCTCAGAGTCCTGGCTGCCAAAGCCGTGACCGTCGACACATACGTACACATTGTCACTACACAAGCCAAGGCTGGAAATTACACTCGCGCCATGGCCCAAGAACAAATGTCAGTGATGAACGATGCGTACGCTGCGCTTGGGATTTCCTTCAACACAGTCACCATCGACGTCACCGTCAACAACGCCTGGGCCACAGCAGCACAAGGCTCCAGCGCCGAGCTCGACATGAAACGCGGTCTCCGCCAAGGTTCCTACGCAGAACTCAACCTCTACTTCACCAGTGACCTCGCCGGCGGCCTCCTCGGTTTCTGCTACTTCCCCAAGTCCCGCCCAACTTCCAAGGACCTCACTCTCGACGGCTGCGTTAACCTTGCCGGTTCCCTTCCAGGTGGCGACGCAGAAAACTACGACCTCGGCTATACCGCCGTCCATGAGACAGGTCACTGGTTCGGGCTGTACCACGTTTTCCAAGGCCAATCTTGCTCTGGACCGGGTGACTATGTCTCTGATACACCGATTCAGAGAATTGCCACGAGTGGTTGCCCTGCGAGCCAGGACTCTTGTCCGAATGCCACGGGTGTGGATTCTATTCACAACTTCATGGATTATTCTTACGATGAGTGTATGTACGAGTTTACAAGTGGACAGAGTCAGAGGGCGAATGCTCTCTACAGTCAGTACAGAGCTGGTAAATACACGTAAGTTTGGAAGCGAGCATGATGGATGGTGTTGGTATTGTTGCATGAAGCGAGGGTGTTTGATGGCGTTTGGTGTAGATGAAGAAGTTTCGGATTGATTTATACCCAGTTGGCCGGTCTACAGGGTTGGCGTGCGTTCCAGATATCGACAGTTGATTGATCCCGAGATAGAGATATACGGATGGATTCAGTTTCAGCTTCGCCTAATTCGACGTGTGTGATACCGTATGCTCCCATCCGAAACTTCATTTTGTGCCCTGATTCTGAGCCTTCATACTCCATTTGTTCGAACAGATGCCACCACTGTTATACGTCACCTCATGATAGGCAATTTGACGATCGCTCTTGACCCACCAGAACATCGTGATTTAGACCTCGCGGCCCAGCGATGTTGCAAGAACCTCGTCTCTACGGAGACAATGATATACGAGATAAAAGATAGCATCAACTTAGTAGGCACATATGAGGTCATACAGGACTTACATGGATGCAATTGCTCCAACGCACTTCGATTCACGGCCTCAGGCATCGAGTCTGAGAATGCCAGTGACAATGGTTGCAACTCATATTACATTCATCAATGCGCAGGCATGTCACCTCGTCGGATGGACCTCAATGTCTAGGGAGCAAAAGACAACGCGGTGAGTAAGAGGTTGGACAGTTCCTTGCGGAAAGGCCGGTCGATCAATCTTGCTTACGCCAAAATAGGGCCAGACCAAGGTAAGAGAAGTCAAGCCCAGAGTGTTGGTAAGCTGTAATGTGAGAGGAAGGAGATGGGAAGAGAATGTGTGCGAAGTCGCACGCCATGTCTTTGCAGGCTATCGTGCGGTGATTGCTGCTCCTGCTCATCATGAGCCGAAATATTGCGCCTCGAACGCCGTCATGCGGACCTCCGCTTTTTCATGATATCCGTAACATGGCCCTTGACTTGCTGCAGAGGGTATCTTTTTATGCAAACTCCATACCGCCACGTCGAATTTACTCCTCTGGTATCTCAATCTCGCCGGACTCGATGTCGTCAGAGATGGCCTTTGGTGATCGGCCGTCAACCTGGCAACCAGTGGAGAAGGCAGTTCCGAGAATCTCCTTGACGGTACCCTTGAGGTCCTTGGCCATGGACTTGAAGCGCATCTTGCGGGCGATCTCGATGATCTCGTCGAGTGGGATGGACTTGGTGTGCTTGATGTTCTTCTCCTTCTTGCGGTCACGCGGTGGCTCCTTGAGGGCCTTGATGACGAGCGAAGAGGCGGATGGGACGACAGAGACGGCAGCTTGACGGTTCTTGATGGTCAAGCGAACGGTGACACGGAGACCCTTCTGTGGAACTTATTAGAGGTGACTTGCTGTCGGTCGAATGGTGATATTGCTTACCCAGTCACCAGTGGCCTTGGCGATATCTTCACCGACCTTCTTTGGCGAAAGACCAAGAGGACCGATCTTTGGAGCAAGGGCAGAGGAGGCACCGACCTCACCTCCGGTGGCACGGAGGTGAATGATCTTCTCCTCGTTGGGGTCGAACTTTGGTGCTGCAGGGGATTGTGAGCGCGTGCTCGCGATGAAATTGTGGTATTTCAGCGGGCACAAGGCGCAGCTGTAGCCATTCCTCGAGAAGGCTGATACTTACCCATGGCTAATGAGTAAGGTGGTCTAGCTCAACTCGATGTCGGGGTGGTGAAGCACGGAGGAGATGGCGGCGGCGGTGGGTGGGCGATGGGCGACGTCGTGCTTGGAGGGAATCAAAATCTCAAGTCGCTTTCCCGCTGTGTGCAAAGCGTCGAAGCTTTCTCTTGGCATTGGAGTCGGCGTCGGCGTTTGATTAGCCTTGTGCCGATGGGCAGCAGTGATTCAGCATGATCTCAGTCAGCAGACCTCCACGAAGCCGCGATTTGACTTGGATGTTTTGACAAGACAAGGTCATCCACGCTTGTGAGAACAGTGCGCTGTATTCTGGCGTAGACCTCACCGATGTTTGCTTGAAAGTCTTCATTGCCATGCCCGCGACGCAACTGTCTTTTCAGCCGGCGAGGGTCTATGCGCCGTACTACACGCGGCAGTCAGTGTGAAGCGTGAAAGCTTCTTCCATATATACCGCATTCTCTGCCTCGCCCTTACCTCATAGCGTGGTATCACGAGCAGCCTTGGGACGCTGGCCATGTCCTCTGATTCACCAACTCCGCGCTCCAGTGCCAGTCCTAGAGATAGGCCAGCCAGCCCGCAAAGTCCTGGAAGTCCTGGAAGTCCCAATCCTCGAGACAGCCGGAATCAACACATACCTCCGCATCCTTCACATCTTAGACAAACGCACATGCCTTCGCCGTCGCCTGAGAATCGTCGAATCGCTCCTGATCTACAGGCAGACGGCATTCATCCTCAAGATCATGCACCCGGCGCCGCCGCCGACGTAGACTTCGATGCTAAACAGCAGGAAGCCACCATTGACGAGCCTCGGGATGCTCCCAATGCCGCAACGGCCTTGCTGAATAGATACAATCATGAGGAACATGGGACATGGTTCGCAAGACCTAAGCATTCGCGTGGCTACGGCAGCTTTGCCAGTGGCTACGCGGAAACAGTTGGGAGCTTTGAGGAACACAGACCGTCGCTGGCTGGCCGATTTCCGACTACGGACGACGTGAACCGGCAATCGAATGCAGGTCTTGTGGCTTCGCTGCCTGATAGCGTCACAGATGGTCTGCTGGGAATGCCGAAGAAACGAGGCACTACACACTGGCTTGCCTCACGAGCCGGCATAAAACGTGAGCGATTAATGTGCGTTTCTGCTAGCCATGGAGCAATACTAGAATCCCTTATTCTGGCTTCAATTAAACCATACGTTTCCGTCTCTTTCAAACTCACTAATGTCTCCATAGGTACATGTACTACTACATTCCAATTACAAACTGGATTCGACAATATCGATGGAAGTTCTTACGAGGAGACTTGGTTGCTGCCATAACCATGGCCTCGTTCTATGTGCCAATGGCACTTTCCTATGCCGCTAATCTTGCCCACATGCCGCCTGTGAACGGTCTGTATGCTTTTGCCATCAATCCATTCATCTATGCCATTCTTGGCACTTGCCCACAGATGGTAGTCGGACCTGAGGCTGCGGGATCACTTCTGACGGGCAGCGTTGTTGCCCAAGCCATTAAAGCTGGCCACTTCAGTGATGATGACGGCATGAAAGCTGGGCAAGTGGGTGGAATGGTCACGGGTCTGGCAGGCGCCATCATTTTCGTTGCAGGTCTACTTCGTCTGGGCTTCTTGGACAGCGTGTTGTCACGACCTTTCCTGCGCGGTTTTATTAGCTCTATTGGCTTGGTCATCTTCATCAATCAACTGGTGCCGGAGATGGGACTGGACCAGCTCGCTGAGCATTCTAGACGAGCACATGGCTCTCCACTCGAGTCTCTGATGTTCATCTTTGATCACATACACGAGGCGAGCAAGTCCACGTGCGCAGTGTCTTTCGGCGCTGTTGGGATAATTCTGCTTCTCAGAGAACTGAAGCGCAGCCTCCAACCACTTCCTAACCTGGGCTGGGTGGTGTTCCTGCCTGATCGATTTGCCATCGTCGTATTATCAGCAGTCTTTGCTTGGCGATTCGATTGGCAAGCTCAAGGTATCGAAATTCTAGGAGATATTCGACCACCCCAAGGCGCCAGGGTCTTTGAGCCCCACTGGCCCTTTGCTCCGGAGAATTTCAAATACGTTAGCGACGCATTTGAGACTGCCTTCATCATTGCATTGTTGGGATTCTTCGAGAGCTGTGTTGCAGCAAAGAGCTTAGGAAGTAGCAATGTCAAGACGCACATCGTCACAAAGACCAACCAAAATGGCACTACAGAAGAGGTGGAGGAGAGTGATGGCATTCGTGGCATCAGCGTCTCGTCGAATCGTGAACTTGTCGCGCTCGGTGTCGCAAACGTTCTTGGTGGGGTTTTCATGGCGCTGCCAGCTTTCGGTGGCTATGGTCGATCCAAGGTGAATGCGAGCACAGGCGGGAAAACGCCAATGAGCAGCATTCTCCTTTCGATCATCACGGTCCTGTGCACGCTTTTCCTCCTGCCGTACTTCTACTACATACCGGTGAGTGGTGTCCACATAGACGAAGAAAATTCGCTAACACGAGCTTACAGAAAGGCGTTCTATCCGCCATGATCACGGTCGTGTCGATCTCGCTGCTAGAAGAGGCGCCCCATGACATCAAATTCTTCTGGCGCATCGGAGGCTATGTAGAACTTTTCCTGATGCTGCTCGTGTTCCTCACCACTTTCTTCTGGTCGTTAAGAGGTGGCATTATTGTTGGCATTATCTTCAGTCTGATCCGTCTCATGAAGCATGCCACTCGACCAAGAATCCAGATCTTGGGTCGCGTTCCTGGCACCAACGACTTTGAAAATGCAGAAGTACTGGCTGCAGAGGATGTCGTCGAACTGGTGCCGCATTCTTTGATCGTCAAGATCCCAGAGCCGCTCACGTTTGCCAACACGGGATCGCTGAAAGACCGTCTACGTCGTCTTGAGATCCATGGTACCCAGAATGCACATCCCGCGCTCCCGCAAGTCCGCAAGAAGGAACACAACAAGAACGTCATATTCGACATCCATGGCGTGACAGGCATGGATTACGCTGCCACGCAAGTACTCCTCGAGATCGTCGAAGAGTATATCAATAATGGCACCAAGGTATTCTTCTGCCGAATACCAAGTAAACGGAATCACGTTTGGCAGCTGTTCAAGACGTCTGGCATAGTTGATGTATGCGGTGGCGAACACAACTTCTTCAAGAGTGTCGATCAAGCTCTCCGAGCGACTGAGAGGGAGAGCACATTCCATCAATACCTAGAGCAGGAGTCTGGGCTCGATTCTGCTGGCAGCGGTGCGGAGGGCTCGATAATGATTCAAGACGATGCGAGCTTTACACAAGACGAGGGCGGGCCACCATCACGACGGAGATCGAAGAGGCCGGAAGCAGATGAGGAGGAGAACGTTGCAGGAACGCGATAACGTCTGCAGAAGAAATGGCCTAGGTTCTTTGCATGATGGTTTTTATGGGCTAGATTTCTTGTTTTACATCTTGTTTTTCGAAAGCAGGCGAGGCGTTCTGGAGACATGTATACAGCAGACGGTGTTAGAAATGATCGATGAAAAGCTTTCTGACCAGCGTTGATGTACAGTGAGCACAGCATTTTGCCTCATGGCTGTATGAGCTGGCAGAGACTCTGTCTACAAAGAACTTCCTCGAGAACAAATCCCAAGTCATGAAACAATGTATACTCACCTGTAATCCAATCCTCCCTTGGCGATAAGAACAGGCTCATGTGGTTGGCCGCTCTTCGATGTTGGTCACAGCATTAACGTCGGCTCGGAAGTGTGCAACAAGAGCACATTGATTTCCTGCAGTGTCCACCGGTCAAGGCATTGTTCTCGAGCCAGGCGTTTGAGGCTCTTCGGTGCATGACATGAATTATGTGGGATCGCGGACTCGGATGTTTCACCATCTCGAAGGACGCGTCACAAAGTCGATGCAAACGACGACTCGGTGTAGATTGGCTTTTGCTTGAAACGCGGGCATTGCGAATTCTGTGCAGAGAACAGTGCCGGCAGAGCGTGTCCAAATGCAATGGAACTTCTGAGAATGGCCCATTATCAGAGGTCAAGAGGTGGGGCTGCAAGGCTCAGCCAGTGGCGGAGGAAGTGGATTCATCAGTGCGTCTTTTTCGGAGGCCGCACGGTTTCCAACCATGCACATGTCCGCACTGCGCAGACAGGACGAGGTTGCAAATAGCATCACGTGTAGGCGATCCAATTCAACGTCTTCGTGCTGGTCACCAGCTGGTGCACCACAGGCAGCGGGGCCCGGACGCTGCAGCCTGCAGCACGGTGGCCGTCATCAAGCCGTGATGATATGCATGAGAAGTCTGGCGGGTTGGCGACGATGCCCAAAGATTAGAATAGGGAGAGCGTAGCAGACAAATCTGCGGTTGGTGGCCCTGGGTAGCACGCGCGCTGCAGCCCGAGCCAGCCACCCGCCGAGAATCTGCAACGCCTCGTTTACGGACGCCGGACGCCGGTCACATGCGTGCTGAGCTTGGTGGTGGTCCTGGTGGTGCTGTGCCGAAGGATCGGATGCTGCACTGGCGGCGCTTCTGTGTGCAATAATAATAGCGGTGGTGACACTTGGCAGAGACACGCTGTGCCTGTTGGCCTCGTCTGCTCGACAGGCTCGACTTGTCCTTGCCCCGGCCCGCAGCAGCTAGAAATTAGAATGGCATCTTCGAGCGTAGCTTTCGATCTGCACGAATGAACGCTGGATGCAGCTGCGCATCCTTGCGCATGGCGTCGCGCTCTCGTGCATGCTGATGCACTAACGAAGTCTCATGTGTTTGGCAGAACGCCATTTGCCAGACAACCACTGTTCTTTTCCGCTCTCTTCCTCACCCTCTCTGCCCTGCCCTGCCCTCGTAGCAGACTCGCGTCGACCATATCGTTGCACGCACCGCGAGCCTTGCGCCATACACCTACCGAGCAGACAGAGAGCCAGGCCTGCGCCGCCGCACAGCCGGGAATCCCGCGAGCCAAGGCAGGCCGTGGGCGTAGACGTGTGAAAGCGGCACATTGCTCGTTACCGGCAGCACGAGCGTGGACGCCAGCTTTGGGAAGAGACGACGACGCGAACAAGCGGACAGGCGGGCAATCATCAGTCCAGGCAGAGAGGATCCACACGGGAGGCAGCCGGGAGGAGCAAGAGCATGCTATGCTATCTATGGGTTGCCAGGAACAGCAATAGCAACAGCAACAGCGACCGTAGCAGCGTTGACGCCGAGCACCTGGTCGCGGAGATACACAGAACGTCTGCATTCCGCGCGCCGCGCCGCCGCACAGTACGTTGAAGACACCACACCCTCCACACACGCCTGCTCCTGCTGCTGCTGCTGCTGCTGCTGCTGCTGCTGCACCCTGCCGCGGACTCTGTAAGCAGCCGCACCGGCGCAGCGAAGCACGATCGTCAGCAGTGCGATCCCTTGCTTGGGAGGCGAACAATTGTGGTCTGGTATCACGCACTGCTGAGGTTGATGCGGGCCCCCGTCGCGCGTTGCCCCCTCATTCCGAGAGCGACACGGCTGTCTGCACGTCGCCATCGCTAATCTATCCGTGCCCGTGTCCGTGCCTGTCTCGCGGCTGCGGCTGCCAGCATTTGTGTGCACATAACATCGCTGGCCCAGCCGGCCCACGAGCATACGTCGTGTAGGCCAATTCGCAGCCAGGCGAACAACGTTGCGTGAACGTATTGGTCACGCGAGCACACGCGAGGCAGACGGCGCTGAGCACATCGGTCGCTGCGGTTCATGATCACCAACAAGCTTACGAGATGTCATGCGTGATATTTTCTGGGCTTCGCAAAGGCATAGGAACTCATCCGCACCGGTGAGCTGGCAAGCCCTCTCAGCGCAGTGCTAGACCTGTGAGCGTCAAAGCCACTGGGCCTGCGCTACGACCAACATGAGCGCCGATGTCACGTACCCGAGCACGGATCGCCGACAGTCATCCGAGTCCATGCCCTTCTTAACTCAAAGATACGCCTTGCCTATTCATCATGCCAGCCTTCGCAGGCACCACAGCCACGTCGACCACGACGAAAGTAGAGGCCACACGCCTCGTGCTGAGAATACCTTGCGACGGAAGACACCCAATGGCACCTTGAACGCGGGATATGATGGCGCCGCTGAGGATGAGACACAGCCTCATAAACATCAACTACTACCTCTCAGCGACACAACCTCCAGCAGACCGATCCACGCGCCCGTGCCAAATGTAAAGCGGACATTCTTGCAACATCAACAACAGCAGCAGCGACACCCGGCCAATCTCAACACATGGAGTTCCCAAATGGGGCCTGGCTGGCAAGCCCAGCCTCATGCGCACTTTCCTCAGCCGTTGAGCACATTTCCCGTGATGGACTCCATGTTGAACCAGATGCCGATGCAGCAGCACTTCAACGTCCAGCAATATTACGGTCAGACTGTTCCGAGTGTCATTCAACCCTCCTTCCAGTATCTAGGTCCTACTGCTTCAGGTGGTCAAGGCACAGGTCCGTACGGCCCATACTGGCATGATGGTACTTATGTCCCTTATCGACCGGCCGCCGTTCGGGATCCCAGATTCTATCACCACCCTGTCCCCACCCCAGCGGGCTTCCATGATTCTTTGCCCAGCTCACAGCTTCCATATCAAGCCAACTTATGGCAACAGCAGCAGCAGTCGAACTCTTTCGCGGCCATACCTGGTGCAGGTCCATTTGCTCAACCTCAGCTATTTTCGCCGGGCCATCAACACACCAATTCACTCGGGCTAGGTTACATTAATTCGGGCCATTTGCTTCCCGACAGCAGATACGCTGCGGCGTTGCAAGCGGCTCCCCAAAGCGGCTCGGATGGCCTCTCACACGACCACACAATCGAAAATGAATTTGGTTCCTCGTCTCCGAATGGCCGACAGCGCGACAGAACGTTTCAATGGGCCCTGCAACAGTACAGGGAATTGCTAGCATTCATCCACCACACACGACGCCAGCAGCAGCAAGCGAGGCACGCACACGGGCAACAGCATATTCCGCCTCGCCCGAGCTTCTACCCAAAGCCACCAAAAGCGTCAGCATCTGGATCTTTGTTGCAACTCACGGAAGCGACAAGTGATGGCGAGGTTCAGAGCGCGAAAGTCGAGGAAGATTCAGTCGTTGACTCTTCTCGTCCCGAATCAGCACCAGAGACCCAGCAAGACGACAGTAGCACACCGAAAGCAGGAACACCACAGACATACTCGCCAGGCGACGTTCAGTTTGTCGACAATGAATATCAACGACGTGCATCGCATGACCAGTATCAGAGAATTAACCAGCAGCCTTTGTCCCAGACTGCCACTCAGCCAATTGATCAGCACCGCACTTTACGCCGTTCAACGGGATCATCGATTGCAAGCATTCTCCCTCCCGTTCTACACGACGACTCCCCGCCTTCTCGCGCCACTCAAGCCTTATCGCTCATTACCAAAATTTGCGACGAGGCAAAGTGGCAGTGGATAGATGGGATGCACTTGGGCGGCTGTTTAGCCTATGGGCTAGGCAATTATCAGAAAGCACTCCGCTGGTATACAAAGGTTTTAGAAATCGACCCCAAGCACCTTGAGGCAACATCAAATCTTGCAGCTACACTGCTTGCGCTCGGGAGACGTCAAGAAGCCGAGAGGCATTGGCAGAAAGTTGTCAAAGCTGCTCCGAATCACTTCGAAGCTGTGGAGCACCTGGTTGGTCTCCTTTGCAACGATCAGAGAAGTAAAGACGCTATCAAAGTCATCGAGTACGTCGAGCGTTGTCTGCGACAGTCCAAGAGTCCGGAAACACTCAAGGTCTCAGATCGGCAGAGTGAGACCTCATCGACCGCCAGCAGATCACCTGCCATATCAGAGCAGTCTGACAAGATATCCTATGACTTTGATGTGGACAACGAAGGCTCCTCTCTACTAGATACGCGGCACACAGCGGAGTCATCTGAGCCCGGCTTTGGGTCGAGCGGCTTTGCCATTCCTGGATGCGATAATGGGCGGATCCTGGCTCTCATCCATGCGAAAGGCAACATGCTGTATGGCTTGGGTGACAATGGCGGTGCGGCCAAAGCTTTCGAAGACGCTGTGCTCATCGCTGCGGGCAGAAATCTAGAAGGCATCCAAGGACTCGTCCATCACATTCTCTCGGTCGTCACATCCACCGTTCAACAACGTCTACCTCATCAAGGCGCGCCAAGACAGCTATCGCCGGAGCCTATCCTCTTGTCGCCTGAGCAGGCCCTTGCAACTGCAAAATTGTGCTTTCCCTACATTGGCGAGCTACCTGGTTTACGGTATGTAACAGGCGGCCCTCAGAGTCTTGCCAGAAAAGCAGTGATTTCAACAACGAGCAACTCGTTGTTGTCGCTCGCCAAGATCTTCCAGGATGGCATGTCGAATGCAAGCCGGTCTGTCGGGGTCACGCCGCTTGCTCACGGCGTCCGGGACATTCTCGCCCTGTACTATCTATCCCTGTCTCTTCAGCCCAGTCCATCCACGGCAAATAATGTTGGCATCCTCCTGGCAAGCGTGCAACAAGTCACCACCCCTTCGCCAACAACGCCGCATCAACGCCTTGATATTCCTGGCGTCGCTCCGGGAAGCGGAGTTGCACTTGCCCTTCAGTATTACAACTACGGATTGCAACTAGACCAGCAACATGCGCATTTATATACCAACCTCGGCAGCTTGCTCAAGGATATCGGTCAGCTCGATGCGGCCATCAATATGTACGAGCGCGCAGTAAGCTGCGACGGTAAGTTCGACATCGCTCTCGCGAACCTCGCAAATGCCGTCAAGGACAAGGGTAGGATCAGCGATGCCATTGTGTACTACAAGCGGGCCGTTGAGGTAAACCCGGATTTTGCGGAAGCCGTCTGTGGCTTGGCGAATGCACTCAATTCTGTCTGCGGATGGCAAGCTCGTGGTGGTATTGCTGAAGATGGTGGCAAGAGAGACAGATGGCATGTCGATACTAACGGCATGCTGCTGGATGCCAGGCAAGCCGGCGCGAGCAGCTCGGGCTGGATCAAGCGAGTCATCGACATTGTCGAGAAACAGCTTGCGGAAGGTGAGACCTGGGGTCGCGGTTCACTGGGGCCAACATCACTTGAAGATCTGGTCCAGCAACTAACCATTTTGGACGGACGCCCTGATGAGGTCGCTGAACGAGAGCGCAGCCTTCGGAAGATGCTATCTGAATGGACAGGACATCGATGGGAAGGTGCCCGGATCACAAGACTTGTGGAGCGTGCGACGAGGCGCATTGGCTGGCACTGGTACCGCGATCTCTACGTGAAGAAGCGACAGCGAACCCCAACAAGCTACAACAGGCCTCGACTGCCAGCAGCACTTTTCGTGCCCGCAGCGCCGACCGTCTTGCCATTCCACACATTCACCTGTCCGATGTCGGCAAAGCAGATCCGACTCATATCGCAACGCAATGGCCTCAGAATTTCCGTATCAACCCTTCGTTCGCCTTGGCTTCCAAAGCAGGTGTACCCGCCCCCGAAACCGCCCTCGCCATGCCTGCGCGTTGGATATGTGTCCTCCGACTTCAACAACCACCCGTTGGCACACTTGATGCAGTCAGTCTTTGGCATGCATGACCTGGACCGCGTGGAAGCACATTGCTACGCGACGACAGCCAGTGACAACTCCAGCCACCGCCAGCAAATCCAGAGCGAAGCACCGGTTTTCCACGATGCAAGCAGCTGGTCCGCCGAAAGATTGGTCAACCAAATCGTGAAAGATGGCATCCACATCTTGGTGAATCTCAACGGATATACGCGTGGCGCTCGCAATGAAGTCTTCGCCGCGAGACCTGCTCCCATCCAGATGTCTTTTATGGGATTTGCAGGGACTCTCGGTGCCGAATGGTGCGACTATCTCCTCGCGGACGAGACAGCCGTGCCTGTGGATACCTTACGGCCATGGCGCAGGAACGTGGATCTGGAAGACAAACTGCAGGACGAAAAAAGTGCAAGCGAGAACGACGAATGGGTGTACGGTGAGAACATCATCTACTGCCGAGACACGTTCTTCTGTTGTGATCATAAGCAGAGCGCGCCTGACGCACACGAGCGGCCACTCGACTGGGAGGAGGAGCAGAGACGACGGTGGAAGATGCGGAAAGAGCTGTTCCCACAACTTGCAGATGACACCATCATTTTCGGCAATTTCAATCAGCTCTACAAGATCGAGCCGACCACTTTCCGCACCTGGCTACGCATTCTCGCGCGTGTGCCGAATTCTATCTTGTGGCTCCTTCGCTTTCCCGACCTTGGCGAATCACACTTGCTCGCAACAGCACGCATGTGGGCGGGAGCTGAGGTCGCTTCGCGTGTCATCTTCACAGATGTGGCACCCAAGCACCTTCACATCTCTCGGGCTCGAATTTGTGACTTGGTGGTGGACACAGCGGAGTGCAACGCTCATACAACTGCTGCTGATGTGCTCTGGAGTGGCACGCCTTTATTGACACTTCCGCGATATCCATACAAGATGTGCAGTCGAATGGCCGCCAGCATCTTGAAAGGCGCTTTGCCCAAGAATGCCGAGGGCGAACGCGCTGCTAGGGAGCTCATTGCTGCGAGCGAAGAAGAGTACGAGGAAAAGGCGGTGGCTCTTGGCAAATCATTTTCTTATGTTCAAGGTGGGCAGGGCGTTGGCCACGGCAGGCTGATGGACCTCCGGAAGATGCTTTTCCACGCACGATGGAAGAGCGCGCTCTTCGACACGAAGAGATGGGTTCAAGATCTCGAAGACGCGTACGAAGAAGCTTGGAAACGGTGGGTTGGGGGCGAAGGTGGCGATATTTGGCTTGAGCACGTCCCAAGGAAGGGAACGTCGACGTCTTGAGTTCGATTCGAGCATGAGCGATGGAGTTAGGATTTTGGTCTTCCATGTTTCACGATTCTGGATTTTGGGAAGGTGTCAGTCATGATCTTGGGCGATATCGGAAATCGGTCGCTTCACAGCAGCTGTGAGATTATGTCATGGGAATAGAGATACCCGCTTTGTTGTGAACGGACCGACGCCCCGTCTCATTTGACTGTCGTTCTCGACCTGCTTGTTTGTATTCAGGTTGGGCGTAAGATGATATCTGTTCGGAGTCCATGGATGTTGGACGAGCTGACGCTTTGAGTACCGTGGGAAATTTAAGTGGCTGGGCCGTGGCCATCAGCAGGTCGACAACAACTAACTGGCGACAGCGTCGTTACTGCCAAGGTGGTACGAACGCTCGAACGGTGAGTTGAGGAATCGGTCACTACTTAGAATTTGGTCTGGCCAAGCAGTGAAATGAGCGCAGCTCGATTCATCAAAGAAAGTCTTCAAGCTGGTTCCATGGCGGATGGCAGTCAGGGCGGCGTTCAGGCTAGAACCGTTCTTGATCTTATAACGGTCGGGGAACATCAAGTAGACCGGAGAATATGATAGCGCTCGGTATTCTGGTGCGCTCTGCCGCGAGCCTCAATGCACGCACGCGCGGCAGTGGTTGTGGCACGTTCTGGAGAGCAAAGTCTCCGCATTTCCCAAGCTTGGAAATTGCGAGTCTACATTTCACTCTTTCCTCTTTGGATCATTCATTTCTGGAATCGGGATGTCGCCAAGGTGTTGATGCCTCGCACTGTATAGCATGTCCGTCGTGAGCACTTATGGATGCGTGGATGTGTGAGAGCGTCGTTCAATTGTGTGTGTGTAGCCTCCTGTGGTTGAGTTGTTCAATGCATCGATCGACTGGGTGGAGTTCGTGCTTCAAGTCTTTGCATGATCAGTAGATCGTAGACGGTATAGTGGTTAGAAGCGCTCGGTCGGCAATCGGGGCTGATGTTTGTGCAGGGCAGACGTTGTCCATCAGACTGTGTGGCAAGTGAGCGAGGGCCTGTCGGCTACGATTCGATAGTCGGCGTGGTGTGTGCCACAGCATGTATCGGGACGACGGGACGACGCTCGCTTCACTTCGCCGCAGCAGGGCGAGATGCAAGATGCAGACATGCACCTTGGAGGCACATCCGCCAGACTTGTGTTATGGTGTGGCTCCACGTCTGTCGCAGCTGAAGAAGATGCAGAAGCTGAAAGCCTCCACGAGGCCTCTGCATCTGCATCTGCATCTGCATCTGACGGCAGTGACGGGTGCGCGGTATTAAGCTCTGCGCTAGAGCAAAGCACGACGATGTGGAAGCTTCGGTGCGGCCCGGGACAGGGTGCATTGGGTTAGGGCGCCGAGGCGTTTTCGTTTATAGAACAGAGGTCGGCGTTGTTGAACAGAGTCAGGAGGTTGAGTAGTGGTCTTCAAGAGCCTTCTGCGAGTTCTTTCTTTTCACAGCTAGTAAGTCTGCTAATCCAAAAGCCAGCAAGCATGGTATCCAAGTCAGCATGGGAGTCTTGGTGCAGCATGCGCAACCCGAAAGCAGGAAGGTTTGTGACAAGGATGAAGCGGAGATCTTCTGAGCGCATCGCATCGCTTGTCCCACACGATCTGCCGTCCGGCCTCTGGCGCTTTGACATGATTGTTCACGACAAGCTGAGTTTCAGAAGGTTGAGAAGTCCATCACAATATCGCCGCTGGTATGCACTCATGGGTGAGGTCGCAGTAAGACTCTCCAGGGGCGCTTTTGAAGCATAACCTTGGAGTATTCTTGGACCGTGGCAAAGCCAGTGTGGAGAGTTCCCATGTGTCTCAGCAAGGAAACCCGTGTTGCTTGCGCCTGTTCGAGCACACATTGACTCGTCGTCAATGCCGAATCTCAAATCATCACACGACAGTGCGCGTCGCGGTGTTCGTTTGCATGCCAACACGCAGCCATCGTTGATGGGATGCATGTGCTTGCTGGAAACCAGGATGGATGTTTTTATCGAGTGGAAAGAAGCGAGAGCGCAGGAATTACATAAAGAATCGGGGCCAGGAGCACCTCCCGTGCTGTTCTGATCCACAGCCCAGCAACTTGTCGCGGACAAGCGAACTTTGATGGCTTCGGCGCGATGATCTTCTGATCTCGAATCCGAACGTGATGCAAGTTGGGTATCAGATGGGTCAAGTGGAATCGGCAGGCAGATCTCCGTGAGCACTCAATCAATCCCCATCACAAAAGTCCATCTGTCCGCCACCGCAAAGAGGACCGCAGCCCACTAATAATTGATGACCTTGTTGAAGGAAGCACAAGGCTCACTCACTCTTGCAGCAGGCCGACAGGAGAGGTAGACGGCATATCATGGCAAAGGTGCACCGCCACTGGAAGGCTTGAAACATCCAAACTGCCATCACAACCATCTAAAAATGCTTCAGGAGCAAGGTTGACGGTCGGCTTGCCCCGCAGCCTTTGAGGACAATGGGTACTTGGTCCAGAGGACACAGGAAGAGACAGATGAATCGTACGGCTGGAAGCTACGCCGCCATGTGGACTGTGATCATGACGCTCAAAAGCCTGTGCGAGCTCGGCCAAAGTGGGATGACAAGAGCGCCTTGGATGGCGCAGGATGCAGCGCGAATCTGGACGTGACTCCCGTGCAGTTCTCCGTTCAAAGTGTGCCATGTGTCGTTCATTGGTCAACTCGCACGCAAAGTGTGAACAATTGCGGCGGTGCTATCAACGGAGCCCTCAGTCATGATGGATATTTCTCGTTGCTCCACGATGTATGTAGTAGATTCGTACCCCTGGTCAGCAGGACAGATCCGAGCATACCAGCGGGCTCCCTGCAAGCGGCGTTGACCACATGCACCGACATGGGCAGATCCCTGGCTGCATTGAGGCGCGTCCACGGCCCCTGTCTGCATCGCGGACCAGCAGACTGGACTTTGGGACGGGCTCTTTCATATCATCATAACCACCACCATAGTCGAGCAGCACCTCGACTCATCACCCATCACCATTGAGCCGACCGTGGTTGGCGCACACCTCTTTGCTGGTCCGACAATTACACGTTGTACATCTCACTTTTTGCCTGCTGAACCTCCTTTGCGACGCTTGCTATACAATTAGTGGCGACGACCTCCTTCATGTAGACTCTTGATCGGCCCCGTCGTTACAGCTGTGTGAAGTTGTGCCCCTCGTTCACATCGTTTATGCTCTCGGAAGAACGAAAGTCTAATCGACAGACCAAACTTAATTCTAATTACCTTGCTGCTTTCACCAACTCACTTGGCCTAATTCAGCCTCAGATCAACCGCCATCGCTTGTACATATTCCCTAACCTGGACCCATCTCGATTCTTGAGACCATCACCAACGTCGCCGCGCTTCACTCTCCAACGCCATCTGTCGCAATACAACGGCTCTCCGTCGTCGCTTCGCCTTCATTGCTGCACAAGTCAGTCAACGTCCTCCATCGGTATCTATCAACGACTCACTCGTGTTCGATGGCAAGCAACTAACTTCACCTCATAGCGCCTTCAAAAAATCACTTTGCCCATACGCGGCCATCATGCCTCAACACAAACGCGGCCCTTGGTCGCAGCAAGAAGACCAAATGCTGCTTCACCTCGTCCAGGTCCACGGAGCTCACAACTGGGTACGAATTTCAACTACCATCCAAACGAGGTCTCCAAAGCAGTGCCGGGAGCGTTATCACCAGAACCTCAAACCAAATCTGAACCATGACCCCATTACCCCGGAGGAGGGAGTTCTCATCGAGCAGATGGTTGCCGAAATGGGCAAGCGATGGGCAGAAATCGCCAGAAGACTCCGTGGCCGTAGCGACAACGCCGTGAAGAATTGGTGGAATGGTGGCATGAACAGACGTCGACGCAACCAGCAGCAACGCCGGGCAGAATATGAAGTCCGCCACCAGCAGTCGACGCACACGCACGCGCACGCGCACACCCAAATCCAAAGCCTTCCTCCACCACCACCGCCGATGCAGCACGCGCTACCCAACGGTTGGAATCCACCGCAGATGATGCCAACGCAGTATTTTGCACAGCAGATGTACCCTCATGCTCACCCACCCCACCCAATGAGCTTTCCGCAGAACATGGCCTCGTTCGGTCGAATGGTAGAGCAACCATTACCATCACCTTCGGCCTTCTCCAACATGTCCGCTGACGGCGCTCCTTCCCTTGTTTCTGACTGCTCTTCGATGTCAGCAAGGTCACCCCATCACGGCCCTGCAGGCGTAGAACTTCCTCCTCTTGCGGGTGCACGAGAAGACCGTCGCCGTTCTTCAGCGCCGATGCTGCGCCTTGGTGTGCCTGGCACCTTTGTGCAGGACACCGACTTCACAATTCATGGGATGCCCATGGATCATTATCACGACATGCGCAAGCACACTCCCATGCTCCAAGAGCCTTTCATGCCTCAGCCACAATCGCTACCAACTCCAACGGCGTTCCTGCCTTCTCAACCGAGACAGCCATCGCCACTTTCACAAGCAAATCTGACACAGAACTACTCGATGCAGGCGCCCCAAGTTCAGCGAAGACATTCGGCGTATCCAATCGCCCAGCAGTTGCCGACGACTCCAATGAATGGACACCCAGGCGGAAACAACAGAATCCAGACACACGACAGAAAGACGCAGCTGGCCATCGATTCTCGTATGGCCACTCCAATTCCATCAGCACCATCTCCAGAAGACTCACCGAGGGACAAGATGAGCTTGTCCAACCTCACGCATTGAACGACAGATTTCCTTGAAGATCCAGCTTGTGTACACGTTGTTCTTGTACAGCACCTTTGAATTTGGAGGGCGTTTTAGGACTATACCCATTGAGCAGGCAATGCCGTCGATTCGATTTATGATAGCGTTCAAGCACCAGTGAAAGACTTGTACCTGTGTCCAAGAGGGCTCAGCCGTGTTTGCAGAAATATCAAACACCACTACCATATGATTAATGCAGAGAGCCTTATACTTGAAACAATTCGTCCTTAGCCCGTACAAGATTTGCAATTGCGCCGTTTCCAACAGACAACGGGAGCAGACATGTTCATCGTTCGGCATCAACAGCTCTCACGCCTTATCCGACGGCATGCCCTAGCACCGTCTTGCCTCAACCTCACGTGTCCCCTGAACTTGAGCATGTGCACAGCAAGATGATGATGAACGCCCACGACTCCGTCGCTGCATTATTCCTACGATTTTTTCTGACCACGCCTGTCATGGCGGAGATTGCATGCCGCTCAATGCACAGTTGAGGAGCCGTTGCTACAGTAGTGGAGCTGTTCGATCGATTTAAGCTCAACGTTCAAGACATGTCCATAAACAGCTTTTTTAGGGTTCCCACGATCTCGAGGGCCGTTGCGCGCGCGCCCGTGGTCCGTGGAGAGAGCGGCAACGTTGTGATCAACCTTCGCATGGTCGGTAAACGGGCCCGTATAAAGTCCCATACTACCGTCCGAGCGTCGCTTGTACTAAGAATAAGCTCGGCCTGCCGCAGCGGACTCGGTAAGATATAGAAGTCCGCTCCGTAGTGTACGTAACTATAGAAAACGTAATCTCGTAGTCGCCGCGCGTCGCGGTTACTAGGTCGACGGTAGTAGTAGTAGTAGTAGTAGTGCGATTTCCGCTAGTATACTAAATATCGCGAATAAGAGGTCGTACGGTCGCAATTTAATAGATTTCGCACTATTTTAATAGATTTTAACGACCCTCGTATCTCTACTAATAGATACTAAGTATATTACTAAAAATAAAGCTAAAGTTTGTTAGCAAAACAGCGGTATAGCAAAAAGTAAGGTATTGTTAGCGATTATTAACAAATTAATAGTAGTAATATATATTAGAGGGCGGCGGTATATAAGGCATACTACTATAGACCTATATTATACTCGGATTGTTACTCTACTACTTATTTTAGTAAGGAAAGTAGCTATATAGCGCTAGCAGAGTCGACGAAGGCATTTAATAGCTATAAGTTACCTCCGTAGCGGCTTATAAAGGAAAACGCGTAGAGAACGCGTCGGTACCGCCTAGAACTACTAACGCCGCTTTTTTACTAAGATTTAGTAGAACTAACGCCGCTAGTGTTCGGTTAGGTATATATAACTTCTCTACTTGTTTCTTCGACCTCTTTTTACTTATAGTATCTACGCTCTTACCCTTCCGCTTCTTTAGCGGTAGCGCTATATCGTTAGTCGCTTTTAGATAGTAATAGCTCGATATAATATCGCTTAGCAATAGCGCTTATAATAGCTTCGGCGGCGCTTTTGTTAGTGCGAGAATAGCGTCCGGATATATAGTCTTAAAGTAAGTAAGGACTAGCTTAGTAAAGCCCTTCCTAATATTATCGCCGCTCTTATAGAAGACTATTAGCATCTTCGAGATAATAACCTTACGTTGCTTATCGCTCTCGTCTATACCTTGTTAGTCGTATAAGCGCTTAAGTTAGAAAATTAACTCGTACGTATTAGCAAGTACCTTGCAGACGTTTAATCGATAGGTAGGCGCGTACGCCGCTACCGCCTTAGTAGTAGCGTCTTCTTGCACCGCCGTTAACTTAGAAGCGTCTTCTTTATAGACCTTAAGAGCGCGTCTAGCGAATATATTAACCTATTGTTACTAGTAATAATCCTTAATAATAACGCGTTTAAGTATAAGGTAATAATACTAGAGGTTAGCGCAAAGGATACGATATTAGCGGAAGAATTTATAGTCGTAGGTAAGCGCGCCTGCCTCTTTAGTTAATAACGGCTTTAAGTCTTAGTATACGGACTTGTCGAGAACGCGATTAATCTTAGTACTAATCTTGCGCTAAATAGGCTATAGAAGGCGTAGAAGCTAGGTCTAGAGCTCGTCGTCGTCGCTATACGCAAGTAGGTATATATTTAATGCCTAATACTTACTAGCAATATCCGACCGAAGGTCTCTAAGCTCGCTCTCTTATATTATATATATCGCTACGCCCTTTAGTATAAAGTTAGTCGCTATTAGCGACTTATTGCCGTCTATTTTAAGATACGCGTAAAAGCTCTTATTTATATTAGTATCCTTATATTGTCTAACGATAGTAGGCACGTTATAGACGCGATAGTAGTTTGCCTATAGGCGAATATCGCTACCGAAGTCTTATACTAAATAGGTATAGTTTAACTCGTAATCGCTGTTTCGAGGGAGGTTATCGATAGCGGCTTAGAGCGACTCTTTCGCGCCTTTAAGTAAGTAGCGATAAACAACGGCGGCGCGAAGGTGTCTACGTATCTCTTAGTAGATTTTCGCGCTAAAGCGTCTATCGATAGTGCGCTAAACGTAGACGTAGTATAGAAGGTATATTGTCGTCGGAAATGCTATACGAATAGCGCGTCGCTCGGCCGCTAAGTCGTCTATAAGGAGGAATTTAGGTACCTAAATACCGCCTATCTACCTGCTTATAGTACGCAAAAACTCCGCTACAATATCGCTATCGTTAGTAGGTAAAAGCATATATGCCGCTATACGAGAAATGCTATATTTGTCCTTTACTATAATAGTGTAAAGGAACTAACTAAGGTAATTAGTCTTATACGTCGCGTCTATAAACGCGATCGTACGATAGGCTTTTAGCAGTTCTATACTAGTTTTGCTAGCATATACGACGCCGTAGGTAGTCTCTTTATTAATTTAGCGTACGGCCTCTATGTTCTCGTAAAATAGCCCTTCTATAATAATGTATTAGCAGTTGTTATAATTAAAAACTAGAATTAAAACAAACAAGAATTCTAAGATTTAGGGTTCGGGCTTACTAAGGCGCGCTAGAAGCCGGACCGAGCTTGTGCCGGGGCTCCTAAATTATCTTATTAGCTCGAAGCTAAGGCTCTACGGCGCTACCGCTTTAAGCGAAGAACTTTAAAGATTTCGAGAATCTTTAAAATTCTAGCTTTTATATCGAGAATTCGCTAGCAATCGAGTCTAATAGCTTCCTCGAGGGACTAGATAAGCTAAGCGGGATTATGCGTTAATCTATTAGTTAATCGGAGTCCGGATACGCGGACGCGACGGTCCGTATAGCTATTCTATCGACTTTACGTCTAACCTTAATAATAACAATAAGATTAACTAACCTTATTAATACTACTCGAATATATCTTCTTTCTATATTTGCTATACTAGCGACGCGCCGCCGAGCCTTCTATCCTTATATACCTTCCGGAAGGCGCGACTAGAATTTAGTACGTCGTATTTTATTATAAAATTGCCGCTAGCGGCTTTAAATAGCGCGTTCGCTACTAGGTCGTACTAAGCCTTTAGTGTCTTCTATACCGCACTTAGCTTATATCTATAGCATACCTTGTGCCCTATAGTAGTTAATAAAGTACTATACCGGCGGAAGAGGTTAAAGTTATCGAGTTAGTAGTAATCCGAGTAATCCTCGCGGCTTATCCGCTAAACTCGATACGCGATAATCTCCGGCTTACTAGACTCCTTATCTTCTTTACTATATATAGTATATATCTTTATAGTTATAGGACAACCTTACGCGCGTTTAATCTTCTTATTAAAGCGCCGCGTACTATACCCTTTAGTCCTATCCGACTTCTAGTGCGGTTATTTACGAAAGCGGCAAATATAACGCGTCGTTTCTAACCTACTCTTCTCGATATAGTCCTTATTCTTCGTTTATATATTATTAATATATAGTAATAACGCGTACTATTACTTCGCTAGTACCTTAAACGAGTCGTCGAAGCCGTATAGAATAGCTCGTTCGCGCTACTTATAGAGGTTATCGATATATAGTAAGGATACGTAGTACGAGTCTAGCTTTACTAGAACTTAAGACTTTCGAGGGCGGCGATAGTCTAAGGAAACTAACGCGTTTTTATTACTAGAATTAACCGAATCGTCCCCTTTTTTCTTTTTTATCGAAAAGTTAGCGTTCCGACCGTACTCCGCTCTTATCGTAATCTTATACCTAGCGCGAAGTTACCCTATACCTACGATACTAGTATACTATCCCTACCTCCTCCGAGGTAGTTAGCAATTAATATAGTATTAGAAGAGATTAAAGGCATAATTTAAATAATAGAAGAGATAGAAACGATAGCAGAATAGTTAAAACAGCGATAGTAAGATACGATAGCGAGGTAGAAAACAATAACCCAAACAAAGACCGGCGCGTAGACGCGCCGGAGCGGAAGCGTATACAATCTACACCGACCGCCGCTCTGCAAGGTCTACGGCCCTGGCTTACAGTGGGTCAGGCGCTCGGACGCTAGTATGGGACTTTATACGCCTCCCGGTAAACGGTCAAACGCCGCAAGGCTTGGTTCAGGGGCTTGCACGCCTAAACCGGTAGCTGGAACGGCGGCATTTCGCTCGTTTCGGTCGGCCCAAACGCCCAGAGTCGTCGACAGGATGCAAGGGAAATTGCAGCACGCCGAATCTGTTGTGATACCGGTTCGAGACGTGCGCTGACGTGATACGTCGCTTGACCCCGGCGGTGCCATCATCATCATCGTGGTTGTTTATCGTGCATCGGAGGCTCGTGTACAGAACTGGGGAGAGGCGTGAAAGTGCGTGGAGAAAATGGAAAGAAGAGGACAGGGTGTTCCGGATGATGCCGAAGCGGCTGCCAGGTTTGCAGCCAAGGCAGGCCAGACGAGCGTCCTCCTGCTTTGCCATCGACATCTTTATTACTCTGCCATCCATCTTATGACTCCTCTCCCGGTCGCGGCACCTTCGATTCTCGTGCCGTGCTGTGTCATGTATGATGCATTCTTGCAATAAAGCAAAACCTCCTCTTGGCGACGACCCAGGTCATGTCGCTGCTCTACGCCCCCGATGACATATCGACCACCACTCAATTCGTGCGCTATCTTGTGCGTAATCTTCTCCCGGGGCCGGTATGCGGGTATGCGCGCGTATGGAGCTGACGACCATGTGCAGTCGCAACGCGATGTAGGCCTCCAAGTCCCTTTGAACTTCGTCACGTATGCCGGCGTCGCCACCACAGCAGCATGTTTTGCCGCCAAGCGCTACGAAGATGTTGCAGCTGCAAAGTGCCTTTCGAACCTCCTGGTAGCCGGATACAGAAGGCTCGATGCAGATGTCTATTGGGATGCTAGCCGCAATCGCTGGTCTCTCTGCCCCGTCCAACTGGGAGGCGCCGGCGGTGCCTTCACCACCTCAGTCAGCACAGCAGCGACGCCTGTGAACACGGCAACAAGCCTTTCGAATGGCATAATCACTGGCCCAAAAGCCGCATCGTATATGGAGCCCGCCCCGCGACAGGCTACGGACACATTGTCACTTCCCTCCGCGGCAGCTAGCACTGTGACCAGCTCAGCAGTGACGACGGCAACTCTCAGCGCAAATCCATCTACCACGACTTTGGCGACAGGCTCTCGTCCAGGCTCTCCCCAAAGCTCCGACAATGATGCCGTCCTCCTGCAAGCAGGTCCCTACCTATGCTCTCCCACCGTAGACTTCGCACTCTTCGTGAGCATTGTCTCGGCTCATCTGGCGAGTACTGAAACAGATTTGAATGCTACCACCCTGGCACTAGTCCTGAATTTACATGCTGCCTCTCCTTCGTCAGATCCAACTGGCAGCGCAGAGCAGCCTGGCGACGATCAACTTCCCCAAGGTAGCTCATTGCTGAGCTCGATCATCTCAAGCAATATGTCGGTGTACACTTATCCCTTCTCCGACCTGCTGAGTCAAAGAGCAAATCTTAATGGTAGCCGGAGCTGGTTCGCTGTCCCTCCCGAATACCAGCCAGATGCCGCGTTCTTTGAGGTGAACAACACGGGCAGCACCATATCGACACCCGATGGATGGCCGAGCGAGAGTTACGTTGAGCTGTCCCAGGCTAAACGAGTGCTTGTCGGGTTTGGAGATGTCGATCCACAGATGCAGAACTACAACTTCGCAGCCGATGAAGTTCTCATGTTTCCGCAGGGTTTTCTGGAATCTGCGCGAGACGTAACGCTGGCAGCCGATGGAAATGTTACGAGTGGTTGCTTCTTTGCTGCCGCTTCTACCTCTATCGGAAATGCCAATTCCTCTTGGGCCGTGTCGCCTTTGGGCAATAACACTGATGCACTTCCGCAACAGCTTGGCTACATTGTTCAGCAAGGACAAGATATAGTCCGCTGTGGCATCTCTCCGGTCCTCAATTATACATTGAACAACATTACTGCCGACAGAGACTTCAGGCCATACCAAGCTTTTGCAGAGTCTAGCATATGGTCATGGGCGTCCGGCCAGCCCATCAACGCCTCAGCCCTTGACGATTACAATAACTACCGCTGCGCAGCTCTAAATTCCAGCTCAGGATTCTGGGAGGCTGCTGATTGCGGTGTATCACGATATGCCGCGTGTCGCATCGGAAATGAGCCGTACAAATGGGCAATCAGCGAAGCAGATGCGCCGTATGACAGAGTCGAGCTAGGCTGCGACGACAATCAGGCATTTGACGCACCGCGAACGGCTCTGGAGAATGCCCACCTCCTCTATACATGGCAGACTTATCGCTCTCAGTATTCCGACGATGATGATAAACCACTGCTGTGGCTGAATTTCAACGATCTGGACGTGGCCGCGTGCTGGGTCGTGGGACAAAATACTTCTTGTCCGTATGAGGGACCTCCTGGGCAGGAAACGAGAACGATTGTGGTTCCTGTTGTTGGGGGAATCATTGTCTTGGTATTGACAGTCCTCACCATTTGTGTAAAATGTGCAGGGAATAGACAAACCGCAAAGAGAAGGCGACGAAGGGGCGATGATGGTTGGGATTATGAGGGTGTTCCGTCTTAGCGGTGTACCTATTTCTCCTGCAAGAAGATACTTTCCGACCAAAGGCAGAAATAATCCCAAACTTGAGCCTCAGAGTATGAGCATGTAACTAACCCCTTGCACGACTTTCCGGAAAGGATGGGCTGATCAAGGCATTTCGTCTCTGCGAATTGTACTCGGCCTCAGTGTGGCCAGTTTCAGATTCAGTGAGTGTGCAATTCGGTTACTTCACATAAAAGTTCATGATCTAGTCAATCGCTATAGGCTCACAGAAAGCTCTCCATCAAGAGGCTGATTGATATCAACCGTCGTCACACCGCGCTCGCCGTCGTGAGACCAGTTATTCTGACGACATTCCTTCCAGCCTTGACCTCGCCTCCTCCACGAAGGTCGCCCGCCTTTCGCTTGGACGGCTAACACAGTGACCGAGGCTATACGATTATCCTCAGCCGTGTACCCGAACGTGCCGCCAATATCCAGCACACCGTTCTCATAGGTGAACGTGATTTCCGAAGTTGCAGTTTGCTCCACGCTGTCGCCGTCATCGAGGTAAAGCGAACCGCTAGCTTTGCCGTCTTTGCCAGGTGCCACGATGATGTCGAATGGCTGTTTGCGGGTCTCTGTGGTGGTGTATCCGGATGACTTCCTCACCGGGATACATGAGCCACCCTTGACCATGAGTGGAATTTCAGTGAAGCCAATATTTTCCAACGTGATGTTGGCCCCTGTACCTTCCACGGTGTCCCAGGTTCCCCAGTTGTAGAAACGGTCTTCGGGCAGGTATATGGTCACGCTCGTTTTGTTCTCTTCGGTCACGGGAGACACCAGCAGGGAATCGCCGTAGAAGAATTGGAGCTCGACTCCGAATGTGTTCTTGTCCTCTGGGTAAAGATAGAAGAGTGGATTGAGTAATGGGGATCCGTCCTGTGACTGTTTGTGCATGGCAGTGTAGATGTAGTCTAGCAATCGGTATCGAATGTCAAGAGCACCGCGAGCGGCTTCTGCGACGGTCTCCCAGCTAGACACAGCATTAGGACAAAATCAATTGATAAGTTCCAGTTCAGGCATGACTTACAGATAGAACTCCTGCGGGATCGAAGTGTCGCCATTGTGATTGCGCATGAAAGGATAGAAAGCGCCAAGTGTAGCCCAGCGAGCACACAAGGTCTCGGTCGTGTTTGCGCCAAAGCCACAGATATCACTCCCAACCATCGGCACCTGGAAAATGCTTGCGAAGTTCAGCATTCCCTGGATGGAGTTCCGGTACAGCTCCCATGTGGAGAGATTGTCTCCAAGCCACTTGCCAACACTGCGGCCAGCGCCAGCGAATGTGGAACGAGTGATGACCAAAGGACGCCGCTCCGGTCGACGAGCCAGCATTGCGTGACGCGATGCTTCACTCATCATGGTACCATAAAGATTGTGCACGTCGAGCTCGACATGGCCATCGTAATGGACAATATCCGTGTCAAGTGTGAAATTTGAAGGACCCCCGTAGTCCTCGTATGTGTTCTCGTTGTCGATCTGGTAAGGAGGGGAAAGATAATTGCGATTGGGGTATCCGATCACGTTGGCTCCACTAGGTGAAGTTGTCGCCTGTCGCTTCGGAGTGGCAGCTGGAGTCTTGGCGGATCGCTTTACTTTGTTCTCGCCCGGGTTACTGTCTGGAGCTAGCCATGGTGGAGCGTAGGCATAATCATCAGGTGGGTATGGCTGCGCACCAGGCTGAAACTCGGGGCCGACTATGACAGGAAGCACTTGTTAGCACCTGTCTTCTACCGGGCACTTTGCCACCATCAGTAGGAAATATGAATTCACTTACAACCTGGAATAGGTCTCGGCTGAGACCGCAAAGCTGGTCGAGTAGGCGGGAAGCCCCTTTCCTCCTGAGTCTCCTCTGGGTTGTCTCCAAAATAATTGAAGTTGGCAGCTTCGTTCATGTCAATCCAGAGTGCGTCAATGTCCACACCAGTCTCGGCGCTGAAGAAGTTGATGAATTCCTTGTCCCAGTATTCTTGGACGTCTGGATGAAACCAATCAGGGAAAGCGGTGACACCAGGCCAGACTACACCCTTGTAAGTAGTTCCATCCTTCTGTAAAAAGTAGCCGTTGTCTTGGCCAGTCAAGAATGTCTCGTAAGGCAGATCGTCATATTTCTTCTCCTGATACGCCACTGCTGGATCCACCATGACAATGTAATGCTGGTCGTGCTCGTGAAGGTAGTTGACAATGTCTCGTACTCTCGGGAGTGAGAAACGATCGGGGTCTGTAGTCATGATGTAGCGCTCGTACATGTAGTCGATGTCCGTCCACATCGTTTCGAGAGGGATGTTAGCAGTGGAGTAGTTGGCGATCACTTCTGCGATGGCATAGAAGTCTCTGTAGCCATAACGGCATTGGTGGAAGCCGAATCCCCAGTAGGGCATCATTGCTGAAAACCCGGATATCTCCGCGTACTGCTTGCTCACTTCTATCGGGGATGGACCTGCTACAAAATACAGGTCTAGAATGCCAGACATGAGGTTGTACTCAAGGAATTGCTCGCCGGTCTCGGTCACGTCAATTTTTACGTCCATGCCAGAGCTGGACAGCAGGAAGACTCCATGCGTTCCGTCTGCGCCACGGTGATCAAAGTATACTGGGTGGTTTCCGTACAGATTTGTGCCTGCTGGAATGCCGTAGGAATCTCGGCTCCAGAGAGTGCGCGTGTTATTGGTGGTATCGAGCCGGAAGTTGTCCGAGTGCTCGCCAAGTCCATATAGATTGGGATTCGCAGGAAGACTGGTCCGCAGACGGAGATATTGATCTTGGAAGATTAGAGGTGCTGCCGAGGAGTCGAATAAGACTTCGCCATTGCTGCGTCTCTTGACGGAGAATGTGAATGGAGTGTCTGTCCAGTCAAATTGAAGTGCAGACTCGTCTGCAGGGACTGAGGAAGAGGCATGTGGAGTTGGAAAGACGGAAGTTGGCACTTGGTAGGCGACGGAAGGGTCGTCTTCAATTTTGACGTGCAAACGATTTGTCGAGTCGTAGTTCACCAGCAACTTCAAATGCTCAATGTCCTTTCCATAGGAATTGCACGCTGATCCAGCCAGTGACAAAGATGCCGTCAATCCGGAGTCGTGTGTCTGTACATTGCTGGCGGAGTATCCTGGGCATACAGTCGTCGCTTGTCGGGGTATTAAAGCCCTTGCGGAAGCAGATGCTGCAAAGACAGCTCCAGCAAAAAACTGCTGCAACATGTCGTTGAACAGTGGAACGGAGAAGTTGCCCACAGCCATCGCGGCGCAGTCACATGCCGGCTATCTATACAGGTGAATGATACCTTAGTATGGTCACATCGATGCACCATTGGGAGAGGGCCAAGACGCACCTGCACGCGATCTTCTGCGGTCATGGCACACGAGGGAGCAACATCGGCCCGTCAATGCTCGCCCTCTTTCCGTTTGTAGCAAAGATGTGTCGTACAAAGGGCATCCTCTCACTTCTGCAGGAACAAGTCTCCATGAAAATCAGGTTGATGATGCCTGCCAAGGAGAAATGCCAAGTGAGGGGAACCTAATTATTCACTTCCGTGCAAACGATGCCGGAGAGACGCCGAAAGAAGAGCCGCACAGTCGCTAGAGACACAAAGCCGGTTGTGTCCATAAGGAAGAGCTTGGTGCAATGGAAGTGGAGTATCGACAAGAGCTATCAACTTTCCGTTTCTTATGCCTTATTCTGATTCTCCGCTTTTACAGCTGTTCGGAGCAGCACCTCTGCCCAGCCACATAGCATTGTATGGTCACAGTGACAGTGACAGACGACCAACGCTGGCTAAAGCACAATGCACTGAGGCATCTGAGCTGTGGTAGCAAGCCTATTTGCCTCGGATCGCCTGCATCTCTTTCCTTCTCGGATTTCATCACGAGCCCCGTCGTGCTGCTCATGCTCTTCTCCTTGCATAGGCTCGCGAGCATTGCAGAGCGCACTGCTCTCATTTCCGCGCACGCTCTCATGCTGCAAGTGCAGCACGATCTTGATCCAGTAATAACGTGTTGATCCGCTTGTCGAGAGAATGGTATGCTTGCAAGCCTTCCAGGTCTGTGCGGTGATCTCCTGATGCAGGTAAAGACAGCCTGGGCCTTGACCTCTCAAATAGAAAGACCACACGGTCTCCCTGGGATCCAGAAGTACGACATGCTTCCCCATCTCCTCCAGCAGCATTGGGCCCAGCGTTTCTTGCATGAACCAAGCAAACTTCGAGAAGGAGCTGAGCCTAGTGAGCAAAATCCCACCGCTGGGAAAGTTGAAGTATTGCACATCTCCAGGGTTTGCCGGAATCTGCAACGCCCCGGATCTGCCTCTTTCTCGAGCCTTAGAATCAGTCTTTGTGGTTAGTACGCTGCGAGCCACGGTGTAAGTCGCCAGGCGGACTGCACCTGCAGACTGCTTTTGTTGCGAAGTCCGCAGCCTCATGGCATCAATCACTAGTGCTCGCTCTTGCTCTTGTACTGAATTGCCCATTCTGCTCGACAAATGCAGGTGTGGAACGGCTTGTGTTCACACCACGGCGAGCAAACACCAACCTTTATAAACCATTATCCTTTGCCACATCTGTTCATGCATAGGGAGTTTTGGCTGCTATTGTGACTCTGCGCTCCATGGAATGCAACCACATTTCTCGTCCAACATACCATACGCTTCCAAATTCTGATGCCGGGGATATCGCATGCATATCGTTGCAAATGGCTTCGAACACGGCAACGATCAGACTTTGAGAAATAGTACATGCATTTTACAACCTACCTCTGAGGCTACGAGTACAGCATGAACCAATGTGAGGACTGTTCAGCCTCGAAGGCGTATGGTGGCCTTCGTGCCCAAGCATCGGGAGAAGCCACGCGAGAAGAAACGGAGCCTCCCAGAATCCTGTTTTCCATGCTCTCTGCGCGTCTTTCATCGTGTCATTGATGGTATTGTTGTTGTGATGATTGCGCGAGCCGGTACCTTACCTTCAGGAGGTAGTCCGACTCACCGTACTGATGTGCGCAATCTTTCGAAGTGCCTTCGTGCTGGGTATGCAAAGCACAGCATTCTTTTTTCCTCTCCAGGAATGATCTGTGGGTGTGAGTTGCTGCTCCAGTCGAGCTGCACAAATTAGTATACTTACCCTTGGGATTGATTGTGGTTAGAAGGGGAGATCTTACCATGCCAGACGCTTTCTCAGTAGCGCCTCCTCTGTCGTGAGTCGTCGTACCCACCTTCGTACGGTCGCTTCTGTCCACCACCACTGCCGTAGTCTCGATCACGATCGCGGTCGCGATCTTGATATCCTCGACCTCCTCGAGGCGGAAGTGGTTCATGGTTGGCATTACGGGGTCCGCGATCATCGAAGCCGCCGCCACCGTAGCCTCCACCTCGGCCACCGTAGCCGCCGCCAAATCCACCTCTAGGACCAGACGGGGCGCCATCAGGAGCACCGTTCGAGTAGCCGAGACCGCCGCGGCCACCATATCCACCACCGCCGCCAAATCCTCCTCGGCCACCTCCACGACCTCCTCTGAAGTCACCACGCCCGCGGAAATCACCGCCGCCAAACCGGCCGCCGCGAAATCCAGGTCCAGGTGGAGCGCCTCCGCCGAAGCCTTGCGGCCTGACCGAGACTTTGGTGTAGTGTCGACCACCCATGCCGCCGCCGAAGCGACGCGGTCGCCAACCGGCAACAGTCCGACCTCTTTCAACATCGACCAGAACTTTCCTACCCTTGATGTAAAGAGCATCGCTTTCCTTGTAGGCAGCTGGAAGAATGTCAGCAAATTTCCACCGCAAAATGGGGAAGAGACGCACCTTTCATGTCCTTCTCGCGCTCGAACAGAATGAACGCATATCCCCTGGGCTTGCCTTTCTTAGGACCTTCGCCTCGATCTGTCACGATCCTGATTCTCTCGATGGGTCCGAATCGACCAAATTCTTTCTCCAGGTCCTTGGTGCCAACATCGTAGGGTAATCTGCTGATGAAAAGTGTTTTGAATGCGTCGCCCCGGATATTTTCGTCCTCATTTGGCTTGTAAAATTCCTTGTAGCCGCCCTCCACTAGCCATTTCTGCTTTTCCTGTTTCTCCATTGTCTCACGGTCGCGCTTCTGCAGCCACGACTCCGTTACCGGATCATCTTTGTGTTCTTCCTTGTACTCCTCGAGCGCAGGCAAGAACTGGGCGACGCCATCTACGGTCGCTGTTTTGCGATTTTCTGGCGCGTAGTCATTCGGTGGCATGTACCGCAGCGGCGGTCGCGGCTGAAAGAGCGCCAATAGGTTAGGCGGCAGTCGGTCGGTCATGATGGGCAAAAGTTATGCAGTGCTGTGGTCGATAGGTGTGGTGTGGGTAGAGGTGCTCTCTCTCTCTCTCTCGCTACAGTGTCGCGTGGGCGCGATGTCGATGCGGCGAGATCGCCGCGCCCCTCGTTCTTGACAAGTGCTGAACGCTCGAGCGCGCCTGGTCGGTACAGAATGGATAAAATGAGTGCCTGCTGTGGTCGGACGTGCTTTTGCGATCGGTATATGTCGTTCTAGCAAGTGGAGTGCAAAGAAAGAAAGGGAGGAGCTCGACACGTTCCACTTCCACTTCCGAAGCTCGCGGGCCGATCACGACTTTTGCCCGCTGTGCTTTGCCTCTCTGACGTTTATCTTGGCGCGTGGAAGGAACGAAGGAACTACTTGGAGTTGGGAAGCAGGGAACGGGCTAATAATATGTCGGAAGAGCTTCACAACAAACACTCGCGTCCAGGATCGGGTTTGTCATATTGATGACGGGACGATGACTTCGAGGCTGGTGTCCTCACGGCTCGCCTCGGCCTCAAGGACCACCACAGCGCATGCAAGAGCCACGCCGCGACAGAATGTAGCCTCGCTGTACCAGAGCAGCACACTTGCTGCCAAACGTTCGATATCTCACGCCGCGCTCTCGGGCTCATCAAATGTAGTGCGGAGATGGAGTCTGAGGAGGTCTTGGCCAGTCGGCGCCAATGCGATTCACCATCTGCCTGCAGTACGACATGCTTCCTTTGCGAGGGTTATACCAAAACTAGCGATGAAGCTCGCGCGAATACCAGCCATGTTCGGCGCAGCAATGATTGGGGGCGTGGCGTATCTGCAGTACCAGGCTGCGCAAGGAGCAACATACGCAATGGACATGTTCGGCAGGGCAAAGGACTCGGCAATGGCTACTGCGAATGGTGTGCTGGACGGTTTGGGAGGAGTCTTCGCACAAATGGGCAAGGGCGTTGATAAGACGCAAGAAGACATCAAGGGCATACAGATGCCAGAGTGGATGAGAGATATCTACGAAGGCAGGACAGGCAAAGAAAGTGGAGGCGACGGCGGCAGCGGAGGCCCGAATGAGCCCAAGGAAAGTAGTGTTGGCGGTGTCGCAGCCGGCGCTGGTGCTGCTACCGTAGGAGCTTTCGCGTTGGACTCTGAAGGCGAAGAAGATGATCGCTCAAGAGACGAGGCCGCGAGAGATGATCAGATGATGATGCTCACCCGGAAGATGATTGAGATCCGGTCGCTGCTACAGACAATAGGACAATCCGAGAGTCTTACTCTACCATCGCTCGTTGTCATTGGGTCGCAGTCATCGGGGAAGAGTTCTGTGCTGGAGGCAGTAGTTGGACATGAGTTCCTGCCCAAGGGCTCGAACATGGTCACCAGGCGACCGATCGAACTGACTCTGGTCAACACACCCAAAGCACACGCGGAGTATGGCGAGTTTCCAGCTCTAGGCCTGGGGAGGATCACAGACTTCAGCCAAATACAAAAGACTCTGACCGACCTCAACTTGGCAGTCCCAGAGAAGGAGTGCGTATCAGATGATCCCATCCAGCTTCGAATCTACTCCCCGAATGTGCCTGATCTGTCCTTGATCGATCTCCCTGGCTACATTCAAGTCGAAGCCTTCGACCAGCCCACCGAGCTCCGGACAAAGATTCAAGACCTTTGCGACAAGTACATTCAGCCACCAAACGTAATTCTTGCTATATCGGCAGCCGATGTTGATCTTGCCAACTCCACAGCATTGCGCGCAGCACGAAGAATAGATCCAAGGGGCGAGCGAACAATTGGAGTTGTCACCAAGATGGATCTTGTCGACCCTGCTCGTGGGGCGCAAATTTTGAATGACAAGAATTATCCGCTTAGGCTTGGGTATGTCGGCGTTGTTTGCAAGGTGCCTCAAGAGAGCAAGTCCTTGTTCTCAAGAGGATCGCAGAACATCACGAATGTGATCACCAGAAACGAGTCGGCATTCTTCAACTCACATCCGGAAGCATTCGGGCCTGATGCTAAAGCTCCGGTGACAGTGGGCACTCCGGCCCTGCGCAAAAAGCTCATGCACGTCCTGGAGTCAACAATGTCTGCCTCGCTGAAGAAGACGAGCGAGGCGATCCACCACGAGCTTGCCGAGGCCTCATACGAGTTCAAAGTACAATACAACGAGCGTCCATTGACTGCTGAAAGCTATCTCGCAGAATCGCTGGACGCCTTCAAACACGGCTTCAAAAAGGTGTCTGAGTCATTCGGACGGCAAGAGGTTCGAGAGATTGTGAAGCACGAGCTCGACCAGCAAGTTCTCAATCTGCTCGCACAGCGATATTGGAATCGTCCTGTTGAGGATCTACGGCCGAGAGATCAAACATCAGAGGCTCTGCAGGAGCCACTCGAGAGCCTGCCAAAAGCAGACCCAGAAAATCCTCTCTGGCATCTCAAGCTTGACGCCTCGACCTCTGCCCTCACAAAACTTGGCATTGGCCGCCTGGCAACGAGTGTGACGGCGCAAGCTCTGCACTCCGCCGTCCAAGACCTCATCCAGAATACGCCCTTCGCATCGCATCCTTTTGCTGTCCAGGCTATTTCTACTGCTTCCGAGAACATCTTGAAAGATCTCAGCTACGAGACATCGGATGAATTGGAAATCTGCGTCAAGCCCTACAAATACCGTGTCGAGGTGTCAGAATCGGAGTGGAGGCAAGGGCGAGAAAACATTGCCAAAGTGCTGAAAGATGAGCTTCGCGATTGCGAGAAGGCGTTCACAGCGGTGGAAGAGCAGATCGGCGGCAGAAGAAAAGCCAAGGATGTGGTGTCCTTCATCGAGCGCGTCAGGAAAGGCGAAACGGTGCTTGAAGGCAACGGTGTCGGGGGAGCAGGCGGCTTCTCTTCTGCACTTCTCGAGAAGGGCAAAGAAGCGCTCTTCCTGCAGGAGCGTGCAGGCATTATTCGAATGCGGCTTGCGGCGATCAAGAGTAAGCAATGCGCTGTGCCGAAGAACAAATACTACTGCCCCGAGGTGTTCCTTGACGCCGTGGCGGAGAAGCTCACCTCGACTGCGGATCTCTTCTTGGATGCCGAGCTTTTGAGCAAATTTTACTATCAATTCCCACGTGTGCTCGAGAAGTGGGGTCGTGAGTTGGATGAAAGCACAATAGAACGCTTCGCAAGAGAAGACGCAAAGATCCGAAGACACCTGGATGTGGTCAAGCGGAAAGAGCTTTTGGAGCATGTGCTCAAAGAGATGGACAGCCTCCGGCAACTCGAGGCAAGAGAGAAGAGGAAGTCTACGAGAGGGACCCAGACAGAAGAGAAGAGGAGAAGAGGCTGGCTATTCTAGAGTGCGGCAGCGTCACAGCGGAGCGTGTACAAACATGAGGGCGGTTTGATTTGGATGCATGGCCCACGACAACCCATTGAGGTTTGTTCGGCGCGGCGCGGCGCGGCGCGGCGCGGCGCAGTGGAGAATGATAGCATGAACGACGTGACTGCGTATGTATGTTGATATCCCGCTCAATGAGTGCCAAGACCTTTTCGATCTTGAGGACTGGATTTTTGGCGAGCATTGGACGGTACGTGGGTTGCCAAGGCCTGGAATTCTATGATTGGCTCGGCTGGAATCGGAATGGCGCCTCCCGTGGCATGAGATCAACAAGAGCATGCTTCACCATACACGGATGGACTCGCCTCCCTCCACCGTCATCTCGACCTGCTGCACCGTCGGCCGCCACACATCACACGGTCAGGGAGCACGGAATGCCGCGACATCCGCCAAGAGCTGCTCCCGCCTCGGCCTGCGCGCGACGGGGCAAGCTTCGACACGTCCACGCCTTGTCAATCTGTCCATGACGGCAGCGACGGCCCATGCTCGCGATGCACTTCATGCGAGTGCGACTCAATGCGCTTGACCAAACGTCTCGCCTCACATCGGCTCTCGCAGGAGCGGTCGAGACATGCCGCCAATCGTCGACCTTGGGCCCCGCACCAACGTTCCACAGCTACCTAGGTCCTAGTACAATCGGGGCACAATTATTAGCTATATTAAGCTGAGTGTGTCGCAGCCTCGTTTCCCGGGACAGGCTACACGAGCATAGGCAGAATATGGCACCAACCCGAGAATTTACGGAGAACCAAGTCATCCCCAGAGACGCCGGCTACGATGCTTCGCAGCTCAAAGGCAAGAGCGTCGTTCTCACCGGAGGCGCGAGCGGACTGGGCGAGCAGTTTGTTCGATCGTTCGTTGACGCTGGCGCCTATGTCACGTTTGGTGACCTGGCAGAAGATCGAGGGAGCGCTCTGGCTGATGAGCTTGGTGCTGCCAAAGCTGCTTTCGTCCCGTGCGATGTGACCAAGTGGCCCGATCAATTGGCCCTCTTCAAGACTGCCCTGCAGAATTCTCCAAGCAAGACGATCGACATCGTGGTGGCCAACGCCGGCATCGCTACAACTGACGATGTCTTTCTTCAAGCCGAGACAGACGATGGCGATCCAGTCGAGCCGACTCTCAATGTCGTCAAAGTCAACTTCATCGGACTCTTTTACACAGTCAAGCTCGCTTTATTCTACCTTCCAAAGCAGCCCGAAGCTGACGACCGTGACCGCTGCATCATCATGACTGGATCCTTGGCATCATATCTGGACATGAGCGGCTCGCCACAATACAACGCAACCAAGTGGGGTGTTCGCGGACTGATGCATAGCATTCGACGAACGGGACCTGATCAAGGCATTCGCATCAACCTCGTAGCTCCCTGGTAAGGCGAAGCATACCCTCGCAAAACGCGTCACTGATGCTCTTTCAGGATCGTGGACACTCGAATCATGTCCGACGAGACCAAGAGATTCGTGAGAGGCCAAGGTATTGAGTTCTGCAACATTGAAGACGGCGGCTCTCTCGTATGTCACTTCGCAGCAGACAAGTCCATCAATGGTAAGCAAGCACTAGAACAGTCAAGACTTTACCAGCATGGCTTACCATCCTCCTCTAGGCCGCTCTTTCATCTTGATTCCAAGGAGTGTTAACAGACGAGGCTATATGGATTCCGAGCACGATGACTTCAATGATGACGACTTTCTGACTGAGTGGCAGAACACTGGCAGAATGGACAAATTTAGAACGCTGCATGCCAAGTGAGCGCTTTGAGACAAAGAATCACAGTCGGTCTGGTTTATGACAATGACAGTATACCGTGTGTGGAAATTGTTTCACGATTGACAACAAACATTCCTTGTCTCAGACCGCTACCTCATTGATCTTTGAAAGTCAGTTCTAAGTTTCGTTGCCAACTAATACAATAGCAAAGTTCAGGACAAGACTAGTATAAGAAGCATCCAGGACAGTCCTGCGAGGTGTGTTGATCATATCTCTTTGTCAGGAACAGTAGAGACTTTGACGCAGGAAGTCGAACAATATATACATCATGGTCCAAACACGCCGCGCCACAGCAAAGGAACAGGCAGCGCATGCCGCGGCAGCACCAGCGCCAGTAGTGCCAACTGTACCAACAGTCCCAGCAGCACCGACAGCAGCGGCAGGCCCGACAGCATCGGAAACATCGTCCACGCCGGGAGCTGGGAGAAACAAGAAACGTTCTGCTCCGGCCCTCGCAGATGAATCGGCCTCAAAACGCCAGAAGACCATTGACCCAACTCAGGATGAGTCTGCTGGCCAAGAAGCGCCGGACGCTGGTGCAGCAGAAGAAGCAGCCGCCGCCGCCGCCGCCATAGAGGCTCCCGACGAATCTCCCGACGCAAAATTTCTCCGAGAAGCGATTGATGAGATCTCCAAGCTCAAGCTCAAGAAAAAGAAAACTAATCATACAGCGGATCTTCGCATCGTAAAACCCCTCTTGCGCAGCATGAAACAACCACTTAGTGAGGCCGTTCATTCATCGGCAGATTTCGACAATTTGGATGGAGACAAGGCGCCCGCCGCTTATGTCCTCACAGCAGATGTAGCCCGTTCACTTTTAGCAGGCGATCGAGTCGTTGATGCTCCTGTGTTTGTGGCAGGAGGCGCGAAGAAGCTCTTCGATAGTGAAGCCTCTCGTCGACCCTTCGAGGAGGTTCTAAGTGACTGGTTCCCCGACTCCGAAGAAACTTACACTGTGAACGACCCCGAAGGCTTAGGAAATGGTGATCATTCCATTCAATGGATGAGAGACCACTTTCTAGCTAACAACGGCTACGTCGAGCATCCATGGAACTTCGCCGACATTCTCAACCCAATGAACTTGATGGCCACCCCCGAATTTCTTGAATCGACGAATTGCCGACTCCTCCGTGATATTGACCGGGCAGTACTCTTCGCGATTACATCTGCTGACATCTGTCTAGAAGATTGCTCTAATGAAAAGATAGCCGTCGATTTATGCTGTGAGAAGCACGGCATGACTCTTGCCCAGCTAACAACGCTGCAAACCGACATGGCATTGTGGCGAGGAACACTGATGCTCGCAGACGCCGGAGCGATCACGCTTAGTCACTGGGACAAAATGTCATTCGGAACTTGGATCTCGTGCTACGAGGGCGAGATTGGTTTCGCATGGTTGAGCCATCCTGACAAAAAGGCCATTGATGCTCATCTATCCAATCCTAACAACCCGGGAGGCACTTGGCTTTACAAAGTGATCCGGCCAGGAGAGTCGTTATACATGCCTCCAGGCACTATCCATACCGTCTTCCGAAGGCCACAAGGCACGCAGACGTTAGGTATGGCAGGCCATATCTTGCGTCGATCCACCGACCTAGATTCATGGTTGGAAGTGCTCCACCGAGAATTACAGAATGCTCTAAAGCAGAGGCGCGGCTACAGGTTTGATGAAGATCACGAGGTTTATATCGTACCAGCGCTGATGAACACGGTGCGGCGTTTCCTTGACCTGGCAAAGAAGGAGGGAACAGTTGACAGGTTTGGCGGACAGGCGAAGGTCGATCGTGCGGAGGGACTCATGGAAGCGGTGGAAAATGACATCCTCGAGATGCGGAAAGCCGTAGCAGCGGCGACAGCACCAGTGCCATTGGGAAGAGGCGCAAGAGCCAAGGTCTCAAAGACTACTGCCGCTAAGCCAGCGCCATCGAAGACAACGACTGTCAAGAAGAAAGCTTCTACAGGCACAGGCACGGGAGCGGATGCCCCAGCACCAAAAAAGAAGGCAACGAAAGCTGCTGCAACCAAGACGAAGAAGGCAGCGGCAAAGTCGGGTAAAAGTAAGAAAACAGGCAAGTAGTAGTTTTTTTCAGATTCTCAATTTGTCTTATCGCTGCTCATCTTATTGCTTCATTCACTTCAATGCTTTCGGCAACGGTGCTCGAGCGTCGTGCTCCCCTAATGACCGCCTTCCTGGCGAAGCCTTACTTCACATGCGTAGATGCAGACCTGGATAGGCGCATTTGAGACCGAGCCTGACTTCAGAACGGTGGTGCCGGTTGGTCTCAAGCTCATAACACGTTACACCACATGGCCCGTAGAGCATTCAAGACATCGTGAGCATGGAGGAGCATCATCACGGGAGTAGGAGAAACAAATCCCGTCGTTCGCTTGAGATGCCTGGATTACAGGATGCTGGTCTCAGACTCGAGTCTCGCACCGCCCGAGACATGCTTCGTGATCCAATTAGTGTCCATCGCTATACCTGTTAGAAGTGATCCTGAAATAAAGACATGCAGTGTCAGCGCAGGGATTGATGTCTTAGCCGCGAGACAATCGGAGTGTCCGTAATGAAGCTCCATGAATATATCAGCCGCTGTGTTTACCTCAGCCGTGAACCAGCCAAGTATCATCTCGATAGCCTCTCCAAGCATCGCCTTTCACAAGCAAGAATGTTCAGCATCAGGTTTCAGCACCATGATGGCGAGACAGAGTCGTACAGCAGGTATCCAATCGTAGTCCTTTCGTGTCCAAACATCTCCTAATGATTCCAGCTCTCCCTCGGCCCCCTCGCAACGACAGCAACGTGACGAGTTGCGAATGACTACATCCACTTTCGTCAAGCACGCCGAGACGTTGGAAGCGAACTATCGAGCGGCAATAGCAAAAATAATGAATGAGGCGTGCCCTCACACAAAGAGCACGAATCTCACCGAAAAAAAAAACAAATCCTCACTGATCTCCAAACCACCGAGCGGGAACGCGATCTCGCCTTTGATCAGGTCCTTGAAGAGATGGAGCAGAAAGGTCTTCCCACGGAAGCAGTTGAAGAAGTCATCACCCGAGCTCTAGTCGCGCCAGATCATCCTTCGAAATCCTTGGCTTCGAGAAGACAGACTGGAGAAGATGAGGGTTTTCCATTACTGTATTCTCGTGCTACAGGTGGTTTGGAATTGTGGGCAGAGAATCCTTCTGGTGACAAAACACATGCCAAGCGATGTCCATGTGAAAGCTATCGAATCGTACTGACCAGCCTTTTCAGGTGTAAGCCATCATGGCCATCAGTGCTGTTCGCCAGCTCAGACAGCGCCACGCTGCAATTCTGCAGGGAAGTCTTCCTCCTGCGGCGGCCCACCAGTGCAGAAGGCATGGTCAATGTACAAAACCATGCGCAAGAACAATCGTGGCCTCTTGAATACCAAATTGCCCCAATCCAGCTTGATCTTGCCCTGTGGAGGACCTCCCGCAGCATGCCCATTGGTATCCTTATGATCCGACTTCCAGGCCTTATTATCCGACTTCATGGACGTCACAAATTTGGAGTCATCCTGCGCATAGGCGACGATGTTTGCGAGGACATCGGCGCAGAAGTCTGACCCATCGAAGTTCTGCTGTTGACTCTTCAATGTCTTGGTGAACACGTCCAGCCGCCGAATCTCGACCGATTCCATCCCGGATCCGCGTGCAGCTGCGACGTTGATCGCTTGCAGGATGAGCGGGAGTGCGAGGACAGCGGAAGCACTGATTGGCAAGTACTTCACAAGTCGTACTTGGACGAGCTCTTGCGTGCGCCGAGAGACATCGTTGTTTGCGATCTCAAGCGCTTCTCGAGCTTCTTCGAGCGAGAACATCGACTTCGTCGCCGGAAACACCTCCCGGAGCAGGATCAGGTATGTATTGAGTCCAAACACTGCGGATGCATGATACGAGAACATCATGTTCGCATAAATACATATCGTCTCATGCGCGTCGTCCAAGCTGATCGGAAATGGAAAGGCTCGTATAGCTTGCTCATGCCAGAGACGCAGCGATTCTAAAGACCGCTGTATGTCGGACACCAAGGTTGGAAGTGATCGCGAAGCATATTCAAGCCTATCATCGAGCCTTTCGTGCTTGTACAAGATCCGGCTGGTATGCGTAAGACATTGCGCAAGACGGCACATCGTTCCAAGCATCTCGAATATTCGGAGCTGTGTTTCAGTATCGTGCATCGGAGAGTTACCCAACTCCGGCTGGAAGTCTTCTGCTTGCAGAACATGCTTCTCCGTGTCCCAATCATTCTCGAGCGGTACCTGGATTGATCTTCGAAGACCAAGCGAAAGTATTCGATCTCGGAGGATGACACCCCACCAAATGCGCTTGAGCATTTTCGACTTGACAGGGTCTTTAATTCGGTGGTAAGAGTCGGCTCTTGCTATTCGCGCAAAGCGGATGGCATTGGTGATCCAGTAAGTATTCAGCCGGAGCAGGTTATACTGGAGGAAACAACGTTAGCGTGTACTGCTGGTCACTCGCCCCGTGTTGATGTACTTACATTGGGTGCATTATAAGACAGTAAGAGGCATGCTTGCGCGCTGGCAATAGCCTCGCGCTCGATACCGAAGTCGAACAGGAGCTTGGCTTGTCTGTAATGCGTATTTCTTGCTTCTCGCTTACTCACGAATCCAAGACCGGACAGGGTTTCAAGCTCGGTGTACTAACCCCATTCAATATTCTGTATACGGGTTGTCTTGGAGAACTTACGCTCGTGGCGGCAAATATCATTGCCCGCAGTAACAGGAAGGAGAACTCCCCAACTCGCAACTCGTCGCCACCCCAAAGCGCCCAGAACTGGTCTTCCGCAACGATCGGAAGATTGGGGTGCACCATTTTGAAGTACATCCGCATCATGACTCTGAGGACATGAGGAGGGGGCAGGTCGAAGCATCCTTCAACGCGAAGGTACTCTTGGTCCCGTGGGTTGAGTCCTGGTATATGGACGGCCGATGATCTCCGGGGCGGTATGTGACCTCCATTGAGAGGCGACACTGGTCCTGGAAGGAGAGGTGTCGTATGCAGAGCTGGCTGTCCGTACGTTGAGATGGGCGGAAAGTCGTTCGTTTGCGGTGGCAAAGTGGGCAGGAATGAGTTGCCAGTAAAGGTGAAGATGTCGTCCAGCTCTGTCAAATGACTGAAGTCACAGCTTGCAGATGAGGCATCTACGATGTTCTGGTCCCAGTTGAATTGCCCTGGTTGAAGGTCAGGCCACAGTCGACTATCACCTGTGGGCGGCGATCCAGAAGAGTGCGATTGGTTCTCCACCAGCGAGTACGCATTGTGAATCCCGTTCCCCGTTTGGATCGTTGTGTCAGAATGCACCCGCGACGGGGCGGTAGGACGTTGTACAGTGTTGTTTGTCCAGGCCGATGTCCCAGGCGTTGGAACTCGCCAGCTATGAGACTGATCCAGGATTATCTGGTGTGCCTCATTCGGTGGGGTGCTGTCGCGTCTACCACGGGGTTAGTTCCATGTCTGACAACGATACAAGCAGCAATTGCACCTCTGATTCTTCCTTCTGCGAATCACACAGGCGGTGGAGGCGTCCAGGCAATTGCTGCACGGCGTGCCGCTTTCTAGCACGTTGCACCGAATTTTGCGAGCATGGCAATGCACACACGCCTTTCTCGAACGCCTCTGCTTAAGCTTCGATCGTGTGGCCGCAGCTTGTGGGCTCATCAGCCCGTCTGCAGTATGCATCACTACTACTGACGGCAAAGAAGAAGTGAAGGGAAAGAAAGCCGCATTTACCGCACGAGAGCATTTGCAGCGGCAGAGGTATTATTGTTCTACTCGTTGGCGGGCAACGTTTCGAGGCCGAGTCCCCTGGCCTGGAACTGGGATTAGAGCCCTGCCCTTCCCCGCAGACGAGATGCGGGTCTAGTCTGGTGGTGGCGTTGCGGAGTGAATGGGGCTACATGTGCGTGCAACGAAACCGTTTATTCCCAGGCCAATGGCCGGAAACGCGGAGGTAAAGCCAACATACGTACAGGGACGACATCTTCACGCATTCTCGGTCGATGCGAGTCGTCAGCCGACCTCACCTCTGGAGTCTCGATGGCTCCACAGCAGCAGGCCGTTCGTCAGTTCGTCAGATGAAAGATGATCGGCTTGTTCTTGCGCAGCGTCAGGTATAGTAGTCCGGATTGAAAATGATCGCGAGGAGATGTTCCGGCATTCCGCATCACCATCCCAGCTAAGCTTAAATACATACATCGTGAACATATTATCTCCGGTGCCGCACAATTCTCGGACTCCAGAGGCTGGATTGTTGGCCTGAGATGAACCACGTGTTCTACAGGGCCAACAATATCTGGGCCGCACCCACGGAGGACTCTCTTGAGAAAAGATTTTTGCTACCGGTCAAAGTCTAATCTAGACTCACTGCCTCGGACTCATACCGGAGAGTCCAAGATCGCTGTTCTCTAATAATAATGTCGCGGTCTCCTGAGCAGTTGCTGACGATGAAAGGTCGCTGGGACCTCGTCGATGTCCTGCAATGTCTTTGAAGTGCGCGGTAGCAGGGGAGTATGGGGAGTCTTCTGCATTATTGACCAGTGTAGCATTCGATGACTCGCTGATGTTCCTACGGTGCGTGCGCGCGCCATCCAAAGACCGATAAGGAGCAAGTGGTGATTGCTCGCTGTCGTTGGTCCAGTTTGAAAGAGAGGAGCAGGCAATCGAGAGCAAGTACTCTTCGGCTCTGGCTTTCGAACTTGGCAAGTCCTCTTCGAAAAGAAAGACTTTGTCGCGAGCTGCCGCCGTCCGCATAGCCGCGACCGTTTCAGCTCCGTGAAACACATCCTTGACGTACCGTCCTCGTGACAGCGAAGCGAGTATGTTGGACTTAGAAGCATCGCAGCTGGGTAGCCCGGGAATGGTGATCTTACGACCAATTTTTCAAGATCATAGCATTTGCTGCACACGGCAAGTGACTCTACGGAGGGCCACTTACACTCTCTAGAGGGACAACTCACGGTCAGCTGCTGTGACACCATGTCTTCTGCCTAGACAATACCGGAGAGCACTGCAGCTTGCATTGCGTAGTCGGGACTGGGTTTCAGTGAATTCTGACCGGTCACTGCTCAACGTTAGCAACGGCGGAGAAGAGTGTAATATCGCCCTACCTGTGCCACCACTGGTCATATAGATTGGAAGGAGATTGCCAACGTGATGATATACTGGTATATCTAGTCATTATATATTAGATATTACGGGAGTCTTGAAGGTGCAGCTGAAGCAAGGGCACTCGAGCTTGTCGCAGTGTGGTTATTCACTAGCCTATACTCGTCTGTTTGGAAGTCGTATGAGCGCAATCTTCTACCGTTGAGCGAACTTTGTGTGCGCCGTTTGGCGTCGAGGTCAGATTTCAGGGGTGCGTCCTCTGGATCTGTTGTAATTGAGCTAAGCAGAACAAGTCATTGATTGATTGACTATAGAATTGTATAGAGAAGAAGGGATTAAGTTCTGTCTGCGCTAGATGCTACATATATTACTAGGAAATTAGCTCTTAGCACTTAGTAGTACTAACTGATCTATAACACTCCCCCTTAGGTAGAATCTATTAGAATAAAAGGCTATTTTCCCTCACTTAGCTACTATACGCGTTGTTAGTTAAAGTGTAACTACCTTGTAACTTATTAGATACAAGTAACTTATATATAACGATCTAAGTAACCTAGGGTTGCTTCTCCTAGCTCGCTAATTAGTCTAGTCCTTTTATATACATTAAAGTAAAGGTAAAGTCGTGCTTGCCGTACGCTTGCTACTTAGACCCTAAGCCTAGCAGTCTATATTTAAGAAGTGCGCTTTCTATTTAAACTTGAACTTCTTCTTTCTACTAACCAATATACAACTAACACTTTCTAATATAGCTTGACTTAACCTGATTCCAATTAGAGGTACTATTATAGCTGTAGCAACTTAGTCTAGTCTAGGTAGCCTAGCTACTAGTATAGGTAGTAGTAGCGGAGGAGATAATCCGAATAAGAAGTTGCCTAGTCGCTATAACAAGTAGTAGCTAATTAACAACAGTAAGGCTTTTGCTAATTAGATGCGCCTTCCTATACTAATAGAGAGCAGTCTTAAAGGAGATTAAGATCACCGTCGCGCTCCTATAGAAGATCCTAACCGCTCTAGCTAACTCGAAGTTTGACGAAATGCCTCTATAGCTACGCAATACCGACGTTATTATCTTCGTACGCACCCTTAAGCAAAAGGGCAGCAACTCTCCCTTATACCTAACTATCGTAGCTATAATACGTAGGGCGGATAAGAAGTTTAACCTAGCCTCTAGATCTAACGTCAACTATCTTCCGGCTATACTCGTATATACTGCTTCTAGTCGCACTGTTTATTAGGGAAATAATAGGTGTAAGCCCTATTAGGAGGGTAAGGGTATATATAAGGAGTGTGTTACTCTAACTGTTAATAGGAGCAAGTTCCTTAAGGGTACCTATACCAATTGTGCTAGCCCGAACTATTATAGTTATTATAACAAGTCGAGTAAGTTAGGTTTAACTTAAGACCTTAATTAGGAAAAACTAACTAGGTTGTAGGCTATATATCGCGCCCTCGTTCGAGCACCAACCGCTAGGCAGGTCTTCTAGGTCCTATTAGGCTGCCGCCTCGTAACCTAGGCAGTATAGCAGGCAGTAATTAGCGTCGCCTATATGTCCCGATTCCTTCTAGGATTAATTAGAACACTCCGGAAGGCGCTTAGGCGATTGCGAATGCGTTAGCTTAGTAGGTAGGAGTCTACGCAGCTGCTGCAATAGCTAGTCGTAGTCGTAATCCAAACTCTCGGCTTTCTTCTAGATCGGCTATACTAGCCCCGTCTAGCTCCTCTTAGAGTAGACTGTCCGATCGTTACTCTTCTTAGAGTAGGCTATCTAATCGTTAGGATAAAGAAAAGGGTGATTCTAACGAGGAAATAGGCAGTCCTTAAAGGGACAGGAGTATTCTTAGAAGGTTAGAGATCCTTTAGATAAAACTTCTAATATATAATTTAAGATTTGTAGCATTAGGGAGATTCTAGTCCTTATAGATTAGGCCAATCTAGTTTCGATGTTTGTTTCTGCTTTAAGATATTGTACTAAGAGCTGAAAGATTGCTCTAGATACCGAGATGCCCTAACAGATAACTAGAAGAGTAGTTAGTCTATAGAGAGTAATGAAATAAAAATGAGTGTATTGAGTTTAACTCCCTATTCTAGTAACAAATAAGAATAAAATAAGTGACTTTAGAGTTTGCCCTTTACTAGTCTAGATCCTAGAGGATAGGGTTGTTTAACTTAGGCTTAGTAAGCTAGTCTACTATTTGGAGATTAGTAGGAATGTACTAAACATCAATCCTCCCTTTGTTATACTGTTCCCTATAGTAATAGTTCCTTAGAGAAACATGCCTTAATCTGCTAGAGTTAGTATGATTCTTTATAAGGTAGATAGTTAACTAGTTATCGCAGTTGATTTTAATACAGTCAAACTTAAACCTAGTAAAGCTACTAATTTCCTTAGAGAGGTTCCTTAGCTACTTTAGCTCCCTTACAGCTTTAGTTAGTGCTATATACTTAGCTTTAGTACTAGAGTAGACAACTTCTTTCTAAAGCTAGGATCTCTAGAGAACTAGTCCTCCTACTATAAGGAGCAGGAATCCTAATATAGACCTCGAGGTCTTTAGGTTACTAGCAAAGTTAGAATCTAAGTAGACCTTAAGGTAGCTCTTAATGTCAACCTTGCTAGACTTGCTCTTCTTAAATACTAGGGACTTATCAACTATTCCTACAATATATTTCTAAACATGTCTTACTGCTATAACATGCTCTAGTCTAGGGTTTTGTAGGAATCTAGCTAGGTAATTAATAGCATAAGTAATGTTAGGTCTTGTCTAGTTGGAAAGATACTATAGCTCCCTAATTATCTAATTAAAGAGTTTATAGTTCTCCTTCTTGCAGTCTAGCTCGAAAGCAGTTAGGAGTTTCTTAAGTAGGTACTTTATACCCTTGTATTAGTTAAGACTATACTTTCTCAGCTTCTCTAGAGAGTAGTGCTTCTAGGAGATTCTAAGACTTGTACTGTCTTTAATGATATGCAGTCCTAGGAAGAGGTTTGTCTAGACAACCTTAATAGTATAGGTTTTCCTAAGTCCTTTAATTAGCTTGTTAATCCTAGCTTGAGTCTTACTAAAGATCTGAAAGTCATTAACATAAAGGATAACTATAATCCCTTCTCTAATAAAGAGGCAGGCATCGCTCTTAGTTTTATATAAACTAAGGGTCTTAAGTGTAGCTTTAGCATCGTAGTACTACAAAGCAGCTAACTGCTTTATACTATACAAGCCTTTCTGTACAATTATATATAGAAATTCCTCTAGGTCTTTTCCAATTAAATGTAACCCCTTAGGTACGTTTATATAGTTGGGTCTGTCAATGTCTAGTTCTAGAAATGCAGCCTCAACATCCACTTAATATCTAACCTAGCCAAAAGTGGCTAAAAGTCCTAAGCAGAACCTGCTTATTGTAGCTCTTAGGGTTAGAGCAAAGGTTTCTTTAAAGTCAATACCTTTCCTCTAGGTAAACCCCTTAGCTATATATCTCGCCTTAAACTTCTTAGTAGAACTATTAGGCAAGCGCTTAATCTTCTAGACCTATTTACTTAATATTGGTTTTCTACCTTTTAGAAGTTCTTTAGTAGAGATCTATTTAAGGGTGCCTGTTTTGTCTAAGGACCTAAGTTCTTTAGTAACAGCTTCCCTCTAAAGCTTAGCATCTATGCTATTTAGTGCTTTATAAAGTATAGATAGCTCACCCTCCCCTAGCTTCTTAGCCTTCTTCTTTAGGAATCTCCTAAGAGTAGCATTTAGGACCCTAGCTATGTTGCTATAGTTAGGTCTCCTTATCTGCCTACCCCTCGAGGATATTATAGGGGGTGTATCTACAAGGTCTAAGTACCTTAGCTTTGTTACAGCTCCTAGAGCTGCTAGTAGTAAGGCACTTCTTAGCCTTTTCTGCCCTGCTAGCTGGTTTGGCTAGTATACGACTAGCCTGATTGCAACTTCCTAAGCTGCTAGTAGTAAGGCGGCTCTCGGCCTTTTCTAACCTGCTAACTAGTTTAGTTGGTACATTATCGGCGTGTCCTTATCCTTAGCATTCTTAGGCTAGTGTTGGTTATTAGAAGCCTGTAGCTCCCGGGTCTCTTCGACTAGGCTTTCTAGATTCTCTAGACCTAATAGAATCTACTCCCCCTAAAGAGGTGTTTCCCCTAAAGGTATTAGCTCCCCCGAAGGTACTAGCTCCCCCGAAGGTGCTTAAAACGGCTCTTTACCACTTCTAGAAGGAACAGGTCTACCAACTACCTACTAGCTACTCTAGGCTTGCTCAATATTAGGTAGGAATCCTAAAGCTACTCTAGATTTACTAGGGTCAATTCCTAACTAAGAGTGTTCAATAACTTAAATATAGGGAGGGGCTAGATTCACCTTTCTGCCTTTATCCCCGTAGGTCCAATCTTTATTAAAAGTAATATAATAGGAGAATTTGATTTTATACTGCTATAGTCCTTTACTATAGTTGAACTAAGGCCGCTAGAGGAGGTAGTTTATCGAGGAGTTACTCTAGAATCCAATGCTCTAGTAGATTAGAGCTCTTAATATAAACTTTATACCTCTTAGCCTCTCTTCTTTGCTAATATGCTTATATGCCTTATAACCAAATCTCCTAACCCTAGACAGATCTACTAGAGTTCCCCCTTACTTTAGATCCCTTTTAAGATAGACTAGAGGAACCTCCTTAGTTGTTAGGTTAGCTAGCCTATTAGTTAAGTGCACAGAGTGCTTAACAGTATAGCTCTATAGCTCTTATAGTAAACCTGCATCAATAAGCATAGCCCTAGCCTTTACTAGGATAGTCTTGTTTAATAACTCTACAATACTATTTTGTTTAGGTATATAGGGGCTTAAGAAATCCCACCTATACCCCTTAATTTTAGCAGCCTTTTAAAGGTGCTTGTTATTAAACTAGCCCCTATTGTCTAAGAACCAGATCTTTAGTCTTTTGCTAAATTAATTGGCCTACAAGCTTATCTACTTCTTAATAAGAGCGGGACCATTTTTTAGGTCTAGGGTCTCGTTATCCTATCTGTGCCTTGTCTTTGTACAAGTTAGTAGGTATAAGTAGCGGTTCCTATAGATGTCTAGAGGTGTAACTAGTCTAACAATATCAATATAGATTTCATCTAGAGCTTAAACTAGAGTCCTTCTTACAATCCTTAAGACTATCCTCTAAGACCTTGTAAGCTTATAGGCTTTATAGTGCCCCAATTCGGTAGTATTAATATAGTTAATGCTAAGACAGTCTTAGTAGGCTTTAGTTGCATTTAGTATCTTGCTTCCAATATAGCTAAGTCTCTAATGCACTCTAATAGTGTCTGCCTTCGGTTAGGCAACTGCTAGTATAATAGCTAGCTAGCTTTTAGGAGGAACAATCCTAATATGCTTTAGAACTGTTACAACATTGTTGATCTTTGCCTCTCTAATAACCTTGCTATCCTTTCTTTAGATAGTTATAGTTGGCCTATATAGGAAGTATCTAGTTTTACTATAGATCCTCTCTGCTAAGATTAGATTTATATTAGAGTTAGGTAAATATAACACTTCTCTAAGCACTATCTTTGTAGTTTTGCCTTTCTAAAGGAATTCAAGGTAAATGTCCCTAATCATTCTACAGCTTCCCTTACCTAAAGTAAGGCTAAACTTAGCAGGTAATTCAAGGGATCTAAGGTTATAGAACTAGTCCTTATTGTTGAACATATAGTATAATGTGCTAGTATCCTAGATTTTAATTGCTTTATCCTAGTTTATAGGGGATGCTAATGCAATAGGAGTTAGGCTTTGATTAAAGGATGCTTAGGCTAGGGTTAGTACAACGTATGCCCCTAAAGCCTAGCCTTCCGAGTTAGAATCTGATTTACACTCGTTATTATTATCGCTGCTATTATCTTTTCTAGCAGCTATAGCCTTGTTCCTAGACTTAGATTTATCCTTATCCTTTGATTTAGACTTGTCCTTGTCTTTTAACTTCTTCTTTAACTTGTCCCTATCCTTAGATAGCTTTCTATTAGGATGTTGTTTCTAGCACTTTGCATTAGTATGCTTATGCTTATAGTGCTGACACTGCTTATTATTATCCCTAACCTTAATGTTAGAGACAACTATAAAGGCTTTGCCTTGTTGCTAGTTCTGTAACCTTAGAGGCTTTTCCTTCCTAAGGGATATAATTATTGCTTCGAGAGTCTAGCTAGTCCCTTCTAGTTTGTTATTGTGCCTCTAGCTTCTAAGCTATTTATAGTGCTAAAGACTATTAATAAAGAGCATCCTGATTATTATATCTAGGATTTTAATATCCTTAGGCTTGACCCCGTATACTCTTTTAAACTGCTTAGTAGCTGTTTTGTGCTTCTATACCTATACTTAGAAGTCTTTATAGTACTTAAGGGTACTATCGGATATTGCTTACTTAAGAGTAACTGTTCTAAAATCCTTTAGGGTATTATAGATATCTACTATAATAATTGGTTAGTATATAGCTACTACAGTCTCGTAGTAGTCCTTAGCAGTCTTCTGCGTAATTATGCTCCTAAAATTAGGTCTTAGATCTAGTAAGATTATCTCAACTAGAATGCCTATAGCAATACTATCCTTCTCTATAAACTCTCTAAGGGCTTTATCAAAATCCGGATCGTTATCGTAGTTAATTCGGAGAGGTTTATAGTATAGCTTTGCCTATTTCAAGTTATAAAGTATATATCTATACACTTTCTCCTTTAGTAGCTCTTTCTAAAGGATCTATCTCTATAATAAAAAGTTGGTCGTCCTTATAAGGATATAATTTTCCTTAATGCTTTTTACGGATTCTTTATTGTTAGCTATACTGCTAAGCTCTTTCTTAGCTCGCTTAGCTTATAGGTACTAATTATTAGTTAGATCTAATTTAGTACTAAGTGTAGGGTAGCCCTATTTCGGTTGTTAACTCTAGAGGTGCTACTTAATCTGTAGCTAGTAGAATTAGCTTTAAACCAGTATCTCTGTAATAACAATTCGTCTATATTAGTTAGAATAGGTAAGCGTATACGCCGGGCTTATAACCTGTTATAATTGAGCTAAGCAGAACAAGTCATTAATTAATTGACTATAGAATTGTATAGAGAAGAAGGGATCAAGTTCTGTCTACGCTAGATGCTACATATATCACTGGGAAATTAGCTCTTAGCACTTAGCAGTGCTAACTGATCCACAACAGGATCATCGACTAGGCATGGTTCAAGCTTATAGATACGCGGACGTTCAAGAGCACCGCAACTAATTACAGCTCGTCGGCTTCTAGCATTCACATAGGAGCGCTGAGCACGTCGGCCACCCCATGTCCGTCGCCCTTACGAAAGACTCAGTACTATACACGAAGCTCTTGCACGATAGACATCCTTCTCGTCTCAGGGGTTCGCCTGTTCTTCGTGCTGCCATTTGGAATGTTACTCGCATCGGATGGGTAGCGACATATATGCGTAGGCGAGAAGGGACGTAGTTTGTCCTTTACATTCTTCGATCGAAAGGATTGAGAGGATAGTCACATCGTCTCCAACGGGTGGTAAAAGATTAAGGCGCTTATATTGATGAGGACTTTACCCCTGTCGGTGAAACTCAGGCAGCGGACCGAGCCTCCTTGCCGGTAACTAATCTAATCTAATCTTCTGGCTGGTGCTCATCTTCAATGTGTTGTAGACACCACCTATAAAGCCAAGGAAGTATGCCTGCTTTCACGGCCCTAACCCAGACCTGCAGCACATCAAGATCCCTGATAACTGCTGAAGGCATTGCAGCTCTTTCGATTTTTGATGTTCCAGAGCTATAAGCGCAGCCTGCAGATCGAGCGCTGCCAGTAGCACGGTGCCTGTTTTCTAGGGACTCGCATATCTTCCCGCAAGCTTCAGGCCGACATTTAGTCGGGCGTGGATCGAACGGTGTTGACATTTGATCAGGTGCTTTCAGCAGCAGGCTTCGCGTACCTCGCCTACGATGTGCTACCGCCAAAGATTCGAACAATCACGCAGCTCTGCAAGACCACCTTTCAAAGTCCATGCCCACTTAGCTGCCGCGCTGCTTGCCTTCACTATTGGGCCGTGGACAGCGGGGGTATGACCCCGAACCCTTTCGCATTGATCAAGAAGAACGAGGATCTGGGAGGCTCGCGGAGCGCAGCAAGTGCAGAAGAAGAGGAAAGACAAGGCATCAAGCCTGTTCAGCCAAGCGCGGAAGACTCAGTTGACAGCAAAGATTCTGCTAGTGAACTTCGTGACCTCTCAGGGCCAACGACTAAGACACAAAAGTCCTCGAGTCAGGCTGAAGACCTGGAGGTATGCTCGCCAAATTTGGCAGACAGAACCTGGTGAGGGCATCTTTACTTGGCGGTGGAGGTATCGTTGGCCTGCTGGCTGCTCTGGCGTAGGCGAAGAGAATCGAATTGATGCCTGGATATCGACAGACTCCAATACTTTGATCATATCTCGAGTCAGATGCTCAACTTTCATGCATTGATCAATCCTGACCCGATATCTCAAGTCGTCAATCCAACTACAAAATCGGTTGCCGCCTCAGTATACTTCGCGGTGGTCGCATAGTGCACATCGAGATCATCACCGCTTGCACAAAACGGATCGCCCTCATCGCAGTAGCTCCTCAGAATGCCAGCATAAGCGCTCAACGCTGCCAAGCTGCTGTGTCGCGCAAAGATCCCGTCACTGGTAGAGTTGCCTGCGCTATAGGCTTGACCCGCGTTGAAACGTGGGTCTCCAAATACGACCGCTGCCTCGACTGCTCTGGTCAGTACAACGATGTGATACCATGGTCGCATCCACTCACTGTACTGCGCGTACTCCTCGCCGATGGGATCTGGTTTGCCAGTGCCTCCAGCTAGCGTGTCGGTCATGACATTACCGCCCTGAGAATAGCCCACCAGGGCAATGCGGCTTGCGGATCCACATGCGTCTACGTAGTCTTGTATCTTGGTCTTAGTATCCTCGATCCCGTCAGCCACCGATGTGAAATAGTTGGAGTCTGGGTGTGGCAAGGCAATCAGCGAGGCTTTGGTCTAGTTGCCAAAGTATCTTACCGAGAGCGATGATGGTAGCTGGGTAGTCTATCGCTTGTGATACGGAATTCGGCACACGAGCTTCAATGGCATCTGCAACTGATCCCACAGAGCCCTCGCCAACATCTTCATTCGATCCTCTGGCGACAAGAATGTATAGGCCTTCAACACAGGAAACGGTCTGCCTTGGGTCCAAAGGTAGGGCAGAAACGAGGGCAGCCAGACCAGCAAGAGAAAGCAGCGTGTGTACCATCTTGATTATAATGAGTGAATGGCAAATAGTGCTGGTAAAGATGGCAGCAGCCTACTTGAGGCGAAACGTGTTGGCGACGTGAAGCGTTTTGGGGAGGAAGAGCTGGTCTTATATGCGCATGCTACTAGTATCGTTGACAGTGCGTCGCGTATCGAACCACCCGAGCACTACTTGCATCACTCTAGCATCGGTACCCGGACTGGGCAACGACGACCAATTTGTTTATTTAAACGAGTGTGGAGCATCGAAGAGGAAGCTGCGAGTTGCCTTGCATAAGAACATTACATGTAAGCGCTCTAGAAACTCCAAATCAGTGTCCCCTTCCGATTCTAGGGGACTAGGATCCTTCAAAATCTTAAAATATAACACGACGTGGGGAAAGCTTCTTCTTTTTTTCTTTTTTTTCTTTTTTTTCTTTTCTTTTCTTTTTCTAGAGAAAAATGCGTTGTTGTTTGAACAGGCAGGCATTCGTAGCAGGTACGCGCATGCACAGAATCTAAATATTTCGCTTCGAGGTCTTGGTATGCAGGCTATGCTATATCCGCCCGTTATTTATTAGCCCCAAGAATAGCAGGGGATAACCGAGATTTTGGCTTCTGATTTGTTAAGCTCCACCACTCCATTTGCAAGCCGTTCTTTTAGGGTCTTGGTATAAGGGTTGCATGTCGGGTTACTGACTTCAAGGAGACACTTCGCCGGAAGCAAGTCGCGGTGAAGTAGCAGGTACCGCGGCAAGAGAGACCACGGGCGACTCGCAAAATCCGATGCGGTGTGCGGATCCGGAACAAGAATACAGTCCCCGCGAGACCATAGAATAGTGTCCCGTGAGTGTTCTCTGCTCGTAATAGAGCGATCTTTGACAATGTTGTCCCCTCGCAAAGATTCTGAAGACAACACAGATGTCCAACCACCAATCTTCCAATGCTCGGTCGAAGTCCTTGCCATCACTTCCCTGGATACTCGCAGCTGACCCAGATTGCTTTGAAGTATTTGTCGTTGCAAGTGTCTTTTACAGGATACCAGGGCGGTGTCATGATGCAATGTTCGTCGTCGAACAACATTACTTCACAGCCTGCATCGCCACTCGTATGGAACATGAGCGACTGTTTTGGCTCAATAGGTTGGCATTGAGCATATGGATGGTTTATCTGACGGTCGAAGGTATATCTCGAGTCGATCCTGTCAGCCGAGCACCAAATGTCGTCGAAGACGACGTATTGAAGCAGTGTTGAGCGCGGCGAAAGAGTCGGAATGGCTGTACGCCGGAATTCCAGGTTTGCTCGAGCACTCCAGGTGAGAGCACGACGTGAAGATCTGTAACGATTAGCACGACTGAGAAGGCAATGCAGACTATGTCATTTCGTGCGCAGCTTTCTAGAGTATCTCATCCTGACTGTTTTGCATTGTCTCGTTTCATCTTAACGACCATCATAGCTATGGTCAATACTGCACTCAAGGCAAGTGTGCATCCTGCGAATATCTGCATCCCGACCCAGCTTCCGTGCGCTTGAATAGCACCGGCGACAGGGTTACCAATGAGCACACCAAGCGCTAGTCAAAAGGTCGACATACCCAATCTACCCCCTACAATTCGCATATCCGGAGTGATTGCTGCGATGGTTGGCGCTCGCAGGCTCACGAAAGGTCCACTGAAGATGCCATAGAACAAGCTCCAGACGACGATGCCACCAGTCGAGCTTCTAACCAGGATCCAGAAGAAAGGCAATGCTGCAGCCACAGATGTCGTCAATGCCAGTACTTGCAAAGTACCAATGCGATCTGCAAGCACCGCTGGAATGATTCGACCAAGAATGCCACCGGATGCGAGGATTGGTAGCATGTAGAAAGCCAGCTCATGGTTCAAGCCTTCGACCTCTGCAGCATAATCCGTAATGTAGAAGAAAGGCACATACAACCCCATGCTTCCTACGAAGCAGATGATCGCAAAGAGTGTAAACAAAAGCTCTCGAAAGGCTGTGAAGTCGACAATTTTGGGTCGAGGCGGAGGCTTTGTCCGCATCTTGACAATTGCCAGCGAGACAAGTGTTGTTGCGAGCATGATGAATGCCATGACTCTAACCGCCCATGGAAAGCCAATGACCGGCTGCAATCGATGGAAAACGATAGGATAGATGACTCCGCCGATAGCAGCTCCACATGCGGCAATGCCAGTTGCTATGGCACGTCTACCCTCGAACCATCCCGAAAGGATCGCTACAGCCACGATCGCGCCCAAGCCAACACAGACTCCTTGTGCAAGGAAAAATTGCCAATTTTGCTTGCACAAAGATGTCATCATGGTTCCAAATACGACCAAGAAACCGCCTGTAGCTACGAGGACGTGTGGGTGTCCGCGATCGAAGATGGGCCCCGCAAATATAGTCATGAATGCCAGGAGAAATCCTTGTATAGTCCCGATCCATGATATACTCGAATTGCTTTCGGAACGAAGGGGTGAGGAGCGATAGTATGATTGAAAGACTCCATATGCTGTGACGATGCCCTAGATGAGATCAAATTAGCAAGCGTTCGGCTCCGGCGACAAATCCTTCTCTCATTCACCCAAGAATTAAGTTAGAGCATGAATCCCGAGAGTACCTGAAGCCATGCTCTTAGGCCACCATCTGGAATTGGCGAGTCACTGTATCGTCCGACAGGTGAGGCCGGCTCTGGTTTGGAAGTCCTAGCATCAGCTTGGCTAGCATTGTCTGGTTGACTTTGCATCGGTACGTCTTTCTCGAGGTCACTCTCGTGACTCCTTGAAACTCCCAGCCACTCTTGCCGCAAACTCGAAGTCGAGCTTCCAGACGATTCGCGCGCCATCGTGAGCCCTGTGCATCAGTTCCGTGACTCAAAATTCATCAAAGTCTTGAGAAAATGCGAGGTGCAGCTGGGAGCTCTCGCAAGAAATACGCAATCGACGCATGACTTCGGATGACATCAAAGGAGATGTGTCGCGTGTGAACACTCGTCAGAAAGCCACTGTGTCTGGCTACAGCAAACAACATCCGAGCTAGTGCACCGGAATTGGTGGATCTTCAGCCAGAATAGCTTCGTGTGTACAAGCCTCAACCCCAAGCTTTAGATGCAGTCGATCGTAACATTGACGCTGCTTGCCCGATCGGGCGTGTGCCGGCGGGCTCTCGATGATTGTGCCGCCTGGATACCTTTCCGGTCGATGTCCTGTTTCCTATGGCTGTAAAGTTCTTCCGACATATATGTTGTATATCACTGTTCAGGACATTAATCCGCCGACAAAACATTGGCTTCCACGCTTAGTTCACCGAGAAGACTCCATCGCATCTTACAGACTGAGCAGCGTGATCCTGCAGTGTGCTTTCCGCGGTGGCAGTGCTATGCTGAGTGATGCATAACACGTTGATGATGTGCTCTCGAAAGAAGGTCGTGTCGGAGTCCCGTCGAAATCGAGCAAACGGATTTAAGGTTGGGGATTATATAAGGCTCGATTCGGTCTTGGCACGTTGCTTCGCGCGGGGTGCAATATGTAGCACCTCATCATAGTCGGTGTTGACCGTCTTCTCTCTGCACAACACCTCTCACGTCTACAGCCACTCAAGATGGAAATGTTTACGCCAGCTCCCGATCCAGCCACTCCCCTGGGGCGGTATCGTGTCTTGTCGTCCACCGCCGGCATCAGAGTGTCTCCCCTGCAGCTTGGTGCCATGTCGATTGGCCAAGCATGGAACGACTTCATGGGATCCATGAGCAAAGAAGACTCCTTCAAGCTCCTCGATGCTTTTGAAGCTGCCGGCGGCAACTTCATCGATACTGCAAACAACTATCAGGCTGAGGAGAGCGAAGAATGGATTGGAGAATGGATGGAAAAGAAGCAGAACAGAGGTACCCATTGCCTCTAGTCGGCTTCGTATGCCATCTCGATGCTGACTTCATGCTAGACTTCATGGTCATCGCAACCAAATTCACCACGAATTACCGAGTCGAAAAAGATGGAAAAGGCAAGACGGTGAACCACTGTGGAAACCACAAGCGATCACTCCACATGTCTCTGCGGGACTCCCTGAAGAAGCTCAAGACTGATTGGATAGACATTCTGTACGTCCACTGGTGGGACTGGACAACCTCGATCGAGGAGATGATGGATTCCCTGGATGCCGTTGTCAAACAGGGAAAGGTCCTATACCTGGGTATCTCAGACACTCCCGCATATATTGTCTCGGCAGCCAACGCCTATGCCAAGGCGAATGGCAAGACACAATTCAGTATTTATCAAGGTCGCTGGAACATCATGCTCAGAGACATGGAGCGCGAGGTCATCCCGATGGCTCGTCACTGGGGCATGGCACTCGCGCCATGGGATGCTATTGGCGGAGGAAAGTTCCAATCGAAGAAGCAGCTGGAGGAGCGCAAGAAGAATAACGAAGGTCTCCGAAGCTTCACGGGCGGAGGTCAGACCGAGCAGGAGGAGAAGATTTCTGCAGCGCTCGAGGAGGTTGGTAACAAACATGGCGTCGAGTCTCCAACAGCCGTTGCTCTGGCATATGTGATGTCCAAGACACCTAACGTGTTTCCAATCGTAGGAGGACGAAAGGTGGAACATTTGCACCAGAATATCAAGGCCCTCGAAATCAAGCTTTCGAGTGAGGATATTGAGAAGTTGGAGAGCGTCGTTCCATTCGAGCCTGGCTTCCCGAATAACTTCGTCGGAGCAGATCCACATGTTACTGGAGAGCCAAGCGTTTTGGTTGGCGCTGTTGCTCCGATGGCCTTTGTGCGAGCCCCCAAGGCGATTGGTCACGAGTAAAACGCTCGACCAGTGAAGATTATCAGAGAGGTGAGGCGAGACCACGATGGCTCATCTACGAGGAGCACAGGCTGGCTTCTGAATAGACGGGCCTTACAATGACATGAAACTTCGTCTGAGAAAAATTCTCTGTCAAGATTCTACTTCGCCAAGGTTGGAAATGTCGTTGCCGTTGCTCGGAGCTTCTAAGTGTCAGCAATGACTTGAAGAAAATAACTTAAGACTTGTTCCGGAATGATGTTCGCAAGACATAGTACGTAACTCAATCGATTGGCGTGACCTGTGCCCTTTATGAAGGCCACATGAGTTAAGAAATGAAGCTGAAATGGACTTATGGTAGACAACAAGCCGTTATCAAAATTGTCTTTGAATAAATTTTTACATTCGTGAAATCAAATTAGGTCTACTTGAGAGAGCGTCATAAGGGATGTCGTCTGATCATGTTCTTCCTGCCGTGAGGGGATGCATTCCAACTCATATCATAAAAATATCTCCATCACTTCAACATCAAGGAATGTTGACCAACCCTTGCCGTCCTTCTCTCACCAGCCGCCCTTTCCGCCCCAGCCTGTAGACTTGGTACAAGGAGCAGTGTAGGTTTTAGTCTTGTACTCAGTCTTGTACTTAGTTATTGGCTTTTCGGTGATTGTGTCGGTCACTGTGGCGGTCTTGGTCTTGGTCTCGGCTGGCCTAGTGTAGGTAACAGTGTCGGTCTCAGTCTTGTATACAATAACGGTGGCCGTAGCAGCTTAAACCAAGATCAGCAATGAGTCGAAGTAGGTAGGGAGGGTGCATGACTTACTCTTGTACTCAGTCTCGGTCTTGTAGTTAGTATGTTGTCGGTACAATCTTGGTTTCGTACTTGGTCTCGTACTTGGTCACGTACTTGGTCTGGAAGAGATCAGAATGTGCGGCTACATATTACTTCCGTGCTCATCTATACCTCGCATTCCGACGACTGTCCCCAGCCGCCACCACCGCCTGCAATTGGGTTGGCGAGAGCCAGGCCAGCGAGGCCAGCGACCATCAAAAAGCTCTTCATTGTGAAATAAAGGTTGATCTGAAAGTCAAGCGAATGAAACTTTCGATTGTTGTGATGAGGTGAAGTGTTGTACAAGCCAAATGAATGCTGATGCTGAGAATTGTCGAGGGTCTTAGATCTTTCTGTACTCTTATACGTACTCAAAGACAAGAGATCGTATCATCGTGATCGCTGATTGACCAAGCAGCTGAATACGGCATCAATATGGATCGGGAGCCTGAACGCAGACCTGATGAAATCCATCGATCCTCTGCTACGCCAAACGAATACTGGCCAAGTAGGCTTGCATCAATTTCGTAGCGAATTGACACCTGCCAAGGCAGCGGATTGACCACTGCGAACGCAGCACGAGTCGCGGCTACTGTGATCCGCTGTAGTCTCTGCGTACGTGGAGGACAGAACGAGTGGCATACCATATCACCGCAGACACTGTAATAGCCCGTGCTGCCTGATTGAGGTATCCGTACCTGCACGATAGAATGTTCAATAGTGTCCAAAGTAGCCAGCAAGCCTTCGCATCCAGCTTTTCGGGTGTGGAACCGCTTAGCGTCTGTCGAGCACCATCATGCTTCGTGTGTTGTGCCGTTCTTGGCAGTGCTTCCGAATTGCATGTGTAAGAAGGATTGTTCGCCGACAGCGGTCGCTGATCTGCACCAAGTCAAGAGGAATTCGTGCGAGCAAGTTGCCAGGTGCAAGCTGTTTCTGTCCAAGAAGGATCTATTGCCCGCTCGTGTTCATGCATAGTTCCTGCAGCTTCATGGCCGACTTAAAGTATTGTGGGCAGAATGTCGCAGAATGTCACTGTAGGCGCAGGAAGCTAGAGCTCGAGTAGACCACGAGGGGCATAAGTACAAGTAGAGGATCGGCTAGAGAATCTTCTTGTTCTGCGAGAGCAGCCCTCACTCGTTTTACGTGGCAGCCCAGTACTATGTATAGGCATTCATGTAAGATGGAGTCGATGGACTGTCATCTAGACTACACGTCGGTGCAAGTTCCGAGAACAGTTCTTGGCAGTTGATCCCTGGTTGGGTAAGGTAAGGTGGAGCAAATCCTGAATGACCTCAGCAAAGCCGTCCCGTTTGCAACTTGGAAGCTGGTTCCGTTATTCTGCGATGAACGAGAAAGGCAATCGAAGATGAGTAGCTATAGGGACCGTTTTCTGATGCCACAGTGTTGCGTGCTGCCACAGAGGCGTTTGAATGTGTTACTATTGCATGAATGCAGCCTGTCTGTATTGATTCAGCGAACGGGTCTGCACTGGTGAAGCTGAACGAATAATAATTTATTCCCGTCGATCTGGAATTTGAGGAAAGTTCAGGTGCCGATCTGACTGTGCAACGCCACAAGCAAGCCGCGGTGGTTGCCAAACCTGTCGACCAACGGCTTTTGGGCTGATAGACACGCTTGCCTAATGCGACATGCCATATAGCATGCCTTCGCCGCAGATACCTTTCAGAGTAAGACCGCGAGAGCGGATCCTGTGAGCTTGGCTGGCAGCTTAACTGAAGGGTTTCTTGGCAAAGAAATCTGGTCATGAGCAGCCCGAGGAGCCAAATTGGAGGAAGTGAACACGCGTCCTACTTGTCGTCATCTATTTGGCATGGTAGAGCTGCTTGAGTTGCTGACAGCGTAAGGTGTGAGGATATGAGACCATAGAAAGATGGACGCGATATTGGGTGCTAATTATTATTTGCATGATTGGCAACCAGTCTGCCGATCCCAGAATAGGAACGCTTTTGAAGCGAGCGAGCTCTTCCATCGTGCGGATACACTCAGCCGGGAAGAGGCGCTGGAAGGCTCGTATTTCTTGCAGTACCACTTGAGGTTGCATCATCTGCAACCTGCGGCAAAGCAGTTCGAGATCTCCAGGCAGCATCGAAGTGCAATGCGATCCACGGACCACCGTCTGCAATTCTGGAATTTGCAGACGCTTTATGCTGCTACAGCATTGCGACCAAGGACTCGGGCGACTCAATTGGCTAAGGCCAAGCAAACTTACCGGCCAAAGCTAAACCAGCCTCTCTTCTGCGGCTGTTGCAATGGTGCTTCCTCGATGCCGTTGATGATAGGCTGTGCCTGCGGCTCCACGGCTGTTCTTGTCCTGCCCGGGTACTCTATGTAGTTGAATGCTATGTCCAAATAGAGTGGCTTCACAGGCACGGGCTCGATCTTGGGAGGATACGAGACGAGATTTTTGAGATCGATCTGTAGCCCTGGCGCTGGGTACTCGTTCAGACGCTGAACGAGCGGAGCTGCAGTTGTCATGCCCTTCTCTGCAGCCTTTGTGGAGTTGGCTTCCAAGGTGCGCAGCTCGACCACAGCATGCATGCGAGATACCAGCGCGTCTATGTAGCCTTTCGCCTTGGCAAAAGTCGTCGCATCAAGGTCCAGTGTTGCCGGTGCACCGTCTTCGCGCGCTGCTGAAAGGCTGCTGGTGTTGGCGACCAGATCTTGTGCACGCTTCAAAAGAGCTAGGGCGTTTAAGTGGTTGGCAAGTAGTGCGTGCGAGTGTGAGATGTTGAGACACTTCAGCGCACGGAAATACGCAGCTTTGCTGTCCAGCTCAGCAACAAATTTCTCGTCGCGCACCGCGCCTCGGAGATCCTTCACCGAGTTAATGCTTTGGGTGATGGCATCGTATAAGACCGTACGCTCTCTCAACCTTGCGAGCCTTCTCCCTCTTGGCTCCTCCTTCTCGGGATGCTCCGTGCCATCCTTGCGTGCTCTCGATGGCCTTTTCTGCTGCTCGGCCTCGAAGGTCAAGCCGTCGTCCTCTCCTATGAGGGTTCGATATCTCCCAACGCGCCAGGATACCAAATCATAATTGACCGAAAGGCTTGTCACGCGAAGATCTTGCATCCGCGCATCGCCCTCATCCACGCGCTCCTTCTCCAAGTCGTCGGTAGCTGACTTAGCAGCATCTGCAGCATCCTGAGACGCATTAAGGACCTCATCGTATGCAGCAGCCTTATCACGAGATGCAACTGTGGCATTCGCAGATAGATAAGCGCGGAGCTTGGCTTCAGCAGCGGTCACATTGGCCAAAGCTTGTCCTATCGAGGCATCCACGATGTTTGCTTTGCGGCCTCTCCAATTGACGCTAATCGGGATTTCCTGAGGTGCGGTCTGCTTATCGGCGTCGTCCTTTGGCGCAGGTTTGTCTTTGAGTGCATACTGGTGGATCTTCTCGACCTCGGCAACCAGCTCTTTGTCGTCTTTGGGAAAATATCGCTTTGCTACTGTCGGAATGGCGATTGTCCGCGATAAACGTGCTTGATATGCGGCATATCGGATGGTTGGATCCACAGTGCCCGTGATGATTTCTCTGTAAATCTCCTTCTTGTCCTTTTCCAGTAGTGCAGCGTACACAACTCTTGCCAGGGAATAGCTGCGCAGACATGACTGCCAGCCTCGCTCTCGATCCTCGTCCGGCCGCTGTCCTCCCGACTGCTTCTCAAATTCCTCCGAGCCTGCCAAAGTTGCATGATATGCTCGTGCCTCCAGCACATCCTGCGCACTAGCCTTGGCGCTCTGCTCTCTTAGTAGACCGACAATCTGCTGCGCCGTCTTTGCCGCTTTGCTCAGCCTGGAAATCAAATGGCTTCGTGTTGACCCAGTCAATCCTTTCCCACTAGCATCGCCGGCATGAGTGGTCTTCAAGTGCATCGCATGTGCCCATGCTCGCTCGGATGTGAGCAACAACAGATGTAAGAATTCATGCTTGTTGCCAACGTCTTCTGCCGTCACCGGTTTCGCGGCGAATTTCTCTCTTTTGTTCGTGGCTCGGCCAAGTGTCTTCCGAGTCGCGAGCAGCTGACGCGAAAGCTGTGTTCGGTATTTATTGTAGTCGCCGATGAGCAGTGCCTCGCGGTGGCTGGCGACAAACTGTGTAATCTCCATGGCGCGTACAGAGTCAAGTCAACGGCAGCAGTCAAGTGAACAGCAATATGGATTTGAATGTGGGGTCTGGAAAAGTGGATACTGATTTGAGCCTCCATTCTCCAACTGCAACACACCACTGCAAGTCCCACAGCACGTCAAAATCCACCGCAACTGTCCTGGTCTTCATATACCAAACCAGGAAGGCATTGGTACTTTGTATAGTACCACTTTCCCAGCATCTTCTCGCACTGCAAAAGCCCGACACTATATCTAATCGTGCCTGCGGGTGTACCAGCAATTGCAAAATTTACAAAGAGACCAGCCTTGCTCCCTTTATCATTCAACGTGACTCCGATATCTCTGACGTGGAGCTTGTACGTCGGATTGAAAGAGGTGTACCATTGCATAAAATGCAAGAAGTCTTCCAGATTTGTGGTCTTGGGCGGCAACTCAGCAAAACAAGTAGAAGCTACAAAGTCGCGTGTGGTTCGCGTCCAGGGCTGTGATCTTGAGTCGAAGTCTCTATCATTTATGGCATTGACCATATCATGTACTAGAGTGCGCGATCGTCAGCTTGGACACTTCGCGAACGCCTGCCTCGCGAGTACGGCATTGAAGCACGAAGCACGAGCACAACCCGGCAAATGCAGGCGATTTCATCCTCTAGACTCTCTTCTGTGGAGCCTGCGCCGATGCCCTCGCTCTTGGGATGTCTTACCTTGCTGAGAGAGCTTCTGCTCGAGCGTAGGATCGCTCAGAAGATGTGGACTCCTGGCAATCGAGTGTTTGACTGAAAGCATAATTTGGATTGATGCTATTGATGTGAAATTCTACAGGCAGGAAGCAAAACCTGGACTCTTACACGGTTGGCAATGTTACACAAAGTGTGGAGTGCGGCTGAGAACCCAAGGCTGACAGAGCTGAACTAGTTACGGCCGACGAGAATCCTGCATACCAAGGAACGCATCCGCCCCAGAATCATTGGGGAGTGAAAAGAACTCCGAGAGATGGGTTAAACATAAGAGTGGAGGAGCTCTTTTGTTGTAGGGCCTTGTAATAATTTACAAACCCGCCTTTGGCTAACCGTCACTGTGTTCCGGGCATTGTGCCACCCTTCCGAACCTCTGGCAATAAGTAGAGTGCACTTACGAGAAGCTCGATGATTCCTTCACTATGCATCAACACATTATAATTTGATCAAGCTTGCTCAAAATATGGGATAACGTCGGGCAAGCAGCAGAGTCCGGTAGCATAGCGGAGTTATCAATAATACCAATACTCAGACGCCCAGCACGCTTGCTGCTTGATCGAATAGATTCAATATGTAAATTCAGACTGCAAGGTCCATTTGCTTTGGCTATCGTCATTTTGTGGCTTTTATATCAGTCTGTCAAGTGGGAGTCCGAAGTCATGTCGAATCAAGTGGTGTCTGTATTGAATGAAGAACCGAAACCTTGGTCATGACTAGTCGTCCATATCCATAATTCATCCTATCTCTTCTGCTCGTCCATCTACGTTTATTGAGTCGTGACCTTGCCATCGTTCTCGACATTGATGTGATCGTCGGTGGAGAGGGAGTAGACCTTGTCGTCTGGGAATTCGGCACTGTCGAAATCATATTGTTCAGTCCAGTCTTGAGCCTCACCGGCGCAGTCTAACTCACGTGAAGCCCTTGATCAAGGTGTACTCGTTGACGATCTTGCCGCCTTGCTCCTCTACTTGCTTCTTGGCACTGTGGTAATCGATAAGTACCTGTCCTTCTCCACCGGCTCAGGGTCTAACATACGCATCGTACTTTGACTGGTCGCCATTCTTGTCCTTAAGAGAGACCTGAGATAGCTGTCAGCAAGCTTGTCGGTTAACAGCGCTGGAAGCCACCCTACGTTGATCCTGTAAGGCATCTTGAAGGATGGTGAAGTTGAGAATCTGCGGAGAAGTGAAGACAGCTTGAAATGGTCGGGGAAGGTTATGGGAAGGGGAAGAAAGAGTCGGCTCAAGCAGGAGGTTGGGAGGATTGTATATGCATGTGAATGGTGAGGCCTGGCGGACACAGATGGAATGACGTGCCTGCCCACGCTGAACACGCGACTGCCGTCTTTAGCCGGATCCAATCCCTGCCGAAGCTTGATCCCAGCTGCAGGGCCGAACTCCGATCTCGAAATTTTTGGCAGTCGCCATGGCGAAGGCCGATTGTATTCGCATGTGATCGCTACACACAGCACTCGCCGAAGATGGCAGGCGAAGACCAGATACACCGGGCGCATCGTGCGACCAAGGAGAAGAAGAAGCATGACAAGAGCCAGCCAAATCCCAAAGCGTTCGCCTTTGCCGCTCCAGGACGACTCGCGAAACAGGCAGCTCGAAGCCACGATGTCAAGGAAAAGAGGTTGCATGTCCCGCTTGTGGACAGACTGCCAGAGGAGGCGCCACCCTTAGTTGTGGGCGTCGTTGGTCCACCCGGGGTGGGCAAGACGACTTTAATCAAGAGCTTGGTGAAGCGGTATGCACGGCAGACAATTTCGCAGCCGACAGGGCCCATTACTGTCGTTACCAGCAAGAGGCGGCGATTGACATTTGTGGAAGGACCGAGCGATAGTCTGGCAAGTGCGATCGACCTTGCGAAAGTGGTAGATATCGTGCTGCTCATGATCGATGGCAACTATGGCTTCGAAATGGAGACCATGGAGTTCTTGTCGGTTCTGAGCAGCACTGGTATGCCGGGAAATGTTTTTGGCATCTTAACCCATTTGGATTTGTTCCGAAAGCAAGATACACTGAAAGCACAGAAGAAGAGACTGAAGCACAGATTTTGGTCGGAGCTCTACCAAGGCGCAAAGCTGTTCTACTTGTCTGGTGTGATCAGCGGAAGATATCCAGATCGTGAAGTATTGAACTTGTCGCGCTTCCTGAGTGTCATGAAGAATCCGAGGCCTCTAGTCTGGAGGAATTCGCACCCTTATGCTTTAGCCGATCGAATGCTCGACATCACGCCGCCGACCGAGATCGAAAACGACGAGAAGTGCGATCGAACGGTAGCTCTATATGGGTACTTGCGAGGTACAAATTTCCCATCTCACGACGTGCGTGTGCATGTACCAGGTGTTGGCGATCTGAAAGTCGATCGAGTGGAGTCTCTACCAGATCCATGTCCGACTCCATACTTTGAGCAAGCACGAGAAAAAGCGGAGGGCACGAAGAAACGGAAACGACTTGGCGAGAAGCAGAAGGTCATATATGCGCCTATGAGCGACGTGGGCGGAGTACTCGTGGACAAGGATGCCGTATACATTGATGTCAAGAGCAATACCTTTAATGCTGAAGATGACGACGAAGACCGAGGTCTGGGGGAACAATTGGTCGTGGGCCTTCAAGGCGAGCGAAAGCTGCTTGGAGAAGATGACCAGGGCATTGCTCTTTTTGATGGAGGCGAAAGACTGAAAAAGCTAGAGGACGACGAAGATGTCAAGGACACTGGCAGGTCAAGTGCTAGAAAGGCAAGAATATATGAGCGGGACGACGCCGAGGATGATGATCCTGAAGACGAAGGGTTCGAGAGTGGAGAGACCGACGATGAGGCAGATCTGGAAGCTTTGCAACAAGCACCCGAGAAGCTGTCGAAAGGACGAAAGGAGAAAGATCGTGAAGTCGATGGCGACGTGGCATTTGCCGACTCTGATAGCGACCTCGGGTCCCTGTCTTCAGTATCTGACCAAGAGCTGGAGGACGACTCTGAAGCAGGAGACGACCTCGATGAAGATGCTGACGAGGACGAGGAAGACGAGGACGGTGCCGTCAGATGGAAGGACAACATGGAGGACCGCATGAAGCAGCTTCGTGGGCGGAAACAGCCGTTTCGAGTAGCCGAACTCGCGAAAATGATGTACGATGATATGCTGTCAACTGCTGAGGTCGTGAAGAAGTGGCGAGGCGAAAAGGACGACGGTGCAGATCTAGCGGATGACGAACAGGACGATGATTTCTTTCAGAGGAAGAAGCCGAATGCAGATGAGATCGAAGAAGATCGCATGATTCCTGCCTTGAACTATGAGGAACTGGAAGAGAAATGGACTGACGAGGAAAATATGGAGGCTTTGAGGCAGCGTTTTGCTTCCACGAGACTGACTGGAGCCAATGCTGACGCACTAGGTCAGGACGACGATTCAGACCCATTCGACGGACTTGGCGATGACGACGAAGGAGATGGCGAATTCGAAGATCTTGAGTCTGGCGAAAAGCACGGCGGAGCGGAGACCGGTGAGACCCTAGAAGACGAGCGCGAACGCAACGCGCGCAAGAAAGAAGATCTGAAGATGAGATTCGAGGAAGAGGATCGCGAAGGGTTTCTTAATCCGAAGAATACCAATCGACAGGCTAATGGTCAAGCCGAGGAGCAAGATTATGGCGAGGACGAGTGGTACGATGCACAAAAGGCGCTGCTCCAGAAGCAGCAAGAGATCAATCGCAAAGAGTTCGAAGACCTTGACGAGGCTACACGAATCCGCGCGGAGGGCTATAGAGCAGGGACTTATGCTCGGCTCATTCTAACGAACGTGCCATGCGAATTCACCGAGAACTTTGATGCCCGATTCCCTATACTCATTGGCGGGCTGCAGCCAACCGAAGAGCGAATGGGCTTCGTCCAGGTTCGCATAAAGCGCCACCGCTGGCACAAGAAGATTCTCAAGACGAATGATCCTTTGATCTTCTCGCTTGGATGGCGACGATTCCAGTCAACACCAGTCTACAGCATTTCTGACTCGCGAACGCGGAATAGGATGCTCAAGTATACGCCGGAGCATATGCATTGCTTTGGAACCTTCTACGGACCTCTCGCTGCGCCGAATACAGGATTCTGTTGTGTACAGAGCTTCTCGAACAAGAATCCTGGATTCCGAATCGCAGCGACGGGAGTTGTTCTCAACGTCGACGAAAGCACAGAGATCGTGAAGAAGCTGAAATTGACAGGCCATCCATACAAGATCTTCAAGAACACTGCATTTATCAAAGACATGTTTTCGTCGGCGCTGGAAATCGCCAAATTCGAAGGTGCTGGAATCAAAACTGTTTCTGGCATTCGAGGCCAAATCAAGAAGGCGCTGTCGAAACCTGAAGGCTGCTTCCGTGCTACATTCGAAGACAAAATCCTCATGTCCGATATCGTCTTCCTGCGGGCATGGTACCCGGTCCGACCTCACCGGTTCTATAATCCTGTGACTGAACTCCTCGAAGGCGGAGACTCCGAAGCTTGGGAAGGCATGCGTCTCACCGGTCAGGTTCGAGCCGCTCAGAAAATTCCCACCCCGAAGATCAAAAATTCAGCGTATCGACCTGTCGAACGACAAGAGCGACACTTCAACCCCTTACGCGTGCCTCGCAAGCTTCAAGCCGGTCTGCCGTACAAATCCCAAATCACTCAAATGAAGCCACAAAAGAAGGAGTCTTATATGCAGAAACGAGCTGTTGTGCTTGGCGGTGAAGAGAAAGTGGCGAGACGGCTCATGCAGCAGGTCATGTCGCTCCGGAATGAGAAAGTTGAGAAGAGGCGAGCTAAGCAAGAGGAGAGGAAGCAAGGATATCGGGCTAAGGTTGCTGAGAATGAGGAGAAGAGGAAGGAGAGAGAAAAGAGGGAACGTGATGAGTTCTGGAAGAGGGAGGGCAAGAAGAGAAAAGGCTGGGAGAATGGTGGTGAAGGCGGAGGAGGCGGAGGCAAGAGAAGGAAGAAAGCGTGAAAGATCATTTTCAGCACCAATTACTTTTACTCTTCATCTATGTGCCAGAGCTACTAAGCTCATGATGTCGGCTTGAAGGCACTCTGCACGCTGCCATAGCCTTGTGGACATTGCCTGCTAAGCGGAACACTCCCACTTCTCATGTAACAGATTTTCGCCTCTGCACATGCACTGGTGGTGCAATTCGGACTCTTAATACTACTCTTGCCTTGCAGAGTATTGAACTTGGAGACAAGACTGTGATCCTTCTCCATGGCCTCTGTGACAGCATGCCAGAAAGTTGCGTTCAAGGGTGCATCTGCTGGCCACTTCGCTGATGGACCATACGTCTCTCTCGTCGAATACTCGAATTGAAATGTGGGGCCATGTGTTGTGAGATTCGAGAATGAGCTCACATCAGCGTACCAAGTATATGCTTCATAGACATCAAAGGAGCCAGTATCAACTTCATACATTCGAAAACCGCTGTTCAAGTTCGTCAGGGGTGTGACGGATGGTCCTATCCAACCGACATTGAGTGCTGTGTCACGAGATCGGTGGGTGGCATTGTTAGCATAGTAGATCATGAATTGGTCCTCGTGAGTATGACCGAAGAAGATGTTGGCGATGACGTGCGGCGAGTAGCGCTGCACGATCTCGTAGAACAAGTTTGTCGGGTTCGGGAGGGGATTTGTGCCATCCCAGCCTGACAAGACGTGTGCAAAAAGCCAAACCCGTTCACCAGCATCTTCTGCTGCTTGCAATTCTTTGATGACCCATTTGAACATTCCACTCACATCTGGATTGCTGGTGTTGATGAAGTTCAGAAAATTGCTCTTGTACCAGAAGTCGGAATTGAACGTTATCATTCTCAAGCCGTAGTGATTCTTGATGCTGTACGCTCCATAGTGAAGTCTTGCTTGATGAGCAGCTTCCTTGCTAAGCCAGCCTTCATGCTGCCACAGGGCGGATACATGGTCGAAGTTCCAGCTCATCTGTTGACCGAGCGGGCCTGGTAATGAGTGAGGTGCATCGATCGCTTCAGGATTGGTGTCGTGGTTACCAAGCACAGGGAATACCGGCCCTGTAAGGTAATGACGGAACATATAGTCGTAGATGGAGGTCTCAGCATACTCAGTGTAGGCCCTGCTGAGCTCAGTCTGGGGGTCGTGCGAAACTAGATCACCAGTGTAGATGGTCCAAGCTAATGGATTCTGCTTGGAAGTGCCAGTCAAAGGTCCGACTGCCTGAAGCGCCGCCAGACCCAGATCATATGGAGTGTCACACTCAAAGTAGCCATACAGGGGAGCTGGGAAACTCAGCTGTCCCGCTGGTTCATTGGAATTTTTCGCATTGCTGCGGCAGCACAGACCGGAGGTGCAATTGCCCTCGGAACCAACTTTATAGCGTGGATCGAGGTGGAAGTCTGACATGTGTAGGACTTTGACCCGTTTGCCGCTGGGCTTTGGCGGCGAGGGATGCTTTGGCTTCGGCTTAGGGAATAAATTCGTGCCATTTAAAGCAATCGGCGCGGGAGGTGGGCAGAAAGATGCGATGGAATTGCAGATGTAGTGACCATCTATGCCGCTGACATTTGCAAAAGCCAAGACCTGCGTCCAGATAGCACCGAACGTAGTTGCTTCAAAGTCCTCAATGCAAGTACCAGAGGAGTGGAACTTGGTATCGTTGCAAAGAGAAAGCATGGCAGGAGGCACGAGCGAGGGTGCAAGCTGCGCGGCTCGCTTGCCCACTTCCAGAGCTTGGATACATTTTGTGCAGTTGCTGGCGATGGATGAATTTGCGATGATCAACTTGACGTGAGCGATGGCTTTGGAGATGACGCGTTCTCGATCTGCCTTGGAGAGATTTGCGATTGGCTTTGGATAGTACACTGGATCCAGGTCGTCGTCGGGAATTGTGTCTGGATTGGTGAGATTGGCTGGGCAGGTGATGTTGAGGATGGGATCAAATATGGCCGGCTGCGGCTGCTGTCCGGAGGGTGCCGGGTAGTAGGAGGAGAATACGTTGGTTGGATATCCTGCGGGAGCAACGAATGACTGGGAGGCAGGTGACGGTGGAGTGGTATCGGCATCAGATGAGCTGCCATACGAGGATTGCGCGTCGCTGGGCCGGAGCAGCAGTGGTGCTACTGCTACAGCAAGGACGCTGCGGATGGAAGGCATTGCGAGGAGTACGTGTAGCACGCGCGCCGTCATGAGGCGTCGTCATATTATTTACATCCTAGCTTGACATACCATCTGATGGAATACTGTACCAGCCAATGCATTGCTTCCATCAATGCTGTGCTGAACTGTATTCCGGCTTATGAGCCAATCACAGCCATCAAAGTCATCTTGCCAAGATTTCTGACGCGAGAAGCGAGAGCTTGTTTGTGCATTGGCTCTTCCTCGCGAGAACGTTGTCGAAGTAACGGCTTCATGTTCCTGTCCAACTCTTCCTCATTCCTACACCACGTGAAAAACACCGCAAGCAATGTCCGAGCACCCATTCTACCAACATGGCCTCAAAGGACGGCTTGATTCCTCACATCCTGCTCCCACTGCCCAATCCCATGGAGATTCAAAAGCCACCCAGCAAGGAAGCCCGCCTGAACATGATCATCAGCAATATCGAGAGGCAGCAGAACCATGTCAAATCACGCATTATTGAGACTGCCAAGCGCAAGCGCAAGCTTTCTGCAGTCGAACATGGCGTGGAAGCAATGGACGTCGATGGGCCTCGAGGTCGTGCGCTCCCGTCTCAACATCCTACAATGGAGCAGATGCTGGCTGCCATGAACACACCATACACAGAGTCTATGGGAGATCCTTATCTGAGGCCAGATGCCACGCTTCCTCCTCCACCACCCGGCACCCGGCAGGTAACGCCTCCACCCGAGATCAAGCTCGCCAAAGAGACTCTCGATCAAATTGAGCTGTATGAGAAGCATGCTTCACGGACAAGAAATTTCTTCAAGGCTGCTTTGCAGAGAGAACGACGACGTAACTCAACTGGAGGATCTGCTGCTTCCGCCCCATGGAATGTGAGGAGGACGAGCAGTGCGAGCGCTTCCGCCGTTAGGGGAGCGACAAGTCCTAATAGAGATCCCCGAAGAGTCAACGCATCGCCTATCGACATCTCCCGTGATCCACGACTTCAGCGGCGAGATAGCAGGCCGTGATCGACAAACAACATGGTTTGGAATCGAAGATCAAGTCTTGCGCATGCCAACCTGTTTCTCCAGCCACGTCACGAGAAGTCATCGAATGGCACGGCCGTACCGCAAAGTTGCATGAATGCAGGCGAACGGCACTGCGCATGATGTAGCAACCCACCCGAATGATGCAGTGGTTGAGATCCTTGAGATGGAAGCTGTGTCAAATGGCCTCGGCACCCGCACATCAGCTTGAAGAAAACCCATGCAGGACTTGAGAAATATGAGATGCATCAGCAGCGCTGAGACTGGACGGCTCACCGCAGCCCTTCTCCGAGATATCATCTCTGCGCGATCGGACAGGACCTTAGTGGCATCTAATGGTACACCATCGCTAAATCAATCACCGATAATCGCTGGGCGTATGCTTTGCCTGACATCCTAGACAGCGAACCATATACTCGCCTTGCCCAGCTCTACCACTTCGCTCAACAGCCACGTTGATGCGGTTCTCGCAACTGTACGTTTTACACTTCCGTACCTTCTGGAATATGTCCTTGACTCTCTCCAAATCCTTCTCAGCACGTTCTCGTAGGCCGGCCTCGCGATCGGCCATATACTGGACACGATTGAGGTCATCCTTGAGCTTCCCCATTTCCTTTCTTAGCATCTCGGCGACCTTGTCACCAAGCTTCTTGTTAAGACGGCACTCGCGCGTCATATCGGCGAGAAGCGCTGCGCAGAACTCGCCCAGATTCTCGGAGTCGTTGATGGCATCCGTGAAAGCTTCGTCAAATGCTAGGTCTTCGACATGCTTCTTGGCAAGACGGGCGGCGGCACTACGAAGTCCACCATCCTGGCTCTTATTTGCACGGTAGATCTCATCTAGTACCGACGCAAAGCCGCTCCTCTCCCATACGTAGTTGTTGCTCCAAACTATGCTGTAGAATTCCTGGACTGCTTTTATCTTCAGCATGGGGATGTCATAGTAGTTGGCGATATGATGGACTCTCACGTGCATCATCAGAATATCGTGAAGGGAGGCGCTTGTTTGCAGAGACATGCTACCGCTTGAGAACTGTGTAGCGTCCACGTCTTCCGGGGCTGCGTTCGTAGCTGGTCCTTGGAGCAGCGCTACCGACTCAACACTACTCGAAGGTACGGAAGGCTCCAGCTCAACTCCTTCGTTTCGCACAGTGCTTTCGACATCTGCATTGGCTTCATGTTCGGCCGCGGTCGACTCGGAAGCGACAGGGTAGGCAGGCACATCATATCGTTGTGTGTAGAGGTACTGGATCATTCTGGCCACCGTGTCTTCGTCGAATTCTTTGTGCTCAATTGTGCCGTTGGACTCCTTGAAGCCAGACTTCATTTGATCGGCAAGAACCGAAGACTGAGGGCATACCACAGCTCGATGGAGAGGGAACTCTTGAGTGCCACAAATGATCTTCATGTCGCTGTAGTCGCGATTCAAGTGTAAGGTGGCAATTTTAGCCACGAAGCTCTTCTCGTGCTCACTTGCCATACTGAAGCTTGATGCCAATGAAAGCTGGATCTTGTCTTGTTTAAAGATGTAGTTTTCTCGTTGGGGTGTTTGCTGACCAGTGAATCTGGAAGTCAGTAGATGTTACAGCATTGAACTCGTTGCATGTTGTCAAAGCAGACGGTTCAGTGAAAAGCGACGAAAGTCTGGCCTTTGTCACATGTGACAGGCTGAGGTGAGCTGGTATTCGAAATGCGACTACAGCTTATGTTTCTTTTGCCCACTTGCAATCTTCCTGAATTCAGCCTGAGGGACGCCTTTCATGAACACTTCCATTCCAGAGAAGATCTCCTTCACAGCTAACGAATCGTAAACATCCTTCTCGGGTGCCTTCATTAGGGCCTTGATCCGGAGCAACGAGTCCGGAACCAAATGCTCGCCCAACCTGTTATCCACTTCTTCCAGCACCAGCTGGAGGAATTTGTCACTTTCTTCCTTCTTCACATCAAACACTTTGTTGACATAGCCACATTGAACCAGCTCTTCACATGATATCCTCTTTGACATCAGCAATGCTTCGGCCCCTCGAGCAGGGCCTAGTCTGTTCACCATCGCGCGGCAAGCGAGGCCTTCCGAAACCAATCCGAGCGAAGTGAAGGGGCAGAGCAGGTACGCATGAGGCGCAGCGTAGATGAAGTCGGCCAGCGAGACGACGGCCGCAGCGATTCCGACTACCGGTCCATTGAGCGCGGCTACGAGGATCTTACGATGGCTATAGAAGGCTTGTGTGAGATTCATGTTGTACACGGCAAATGTCTGAAGGAGTCTCTTGTATTGTTCGTCCTTGGGACCTTCGTCTCGTCCCGCAGTCGAAACATCGGCACCCGCGCTGAAGAATCGTCCAGTACCCGTGAGCACGGTGATGAAGACATCGTTAAGACCGTCGATGTATCTCAGCCATTGAGCGAGGTTGAAGAATAAGTCCTGTGAGAGAGCTCCGAGCTTCTTTGGTTGGTTGATTCTTACAATCGCTACTCGTCCCTTGATCTCGCATTGTATCTCGTCGATGCGTTTCGGTGGTTGGTTCATGGCTGTGAGTTTGGTGTATTCCTGATTGGTTTGAGCAGTCAAGAGATGATGAACATGTAGCTTGGTCTCCGTCACTATCAAGGCACGAGTCGAGGATGCTGACAACAATGGAGAAGCCCTCGGGCCATGCTTGCAGCGGTTGTTAGGCGAGCTGTTGGAGAGAGACACCTGCCGAGGCTGACAGGACGGACTTGAAGTGTCGATAGCTTTAATCAACATATTGATAAACCTTTCAATCAAAATTTCCGACTTCCTCCAGCGTCGTTCTTTCCACCGCATTGCCAGCACGTTCTATCATCCCTCTGACCGCTCAATCGCTATGTTTATCTTCAGGCATGGCGGCAGAGAAGCTGCTTTAGCGATTCGACACACACGACCCTACCTTCAAAGCCGCTGTGCGTCAAGAATCGAGATACCATTTACGCCTCCACCAGTGCCCGTCATCGAATCTTGCCCTTCGCCGACATGCCAGTGCAGAGAAAGCCCATCAGGCTTGGACATCGATCGAGAGTCGAACATTAACGGTAGCATTGCGTCGTACGCGGAGCAGCTCCTGGTCTGTACTGGAAAGAACGATTGGAAGTCACGGATAGAAGAGGAAGAAGATGCTGTGCTGGTACGGCGATTGAAAGGCTTTCTGACAAAAGGCGGCAAGTACGCCGATGTGGGTGGCTACGATATGCATAGACAACGTGGAGTGGAGGCTGATAGTAGGATAGCCATACCACAATATACTGTTGACAAACGCATCTTTTCGTTCTGAATCAAGACATCCCAATGGTGCACCTGCTAAAGACTCAGGCAAAGCAACCACAGGACCACCGGCTTCAGCATTCTTGCTTCCAAGCTTTACATACCTTCCCACTATACCCACTGATCCGAGCTCCGTGGAAGCTTTCATCAAAGCCTTCATCCTACCACAAAAGCTTCACAACACTTATGATCGCTTGACGCGAGAACAGCAGAATGTTCTCCTACGACAACCAGAGCTGCAAAGCCAATTCACGGGATTTCGGCCCGTGGATGAGATACTCGTTCTGATCTGCGGACACGGAGGCCGCGACGAGAGATGCGGCAAGCTAGGACCTATACTCCTGGCCGAATTCGAGGAGAAGCTGCAACGACAGAATATAAGGATTCTTGGCGACGACCAGAATCTACGCGACGGCGATGAGAAAGCACGTACTCCCTCTGCGAGGGTAGGCTTGATCAGTCATATCGGCGGTCACAAATGGGCTGGAAACGTGATTGTGTACATCCCACCATCGTTCGAGGACAACGCTTTAGCCGGCAAGGGCATCTGGTATGGCAGAGTATGCCCAGAGAACGTGGAGGGAATCGTCACAAAGACGGTAATGGAAGGGAAAGTCATAAAGGAACTATTTAGAGGTGGAATAGATCGCAGCCGTGAGACCATTAGGCTTTGAAGGAATGAGTGGAGTGAATGCGCGATAAATGGTCGCTTATTCTGCTACATAGTCCACAAGGTCAAAGTCTAGACTGCGAGCGAGACTCTGTGCATGCTCCCATGTCACAAGAGGTCCTACTCGCCATTTTCCACCAGGTTCCAAAGGGTCGTTGCTTCCAATCCCACCAGCTCGCACCAGAAGCCTGAGGCTCGACAAAGTTGCGATCTGTTTGTACATGTCTATTGTGGTTCGTATATCGGCTGGCAGTATTGCATGAAGTATCGCCAGGAGCCGATCAGCAGTGAACGCAGATGCCGCAAGCAGGTGGCGAGGGACCTTGCGAATTTGGCTTGGTCGTCCGCCGGAGCGTGCTGTTCCACCGCCCTTCTTTCGTCGCTTCCGTTCTGTTGACTTCATGAAGTATAAAGCATCGAACCTTGCAGGATTGAAGGAGGCTAGGTACGCTGCTACAAGCAGCCATTTGGCGTAGTATGGAAGCTCATGGGTCTTGCTTCTCGAAACGGTCGTCGCTGCCACCGAATTCTGGATAATCGAGTCGAGCAACACGCTCTCGTCTTGAAACAACCTCCGCTGTGCCACTAATAATCTGGTGAAGTCTCGTGTGCCAAAGTCACCCTTAATAACCGGCGCTACAAATGGCCTCCACAGTTTATGGCAAGTCGCACGAAAAGCGACCAGATCTCGAGCTGCGTTGTGACCTAAGGCATCCCAGACAGCCGCGCAGAACCGCGGCCACAACCAGGCCTTGTCTTCCTCGTGTGTCTCGTCATCGTAATCAAGCTCAGCCGGCGGAGCGTCCAGGAATATATCTAGTGGATTCCGAGCTACGATATGCACGGTCTGATTTCGTGAATAAGTTGCGAAGTGCAGGTGAGGCACACCAGCCTGATGTAAGAATCGAGGTGGTGGATGACGCACGATCATCACCACGGTCAACTGAGGAAGGGTTTCTCCCAGCCTGCCTAATGCTGCCAATAGTGTTGGCGGCGCATCTCTCTGCTTGTCTATGCCATCAAAGACAAGAACAAATTTATTCTGCTCGGTCGTGAGCTTTTGCAGGTGCACTGACAAGACGCTGATGTTCTCGCATCGTGCATTGTATGCCGGCGCATCTCCATTGGATCCGTGCAATCGCAATGCCTCGTCTACAGCCGCGACGGTGCGCTCAAGTAGGTGTCTGCCGGTCACGCACTCGCGACATGGTATGATGGCGTGTGGAAGTTTGCTCTGCTCCAAGTATGACCTAGTGACGCTGCTCTTGCCTGTTGCTCTCGGGCCATAGATCACTAGTGACGAAGGAGAGGGTCGTGAGTGCTGCTTGCTTGCGATCAGCACAGTGCAGGCGGCAAGGGTTCAAATCGGCATACCGAGAGGAGAGCTGCCAACTGCTTGATTTGAACATCTCTGCACTGCCACTGCTCTATGAGTGATAGCTGTAGCGCATCTGGGAGCATCGCATGACCCATCATTCTCGGTCGCATTGGGAAGCGAAGTTGCACGCGACGCGACGCGACGTTGGAGACGCAACAAGCTTCGAATCCTTGCTGCACTTGGTAGCCAGTTGGAGAGGAACGGAGCCAGGTCCGATTTTTATACCACAGAAAGTGAAAGGCAGGGGCAAAGTTGAAAGCAGCAGTTACTCTGCTCATGCCTTCCATTTTCTACCCGTTGCTAGGGTCTGTGCGCAGTTTCCTTCACAGAGCGTCGCAGCCATGGACCGCTTTCTCGAGTCTCGCCATTCTACTTGGCCATGCCATAACACACTTCGTCTACATTTTCCGCAACGCCATTGCTGGCTCCATCATGGCAGCGACACGCCGAGACTCCAAGGCCGCCATACTGCCAGAGCCTCCTCGGCACATGGTACATCTCAAGACCAAAGAAGAATGTCGCCTCGGCAACGAGACAATCCAAGTCTGGACCGTTGAGCTGCCTAGTAAGCATGCCGAAGGAATCCTGAAGTAATAATGCATTGCCTTCGCTTTTCACCCTTGACATCGCTGACTTCCACAGGGTGATCAAAGACAATGTTCCTGCGCAAGATTCGATCGACCTCCAGCACCTGCGTCGCTTTGCAAAACCAAAGTTCCTGCCAGAACATGTCCTCGGAAAGCGGGACCTCGTCAAGGAAATGTATGCAGTGCCACGCGCATGGGAGAACACGCCACAAGCCGTTATGCAGACACCCACCACCGCGATCTGGGAGTACTCGAATCCCTCCAAATCGCGACATAATGGACGTCCACCAACCCTTCATCTGTTGATCTGTCCGACGAGGATTATGAGTCTCCAGGACCTCCACGGCATCTTGAAGGAGCACACCCCCTTTGCCTCGTCGCCTGACTCTTGGGCATATCCGCTGGAGATAAAGGAAATCACCGTCCCTCTTCTCGCACCTACCAGCGTGCCACAAGCAAATGAGTGGTCGGCCCATTACTGGCCAACGTTTTACAGGAAGACCAATCCATTCGGAGCGCATCCTGCCAGCATCGAGAAGGCAGAGGCTGAGCTACAACAGCCAGAAGAGGACAACATCGGAGTTGAGGAAGCACTTGCACTTGCCGCCAAAGTCGGAGATGACAATCGGCGTCGTGGGCTCGGTTCAGGCACAGGCTGTGTCATCGTGGAACGTGTCGAGGGTAGCACCAATATCATTGCCGTTGCCGGTGACGCACGCTACAAACCTCAGGCACACCAGTTTGGCGAGACTGACAATGACACCTGCTGCAGAGGCAACATGATGGGCCACGCGGTGATGCGCGCCGTCGGCATGGTCGGACGCAAGCGTTTACGCTGTGCTACCCTATCCATCGCCAGATCTGCCGCCAAAGCTGAGAGCAACTTCCACAAGGGAGGTCTCGCCGTGGACGAAGAAGCCCGTGACGCCTTCTTCAACGACCTGCCAATCAGTCAGCTCGAAGAACAGTACTTCAGGGAGGACAACCTGAAACCCGATGGCTACCTCTGCCTCCGGCTGGAGATATTCCTCACGCACGAGCCCTGCATAATGTGCTCGATGGCTCTTGTGCACAGCCGTGTCGGACGTGTCATCTTCAAAGAGCGGATGCCAAAGACGGGAGGCTTGACGGCCGAAATGACTAGAAACGATTCCGGTCCTGTCGGTCTTGGGTATGGGATGTGTTGGCGAAAGGAGCTGAATTGGCAATTCATGTGCTGGGAATACATCCCAACGACTGAAGCAGGCACTGTCACCAGAGAGGGCGGCAGCAAAGATCTCAAGGATGAGAAGTACAACCCTGAAGCGAAAAATACTTTGGAAGATGTTATGAGTGCTAATGTTACTTTGAGCAGCTTTGCAAGCATGCATGTGTAGCGCACACGCGATGCAGAATGGAGCTGGCGGAGCATAAGTTACGATGGCATGACCACGACCGCAGCAATACTGTATGGCATCACGCTTGGTATGGCTACGAGAGAAAAGGATTTGAGCATTAGCGTTGGCGTTGCGGTAGAGAAGCGGCCTTACGGCTTACAATGTATCATACTCGATTGTGTACGAGGCATAGCTTTTGCGGAGAGTGATAATGGTATAAAAGAGAGTGCAGACGCCGTGTCAAAACGACTCACTTTTGCTCTCATTTCTGCCTACACAATTCTGAGATCAAGCATACTTGAGTGCGTACGAGGGCAAGTACTCGTATAACTGTGCATTGCTTTACAGCGGGCGAGAGCACAAAGCTTTGATATTGCACTTCAGACGCTTGCGCCCTCGACTGAATATGCATCAAGACCGTAGAGCTTACCGAGTCATTGCTGGGTGGACCGGGAGTCATCAAAGAATGTGAATCGTCCAAAGCGAGGATTTCGAGTCCATCACTCCGTACTCGAAACGCTTCGACCTGTTGCAGGGAAGTCATGCAGTTAGTAGCACAAGCCTGCGTCAATGAGAGCCATATTACTTTGGAATACCTCGGGCGAAGTGATGTGAAGTGGTCATCGTAACAGGTTTCAAAAACTGCTATTTCGCCGATGCTTTCTTCGACCAAAGGCTCCCCCAATTACTTCTCGATCCGCGTTGCTTGCTCTCAGCTGATGCGTCTTTTGATGCTTTCCTCTGCTTGATCCTCCGACTGATACCGAATTCCATTCGTGGTTTGCTCGCGAGTGACTCCATTGTAGTATCTCCATAGAAGCCTACAAGACCGTTGTCCGGCTGAATACAGCGTTTAGATTCTGCCCATTCGTGTAATGCTGCTAGGTATTCTGCTTCGGAGGCAAATCCGCGATATGTCTGGGAAGCTGGTCGGAGCGTCGACGTTTCTGATGGCGCGATGCTGGCTGAGTCTGCTAGGAGAGTTCGCGATGTGTCCGTGGAAGTTCGGAGATCTGCGGCGTTTTGCATCGTGACAGAAGACGTGGCGTATGTTTTATCTGTGTCTCTCGGAGTTCGAGCAGGGTTATGGGATGCTTTCGTGAGTAGTCCGATCGAAGCAGTATCCGTGGGAGATAGTCAGTGCAGTGAATGTAGTCAGAACATGTAGCGACATCAAGGTAGACACCATGCCATGCTTACTCTCCCAGATTCTGTCAGTCTGAGGCTCTCTTTGGCCTATCTGCCGTTCAACAGCATCTTCTATGCAGCCAAGACGAGGCGCAGCTCTACGCAGTCCCGCAAAGTCTCGCCGTGTGGCCGTTGACCTGTTACACCATGAATGCGATGCATGTGCGGCTCAAGAACCGGCAGATGCAGTTGGAGAGGCGTGAGAGGTCAAAGGCGGAGGCCCCGCGGGAGAGTAAGCCTCGGCGCAAGGATAAAAATAGGTGATCGGACCCAACCCCGGAAGTATGTATGTCGTGGTGAATGTTCATTCTCTGCAGTGGCCGCGAGAGCTCATCGAATTTGGGTATGTTCTTGCGCGTCAAAGGAGGAGGCGGAATCCCACAGAGTCCGACATTGAGGTGGATCAGGAGACCAACTTTTCAGCGGAAGAGTAAGGGAGTGCTCTGGTTCTCAGAATCTTCCCGCGTTAGAGAGGGAAAGACGACCGACAGCAAGTATGACAGCCAAAGCGCATCCGAATCGAAAGCCGCGGAGCTCGGTGGAGGACAGGCACAGCAAGGTCAACAAGAAGCAGTGAAGAAGGAGAAATTGACTCTGTCAGAGGAACAAGAAAAGCAAGAGCAGAAGCAAACCGGCCAACAGAAGAAAGGAGGATCTGGTCTGCCGGCACTGGCCATCTTCGCCGTTGGCTTCCCTCTGGGCTGGTATCTGAGCGATTACAGACCATTTGGCAGGAGTAATGCGTCCTCTGAACCCTCCGATTTCATCAAGTACACATTAGCTGCCAAGGAGGATGTCTCTTCTACGGCTGCCATTTTCAGATTAAGGCCTTCCTCAAAAGCCACAATTGATCTTGACGACCCAAATCTTGAGCGAGCTATTACAAGCGTCGAATTCAAGCAGCCTCAGTTGCAAATTGCGCGATCATACACGTGTCTGCCGCAGGAGCGTGGACAGCACATGGACGAGCTGCGGTTCTTGATTCGCAAAGAGCGCAAAGGCGAGGTCTCCAATTACTTGCACAGGCTACCAAACAACGCTGAGATAGACGTGCGCGGCTTATATCCAGAGTATGTTCTGCCTGAGGACATACAGAGCGTGGCATTCCTGGTTGGAGGCACAGGCATTGCTCCTGCAATGCAAGCAGCAGATATTCTCGCTGGTCAAGCAGACATCCACATTCTATGGTCGAGCCGGAGAAGAGAAGATTGCATAGGCGGCTACAACGACACCAAGCCAGCTAGTCAGCGCTGGAGCTTTTGGCCACGCTCAACGCCTGTCCAAAACTCCTCTGACGCTGCCGATCTGCAGGGCGTCGAGAAGGGAGCTCTGGTGTCTATGCTGGAGAGGTTGAAGACCAATTCAGTTTCAGAAGACGAACAGAGGTCACGCTTGTCAGTGGACTATTTCATTGACGACGAGGGCAGTTTCGCGAACCCGGAAGATGTGAAGCGCATGCTGAGCTCGCTTTCAAAAGGGGACCAATCTGGTCGCAAGATTTTGATCGTCTCTGGCCCCGAGGGTTTTGTAGGCCACTGGGCTGGATCTAAGCAATGGTCAGATGGACGAGAAGTCCAGGGTCCACTTCGAGGTATTCTTTCCACCCTTGATCTCGAGGGCTGGGAAGTCGTGAAGCTATGAGCGGAGATGCTTTACTTTGTTTCAAGCAGCTTTGAGCATCAAGGATTTCTTAAACCCTAACCTGATACCCGGTCTAGCACTTCCACATACCAGGCTCGACCCGAACGAGAATGCAGGGCCCGATACGGAAGCCGAATGTATGTGGTGCCAATGCCAAAGATTTCACTGCCAAGGAAGCATTCAACTGGAACACGCTCAAGAAATTTGACTTCCTTGGCACAGGCTTGACAGTAGCTGGCATAGGCATGTTCTCCGCTGCAATCAGTCTCGGAGGCACAGCGCCAGACGGGTGGGAAACGTCGTATGTGCTTGCATTGCTGATTGTCGGCTTCCTGCTCATTGTTGCTTTGTGACATAAATCGTGGTATCTCGGCACCGATCCGATCCGATGGTGACGTCCGTTTGATGCAGCCGAACGGCGAGCTAGAAGACAGTGCCGTAATGCCGTGGCCGTGGCAATGGCTCGGCGCCAACAGCGTCATGGATTGGCGTGCATCTTTGTCCCGGGCCCGGCGTTGGCTTGGCGTGGTCTACGACCTCTATAGAGCCCCGCCCCGCCCCGTGAGGCTCTGGTCTCTCCCGGACACCTCTGGAAAAGTGCACCAGGAACGCTCGCTCGGCCAAGATGCTGTTCGTCCGCCAGCTGTGCACGCTGTGCGAGAAGACGTTGATCATTGTCTTCATGCGACATTGGCTGAGTACCTTGATCCGAGCATTTTTGGCGCCCGTCATTTTCATGTTCATCATTTCATATGCGAAGAATTTCTTCGTGCCTCCATCGGAATTTGGCATTGGAACTCCGACGGCACTTCGATCGCTCAGTGAAGCCGTGCGCGCCTCAGCCGGCGGTCGCGACTTGGTCGTGGTGGCCCACAATGCATCGACGGCAAGCGACATTGCCACAGTGACAGAAGCTCTTCGTGGGCCCATCACCGCGCAAGGAAAGACGTTTCAAGTGGTGGACAGCGAGCAAGAGTTGCTCACACTGTGCCCAAGCTCAATCAGAGGCGTCTCTCCATGCTTTGGCGCAGTCGTATTTGACTCTTCGCCCGACACAGGCGCTTCTTGGAACTATACCATCAGAGCAGACGGCGCGTTGGGGCAAAACATATATGTCAACACTCAGAACAATGATGCTGAGATTTACACGCTTCCGCTGCAGCGCGCCATCGATGCCGCTATAGCATCCCAGAACGCCACCACTCTTCCGGACGCCATCCTTCAATATCCTTTCACCACCAAAACACCAGAAGAGCGACAGCGGAATATTACACGCCTGTACATGGGCTCTCTAATCGATATCCTGGCCGTGGCTTACTTTATTGGCATTGTGGGAATCTGTTACCAGTTGACAGGACAGATGGCTCAGGAACGAGAATTGGGCATGGCTCAGCTTGTCGAAAGTATGATGCCCAACAAGCAGAGGTGGATGCCGCAAGCCGCTCGTCTGCTGTCACTTCACATCTCGTTTGATATCCTTTATTTCCCAAGCTGGGTCATCATGGGCATCATCGTCGCTGTGCTGAATTATCCCCATTCGGAAATGGGCATCTTGGTGGGCTACTTCATCATGTCTGGACTTGCCTTGGCCTCTTGGAGCATTGCTTTTGCGGCCCTCTTCAGGAAATCACAGCTTTCCGGCATCACAGTCACAATTACATCAATCGTGCTTGCAATCATCATTCAAGTCATCCCTCCCGTGGCCACCGGTGCGGCGATCATTCTCAGTTTGCTCTTTCCATCCATCAATTATACTCTGTTCATTATCTATATGGCGTATTGGGAGCAACAGAATCTCGGTGCGAACCTGCAAGAAGCACCTCCGACTGCTCCTTGGCGCGTCCCGGGATACGTCTTCTTCATCTTTTGCGCCATCCAGATCGTGCTTTACCCTCTGATCGGCGCCTTCATCGAGCGGGTCAAGTACGGCACAGCTACCAAGTCAAGACAGCTCCGGTACGATCCCAGTGAGCAACCGGAGACAGTGAAGATCTCGGGGCTTTCGAAGCACTACCTTCCTAGCTGGCTTGCAAGAAACGTCTGGTCACGCTTCGGCAAAAATCCGCCGCAGACCGTCAAAGCCGTTGACAATGTGAGCTACTCGGTGCTGAAAGGTCAAATCCTGGTCCTTCTTGGTGCAAACGGGTCAGGCAAAAGTACGACTCTCGACACCTTGGCGGGATTGCAGAAGCCGACAAGTGGCAGTATTGAGATGGATGCCACGGGTGGAATTGGACTCTGTCCTCAAAAGAACGTGCTTTGGAATGAGCTGACTGTTTATGAGCACGTTAGGATTTTCAACCGTCTCAAAGCTACAGGACAGACCGACACCAAAGCACAACTCACCGATCTGGTTCATGGCTGCGATCTCGAACAGAAAATCAATGCTCGATCGGAGACCCTTTCTGGAGGTCAAAAGCGAAAATGTCAGCTTGCCATGATGTTGACTGGTGGCTCTAGCCTCTGCATGATGGATGAAGTAAGCTCGGGACTAGATCCACTAAGTCGAAGGAAGATCTGGGACATTATTTTGGCCGAACGAGGAAGACGTTCGATGTTACTTACAACTCACTTCTTGGATGAAGCTGATCTGCTCTCGGATGACATCGTGGTTATGTCTAAGGGCAATGTGGTTGCTCATGGCTCGGCGGTCGAATTGAAACATCATCTTGGTGGGGGCTACCGTGTCAGGATCTATCATGAGGATGAAAAGGAGCTCTCGGAAAAGCTGCAAGCGACCCGAAAGACCGTATATCACGACCAAACTGTGTATCACCTGCAAGACTCGTCCGAGGCGGCACGTTTCGTAGCAGAGCTTGAGCGCCATGGTGTATCCGACTATCAAGTCAATGGACCAACTATTGAGGATGTATTCCTCAAGCTGGCCGAGGAAGTGAAAGATGAGCTGGAGAAGGGCAAAGAATACGATGCGTCTCCGGCATTGAGCGATGGGGAGGCTGCTGCTCCCGAAGACTCTGATAAGCACCTTCAGCTGCTACCAGGACGGCAGCTCTCCTTTTTCGCACAGACATGGGTCCTCTTCCGGAAACGCACGACTATTCTGGTTCGAAACAAATGGCCTTATCTGGTAGCCTTGCTACTTCCTATCATCGCTGCGGGATTGGTGACTCTCTTCCTACAGAACTTCGATCCGCTCTCGTGTGAGCCAACAGACTTGGTTTCAACGTCCACTACCTTCTCTTTGAGCAGTGTTCTGGCCTTTGGAGCTGACATCCCCCTCGGACCGCCAAATCAAAACCTCCTACCAGAATTTCGAACCTTGTTCCCATTTCTCGCAGCCAATACCAGCTCCCTTCAGCTTGTCGATTCACTGGATGCGTTCACCAATTACATCAGCGCCAATTACTCATCAGTCACGCCGGGAGGTATTTTCGATGGAAACACACCTACATTTGCATGGAGGGGTGATTATGGAATGCAATATGCCATTGCAGCCCAGAACCTCATTCACAATAGCCTGCTCGACATTCCGATCTTCACATCGTATCAGCCGTTCGACGAGCCATGGGCGCCTGACGCTGGTCAGAGCCTGCAGTTCATCCTATACTTCGGACTAGCAATGTCTGCTTTCCCGGGCTTCTTCGCCCTGTACACGAATATCGAGCGTCTTCGCAATGTCCGAGCCTTGCATTACTCGAATGGAATCCGCGCAGGCCCTCTGTGGCTCGCCTACACCTGCTTTGACTTCTTGATTGTGCTTCTTGTGAGCGCGATTTCGATCATTATTTTTGTGGGCACTTCCAGCGTTCTTTACGCTCCAGGGTATCTTCTTGTCGTATTCGCGCTATATGGGCTATCTGCGACACTCACAGCCTATGTGGTCTCCCTGTACACCACGAGTCAGCTTGCCACCTTTGCATTTGCCGCCGGAGGGCAGTGCAGCTTCTTCCTGCTCTACTTTATTGCATATATGTGCATCATCACTTATGCACCGGTATACGCCATCGACCGCTACGTCAACTACGCAAATTTCACAATTGCGTTATTCTTCCCCTCTGGCAATCTGCTGCGGGCTCTTTTACTGAGCTTGAACGAGTTTTCGCTACTCTGTCGAGGCAACGACATTGCTTCGTACCCTGGCGACATTCTCGTATATGGCGGACCAATCCTCTACCTCATCCTCCAGTCAATAGCACTGTTCATCTGGCTTGTCTGGTATGACAGTGGTTGGAGGCCAGGCTTCCTAGCTCGCACGAAACATAAAACTCCCGACGCCGAAGAGATCGATGAGATGGATCCCGAAGTGTACGCAGAGGCAGCTCGGGTTGACGGCGCGAAAGACGAGCTTCTTGTAAAGCACGTCACCAAGGCATTTCGGTCATTCGTTGCCGTCCAAAATGTGTCCTTTGGCGTGCCGCATGGCGAGACCTTCGCTTTGCTCGGCCCCAATGGCGCTGGTAAATCAACGACCATCGGACTCATTCGAGGCGATATAAGACCAAGCGATCGGACAAGTGATATCCTGATTGAAAATACCTCTATCATTGATCACCGAGCAGCAGCTCGTGCCAACTTAGGAGTCTGCCCACAATTCGATGCGATGGATCAGATGACAGCCATCGAGCATCTACGATTCTATGCGCGAGCAAGAGGAGTGCACGATGTTGAGCACAATGTCGAACAGGTTATTCACGCCGTGGGCTTAGCACCGTTCAAGAATCGCATGGCCGCGAAGCTGTCTGGTGGGAATAAGAGGAAGCTTAGCTTAGGAATCGCGCTTATGGGCAATCCTAGCGTGCTGCTGCTGGACGAACCTTCAAGCGGCATGGATGCTGCTTCCAAGCGAGTCATGTGGCGTACTCTTGCTGCCGTGTCTACCGCACGTTCTTTAGTCATCACTACGCATTCTATGGAGGAGGCAGATGCTCTCGCAGATCGTGCAGGCATCATGGCCAAGCGAATGCTTGCACTGGGCACTTCCGATCAGCTAAGGAAGACACACGGCGATGCTTATCACGTTCACGTCGTGCACAAGAACGCGCCTCACAGCACAGAAGCAGAGATGGGAGAGATGAAATCATTCATCCGCAGTACCTTCCCTCACGCTCAGGTCGAAGATCGTGTTTTCCATGGCCAAATGAGATTCAGCGTACCAAACGACCGCACCGCGCAACGTGCGGACTCTTCACCTCTCGCGGAGAAGAGCATGGACGACAAAACGGGTGCATGGACGAGTATACATGTAGAGCCAGCGAGCGGCATTTCGAATGGCATCAGCTCGCTGTTCCACATTCTCGAGACCAACAAGGAGAAGCTCGGATTCGAGTACTACTCTGTGAGCCAAGCTACGTTGGATCAAGTATTTTTGAGTATTGTGACGAAACACAACGTCGTGGAGGAGAACTATGCACGTACACATGGGCAAAGAAAGCTCACGGCGTGGCAGAAGACGAAACAAGGAATTGCGACAGTATATCATAATGCATAAGCAAAACTTACAGAATTGGAGGACAGAACATTGAGGATATGGCGTGGCATAGAATAGCATAGCATAGCGGGATGCAGCATTTACGGGAGGACCAGCGATAGATACCCTGATGTATAGGCGTAGATTGCGATGTATCCAAGTACTTTTCCTTGTCACGTCTTCAGCATAATTACACCAACACCGCGACATGGAGCTGGATCTTCCTGCCAATGACGCGGGTCGACCGTCCGTGTCTCCGCGTAATCAGTATCCAGCTTCAAAGAATTTCTCTTCATTTTCATCCGCGCATCGATTGATCGATCAACCAACCAACCGGTCAACATCTTCAAAATTTCATCAGATCTATCTCCCCGGCAGCTTTCCCCCCAACCGAGCATGTCGAAGGCAGCTGAGAGAAGGAAAGAAAGCATTGGACCATGTCACGAATCAAGCAGAAAAAAAAACCCACGGCGGAAGATCCGAAGGAACAGATTCATGCCCCCCCCCCCCCCCCCCGGCAGCTCATGAGCAATCTCATGCGTGGTTTGGCTAAGAGTATATTTCCTTGTTTATGGAAATTGTTCGATTGATTTCGATGGCAATGGCAATAGACAAAAATTCGCTCGAGGAATTCGAAACATTCATTTCATGGCATCGGGGGGCGATTATGTGCTGGATCGTGAGTACGACGGGACGGGAAGTCTTTTGGCTATACTATGGCTTCCGACAGGAGAAATCTTTGCAATGGAAGAGGACACAAGCCATATTGAAAGAGCAGTCCGTAGAAATGGGAGAGCAATACGATGCTCCGGAAAGTGTGGACCTCATCCTGCCGTTCATCGAAAGCTTTCATCTGCAGGATAGATACGCTTGCTCAGCTCAAGGAGCCAGATCCGAAGAAGTATTCCAAGCTTCAACGAATTCTTTGTGAGAGAGCTCAAGCCCGATGCTCGACCCGTCGATGAGCCGGATAATGATCGGGTTGTCTCAAGCCCGGCAGATTGCATGCAGGCTTACCGTATTCCCCACGATCGACTTGGCACAGAAGTTTTGGATCAAAGGGTTTGGCTTTTCTCTGGAGGGGCTGCTTGGGTCAAAAGAGCTGGCGCAGGACTTTGATGGCGGCTCCATCAACATTGCACGTCTCGCGACTCAAGATTATCATCGATGGCATGCACCGACGTCGGGAACGGTGGACAGCATTACAGACATACCTGGAACGTATTACACTGTTAATCCACAGGCTATCAACGAGCCAGGTACACTCGATGTCTTCTGCGAGAATAAGCGATCTGTGATGATGCTCAAACGCGCCGCCACAGGCTCACGGGTCGCGCTTATTGCCGTCGGCGCTATGCTGGTGGGTAGCATAAGATACAATCCTGGTATTCAGCAAGGCGCGGAGGTGACGGGAGGTCAGTGTCTTGGCGCATTTCTCTACGGTGGTAGCACCGTCATTGTGCTGTATCCGGAGAACGAGGTTGAATTGGACCAGGACCTCGTCAAAAACTCGACCGAGAGTGTATGTGAGACTCTGGTCAGAGTCGGAGAGCGGGTAGGGATGTCTCCTTGATCGTCTTGATACAGAAACATCAAAGCACCCTTAAAAACCTATCTTGGGGTATCATGCTCCTATGCGGTTGTGGTTCCATTTCGTGCTCATCGTGAATCATCTCTGCGTCGCCGTCGTTCTTCATATGGCGATCTTGACCTGCTTCGATCGCGCCTTCGCGCTCTCTCTCGGCTTCGGGGTCGATCTTCGTGATGTCGCCGCGGCCGGTAGGTGTCATCTTGACGTCGATCTCTGCTCCGCTCATGATGCTTCCTGTCTCTCGATCGGGAACGCGAGTGTGAGTGGTGGCGATGCCTGTGTCGATTCCGGACGCCGTCTCTTGATCGTGATCGCGAACGCCTTCGTACGCCTTCTCTTGACCGTGATCGTGATCGTGAACGCCTCCGTTTCCGGTCGTCTCTATCGTCGCGGTGCCCGCGTCGTTCTCTGCTCCTGCTTCGATCCTTCCTTCGGTGCTCTCTGTGACGGTGTCTGTCCTTCTTCTCTCGAGACCCCAGCGCCGTGGAGCGATCGTCACCATTCTCGTCGTCGCCAAGAGCTTCTTTGAGAGCCTTGTTGACGTCCTTTCGACTGATTTTGCTCTCTCCAAGCGGCTCAAAGTTCGCATTGCCTCGATCGGGCACAGGTAGGCCAAGCGCTCGCGCCATGGCTTCTTCTTCGGCCTCCTTCACTTTGCGCTTCTCCTCGGCTTTCCTCTCTGCTTCTTTGGCTGCTCTTTCCTCAGGCGTGAGCTCCGCATCTTCAGCTTTGGCATACCAGCCCAGGTCCTTGTTCTTTGCCCAGCGGCCGACTGGTGCCATCAAAGAGTGGCCGAGATAATTCTCGCGACGGTTGGACGATTTGACATCGTCCCACGAGAAGTTCACGCCACCGCGCGAGCCCTCCTTGCGGACCGATTGTAGAAGATCCATGCTCGCGAATGATGTGGTGTGAGTGTAGGTGGAAGCGGAGTATGGATGTGGAAGTGGGAGCGGGGGTTGGTGAAGGTTCGCAGGGAAAATAAGGGTTGGTTGGCGCGTGCGGTCATAGGGCTGAAGCTCGTGAAATGCAAGGTACGTGTACTTTATTTCGCTTCATAGCCAAATCTCGATTGAGGCTTTGAATAACTTCAATTGACCAAGACAACGATGGTCAAGCGATGGAAGGCCAACACGCTGCTGGTGTCGGCTTGTGCTGTGCTAGCTGCAGCGCAGGACTCTGACACGCCGGCCTTCAGCAAAGCTTCCAATGATAGCCTGTTATGGGGAGCTTACAGACCAAATCTATACTTTGGCCTTCGACCACGAATACCGAAATCCATCCTGACTGGCCTCTTGTGGGCTAGAGTCGAGGACTACACTTCTGTTCAGAACGATGTGCGATATACCTGCGAGCAGCATGACGGCATGGCTGGCTACGGCTGGGATGCGTACGATCCTCGAACAGGTGGTGTGCAGGTTGTGCACGACAAGGGCAACGGCATCGACATTGAGACCAGCTTCGTCAAGTTCGACGACGGCAAGGGTGGCTGGGGCGCCCGAGTGAAGGGCACGCCGCGACAAGATGCCGGGCGAAGAGAAGGCAGCTCTGGATCGGGGCCAGAGGACATGAAGACTGCCATCTGGTTCACAATTAGTGCTGAAGGCCTGGGTTCCATTGAGGCCCAAGACAGCGATAGTGGTGAAGAGCATGGCTACGCTGGGGATGTGATTCTGGACGGCCAGGCTCAGGGACTTGGAGACTTCAAGCTCACTGTGACTGCACCTAGGGGCAATTCGCACCCTGTTCACAATCATCCTTCATACCAGTCAAGACCATTAGATCATACATTTGTCCATTCACATCAACTGCCAGAAGAGGCTCTTTGGCAGGCCAAAGGTAAGTGCATGGCATTCAATATTCTTCTGGGATGCTCATTCTGACTGAGCATCCCGACAGCAATTCTATTCAATTCTATGAAAAGTACAATCGATGAATACATCGAGGAGTATACATCGGATAAGATGCCACCGCCATGGCAGACATATCTGATTCAGAACAAGCCCGGCTCAGGAAACATGCACTTCGTCCAGAAAGTGTTTGAGGGCGAATTCGAATTCGACATTCTGTTCGCTCCTGAGTCCGCCGAGAAAGCTCCGACTTCAGATGATCTTACGAAACAGCTCAAGAAAGTCCTTGAGCAATTCGATGAGAAGTATCTCGATGTACACAAGCCGCTGGCTCCCTTCGATGATAAGAAGTGGCTGCCGTTTAGCAAGTCACTGTTCAGTAACTTGATTGGTGGAATTGGCTACTTCTATGGCGACCAGGTCATCGATCGCTCCTACGCACCAGAGTACGAGGAAGAAAACGAGGGTTTTTGGCAAGAAGCCGAAGAAGCAAGAGCGCGCAACCAGCAAAAACTCGAAGGCCCTTACGAGCTTTTCACCTCGATTCCCTCGCGACCATTCTTCCCTCGTGGTTTCCTCTGGGACGAAGGTTTTCACTTGCTCCCCATTCTGGACTGGGACGCTGAGCTCGTGATGCAGATCATCAGCTCTTGGTTCAATACGATGGACGAGGATGGTTGGATACCTCGTGAACAGATTCTCGGGTCCGAAGCTAGAAGCAAGGTGCCTCAGGAATTCCAGGTTCAATATCCTCACTACGCCAATCCACCCACTTTGTATATTGCGCTTGAAGCTCTCGTGGACAAGATCGATGGTAAGACCGGAGCAGGCGCCCCACTCGAAAAGACTGCTGGCGATGTTGGGGGCCAGAAGCTTGCAAGCCCAGAGTCTGTAAAGGCATGGCTCAAAGAGCTCTACCCTCTGCTTCAACGCAACTTCGAATGGTATCGAAAGACCCAGTTCGGAGACATCAAATCGTACGATCGCGAAGCCTTCAGCTCAAAGGAGGCATACCGATGGCGAGGCAGGACCCCACGCCACATCCTTACATCAGGTCTAGACGACTATCCACGTGCACAGCCACCTCATCCTGGTGAGCTTCATGTCGATCTTATCAGCTGGATGGGTTTACTCAGCCGCAACTTGCATAGGATTGCGTCTTACCTTGGAGAGAAAGACGACGAGGCAAAGTACTCGAAGATTGCGGAGGCGATCCGAAGAAACGTTGATGACCTGCATTGGGACAACGACGAGAAGACTTACTGTGATGCGACTATCGATGACTACGAGGAGAGTGTCCATGCCTGTCACAAAGGCTACATAAGCATTTTCCCATTCATGGCTGGCCTTCTCGATGGTAAGCACGAGCATCTGAAGAATATTCTAGATCTCATCGCCGATGAAGAAGAGCTTTGGAGTCCGCACGGCATTCGCAGTCTAAGCAAAAATGATGAATTTTATGGCACTGAGGAGAATTATTGGAGAAGTCCGGTGTGGATGAACATGAATTATCTCATTGTGAAGGAACTATACGTAAGTCTCTCAAAAGTAGGCTGTGGTGCAACGTAGCTAACTTCCTTCACAGAATACCGCTCAGCAGCCCGGTCCGCAGCAGAAGCGTGCCGCCACCATGTACAGTGCGCTGAGGAAGAACCTGGTCGATACAGTCTACAAATCCTGGCTAGAGACCGGCTTTGCATGGGAACAGTATAACCCGGAAACAGGCGCCGGTCAGCGAACACAGCACTTCACTGGCTGGACGAGCTTGATTGTCAAGATCATGGCTATGCCTGATCTAAGCGGGAACAAGGGCCATGATGAGCTCTAGTGAGTACATTACCTCTTTTGCGTATGTAAACTCATCATGTAGACCTTGTATGCATCAACATGACAAGCCTTTTGGTGGCTTCGCCTGAATCCTGGAGTTGCTGAGAAGATGTCTGATTGTATTTTCAGAAGCGTGCTAGGCCGATACTCATACAACGTCCCAGACGGTCAATGGATCACAGAAAATCACGGAATGGCACAAAGATGCTCTCGCAAACTTCCGATACCGCATGGTCGAGTTCCCGAACAACGCCACAAGCCAGTACTCCCAGCAGCGAAGACATGTCTTTAAAGTACACGGCTGAAGAAGCCATGTCAAATTTTTGTCACAATCGACTCGTTTGCAGTACCGCGCATTGCCAGTCTTTCTCTCGTCGTCATCATCCCGAGTTGTGCTATCACCCTAGCTTCTTGGGGATTGAAGATGCGGAGGCTGGAGGTATGATTCGAGTCGGGTAGTTCTATCGCGACGTCCATGAACGGCAAACGATGGTGGACGACATTGAGTTCCAGGATTTCAAGCAGGATCATCACCTGCAAACTCACGTGCCATCTGCGGTAGTGTCGTCATTGACAGATGAGACTCTTCCACGGAGGTCGAGCGAAGGCAGATATTACAGTATCCAGCTACAGTCACAGCAGCCTGATCCGGGTGCTCTCGCTGACGATCCACTGTTACCGCAGAGTAAAATAGAACAGGTCATGGGCCATATGGACGGGACTGCAGCGGAGCCGGAGCAAGGAAATATTGTCCTTTAGTTTTTTTTTTGGATGGGCCGAAAATTTACTCTATTTCTATTTTGCATGATAGCAACGCGGCTCTACCTGTGCTTCCAGAGCAACTTCATCAACCGCAGACCCCAACCGTTTCGACCGTAACGACGAGTGAATATCTTGCACTAGAGGACGCAAGACAGGAACGCACTGAACGATGATCGTGCCCTGGGAACGAGTCAGTATAGTTTTGGAACGCCGAAAGGAGGCACGAACTCACTGCGACCTCGGATGAATACCATATGTTAGACATGGCGTTTCGCCAAAAGTACCGCTCGTCTTCTTGATTGCCATCAAACTTCCATTTTGTCCGTATGGCTGACTCGATAGCAACGACCATGCCCAAGCTCATGGTCAGGCAAAGTCCGATCTTTTCTTTGCGTTTCATGTCCAAGCTGTAAGTGATGATCCATGGGAAGGCAGCAAATACAAAGTCCATGATGATGTTGTAATCTGTGAAGAGTCAGTATCAAAGAAGAGGTCACGTTAGAAGGGCTGGGCTGAGGACAACGCACAGTTTCCTGCTTCTTTGAATTGATTTCGGGCACTCTTGTCGAGGCAGAAGTCGATTCGATACCACACGTCGTAGCTGGCACTGTTGCAGACTTTGCCCCATTCGACAATGATCTAGGTAGCCACTGTTAGTGTCGCTCTCGGTAGGTTGCGCCAAGTACCGTCGTGCATACCTTGGCAAAGTTACACGAGCACATGGTGACAATGCAGAACCAAAGCACGTAGTGGCACGCCTTCCAGTGGGAGAATCCTTTGGTCAACTTCAGAAGCGTGACTGCGAATGCAGTCTTGGTCAGGCTCTGGCCAAGGAGAGTACCACATGAGCTGATTATGATGAGGATGTGCATGCGTTCGTCCCATTTCGGATCAACGTAACCAGTGGCGTATTCGATTGTTATGATAATATCATTGACAGTGAGGATGACCCACGAGACTAGCAAAATGTAATCGTCGTACCACAAGCCGTGGCGGCGAAAACATTTGGTCCATACGCGAGCGGCGAGAAAAGCAGTCGCACCTGCCCACAAGGTCCAGAGTCCAACGTTGAGTTCTTTCTGAGGGTCGACGTAGTGTGTATTTGAATTCCTCTTCAAGAAGGCCATATCAGGATTCCATGCTGGGAGAGGTAGGCCGAATGCTAAAAGAGCGTGAAAGTGCCCAGACGGCGGTCGACGTCGGTCCTGCGGTGCTAAGTATAAAGAATGCGGTGGAAAGCGAAGGGCGAAGCGAAAACGGAAAGGTGGAAGAAAGGTGGAAGAAATGAAGAACAAGAAGCAGTATGTAGTATGACGAAGACATCTAGCGATATCTGGGCCAGGCTCGGCTGAAGGCAGCTCTCCTTATGGTAGTGTTTCCAGAGTGCAGTCTCATGCTGTTGCACGAGCTGCATACACCCTAGCCATACCGCGATCAGATACATTGCGAAGACGGCCTTGGGAGCCTCCGCTGCGTTCGCTGGGCCTACTTGTCGAGCTGGAAAAGCTCATCTATAACGATATTAACAGGATAAACGCTTCGACCATCGTTTCGACGGTCGCTCGATGAGTGCCAACAGCATGGCACGGCAATATCAAACGAACGCCATCATGGATTGCGATTGCCGGCTGGGGACAGTTTCCTCGTGATGGCCACGTTGAGCCGTGCCATATAGATTGTGAAGCATATAAAAGGTTAAGCGAAACGTGTGAGCGAGCCAGGAGCACCCGAAGACTTGCAGGGGTGATCGCGTGGGAGTCGGGCGGCGCGAATCGGCTGTGGCGTACGAGAAGCGCGCAAAAGAAGAAAATGCTGCCGATGGCGAGATGCGAGGCGTTGTGAGCAGGACGAAGGCGAGTGAATGGGCGAGTGCAGAGGTGTGTACTCTCGGTGTGAGGTCACTGGCACCAATCGGGGTTACTTACATCCGCAGCCTCGGCACGAACCTCCAGCATGCCGGGAGCTCCATTGTGTTGCTCTCCATCGGATAGCACGCAGAGATGCATCGGTAACTGAGCAGAGCAGAAATGGCAGCAAAGCGGCTCGCCAACGAGCTCGGCGCGTACAATCGCGAGCCTTCGCCGGCCCTCTCGCGCCTTGAGCCTGCCAGCGACCAGGACATCTTCCACTGGTCTGCGGTTCTGAGAGGGCCCGAGGGGACCGCGTACGAAGGTAGACAGAACGCGTGCGACCGGCGACGACAACGCCTCGATGCTGACATGCGTGTAGGCGGTCGATGGCACCTTTCAATCGCCGTACCCCAGCAGTATCCCAACACGCCTCCCGCCATACGATTCCAGACGCCCATCTGCCATCCCAACGTCAACTTCAAAACAGGAGAGATCTGCCTCGACCTGCTCAAGACCTCGTGGACGCCAGCGTACGGCATCGTGAGCACATTGGAAGCAGTACAGCAATTGTTGAGTGCGGGAGGAGAGCCGGATAGTCCGCTCAATATCGACTTGGCCGTGCTGCTGAGAGATGGTGACCTGGTGGGGGCCGAGGCACTGGTGAGATTCTACACACAAATGCTCGCTGTCCCGCGGCCGTGAGCAGAAAGATGTAATCCCAGCTCCTAGTCTCACGTGTAGCGGCCAACAGTCGGCCAGCATGGCCGCCACGCGACATTGAACGACCAACCTCGCAATCGCTGTCCGGCGCGCACTCCTTCCCGGCCTCCTTTTTCCGCTATACTGTCTCCTTGCTCCTAGGCATGTTTGAGTCGGCCATCAGCCCTTCACTCCTTCTCATTGCATCAATGTGGTATCGAAGAAGCGAGCAACCTCGAAGAGTTGGCTTTGGGTACATTGGCGTAGGCTGTGCTACTATACCGGATCTCTGATGTCGTTCGGCTTCCAGCATTATACGAGCGATCGGTTCACTTCTTGGCAGATCATGTTCTTGGTCGTTGGGTTCATCACAATTGGTGCCGGTCTATTAGTCATCGCGTTTATGCCGGACAACCCCATGAGCGCCAAGAGGCTCACGCACGCAGAGCGTGTGGCAGCAGTGAAGAGATTACGAGAAAACCAAACGGGTATTGAGAACAAGATATGTGGGCGAATCACGAGAATCTACAGCTGCTAACGCAGGCTCGGACAAGACATTGAAACCATATCAAGTCCTGCAATGCCTTGTGGATCCGCAAACAGCATTACTCTTTCTCATCACGACTGCAGCATCCATTCCGAATGGAGCCGTTGGCAGTTTCCAATCGATTCTAATCAAGTCATTCGGCTTCACGAACAAAGAGACGGCTCTGCTTCAGATACCCGGCGGAGTCATCGCTGTCATCAGCGTTCTCACAGCAACCTGGGCATCAGCACGCTGCAATGCTCGAGGGCTCAACATAATGTTCTGGAGCGCCATTGGTGGCCTGCTTGGAGGTGGCCTCCTGGCCTTTTCTTCTGATGACAACCGCGCTAGCAAGCTTGCGGGCAACTATATCACGCATGTCGTCGGTGCATTTCTGCCTTGTGCATACTCCTTTGCTGCAGCAAATACCGCTGGCCACACAAAGAAAGTCACTATGAACGCATTGCTTCTAATGGCGTTCTGCTTGGGCAACATCCTTGGACCTTTGACGTTCCGAAACGAGGATGCCCCATCTTACACTCCTGCCAAAGTCATGATTGTTGCCGTCGATTCTACCGCCATCGTCTTCTCGATCGCCTTGCTGGGTTGGTATTACCTCCAGAATCGAAAGCGGGAGAGGAACACTGCAACAGTACCTCACATGCCTGATTTTGAGTTTGCGGATCTCACGGATCGTGAAAATCCACATTTCAGATGTAAGTTCTTCATATTTACTTACCCATTGGGCTAAGCCGCTAACAAATCCATAGATAGTTACTAGGAATCGAAAATCTACATGCCGTTCATTAAATTCAATTCGAATCATCTTGCACTTTCGCCAAACGGCGAGAAGGCTTTCAATTCGCATGTGAACTTATATTGCCTGTGACATGTGAAAGCCCACAAAGAGTTGGCCCGTGCTCTGCGCGCGTCCTTTTTAAGCCCTTGAAGGCCGCAAGTTCTCCAACGTAGACCGGCCTACTTGTCGAGATACATCAACCGCTATGCCTCTGATCTTCGGCTTCGACGTCCCCTCATCATTCACAACCAGTCTCGGCTCACGCCACCAAGACCAAGAAACTCTCGAAGCATGGCGAGCATTCGAGCGCAGCATCCGTAGCTCAGTACTCCATTACCGCGACAAGATCATCATCTGGCAACTCGGCTTCCGCACAACAATAAGCGAAGACTGGTCCGGACCACAACCATCGATTCTGGCTAGAGAGCGCGAGCAGCATCGCTTCATCTGCACCATCATCGACGAGAAAGATGACATGCTTGAGCGGATTATTGGTCACATGATGGAGAGTGCGAAAGAAGAATTTGGCGAGTCGAGAGTGCAGTTCTGGTGTCAGTTGAAGGAAGGAGAGGAGAAGCGTTTCTGCGAAGATGCTGCTGAGGTGGCGCTTGCGCCGAAGGTGGTGAAATTGTTGCGGTTTGAGAGGGAGGAGATGCTACATGAGGTCGACATGAAGATCGCGGAATATCAGCAACTCGACGAGGAGCGACAGGCTGCGTGGCTGGGTGCAGTGCTGCTGAGTGTATTGTTCCTCACTATCTTGCTGCGCATATTCTGAACGAGACGCTGGCGGAAGGTTGCATCGCAGACACAATGGATGCCTCGTGAATGGAGAGGATTGTGCTAGCAAATATCAGCCTTTGAGTAGTCTCAGACATGACTTCCGATTTATGTCGATTGAATTTCTCGGTCTCCCTCCGGTCAGCTTTCTCGCCTCACATGTCGTTCACTTTCGGCTTTGATCTCCGCTCAACCATCAACGGCCATTTGCACCAACCAAGTTTCGTATACGACGCTTCATGCTGGACCAGATTCCGAGGCTCAATCGAACACGCCCATAAACGAGCTCCCATGTGCGACTATACCTTGTGGCAATACTCTACGATTTTCTTCAGCAGGCTTGACATCGATCGCTACGCACCTGAAATCCCAGGTCGAGCGCGCGAGTGCTGCATCATGGCTTTGAATAGCAGCAACGCCATCCAGGTACGCTCGAGAATCTTGAACACGTTTCGTGCCGCTCTGAGAGAATTTGGGATCATGAGAGTTGATCTCTGGTACTTGTCGGCAGATGGCGAGAAAGTTGAGGCGACGATTCAGGATGTCGTGGCTATGGGGCTGGAGTACGCTGCTACGAGCAGGAGTTCGGAGCACCAGGCTTGCCATGCCGTAGGAAACAGTGCTACTTCTGAGCAAAGTTCGTAAACTCAGAAAGAAAGACGAAGGGCAGGCAGTTGGCGCCGAACGTGACAGGATGAGCTTTGAAGAAGTCGTGCCCAGTGATAGTGAGGAGAACGATGGTCGCAGTCCACTGGGATACGCAAATGTGGTTGGTCGTGATTTTTGGAGGCCTGGAACTGGGCATACTTTCGAGCATTTTCTTGTCGAGTCGGCTGCGCAATTGTGTCATTACATGGAGTCTTGAACGCGTCCAGTCGGGAACTTGCACTAGGTGAAAGGCTTTGCAGACGGCTTTGACATGAGCGGTCAAACAGCAGCTTACTGTAGCAAACCACTACACAGACTTCAAAATCCGCCATTGACATTCTTTCTCTCCGAGAG